GCTTATATCTATTATTACTCTATAAGGTTCTAGCTATAGCTAATATAGTAATTACTATTCTAATTTATATTAGTTTATTAGAAGCTATTACTATTATAGTAAGCTAATATTTTAAAACTAAAGATTACTAATAATAGTAGAGTAGATAAGTTAGCTTATAAATAATATCAGGAGAAGCTTATAGTATAAGAAGAAAAGGGAATTTATTAGAGGTAGAATAGCTAAATAGGAGATATCTCTTTATCTTAACTATTTAATATAATTATTAAATTTATAAAAGCTAGATATATCTATAAGTTCTCTCCCTCTGGTTAAACCTTCTTATATAGCTATTCTAGGCTTTCTTATAACTATATTTAGAATATATATTAATATATACTAATAAGCCTAAGATCTTACTAGAATAATAAGACTAACTAGGAGTTAGGCTATAATTCCTAGTTCTAAAATATTAATTTAAATAGTAGTAGTATATTAGATACTATTTACTAATTATAGCTTATAAAGTTTAAACTGATTTTTTATAGAGTTTTTATAACTTTATATAAATAACTAAGCTATTTATAAAGTATTTATTATAGTAAAAGTAATATATACTATAGGTTTCTAATATAAATTTTAGATTATACTTATATTTCTTATTATTATATTTTTTAAATACTTCTAGCTTTTTTAAGATTCTACTTTAGAGATTTATAGTTCTAGACTATACTAATATCAGATTACCTAGTATATTAAAGTAATATATATTAGACCTAAAGTATAGATCTAATAGTTAATAGTAGCTATAGCCTGGAGGGAGATATTATAATAGAATTATTTTAGAGATAATATACTATAATTCTATTTTATTCTACTTAAGTAAGTATAGATAGCTATATAAATTTACTTTTATAATTAGTATAGTAATATAGATAGATATTAATAACTTCTTATTCTAATAGTTTAAATAGATTAATTAGTAAATTTAATAATTTTAAGTATATAATAGATCTAACTTATTATTTATAGTTATCTTAGATAGTATTATTCTAATTAATCTATATATAAGAGCAGTATATCCTTAATAATTAAGCTTTATAATTATAATAGTAAATATAGAATTTCCCTTATACCCCCCTTTACTACTATAAATAATAAAGGGTTTTAAATAGTAATATTAATCTAGTAAGTAGAGCTCCTCAGAGATTAGGATCTTATCTAACTGGAAATACTTAAATATTATTAGGGATAACCTATATACATAATATTCCTTAAGGGTAGTAAGAAGATAGAGCAGATATATATATCTCTCTCTTATACCTCTTCTTTTCTATAGGTAATAAAGCCTTACCCTATAATAAAAGCTAGTAAGAGTAAGTAGAAAAAGAAGATAAAATTAGATTAAGAATATCTTCTTACTCAGAGTTACCTAGTACTAAGGTTTTAAGAAATAATAATAGCTCTAAAGGAGCTAGTATTTATAATATATTCTACTATAAAAGGATATAGTAGATATTCTATAGCTAGTACTCTAAGCTCTCTATAAGTAATCTCTTTATTATATTAGATAATATATAACCAGCTGAAGGATAACTACTATAGTACCCCAGATATAGATAGTAGTATCTAGCTACTAATAAGCTCTCTATATATCTCTCCCCCTCCTCTGGATTATATAATAGATCTAACTCTATTATTCTTAGGGTATCTAGCTATAGTTAAGAATAGTTTATATAATAATATAATAAAGTATACTTCTAAAAGTATATTCTATATTATCTAGTATATAATTAGTATCTTACAGGGCGGTACAGATACTATATCTCTAAATCTATCTAGATACCTAGAGTAACTATATATAAATTATAGTTATAAGCTATAATTTTAGAATTAACTAGAACTTAATAGATCTAATATACTAGCTGCTATATTAATAAAAGAAATACTATATTTATTATATATAGAAATAAAAATAGAATTTAAATTTATCTAATAAAGAATAAAAAAATACTATAATAAAAACAGATTAGAAGGACTAATTTTAGAGGAGGGAGATAAGATCTACTTACTCTGTAAAAATATTATAATAATAAGACTAAGTAATAAATTAAACTATAAAAAACTTAGATTATTTAAGATTTTTAAGAAAAAGTTAGATACTAATTATAAACTATTACTACTAGATATAATATATATCTACCTAGTTTTTTATATCTTATTATTTAAAAAAATACTTAAAAATATACTAAACTAAGATTATTTAATTAAAATCTATAAAAAGAAATTTAAACTAGAAAAAATTCTAAAGAAAGAAGTTAGAAATAGATAAATCTTTTATCTAGTTAAATAGAAAGAGTATACTAATAATAATAATATATAAGAACTTATTAAATATCTAAAGAAATACTAATACTTAATTTACTAGTTCTACTAGAAGGAAAAAGAGAAGCTAAATTAGAAAAATTCTTTCTAAAATCTAATAAATTTAAATCTATCTTAGGGGTAATCCTTAAGAACTAGACTTCCTCTAAGATATATTACTCAGAAGCCTTAAAAAAGTTAAAAGCTTAATTAGAAAATAGTTACTCTTTCTTATTAAGCTCTTAGAGGCTATATTAAATTTCCTACTATATCTTACTTTTAATATATCTATATACTTTATAAATATACTAAATATACCCTAGAGTAATAAATAGATTACTTTAGAGCTAAGTTATTTATTAATATAAAAGAAGGATTTTTTTATTTATATTAGATTCTTCTTCTACTAATTTTTTCTACTATATTATTAATTTTTCTACTAAAAAAGAAATTAGAAAGATATAAATAAAGTATATAAGAAGATATATATAGTTAGATATAACTAGTACTCTATTATAATAATAACTATTTTATATATACTTATTATACTAGAATAACTTCTTATTTAGAAGAATAAAATACTTCTTTTTTATCTTAAAATATAGAGTATATAGTATATTAGCTAAAAGATTAAATATTTAAATAGTAATAGTAAGAAGAACTTATTTATAAGTCTTAAGGTATACTGTTTTTCTTATATAGTTAGATATAGTAAATATTATAATATAATTATTATATATAAAGAAGGGAAGAACTTATTAAGATTATATAGGATCTTAAGGATAAGATTAATAGAGAGAGGGTATTATATTATAAATAAAAGCCTTTATAATAAGTTATATAGTTATATATACCCTACTATTAGAAAGATAGAAGTAATAGGAGTATTATACTTCTATTATAGAATAAGAATAGATTACTAGAAGTAATATACTCTTTATATTCTATAGCTATTATATATATATATTTATTTTTATAGATAGGATATTTCTTTAGATAGTTATTAATATAATTATCTATATATTTATTATTACTAGCTTTATAATACTTATATATTAATAATAACTTATATTATATAGCTTAAGATAATCTGATTATATTACTTAGAATAATACTCTAACTAGTTTAACCCTGACCTACCCAGACCCTGTCTAGTATAAGTTACCCAACTGTTATAAAGCTCTAAGTTAGTTATTTTATTCCTCTTTACTCTATATTAATCTAATATTACTTAATTAATTAGTATAGGGTAACCTAATCTATCCTATAATCTATAGAGTAAATCTTAATACTATTACTACTATTATTACTACTATCTTTATCTATAGTATTATTATTATCTAGAGTAGATAGATTATTAATAATAGGGTTTTATTATTAAACTAATAAAACTATAATAGCTATAATATCTTCTTTATTATTATATAATAATTAAAATAAGATAATTAGCTAAATAAGAGTTATTAATATATAATAATTAAATAATTTATACTAAACTAGATTTAGAATAGATTAGAATTAAACTAGTTAAATATTATTCTAAATAGTATAATCAGATTATTATAAACTATATAATATAAATTATTATTAATATATAAATATTATAAAGCTAGTAATAATAGATATATAGATAATATTATTAATAACTATCTAAAGAAATATTTTAATTAATAAAATAAATATATATATATAGTAGAGAATTATTAATACTTAGTAATAATTTAGTATTTTAAATTATTAGAATTATTATAAAATTCTAATAATTTACTACTAATTAGATAGAGTTATAGAATATACTATATAACTTAATATATAATAATATAATTTATAATATAAAGTAAATAAAGTAATATACTTTTTATACTCTATAATATATATATATATTTATTTATTTCTAAATAAAATACTAGCTTAATAGCTATTAATAAATAAATATTAGTTTATATATACTACTATAAATTTAATATTTTATCTAATTTATTTTCTAACTTCTAAGTACTAAAGTTATTATCTCTTTCTTTCTAGAATAACTATTACTAGATAAAGATATTAATTACTCTTGAACTACTCTATAGCCCTGAGTATACTATTTATTATACTAATAAGACTTTTATTAATAGACTTTTAAACCTCTATTATATAACTCAAGCAAATTTTCAATATATAGATAATATACTATAACAGCTATACCTTATAGCTAATTAAAAATATATACTATAACTTAGGTAAATTTTCAGTATACAGATAGTATACCTTACCGCAGCAGCTAAACCTTATCGCTAATTAAAAATATATACTATAACTTAGGCAAATTTTCAGCGTGCAGATAATATGCCTTGCCGTAGCAGCCAAACCTCATAGCCAATTAAAAACATATACTATGACTCAGGCAAACTTTCAGCGTGCAGATAATATGCCTTGCCGTAGCAGCCAAACCTCATAGCCAATTAAAAACATATACTATGACTCAGGCAAATTTTCAGCATGCAGATAATATACCTTGCCGCAGCAGCCCAACCTCATATCGATCCTCAGGCTGAGCTACTGAAGTATAATAACGGCCGGAATCCCACCATACACTCACTGCATTAATCTCTAGACTACTCACCATAGTGACAACACATATATAACCCATTGAGATTCCTAGTCCCTCAGCGATGTCGTCCAGGTTCCCTTGTTGCAAAACCTGCAACTCCCACCATGGCCTCCTACCAAAACACCCTTGCCGCTTCCTTCATGAAGCGAACTTAGATTCCTTAAAGATTGATGCGACTTATGGAGAAATCAAGCTTTGCGCAAGAGATGGATGCTACTTCTGCTCTATCTTGCATGATAAGATTGCTACCCAAGGAATATCGGAAATAGAACCAGCCATCGATACCAAGGTGGTATTTAACAATCGCCAGAGCCATAGTCTGCGTATTGCTTGTGGTTCGGTAGAGCATGAGATACACTTGCTGCCAGAAAGTAAGTGTGCATGGTCACTGGCTTATTGGCCTATGCCGCAACAGAAACTGACTCGAAACTGACTCGAATCTAAAGGTGCTCAGTGCATCGCAAACCCATACGCCAACATCGATCGCTACGCTGATAACACAAAGTGCATTATTATAGGTAGTGTTTTCGCAACGTATTGGCTGAATTCCTGCATTCAATACCACACGGCTTGCATTACCTCGGCCGAACCATGGAACCCATCTCGATTAGTGCACCTTAAAAATAACCATTTCCGAGTGGTTTCGCCTGGTTCGCCTTCGGAGGGCGGGATAAAGCATGTTCCATACTTTGCTCTCTCGCATTGTTGGGGAGGGTCCGGTGTGTCATTTACATTAACCAAGAAGAATTACAAGGATTTAAAGCGAGGAATTAAGATCGACCGGCTATCAAAAACGATTCGGGATGCCGCAAATGTTGTTCAGAGCATGGCCTATGAATATTTATGGGTAGATTCTCTTTGCATTATTCAGGATGACGATGCAGACTGGAAAGAGCAAGCACAGCAGATGGACCTTGTTTATAAGCACGCGGTGCTTACTATCGCGGCTACTGGATCAAAAGATGGTAATGGAGGTCTATATCATTCGCGAAACGGGAGCTTGGCTATGCCCAAAGCAATCTTGTGTCGCGAGGATAACGTGCTCAAAACAATGGTACCTTACGATCCGCATGTCTGGAGTCACGAAGTCGATCACGCACCTCTCAACCAGAGGGCGTGGGTGAAGCAAGAAATGGATCTCTAATAGGAAGTTGCATTTTGGCCGGAACCGAGTGTTTTGGACTTGTTGCGACACTTCATTGACAGAGACATTCCCTCTTTGCATACCCGAGAAGTTTTACCAGGATATAAACCCGGAAGGATACCGTTACCACCAGGATTCATTCGATTATTACCGGTCTGTCTCGTCAAAGCTGCGACAAGGTCTTGAGGAGCGAGAACAACTTCGCTCCCGCAAGAACAACTCTACGGGGATGCTGGTCAGAGTTCTTCGTACGAAGTTCTTCGAGCCACCTAGCGAGATCATTTTTGATCATAGACTTGACGATTGGACGAAAGGAAGTACTGCCCTTAACACCTCGTCAATCGGGCATGAGATGTCAATTTTGAGTATCAAAAGAAAGATATGGAGAGACATCGTGGAAGACTACAGCGGAAGAGCTTTGACGAAAATCACTGATCGATCCATCGCAATCCATGGGGTTACAAAGGAAGTAGAGAATGTATTTGGAACTCGTTGTTTGTTTGGAATTCGGGTGGATGACATGCCCTTTGACTTACTTTGGAGCATCCGCGGAAGAGTTCCTGACTTCAGTACAAACAGCATAGTCTCCCCCGGGATCCGAAAGCGAGTTCCAATAGAGGCCGTGCCGATACGTTCGGCAGCTCCTTCATGGTCCTGGCTCTCCGTTCAAGGATCTGTCGAGTTTCACGCCTTGGGCCCCGGGTCACCGTCACCAAAGATCGAGATACCCGACCAAGAGGACTTGATGAAGCGCTCAACTTCCTGTCCGAAATCCATCCGGCTTCGGGGGCGTGTGGCTCAGGTAACAGCAGAACGAAGGGGACAGTTTACCTATAATATAATGCCTTCCGATCTCTTACCCCATAGAGCAATGCCGGTCGAGATATACCTCGATTTTGACACTCCGGAAATATTGATACATCACGACCTTTATCTTTTCCACGTTTTAGGTGTAGGACCGAGGCGTTGTACAGACACTTGCGCCGCGGCAGGTCTCGTCCTTCAGCGCGATAGGACTAATAGCACATTCTCGCGAATGGGGGTATTCAAGATCCAGGCCCCTAGTGGTATGGCTCATTTAGTGGAGCTTTTAAATGACTTTGACTGCTCCGCACATAGTAAGGATTTTTCTTCTGAGATACGAGAGTCTACTAGGATCTATGAGATTACTATATCATGAGAAATTAGGCGTGAGGAGGAAGGCCGCTGTAGGATTACTAGCAGGGGCTACCACTGCTAAAAGGGATACCTACTTATCACTAGCCCTTCTATACAATTGCTACTTCATGATTTAGCTCTTTTACTATAATAGTACTTCACCAGCGAGGTCGCGGAACACGTGTAATACACAACTGTTGATGGCAACGCTCCCGCCTGCCGCGGCATCGATCCATCCAAGGTAGCTACGTAGCTGGCCCCGGGACAAGATCCACTAGTCCAGCCGGCCGTCCAGATCTCTCACTTGCTGAATGACCTTTTGTGCCTCGTCAACCGCGCCGTCGACTCCGCTCGTGGCGAATTTGGCAAACTCCTTGAACCTCATATTGTCCCCCCATTTCCAGACCCTCAGAGCACCGTCGAGGTCTCGTATGTGATGCTCGAGCAAATCCGAGAATGGCGGGAGACCCTCTATAGAAGCCTTTGCCCACCTCGTGTACCAGGCTACAACCAGGTGACAAAAGTCACAAAGGAAATATAAAATATTTAAAATATTTATAAATTAGAAAGATCAGAAAAATATATATTTCTCTATTAATAATAATATAATTTATATAATTTAAATTAGAATTAATTTCCTAGTTATTTCTCTTTCTTTCTATATTATTTTTAATACTCTATATACTACCCTTCTATATTAATTATAGCTTATATATACTCTAGTATTATATTAATTAGCTTTTTAAGTATTTTAGGTTTAAGCTCCTTCTATATTATAATTACTATTTAAATTAATCTTTATTTTATTTCTTCTATTTTAGAAAAAGATACTAATTTAGAATATTATTTATTAATATAAGTTTTTAGAATATTCTATAAGTTTTTAATAGAATTAAGATTAGAACTATAAGCTAATTAAATTATTAATCTAATTCTATTCTTCTAAGTAAATTCTTAAAGTTAATTCTTAACTATTTTTACTATATAAGTAGATATATTATTATCTTAGAAAATAGAATCTAGTTATTATAAATAAAGACCTCTATTAGACTATATAAAGTTATATATAAAGTATAGATCTACTAAGAGACTATAACTAATAAATATAAACCTATTATCCAGGTAATATAATAGCTAAGTAATAGATAAATAATAATCTTACTATATATATATATTTATTTTACTAGATAGAATATTTCTTTTAATAGTTATTAATATAATTATTTATATATCTATTATTACTAGCTCTATAATACTTATATATTAATAGTAATTTATATTATATAGTTTAAAATAATCTAATTATACTACTTAGAATAATATTCTAATTAGTTTAATCTTAATCTACTCTAGATACTATCTAGTATAAGTTATCTAATTATTATATATTAATAACTCTTATTTAATTAATTATCTTATCTTAGTTATTATATAATATTAAAAGATAAAATAGCTCTTATTAAACTACTAAATAATACTCTATAAACTCTAATAGCTTAGAAAATTATATAATAACTTATAATCTAAATTAAATAATTTAAGAAAAGGAAAATAAAAGATAAAAAAAAAATAATATAATTAATTTCTTTAGAACCCTTCTTAAATAATACTAATAAACTAAAAGAATTTAAAATCTAATTTTAAATATATTTTAAATTCTTTCTAATTAAACTAATAATAAATAAGAATAAAATTAGATTTATAGAAATATATCTTAATAATACTATAAGATAATAGTTCTAGATTTATTTTAAAAACTAATATAATAATAAAGCTATATTAAGCTTATAAAATTAAAAGATAGTTAATACTCTTACTAGTTATAAAAACTTCTAAATTTTATTTATTTTAATATTTAGTTAAATAAATAAAGAATAATAAGCTATTAAGAATCTTAAGAGTTTATATTAGATAGAACTAGTATTAGAATATACTATTAAGTTTAGAGAAATTTTAATTTAATTAGATTAGAATAATAGCTTTTTTAAAGCTATATTTTATAATAAATTTAAAAAAAAAATTAAAAATTAACTTTTTAAAATAGATAAATCTAAAGATCTATTTAGATATATAGTAAATACTATTTAAATTAATAACTATCTATATAAAAGATAATAGTAAAAGGGAAATAAGTATATTAATTAGAATTATATTAAAAATAAATCTAATTAGAAAGTATAATAAACTCTATTACTATTTATAGAATCTAGAATATATATAGATCTTATAGAGTTAGAAGCTATAGAAAAATATAATATTATAATTATAATAAGATTAAATATATTTTATCTTAATATTTAAAATTTAAAAAATAGAAAAATTAGAAATCTATTAAAGAAAGTAAGAAATAATTAGAAATAATTAGAAAAACTAAAATTAAAATACTTAAAATAATTAGAAAAACTATTTAAAAAGAAAATTATATAATTATTATAATATTTATATTTTCTAGAAAGCTTATATTAAAATTCTATAAAATATTAGAAACTAATAATAAGAAGAAAAAATAAATAGTATTAGAAGAAAACTAATAATATATTATATATATTCTCTAAGAGCTTAAGTAGAAATTTAAGAAAAAAAAGAATATTATAAATATTAAATCTCTTACTAAATATAAATATATATTCTATTATATTAATAAACTTATTAAATATATCTCTAAGAAATAGAATTAATATATATTTACTAGAGATAAAATTAAAGTTAAATATAATAAGCTCTATATTTATTATTAATAAAAAATATAAATATAAAATCTTAAGAAGATATAAGAAATAGTATTATATAGAAGAGATACTATAGATATTATCTAATATCTTAGTAATAAATATAAAAACCTAATATATATAAATATTAGTAAAAAATATAACTATAGATTAGAATTCTAAATAACTTATTATAATATTTAATATACTATATATTAATAAGAAAAAGTATTAAATAATTTTTTTCTATTTTTTAATAAAAGAATATTTAGAAAGTATAATATAATCTAAATATAATAGTTTATTTATTAATACTATAGAATAGAATCTTATATTATTTTTAAAAAAGATCTAAAAAAATATTCTAAAGAGTATATAGAAGAAAAATTTCTAATAGAAATATATTAAAAATAGAAATATAAAATCTATAAAAATAATAAGATTAAATTATAATATAATTACTAATAAATAGAAAATTAAACTATATATAATTATAGTAGTTATATTAAATTATATTATAACTAGAGCTATAGAAATTATTAAGAAATTAAATAAAAAGTACTAATATTAATATAAAATAGTAATAATAATATAAATACTATTAAATTATATTTTAAATAATAATAATTATAAAAAAAAAAGATATAAAATTAATATTTAAATAAATAATTTTTATCTATAAATAATAAGAAAGAATTAGAAATTATCTCTATTAATAAATAAAAATAGAATAGAATATATAATAAGTAAAATATACTATTATAAATAAATAAATCTTAAGAATAAATTAATTAGATAAAAAATAATCTAAATTATTTATAATAGAGCTATAGTATAATATAATATTAATAATAGATTAAAGAATTTTAAAAACTATAAAAATAGAAAGCTTTATATATATTCTTATAGAAATAGAAATTAAAAGAAACTAGCTTATAGTATTTATTAACTATAGAATATAAGAAAATTATATTTTATTAATAGTAATTAACTAACTCTATTTATTATAGAAGAAGAAAAAAGAAATCTATATAGTTATTAATATTAAAAGTTTAAAATTTAAATATAATAATAGAATTATTAATTTTAAAACTAATTATTTTATAATTAAAATCTAAAAAAAGAAATTTAATATTATTTATAATTTAATATTATTAGAAATTAATAAAGTTATATTAGAGTTATTATAGTTTTAAGATATAAATCTATTAATTAATTAGTATATTAGCTAGATAGAGTAAAAGAATACTTTTATATATTAATATTAGAATTAATAAAAAATAAAATTTTATTAAATATTAGAAAAATATATTTATTTTTTAATATCTAAAGATATTATTATAAAAAACTATAATAACTTATAATAATAAGTAAATATAATAATTATAATTTTAATAGTATTATAATCTAAAAATATAAGAAATCTATTATAATAAGAATTAAAATAAATAATATAAATCTTAGATTAAATATAAAAATAAAAATTACTTTTAGATATAGATTTAGTATTTATTAATTAGAAATAACTAATAAAATAATAATAATAAGAATATAAAATTAAATATAATTAATAGTAAAAGAAAATAAAAAAATTATTTTTAAAACTATTTAATATAGAAATTTAAAAATAAAGCTAAATAAGTAATAAATAAAAAATATAATAAAATAAAAAAAAAATATCTAGTATAAGTATAAATAAACTAAATACTTAAAATAAAAAGAATATTTTAAAAATATTTTATAAAAATATAATTATTTTAAGAAAATATTATTTATAAAAAAACTTAAAATAGAATTATTAAAATATAATTAATAGAATTATAAAATCTTTATTATTAAAAAAGAAAAATTTAATTTCTATAAATTATATAATTTTATAGAATTTTAATTATAAATATTCTATAAATATATTAATAATATACTAATAAAAAGCTATATATAACTATTAACTTTATTTATAGAATACTCTATAATATTTATATCTAAGAAAAATAATAAACTCTATTTAATTATTAACTATTAATAGCTAAATAAGATTATATATAAAAATAGAATATTCTTACTATTAATTATTAAACTTAGAGATTAATTATAGAATAAATAATAATTTATTATTTTAAATTTAAAAAGAGTTTATAATTTAATATAAATTAAAAAAGAAAATAAATAGAAAATAGTATTTAGAATAAAATTTAATTTCTATAAGTATTTTATTATATCTTTTAAACTAATAAATATATTTATAATATTCTAATAAATAATTAATTAAATACTTTAGAAATATCTTAATATCTTTATAATTATTTATTTTAATAATATTTTAATTTTCTCTAATAATCTAAAGATATATAAGAAATATATATATTAAATCTTAGAAAAACTAAAAAAAATAAAACTTTTTATAAAATTAAAAAAGAGTTTCTTCTATATATAAAAAATTAACTTTTTAAAATATATTATTTAATTAAATAAAATATAAATAGAATAAAATAAAATTATTATAATTAAGAAATAAAAAGTATTAAAATTTATTAAAAAAGTATAAATCTTTTTTAGATTTATTAATTATTATTAATAATTTATTAAAAACTATAGAAAAATTATTATACTTTTATATAATATTACTAAAAAAAGAATAGAATTCTAATAGAATAATAAATAATAAAAAGTATTTAATAAAATTAAAAACTAAATATTTTTAGAATTTATACTATAAATATTTAATTCTATATAAAAAATAAAATTTAAAATAAATATTTTAAACTTTATAATTAATATATAAATTAGCTAAAGAGATAATAATAAAGTATTATATTTTATAGTATTCTTCTTAAAAAAACTATATAATATAAAACTTAATTACTCTATTTATAATAAAGAGTTTATAATTATTATATATATATTTAAAGAATTTAAATATTACTATTTAGAAATAATATATAAGATTAAAATATATATAAATTATAAGAATATTTAGTATTTTATAATAATTTAATAACTAAATAGAAAATAAATATATTATATTAAGTATCTATTTTAATTTAATTATAAAATTATATATTAAAAAGAATTAGAAAATAAAAAAATTAATACTTTTAGTTAGAAATCTAAGTATAAAAAAGTAGTTTTAAAAATAAATAAATAGTTATTCTTAATTAATAATAAAGAATACTTAGTATAGAAAACCTTAAAAGCTATACTTAAGGAAATAGTATATATTAAGATCTAGATAGAAATTATATCTAGTTTAGAAAAATTATAATAAGATATTAAAATAATATTTATTAAAGAAATCTATAAATATTTATTTTTAGAATATTAAGAAGTTAAGAAAATATTTAATAGGATTAAATAATATTATAATTATCTAGATTTATAAAAGAAAATATAAATTATAGTTTTAGAATATAATATTTATATATAAATTAAGTCTATATAATATAAACCCTATAGAGAACTAAAACTAGTTCTAATATTAGAATAACTATAATAATTAATATTTTTTAATTATATTATTAAACTATTATTATTAAAAAAACTTATAATTAAAATAAAGTATAATAGTATTCTAATAGTTATTAATAGATTTATAAAATATAAATACTTTATTCTATATAAGGAAATAAGCTTTATAGAAGATTTTATATATTAGTTTTTATAATATATAGTTAGTTATTATAAATTATCTAATAAAATAATATTAAATAGAGAAATAATATTTATCTCTAAGTTTTAATAATTACTTATAGTATAAATAGATACTAGATATAAGCTTTTAATAGTTTATTACTCCTAAAGTAATAGTTAAATAGAATAACTAAACTAAATTCTAAAGTAATATCTATAAATATATATTAATTATAAATAGAATAATTAGATATAACTATTATCTATAATATAAATTATATATAATAGCTTAATATAAAAATCTATCTAGTTTATATCTATATATATTAATTATAATTATAAACTATAATTTTAGAATTAATTAGAACTTAATAGATCTAATATACTAGTTATTATATTTATAAAAGAAATATTATATTTATTATATATAGAAATAAAAATAGAATTTAAATTTATCTAATAAAGAATAAAAAAATACTATAATAAAACTAGATTAAAAGAACTAATTTTAAAAGAGAAAGATAAAATCTATTTACTCTATAAAAATATTATAATAATAAGATTAAATAATAAATTAGATTATAAAAAACTTAAATTATTTAAAATCCTTAAGAAAAAATTAGATAATTATAAACTTTTATTACTTAATATAATATATATCTATCTAGTTTTTTATATTTTATTATTTAAAAAAGTATTAAATAATATATTAGAATAAGATTATCTAATTAAAATCTATAAAAAAGAATTTAAATTTTAGAAAATATTAGATAAGAAAATTAAAAATAAATAAATATTTTATTTAGTAAAATAGAAAGATTATAATAAAAATAATAATATATAGAAACTAATTAAATATTTAAAGAAGTATTAGTATTTAATATACTAGTACTATTAAAAGAAAAAGAATTAGTAATCTTATTTTAAATAATATTATTAAAGAGATTCTCTATAGAAAGATTAAAGATAAAACTAGAAAAATTAATTATCTATATAATATATAATATTTAGATTTAGAATATAAGCTCAGCCTCTTAAGCTTATACCTATTCTAACTCTTTCTAATAGCTTTTTTTCTCTACTTCTCTCTATTCCTCCTCTTCTAGCTCTTTTATATTATTTAACCCTTTCTTTAATATCTCTATACCCTTCTTATAAAGCTATTTTTATATCTTCTATAAATAAAAAATTTATATAAATACTACTATTAATTCTACTTTAATCTTAGATTTTTTATTCTCTAAATAAGATAGTTTATTATTAATTTTCTTAATTAAAATAAGAAATTAGAAAAAACTATTAGAGATATATAGTATATAGATACTTATTAGAAGATATTAGAGAATATATACTATTATATAAATAATCTATATAAATATATATTATATAATAATTTAAACTAGAAATAATAAAATAATCTATATTCTTTTCTATATAATAAATATAAGAAATAATCTTAAATCTATAAATAAGAATATATTTATAATAGTTAGATAACTTATACTAGATAGGGTTTAGAGTAGATTAGAATTAAACTAATTAGAGAGTTTATTCTAAATAATATAATCAGATTATATTAGGCTATATAATATAAGTTACTATTAATATATAAGTATTATAAAGCTAGTAATAATAGATATATAGATAATTATATTAATAACTATCTAAAGAAGTATTCTATTTAATAAAATAAATATATATATATAATAATTATAGAGTATAAAGAGTATACTACTTCTAATAATCTATTCTTATTCTATAATAAAAGTATAATACTTCTACTACTTCTATTCTTTAGATAGTAGAGTATATATAACTATATAATCTATTATAGAGATCTTTTATTTATAATATAATACTTTCTCTTTATTAATCTTATTCTTAAGATTCTATATAATTCTAATAAGTTTCTCTTTTCTTTATATATAATAGCTATATTATAATATTTATTATATCTAATTATATTTAAAAATTAGTATATTCTAAAACTTATAAATAAGTTCTTCTTACTATTATTATTTAAATATTTAGTTTTCTAGCTAATATATTATATACTCTATATTTTAAGATAAAAAAGAAGTATTTTATTCTTCTAAATAGAAAGTTATTTTAATATAATAAGTATATATAAAATAATTATTATTATAATAGAGTACTAGTTATATTTAACTATATATATTTCCTTATATATCTAGTTTATATTCTTCTAATTTTTTTTTTTTTTTTTAGTAAAAAAATTAATAATATAGTAGAAAAAATTAGTAGAAGAAGAATCTAATATAGATAAGAAAATCCTTCTTTTATATTAATAAATAACTTAACTTTAAAGTAATTTATTTACTACTTTAGAATATATTTAGTATATTTATAAGATATATAGATATATTAAGAGTAAGATATAATAGAAGATTTAGTATAATCTCTAAGAGTTTAATAAGAAAGAGTAACTACTTTTAGATTAAGCTTTTAGTTTCCTTAAGGCTTCTAAGTAATATACTTTAGAGAAAATCTAGTTCTTAGAGATTATCTCTAAAATAGATTTAAATTTATTAGATTTTAAAAAGAATTTTTCTAATTTAATTTCTCTTTTTCTTTCTAATAAAACTAGTAAATTAAATATTAGTATTTCTTTAGATACTTAATAAGTTTCTATATATTATTATTATTAGTATATTTTTTCTATTTAACTAGATAGAAGATTTATTTATTTCTAATCTTTTTTTTTAGAATTTCTTCTAGTTTAAATTTCTTTTTATAGATTTTAATTAGATAATCTTAATCTAGTATATTATTTAGTACTTTTTTAAATAATAAGATATAAAAAACTAGATAAATATATATTATATCTAGTAATAAGAGTTTATAATTAGTATCTAATTTCTTCTTAAGAACTTTTAATAGTCTAAGTTTTTTATAATCTAATTTATTATTTAGTTTTATTATTATAATATTTTTTTAGAGTAGATAGATCTTATTTTCTTTCTTTAAAATTAATTCTTCTAATCTAGTTTTATTATAGTATTTTTTTATTCTTTATTAAATAAATTTAAATTCTATTTTTATTTTTATATATAATAAATATAATATTTCTTTTATAAGTATAGTAACTAGTATATTAAATCTATTAAGTTCTAATTAATTTTAAAATTATAGTTTATAGCTATAATTAGTATATATAGATATTAGTTAGATAGATTTTTATATTAAACTATTATAAGTAATCTATACTATTAGTAGTAGTTATATCTAATTATCTTATTTATAGTTAATATATACTTATAAATATTATTCTAAAGTTTAATTTAATTATTCTATTTAACTATTATTTTATAAATAATAAGCTATTAAAAACTTATACTTAATATCTATTTATACTATAAATAATTATTAAAATTTAAAGATAAATATTATTTCTCTATCTAATATAATCTTATTAGATAATCTATAGTAATTAATTATATATTATAAAAACTAATATATAAAATCTTCTATAGAGCTTATTTTTTTATATAGAATAAAATATCTATATTTTATAAATCTATTAATAATTATTAAAATATTATTATATTCTATTCTAGTTATTAGTTCTTTAGATAATAATAGTTTAATAATATAATTAAAGAATATTAATTATTATAGTTATTCTAATACTAGAACTAGTTTTAGTTTTTTATAGAGTTTATATTATATTAATTTAATTTATATATAAATATTATATTCTAAAACTATAGTTTATATTTCTTTTTATAAATCTAGATAATTATAATATTATCTAATTTTATTAAATATTTTTTTAATTTCTTAATATTTTAAAAATAGATATTTATAGATTTCTTTAATAAGTATTATTTTAATATTTTATTATAATTTTTCTAAGTTAGATATAGTTTCTATCTAGATTTTAATATATATTATTTCCTTAAATATAGTTTCTAGGGTTTTTTATACTAAGTATTCTTTATTATTAAATAAAAATAATTATTTATTTATCTTTAGAATTATTTTCTTATATTTAGATTTCTAATTAAAAGTATTAGTTTTTTTATTTTCTAATTCTTTTTAATATATAATTTTATAATTAAATTAAAATAAATATTTAGTATAGTATATTTATTTTTTATTTAATTATTAAGTTATAGTAAAGTATTAAATATTTTTATAATCTATATATATCTTAATCTTATATATTATTTCTAAATAATAGTATTTAAATTCTTTAAATATATATATAATAGCTATAAATTCCTTATTATAAATAGAGTAATTAAGTTCTATATTATATAGTTTCTTTAAAAAAAATATAATAAAGTATAATATTTTATTATTATTCTTTTAGCTAATTTATATACTAATTATAAAGTCTAAAGTATTTATTTTAAATTTTACTTTTTATATAAAGTTAAATATCTATAATATAAATTCTAAAAATATTTAGTTTTTAATTTTATTAAATACTTATTACTATTTATTATTCTATTAAAATTCTATTTCTTTTTTAATAATATTATATAAAAATATAATAATTTTTCTATAATTCTTAATAAATTATTAATAATAATTAATAAATCTAAGAAAAGTTTATATTTTCTTAATAGTTTTTAATATTTTTTATTTTTTAATTATAATAATTTTATTTTATTTTATTTATATTTTATTTAATTAAATAATATATTCTAAAAAGTTAATTTTTTATATATAGAAAAAGCTTTTTTCTAATTTTATAAAAAGTTTTATTTTTTTTAGTTTTTCTAAAACTTAATATATATATTTCTTATATATTTCTAAATTATTAGAGAAAATTAAAATATTATTAAAATAAATAATTATAAAAATATTAAAATACTTTTAAAGTATTTAATTAATTATTTATTAAAATATTATAAATATATTTATTAATCTAAAAAGTATAATAAGATACTTATAGAAATTAAACTTTATTTTAAATACTATTTTCTATTTATTTTTTTTCTTAATTTATATTAAATTATAAATTCTTTTTAGATTTAAAATAGTAAATTATTATTTATTTTATAATTAATTTCTAAACTTAATAATTAGTAATAAAAATATTTTATTTTTATATATAATTTTATTTAGCTATTAATAATTAATAATTAAATAGAGTTTATTATTTTTTTTAAATATAAATATTATAAAATATTCTATAGATAAAATTAATAAGTATATATAGCTTTTTATTAATATATTATTAATATATTTATAGAGTATTTATAATTAAAGTTCTATAAGATTATATAATTTATAGAAATTAGATTTTTCTCTTTTAATAATAGAGATTTTATAATCCTACTAGCTATATTCTAATAATTTTATTTTAAGTTCTTTTATAAATAATATTCTTTTAAAGTAATTATATTCTTATAGAATATTTTTAAAATATTCTTTCTATTTTAGATATTTAGTTTATTTATATTTATACTAAATATTCTTTTTTTTATTTTATTATACTTTTTATTTATTATTTATTTAGCTCTATTTCTAGATTTCTATACTAAATAGTTTTAAAAATAGTTTTTTTATTTTCTTTTATTATTAATTATATTTAATTTTATATTCTTATTATTATTCTTTTATTAATTATTTCTAATTAATAAATACTAAATTTATATCTAAAAGTAGTTCTTATTTCTATATTTAATCTAAGATTTATATTATTTATTTTAATTTTTATTATAATAGGTTTTTTATATTATTAGATTATAATATTATTAAAGCTAATATTACTATATTTACTTATTATTATAAGTTATTATAGTTTTTTATAATAATACTTTTAAATATTAGAAAATAAATATTTTTTCCTAATATCTAATAAAATTTTAATTTTTATTAATTCTAATATTAATATATTAAAGTATTTTTCTACTCTATCTAGTTAGTATACTAATTAATTAATAAGTTTATATTTTAAAATTATAATAATTCTAATATAACTTTATAAGTTTCTAATAATATTAGATTATAAATAATATTAAATTTCTTTTTTTAAATTCTAATTATAAAATAATTAGTTTTAGAATTAATAATTTTATTATTATATTTAAATTTTAAGTTTTTAATATTAATAATTATATAAATTTCTTTTTTCTTTTTTTATAATAAATAGAATTAATTAAATACTATTAGTAAAATATAATTTTCTTATACTTTATAATTAATAAATACTATAAACTAGTTTTTTTTAATTTTTATTTCTATAAAGATATATATAGAGCTTTCTATTTCTATAGCTTTTAAAGTTCTCTAATTTATTATTAGTATTATACTATATTATAATCTTATTATAAATAGTTTAGATTATTTTTTATCTAATTAATTTATTCTTATAGTTTATTTATTAATAATAATATATTTTATCTATTATATATTTTATTCTATTCTTACTTATTAATAGAAATAATTTCTAATTCTTTTTTATTATTATTTCTCTTACTATTTATAAATAAAGATTAATTATTTAAATATTATTTTTATATATTTTTTTTCTATAGTTATTATTATTTAAGATATAATTTAATAATATTTATATTATTATTATTATTCTATACTAATATTAATATTTCTTATTTAACTTTTTAATAATTTCTATAGTTCTAGTTATAATATAACTTAATATAACTATTATAATTATATATAGTTTAATTTTCTATCTACTAATAGTTATACTATAGTTTAATCTTATTATTTTTATAAATTTTATATTTCTATTCTTAATATATTTCTATTAGAAGTTCTTTCTTTATATACTCTTTAGAGTATTTTTTTAAATCTTTCTTAAAGATAGTATAAAGTTCTATTCTATAATATTAATAAATAAATTATTATATTTAGATTATATTATACTTTCTAAATATCTTTCTATTAGAAAATAGAAAAAAATTATTTAATATTTTTTCTTATTAATATATAATATACTAGATATTATAATAAATTATTTAGAATTCTAATCTATAGTTATATTCTTTATTAGTATTTATATATATTAGGTTTTTATACTTATTATTAGAATATTAAATAATATCTATAGTATTTCTTTTATATAATACTATTTCTTATATCTTTTTAAGATTCTATATTTATATTTTTTATTAATAGTAAATATAGAGCTTATTATATTTAGTTTTAATTTTATTTTTAATAAATATATATTAATTCTATTTCTTAAAGATATATTTAATAAGTTTATTAATATAATAGAATATATATTTATACTTAGTAAAAGATTTAATATTTATAATATTTTTTCTTTTTTTAAATTTCTATTTAAATTTCTAGAGAATATATATAATATACTATTAGTTTTCTTTTAATATTATTTATTTTTTCTTTTTATTATTAATTTCTAATATTTTATAAAATTTTAATATAAACTTTCTAGAAAATATAAATATTATAATAACTATATAGTTTTCTTTTTAAATAGTTTTTCTAATTATTCTAAATATTTTAATTTTAATTTTTCTAATTATTTCTAATTACTTTTTATTTTCTTTAGTAAATTTCTAATTCTTTTATTTTATAAGCTTTAGATATTATAGTAAAATATATTTAATCTTATTATAATTATAATACTTATATTTTTCTATAGTTTCTAGCTCTATAGAACTTATATATATTTTAGATTCTATAGATAGTAATAGAATTTATTATACTCTCTAATTAAGTTTATTTTTAATATAATTCTAATTAATATATTTATTTCTCTTTTATTATTATCTCTTATATAAATAGTTATTAATTTAAATAGTATTTACTATATATCTAAATAGATCTTTAAATATATCTATCTTAAAAAGTTAATTTTTAACTTTTTTTTTAAGTTTATTATAAAATATAGCTTTAAGAAAATTATTATTTTAATCTAATTAAATTAAGATTTTCCTAAACTTAGTAATATATTCTAATACTAGTTCTATTTATTATAAACTCTTAAGGTTCTTAATAGCTTACTATTTTTTATCTATTTAACTAAATATTAAAATATATAAAATCTAGAAGTTCTTATAACTAATAAGAGTATTAACTATTTTCTAATTCTATAAGCTTAATATAACTTTATTATTATACTAATTTTTAAAATAAATCTAGAATTATTATTCTATAGTACTATTAAGATATATTTCTATAAATCTAATTTTATTTTTATTTATTATAAATTTAATTAGAAAGAATTTAAAATATATTTAAAATTAAATTTTAAATTCTTTTAATTTATTAGTATTATTTAAAAAAGATTCTAAAGAGATTAATTATATTATTTTCTTTTTATTCTTTATTTTCTTCTTCTTAAGTTATTTAATTTAAACTATAAACTACTATATAATCTTCTAAGCTATTAGAGCTTATAGAGTATTATTTAATAGTTTAATAGAAGCTATTTTATCTTTTAATATTATATAGTAATTAAAATAAGATAATTAGCTAAATAAGAGTTATTAATATATAATAGTTAGATAACTTATATTAAATAGAGTTTAAAATAAATTAAAATTAAACTAATTAAAGTATTATTCTAAATAGTATAATTAGATTATCTTAGACTATATAATATAAATTATTATTAATATATAAGTATTATAGAGTTAGTAATAATAGATATATAGATAATTATATTAATAACTATCTAAAGAAGTATTTTATTTAATAAAATAAATATATATATATAATAATTATAGAGTATAAAGAGTATATTACTTCTATTAATTTATTCTTATTCTATAATAGAAGTATAATACTTTTATTATTTCTATTCTTTAGATAGTAGAGTATATATAATTATATAATCTATTATAGAGGTCTTTATTTATAATAGAGAGAGTATTATATTATAAATAAAAGCCTTTATTAGACTATATAAAGTTATATATAAAGTATAGATCTATTAGAAAACTATAACTAATAAATATAAACCTATTACCTAGATAGTATAATAGCTAAGTAATAGATAAGTAATAACCTTACTATATATATATATTTATTTTATTAGATAGAATACTTCTTTTAATAATTATTAATATAATTATCTATATATCTATTATTACTAGCTCTATAATATTTATATATTAATAGTAACTTATATTATATAGCTTAAAATAATCTAATTATACTACTTAGAATAATACTCTAATTAGTTTAATCCTGATCTACCTTAAACCCTATCTAGTATAAGTTATCTAACTATTATACTAGTAAGAGAATAATTAGAAGATTTTCTTTATAATATTTAAATATTATATATACTATAATACTATTATATTTAGATTTAAAGTTATTAAATAATAGTATAAATAATAAATAATTATAATAGGAAAAAGTATTTTAAAATATCTAGTTATAGTATATTAGTTTAATTTAAAGTTAAATATACTCTTTCTAAAGTTTAGTACTCTATAAAGTAATATTAATAAAATTATAAGTATTAGTATAAAGTATATCTTTTTATAGAAAACTTATTTCTAGTAATCTCCCTAATTATACTAAATAGTTAATTTATTTAAAAAGAAAATAAGCTATTATTATTCTATAGGTTTATCTCTATTTTTAATAGTAAATACTAGATATTCTATAGCTATCTCTAGAATTAGATATAGATAGTATATAGCTTTTAGATATATAATACTCTTCTTTTAAAGCTAGTAGATAAAAGTATATATATAATAACTAGGATCTATATCTATTAAAATCTATTTAATAGATATAAAAGAGTTTTTCTTAATATATCTAAAGATATTCTTTTTATTACTATTAGTAATAATTAGGAGCTTACTAGAGTATAGTAAAAATATAGCTATATTTTAAATATAGTATTATAATATAATTCTATAAACTAACTACTTAGATACTCTCTCTTTAAATACTATTATATAGACTATTAGATCTAAATTATAATTTATTATAATTCTTATATATTTATAAGGGCTATACTTAAGTCTTAATATCTTCAGAATTATAATTTTTAAATTATTTAAAAAAAAAAGAAGTTAGATTAATTTTATACACAGTAGAGGAGACGCGTTTTAATTGGCCCCACATCATGACTTTTATCCCCCCTCTGTAGACCTCCTTGACCCGGTATCCACCACCACTGCTCCACCTGCCCGGCCAACTTGTGCAGCGTGGATAATGTTTGCTCGCCGGCCTTCCAGATGTTGCATATGAAAACCACGGAAGTATCCATAAGATCTTGGACTACTGCCCCAGCCGCATCGGTTACCATGACGTAGTATTTGCCGGTCTTCTTAAACTCGTCGATGGCGCTTAGAATGGTGTTGCGGATGAGGGATTCTCAAGAAATATCTGTAGGCTACTGAGGTTCAAGGGCACCCGCCGAGGGACGCCCCTGTCAATAAGCGCCCTCAGTATAAAGTAATCCAGTCGGGAGGACATGGGGTCGTCTTTTTTTAGCAAGCCATTCCTCGTGATTCTTACTCCAAGCATAGGGCTTCGAGTCGAACGATGGCGCGCCCAGGTTGAGGAAGTTCTGGAGGGCGGTGTCGATCGCAGCCCGGTCTTCGCACACGGCTGCCCACAGGCCGTTTGGATTCTGCGCTGCCTTGAGCGCGCCGTAGTGGCTCGCCGCCAGAGGCCGCAAGAGACAATTCAGAATGGGTTTCGTTTCCAGCTCCATGAGCATGCTCCAGAAAATGTATCCGGCCAAGGATGCGTCTGGGGCTTCCGTGGGTGCCGTGCCATCCTTCCACCCAAAGTAGAGTCCCGGGACACTGGCACCTGAAAGGACCACCAATCCTAACTTGTTTGTGATTCTGGGATCAAAGGTCAGCTGGAAAGCGAGGTACTCAAAGAGCAGGTCGTCTTGGAACCATGGCATGACCTGCGCCAGGAGATCTTGAAGGATCTCGTTGAGTGGGAGCACTCGTAGATCGTCTGGGAAGAACGGCACCCGGTTACGTATGGCATTGGGGTAGAGAGGGCTTCCTCGGGAACCAATCGAGGTCGGGTCTCTGAATAGAGGATCCCGCATTTCGTAGACCGACTTCTCAAACGCATCCAGTATCGCCGCCTTCTTGCTCTCGGGTATACTCAGTGACAGCTTGCCCTTGAGGTCGCCCTTTTCCCATCCAGGGATGAGCTCGATCCGGTATTGCTTCTCGAATTCGAGGTGGTCCAGCACATATCGCAGGCCATCCCGTGCTGCCGCCACGACCGGAGGTAAAATGTGGTACGAGATGTTGAACCCGATGGGGAACGATGCGTTGATCCAAGGCGCAATATTATTACGCACCGAGAGCGACTCGGCGCAGTGCTTCAGTGAGTACAGCTCACATGGGAGCAGCAGGAAACTCTCGGGGCCGAGGTATCTGCTTGGCCCGCCCTCCTTGCCGTTCTCGTACGAGCGAATGTTCTTGTACCTGTAGGGCGGGGCAGTCGTGTCTCCTGGATCCTTCTCTCCTGGGACCTTTTCGAATTCTCCAGGCAGGTAATTCGTGTGCAGGGTCCAGTTGTGCGTGCTAAGATATGTCACCCAGTGGTTGATAAGATTCTTGGCCTTGACTTCGTCATTTACGGTATCCCGGACCAGCCAGGCCAGATCCCCGACAAATTTTATACTGAAGCTGGCCTTCACTGGTTCCGAGCCGGCGGAGCCCAAATGGGTGCGCCAAATCGCGGTTGGTCTTGGGGTGAGATGGAGCAACGCTGGCAGTCTACTTTGAGCAATTACCGTACTGCTCGCAAGTACGGTGGCAAGTTCCAGTTGCTGCTCCATGACCTCTGGGGCACCGACTTTACAGATGAAAGTAAGACGTGGCCTGGTGATAACGGCGACTGGTCTAATTATGACCAGTTCTTGACTGTTATTGTGCAGCGGATCATTGACAACGACATGATTGCGGGCATGCATATTGACATTTGGAACGAGCCCGAGTGGGGATTCTGGAAGAGACCTCAAGCGCAATGGCTTGATCTATTCGGAAGAACATTTCGACGATTCCGGTGAGCTCCTCGATTCGTCAACACAAGCCTTTGAAGGCACACTAATGTCAAGATCTAGTGATGACCCGGTGTTGGGCCAGCTCCAGATTATTGGCCCCTCGCTCTCTTTGCCCCCAAATGCCTCAAACACATGGTGGACCAACTTCCTGGCTTACGTTGTAGCCAATAACACAGCTCCTGACCACTATTCCTGGCACCATATTGAGGCTCTTGACAACTCGGATAATGACTTGCAAAATAGTCTAGTTACCTTTGAAAAACTGCGTGAAGCGGCTGGAGCCCCCAAGAAGCTGATCAACATCAATGAGTACCTCAATCTAGGTGATGAACTCAACCCTGCGGCCACTGTCTGGCATCTCTCCCGCTTTGAACGCTACAATGTACCAGGCCTGCGTGCGAATTGGCGCGGTGGTGCTAACGGCAGCCATTTACGTGATTTTCTGGCGAGCCTCCTCTGGCGAGATGACAAGTCACTACCTTACCACCCCAACGGCGACTGGCAAGCACCCAAGTACTATGCCACCAACATGACTGGATACCGCACGGGTACTACCGGCTCAAGCGACAGGCTGTTTGACGCGTATACCACGGTTGGTCAAGACAAGGTTCGTGTTCTGACTGGGGTCCGAGTCAAGACTGGTACTTCGGCCCTCACCATCAAGAACCTGAGCGCGGCAGGACTACCCTCATCAGGACGAATGGCAATTCAGACCTGGGGATTCGCTTACAAGATTCCCGAGACAGAATTAGCAGCCCCTACGGACCGCGGGGTGGCTACGCACCAATATTCCAATGACGAGATTACCATTGCCATCTACCAAACGGAGGAGGACTGGAAGACGGCTTGGGCTTTCGAACTCAACCCTGTTTGAGTTTGATCGACGATTACTATTGAAAAGTGGGCTATGATATACTGCTTAACTTTGTGTTTACACCAGAAAATAGCCCATTAGAGTGCGGTCAAATTTTGATATAGAACCAGGGCGGCACATTTGTAAAGTCCATTTGATAGCCAAGTAAGAAGTAGCAGCTCTGGCAGCTTCCATTTCTGTTGAAATTTATTCTCTTCCTCTTAGGTACGTAAGAAGTAACAGACCTCCACAGCAGAATTCTGTCTCTCAGAAAAGATTTGGTTTGCTATCCTCATTAGAAGCTGACGACTCTCGTTTACCATATCTTGGCGCTGGGCATCCTGTTCTGCAAGACGCGACACCCTTAGCGCCGCGGATTTACGAAGATGTCGAAGAATATTAGCAGCGAAGACAATGTGTTTCCATATGGGCATGTCCGATGCGGTAGTATAGTGTGTGATATAAAGTGCCCTGGAGAGTCCCTTGATCCTCTTTAACATCATCGAGATGTCGTTGTTGTAGCGGAGGGCAACCGCAATTGCTTTGTTATATTTGGTGGCGAGCGGGTATCTTCGCCAGACCTTAAGCAAGCCGTCCTCTGGGAGTCCGATTTCTTTATTCTTCCAAGGCGCTTTGCATAGGCAAGCCGTCCGTTTGTGCTTGTGCTTATCTATATCCTCTCCGATGAGCCCTTTGAGAGAACGTATAATACATGTGTAGGTGTGCGAGTGAACCTGGTAACAGTACGCAAGGTAATCTAATTACTTGTCGAAGACTGATGCGAGAGTCACGGTGTTATACATCATTCCCTCGATCAGGTTAATTAGCTTTCTCTCCTATCTGCTAACTTTCCCATTCCCAGCTTCCTCATCTGAGTATTCATGAAATACCGAGTCTAGATACCCAACCATTTGCGCACGGTATTCTTCCTCCTCGGGCTCACATCATCGATCAGGGAAGACAATTTCATATTGCCCTCCAACCAGAAAAGTCCGTTACTAAATTAAGACTATGCATATCCTTAGAGGCTCAACCAAAAGTTAATACAAGTCCGCTAGTAAAGGCCAGCCAGGGCAATCACGACAGCGGCCATAAGGGGTGTGGCAAAGTGGACATGGTCTGCAGCAGCACTCTGCCCGGGGTATGACGGCGTAGCAGTCTACAAAATGTATTAGCAACGAAGTAGAAAGCAAGACTAACACCTTCCGAATACGTACAGAGCTTCCGCTAGGGCGAGGGGTCGTGACTGGAATTGAAGAAGACCCGGAGGATACACCAGGAGTGCTAGCACGAGTCGAAACGGTTGACAGAGTACTGGCATTACTGATCTGTCCAGTAGTTTGAGCAGCTGAGCCAGTCTTGATGGCTGAGGTCTGTCCCAGGGCGTTGGAAGTCGAAGTCTGTCCGGCAGCAGTAGTCGATAGCTCTCCAGCGCTCATACTAGAAGCCGTCGTGCCAGAGGGGCTAGGGGTAGGGGAGAGGCCACAGCCCTTAGCAGCTTTAGTAACACTATTTCCATAGTACTCCCAGATACCAAAAGTGTTGGCACAAATCATGCAGCGCCCGTAACGCTCGTTCCACTCGGAGTTCTTACAGTAACCATCTTGACGGCCAAGGGTTATGAGAAGGCCTAATGTAATATAAAGAGTAGGTTTGTTAGCATGAGGCTCCGCAGTTTGGTTGGTCTGGCCCAAGGATGGGGCCAGGAAGGGCCATACCGCAATCCTCATGGCACTGGTAGCGGGGTGTGCCTGGCTCTTGGCGCCTTTCAAGAGCAGGGACCTCCTCGGGATACTCAAAGCGAGGCTGCAATGCAGTCACGAGCATCGCTGAGGATAACAGGAGTTGAATAGTGAGTGACTTGTACATCTTGGCAAAATTGAGAGATAAGCGAGATTTCAAAAGAAGTATGAAAATGAGTATAAATGCTGGGAGCTGTGGCTGAATATCTTAACATTTGGCAAGGCGAAGTGGCGTATATGTACTTTTCCCAGAGCTACGTTTCTCGCCAAAGTGATTCGGGTTGTTATCTCCCGGCAGCATCCTGTCACATCGAGTCGCCGCCTTGATTTCTTCCTTGTATAAGGATCACGGTCCAGAAGAGACGAGCTCGATGAGGGAAAATCGCCCTTCGGAGCCCGCGGAAGGCCAATAGTAGAACAGGATCTTATCAGATCATCTGATAGATCCCTCTAGCGCGTATCCGCCAGGTCTCGATCCAACCAATATTGCCCGCCCAGGATAAAATACGAACCACGCTTGCGCCGATACTACCTTGGCTTACAAGGATTATCTCCGAACTTATCACGTAAACGGACAATCGGCCCGGAGTAAACTGCTGGGTGGGACTGTTGACGACGTATCCATTCGACGTGGCGTAAAGGAGCCAGCAAGCATTCATAGCCAAGACTCTGGATTTTGACAAAACAAGGCACAGGATAAGGGAGGGAGGCAACTTGGTGGAGAGTTTTCCCGATCAAGACCTTATGGTATCCACTCCTATCCGTTAGAGTTTCATTTGTAAGGGATCCAATCTTATCAGATCATCTGATTACTTAACATACGAAACCAGGTGATGTAGAGATGTGAAGCTAGAACCCAGACTACAGTAAGATATAGCTGGACTTTTTAGGAATGCCAAGGTTTGCTCAAGCAAGTAAATCACGCATAGCGTGATAGAATTCACACCTTTGGTAAGTATTAATATATGTCATGTTTTAGCTTTGCTTCGTTTACTCTTGTCCCTCTCATCATTTCTTCTTGATTCCCTCAGTTTCACCATCATTGTCCCCTTCGCTATCAATATGTACTTCCCTACGATGATGAGGAGCCTAGTCTTCCTAGGTCTAATCGCCTTTGCTTTCGGGAACTCACAAGAGGAATTCTCGGGGGCCAGTGTAACCGATGGCAAGATGGGACCTGCTGCTTTTATGTGGCCTCCTGACAGGGTATGGTCTGGGGACATTGATAACCAGCCTCCCTGTGGATCACACGAATCAGTTGGCAACCGAACTAATTTCCCCATCAGTAAGTGGCTGCTTCGTTGTATACTTTCACTTCAGAACTAACCCTTCAATTTCAGCGGGTGGCGCGATTGCACTGGTCGCCCAAGATGACTATTATGATGCAAAGATCAGTATCTCTTACTCTGATGGTGAGTATTGTATTCCTTATATACTATAAGAGCCTACCAACTCTTTCAGTTTTGGTAAAGCTTTGAGGTCTATCAAACTAAGATATGTTGCCAAATATAGATCCAAAATCCAACGATGATTTCAACACCCTCCTTCAGACCAAGGAGATATCTGATCTTAACCCAGGCCACACCTGCGTGAACCTCACCGGAATTTCCTCATCAGTCAAGGCTGGCGACAAGGCGACGTTCCAGATTGTCTACCGTGCTGACTGGGACGCGCCGCATAACCAGACCTTTTACGCTTGCTCCGATATCACCTTTGTAAATGCGGCCGATTTCAAATTCCGAATCCCTTGTTTCAATGCTACTGAGCCCGGACAAGATGATAAGAAGAAGAGTGGTGTTACTGCCAACCCTAGTGCTACTGGTATCCATAAGCCAACTTTATCAGGAAGCTCAGAGGATCAATCCTCATCTTCTGGTTCTGGTTCCTCCGGTGGTTCTCAGCTCAGCGGTGGGGCGATTGCAGGTATCGTTGTCGGCAGTGTGGCTGGTGTAGGACTGGTCATTGGTGCAGCTGCCTTGCTCTGGCGTCGTCGCCAAAAGGCGCAGCTTAGGGAGCGCATCAGGCGGGTCGAGAACGGCGCTCACGGTGAATCCGGTAAGCCCTATGGTTCTCAGGCTAGTATTTGAGGCTGTTTAGAGGGGTTTTGCTATCTTGAAGTATGACGGTGCTTGCTACTTTACTATTTTGGGGAATTAAGAGATGGTCAGTTGTCGTTCCATGGTTAGATAGTCCCCTTAGAAAGAAAATATCTCCAGGTGTGAAAAGGTGTGTGTTAGTAATATCGCACCGCAAGGCAATGAGTGTCCCATTGAGGAGATAGAAACTAGACTCTATGGTGTTGGGCGAATAAGCCCCCCAGCCCAGGAGCCTAATGCAAGTATGCGACCTATGGAGCTACTGCTACTGCCATAAAAAAAGCCCCTCTTACTTAGTAGATCGTAGGATTTCTAAATCCGGGGTCAATGGGAGTCTGGTTCCCGCCAATAATAACTCGTCGACGAGCACCACTGGACAAAGTTGCGCGGCTGGTCTAAGTCCAAGCCTGCCCCAGAGTTTCCCCAGACCAAGAATCCCGGGGCTACCCCGGACATTCAAATCCGACCCTCAAGCGCGGCCACCCAACTAGCTTCATCAATCCTCGGCCAGGATAAATATCTTGAGATAAGCTGCATCAAACACCCTCCCAACCACTCATCGGCAGACCGTCACCATGTCTAACAACAGCGCACTCGAAACCGGCCTCGATGGCAAGGCAAAGAAAGCCATGCACGTGGAGGACCCGAAGCAGTTTGACACCACCGACGACGCCATCATCGAGGATGTCTCGGCCCAGGCGCACAAGACGGCTTTTCGTAAGGTCGACTACCGGTTGATGCCCATGCTAATGGCGCTCTATCTCGTCGCCAACCTAGATCGGTAGGCGTGCAGTCCACGACGTGCCGGGCTTGGAAGCTGACAGACACCCAGTGCTAATCTCGGAAACGCTAAGATCGAGGGCCTCGAAAAGGACCTGAATATGAAAGGCAACGACTACAATGTTACGAACATGATCTTCTTTGTGCCATACATTCTCTTTGAAGTTCCCGCCAACTCCCTATTGATCAAGTTCCGCCGACCCTCGACGTGGATCAGCATGATCGTCACGGCATGGGGTATCGTCATGACGTGCAGTGGATTCTGCCAGAACTATGCAGGGCTGCTCGTCTGCCGGATCCTGCTTGGTGTCTTCGAGTATGTCTGGAATGCCTTGGGAGCCCAACTTGTCCACGTAACTAACCTTGCCTCCCAGAGCCGGCTTCTACCCAGGCGCAGTATACCTTCTTGGCCAGTGGTACCCCCCATACATGACCCAGGTCCGCATGTCCATGCTGTACTGCGCTGCCGCCATTTCAGGAGCCTTTTCAGGTTTGTTGGCTGCGGGAATTGCCAAGATGGCGGGCTTGGGCGGTTACAATGGGTGGCGCTGGATCTTCCTTCTTGAGGGAGTCCTGACCGTTGTTCTTGGCGTCGCCGCATTCTGGCTGCTGCCCGACTCACCCTCCAAGTCTTCCAAGTGGCTGTCCGGGGATGAGATCGACTATATGAATGCCCTCCACCGCAAGTACCGCGAGGCTCACAGACAGCCGCAGGAGAACCCGGACCAGGAAGTCGCCGTCTCACGCGCGCACAAGTGGAAGATACTCCTCTCCGTCGTCACCGACTGGCAGCTCTACCTCCAGGCTCTCATCTTCATGTCCAGCTCGGTCCCGACCTATGCGCTCAAGTTCACGCTCCCAACCATCATGGTCAACATGGGGTTCAGCAGCACCAATGCCCAGCTGCTCTCCGCGCCCCCGTACCTCGCCGGCGCCATCTCAGCCCTGGTCGTGTCTGGGTTTGCCGACCGCTTCTCACGCCGGGTGCTCTTCATCGTCGCGCCCCAGCTAGTGCTGATGGTGGCATACTGCGTCTTGTTCTCCTTCAGCGCCGAGATCAAGACCCATGTTGCCCTGTGCTACACCTTTGTCATGATTGCCACCTCGTCGGTCTACAACATCATTCCCGGCGGCAATACCTGGACCATCAACAACCTCGCCGGGCAGAGCAAGCGAGCCATGGGGGTCGCATTCATGATTGCACTTGGAAACTGCGGCGGCATTGTCGGCAGTCTAATTTTCAAGTCGGATGAGAGCCCTCGTTACCAGACGGGCTGGGGTACAAGTCTTGGGTTCATCTGCCTCGGCATCCTTTCGGCTTGCACCTTGGAGCTTGGCTACACCCTCATCAACAAAAAACGAGCCAAGCTATCCAGAGCTGAGATCAATACTAAATATTCCGCCGCCGAGCTTGATGCAATGGGGGACAAGAGCCCCCTGTTCGTCTACAAGCTTTGATCGCGGTGCAAGCTATGTTATGTTGCTGGTCGGTTGCGGTGTAGAGTGTAGTTAAAGAACAATCTCAATAGCACTGTTTTACTCCCTCTCGAGATACAACAATAGAGCTATTTATAATGTTGAGTTGTCGGGTCTGGTATCTTCTATTGCTGTTTAACTTTATACTCAAACTCTCCTACGCAACCATGGGTTATAATAGGTTTATTACTATATTATACTATTATATCTACTTAATTATTAGGTTGATCGCCTGAAATCTTTCAGTAACTGGATTATATATCAAGTATAATAAGATACTACGAAAAAGGTTATAGTTAGGTATTTTTATAACCAACTTTTTATTGCTATATTTTTAATTATATTGTAGCTATTAGAATAATATATACATAGATAAAACTTAAATACTAATATCTTAGAGCAAGTAGAATAATAGAGTTCGTTTGATTTATATATAATAAATTATTTCAAGGTTTATCAAGCGCGCAAATACAAGTGTAGAACCAAGAACTAGTCTATATATACTAAGAATGAATCTCTGGTAAGACAAACAGGTTCCAGTACTCATCGAGGTCTACTGTCTGGGTCGCCCCAACAGATCCCGACTTCTTTTCTCTCTGGGTGAAGCCGTCCCCGAGATATGCGAAGCGGTTGACCTTGGCATTGCCCCCCCTCTCAAGTCTGAAATCCTCCCAGCGCGGATTCTTCAGGGCCTCCATGAAGTGAAAGGTCGTGCCGCCGTAGATGGCGACGACGGGTCCGTCGAATGTGCCTCTCTTGTACCAACTGCGGCACCCCCGGGTCCAGACGGTCCTCTCGAGGTACTTTTGGATGTGCTGGTTATACTCTGCATTGACCTTGTTGTTGACTTCGAAGGACTTGATGCCCTCTGTTTGTATCTTCTCCAGCCACTTATAGATATAGATTGCCGTGTTTTGTATGCCCATGACGAGAGAACCATTGCTGATGGGGCTGTTGGGGCCCACGAAGCAGAAGTAGTTGGGCATGTCGGGCACGGCAATGCCAAAGTAGGCCTCTGGCCGGCCTTCCCACTTCTCCGCCAGGTCGACCCCGTTCCGACCAATGATGGGGAACGCCGGCTTGAAGGTCGTGTCAAACCCAGTTGCGCATACAACAACGTCGTACTCGCGCTCCTCCCCAGACTTAGTCAATATGCCCTTGTCGGTGAAGCACTCGACGTCGTCCCATCGTAACTCGATGTTGTCCTGACCGAGCGCTTCCAGGAAACCCGGTCCAGGGGTCTGCCGTCTACAGCCGACGGGAAAGTCTGGGAGGAGCATTTGGGCAGCTCTGCGGCCCTTTTCGCCGTCGCCAAGGCGTTCGATCATGCTCTTGCGGAACAGCTCCTGTGCCTTGGCCTGGATATCGCTGTCGGCCATAGCGCGCTTGAAGTTATTGATACGCCTGTCCATGAGAGCCGCGCGGTAGCTGCGCAGGACCTGAGGGTCCTTAAAAAGCTCCAAGGTCCTTTCACTAAAGTTGTACTCGGGGTCCATCTCGGGGTCTTGATCGGTAGGCTCGTTTATACCCGGGGCGGGGGAGATCCAGGTCTTGGAGCGGACAAAGAGGTCCATCGAGCCACAGACCTTGGCGAGCTTAGGGACAATTTGGATGCCGGACGATCCAATCCCGATGACGGCCGTCTTCTTGCCGGCGAAGTCGTAGCTCTCGTCCCAGCGCGCCGAGTGCACCAGCTTGCCTTGGTATTTGTCGATGCCTTTGATACTTGGCCACTTCCAATTACTGTGTTGAGTTAGAACCGACTAGATGCACTACACCTTCAAGACACTTACTTGAGAACACCGCTTGCGTTGATGAAGACATCTGCCTCGTCGGCGATGATGGAACCACTGGCGTCCTTGATCTTCAAGTCCCATTTACCGTTGCCCTCGTTCCACGTGGCGGACTGGACTGAGTGCTGCAGCTTGATGTACTTTTTGCAGCCATACTTGTCGGCGACTTCGTGCATATATTGGTGGATCTGCTGCGATGTGGCATAATAATTCGGCCAGTCCGGCTTGGGTGCAAAGCTGTAAGCATAGTTGTGTGCAGGGATGTCGCACTTGCACCCGGGGTATCTGAGTCTTGTTAGCCAGCGTCCCAATGCCATGTCTGGTGTCAAGTCTCACCGATTCTCGAGCCAGGTGCCGCCCAAGTCCAGGTTCCTCTCGTATACCACGAGCTCGGCGTTCTTGCCTTGCATCTTCTGGCTGAACATGATGCTCATCATCAGTCCGCTATACCCAGCACCTAGACAGACGACGCGGATGGGCCGCCGGGTGCCAATGGGCTGCTCGGTAATCTCGTATTTCGAGTCGAGAAACGATGAGACATTTTCGATGAGCTCTTTCGATTTCTCAGTCATCAGGGCGCCGTTTAGTGATTTCGGGGTGATGCTTGTTGGTGCTTCAGGCTGCACTGCCATTGGATCAACTACTCCCGGTGCCATGGTGAATGGAAATACAAGCTTGGCTGGTGTTTTGATCTAGACTAAGCTGCAATCGAGTAAGTGGAACTTGCCTGCCTGTGTGACCATAAAAGTCGAAACAAGATCGCCTTTGTTATACATGCTCCATTGGTGCAGGTAACTTGCTCGACTCCAAGATCGGAATCTGATGTCCATTTAGCGGAGCACCGAGATCCGGCCATCAAGTTCCGAGCGCCTGCCTAGTTCGGACAAGTTGCATTCTGAGTGATGACGCATTTGCTGTGGGGAGGAAACTAGTGGACATCGAGGTCCGGATATCAATGTCCGGCTGGTCGCTTACGTAAGCACGGAATTGAGGTGGAGTGGTAGCAGTTCTAGCGGTTTGACACTCACTTGTCTTGGAGAAACCAACACATGTGATGATCAATGTATGATTGAAGAGTATACCATTGATCATTTTCGCGTCCATTGAGGAGTGGGAGCTATAGTATCCAATACCCAGATATCAGAACTCGTCAATAACGCACAGGAACACATTTGCTGCTGGAGACTGCTACAGTAAGTAAGTATGTAGGGTAGGGAGGGATCATGGCCTCCGTTCAGTTGTCAATGACCCCGCCCCCGCAAAAATCACTAAAACCACGGGACTCTAATCCGCTTGGGGCCTAACCTAGGCAGCACGCCCACTCAGACTGACTCGTGTCTGCTCTCCACGTAGTCCACAGTCCAACCAAAACTTGATCGTCTCCGGAATTTCTGTAGCTCGGCTTATTACAGTTCCAACCTGGCAACTATCCAACACAGATTTGTGACCGGAATCCGCGAGCGCAGCTATGCCGAGAGCCGTCAAGGCATCCAACAAGAGTCCGAAAGACTGTCGCTCTACGCAGAGGGGGAGTTCGACCTGCAAGACATGCACACCCTGCCGGGCCAAGAAGATCAAGTGTGACGGGCGGCGGCCAAAATGCAGCGACTGCGAGGCCACCGCACTTGACTGCGTCTACCCCAGGGATGCTCGCAAGGAGCTGCGGCCTTCCAGGGCTCGGGTGCAGGTTCTGGAGGACACCATGGCTATGATGCTGGAGCACATGTCCTCCATGGGGGTAGTCTTGCCCGACTCGCCCGCCCTGAAGGGGGTTGGGGGCACGTCTGAAGCCGATTTACCAAGTCATAACTCCCCCGCCAATGCATCGGTGGAAGGACAAGCATTGCATGCTCAGGATGGATCGTTCGTTGCCCCTCAGGCGGAAGCTGCAAGCCCTCTTCTCCAGGAGGAGGCTGCACCGCAGATGGGGATGGGGATGGGGATGGATGCCCTGTATAATCCAGGAGATGGACCGGATGGCGCCAACCCCACAGGAGATGAAGATAAGCACACCGGCCCAAAGGAAGGCCAGGCCACTGCTGGCGATGGTCGAGGCATGGAGCAGAGCCTGTCCCCGTGCGAGGCTCGCGTTGCTGGAGTGTTTCACGAGCAAGGGTTTCCTTCATCGGTGCATGGGCTGGCAGGCATGATGAACCCGACGCTCAGAAAGTCCCACAAGGACAACATGTCCAAGCTGTTGAAACGTGGGCGAGGCGCCATTGAGGAGGCCAAGGCAAGGCTTGTGAGCAACGCTGTTCTCCAGAGGCAGCGCGAGATGCAAATCTTTCGCCACCCACAGAACACAATGGACCTCGATGGCTGTGACCCCGAGCTGGCAAAGCATCTCATCGACCTGCACTTCAACCGCCAGCACTATGCCTACCTGCTCACCTACCGGCCGGCGATAATGGACAGCCTGTCTAGAGGGGGTAATCGTTGGGCTAACAAGCTACTGCTCAACGCCATCTATTACTCGAGCACGCTGTACAGCGATCGACCCTGCCTACAGTCGGATCCTTCAGACAAACAGAGCGTTGGCAGCCGGTTTTACCGACGTTTCAAGCAGCTCCTCGTCGACGAGATTGACAAGCCGAGCATCCCGTCCGCCGTAGCTTTGTTATTGACAAGCGCCACCTTAATATCTCAAGGCCACTCCAGCGCTGGCTGGAACCTGTCGGGCATGGCATATCGAATGGTGCTGGACCTTGGCTGCCACATGATGCTCGGGCCAGATTACCAAGACGCGGATGATTCAAAGCGTGGAGCAAAGCTGGAGCAGGATCTGGAACGGGAGATCCGAAAGAGGCTATACTGGGGAGCCTACCTCACCGACGCAACCCAGGCACTGTATCTTGGTCGGCCTTGCATGCTGGCATCGGTGGCCGCGCGTGTACCGCTCCAGCTCCTCGACACCTTTGAAGAGCTAGAGGAATGGTCTCCCTACGTCGACCCCGTCTCTCCATCGCTGACGCAGCCACGATATGATTCTCAGCCAGCATATAGTATCTCGACCTTCTTGTGGCTTGCGAGGCTGCTGCATATATCCACAAAGATTACCGAACTCTACGATATTCGCATACTGCAGCTCAGCAATGATTTGATCTTTGAGAAGCGGAGGAGCATAGAGGCAGACTTGGAGATGTGGGACGAGTCACTGCCGGCCCATCTAAGATCCCCCCTCGAGCGATCCCCAGTGCCGCCGCCTCATCAAATCACACCCCAGTAAGGCACATTTCACCAACTGCACATCGCTCAGGCAAGCTAACGATCTACAGCACGACATATCACGCATTGACCATTCTCATCCAGAGAGCTTTCCTCGAGGAAGGCCACTTGCGCCGATGCTCCGACTATGCCCAGAAGAAGCAAGCAGAGCAAACTTGCTTGGCGAGTGCTCTATCCATCCAGGCCTTAGTCCGCCTTTATCGAGACACCTTTAGCTTGCGCCGAGCCCCTTTTCTATTATCATACGCAGTCTATTCGGCGGCAACCGTGTTCCTCCACCACGAGGGAATCCAACGGGGGCGGTTCACAGAGCAAATATCCTTCTTTTGGACGTGTCTAAACGAGTTGATGAGGGGATGTAACTTTGGCCTGAAGAAGCCCCTGGCCATCCTGCAAGATATTGTGAATGAGCTCAGGCTGAGCACCATTGAGGGGGACTCGTCAGATCTGATGAAGAACCTCCAACCCAGCCTGGACGACAGCCTGCTCACCTGCTTCAACGAGCAGCACGGCCCCGTGGAGCCGTCGCCCCATCCTTCGGGGGGATCCAGTATCTACAACTTTGGGCTCGATAGCTTCTTTGGGCCGGACGGTAGCACCTGGGACTCTGGTTATGGGACTGTATCAGCCGACACAATCGGCTTTTTCGATGAGCAGGAGGATTTCACCTCTCAGGATACACTTTATGGGTTGTTTGCTCCTTAATTCACTTTTGGATCCCGAGGTTTCAAATTGGTTACTGTAGACTACTAGAATAACACTGCCAAATCGACCGAATCATCTATTCCTTGACTTTCCAGACCCTCCTGATATTAGGCTTAGCCGCGTTACTCCTGATCCTCAGCGTCCACTCCGTCGTCACCCCGGCCTGCCACTCCGGCCCCCCAAGCCCGTTCTCAGCATCGTAGAAATTGACACCGTAGAAGTTGGCAGTCTCAACCGAGCCGTACGACTGCACCAGGCGGTACCTCCTCGCCGAGTTCCACCCAGGGACGGCGCTGAGCTTCAGCCCGTGCTCCTGGTCGTACCAGTCATGGTAGTCCTGCTCCTTGTCCTCCCGAGGTGTCGAGCCATTGATCACGACGACTGAATTTGCAGCCGGGGGAGAATTGAGGTTGTTGGGACCTGATGCGCCCGCTAGGCCGCTGCTCTCCCGGCCGTTGATGAACGACAGGACGACCCAAGCGACTGAACCCTGGCTTGCTTCGGTGTCCTTTTCAAAGTACGACGCGCTCGAGAGGATGGGGCTGATGTCGCTGAGGAAGTATAAGGTGTTGAGCTGCGGTGTCTTGCCATCGTCTGCCTCGAGCTGCATCACGGAGGTTACATTGGGCACTGGGGCTAATGGTGGTTGCGCACTGCCGTTGGCCTCGGCGGGCTGGGCGAGGCGCATGAGGATACCAGGGGAAGTCATTTGAGTTAAATTTTGATCACTTTCAGCTCTTTTCCAGATCGTCGATCGTGTTTGAAAAGAAGAGAAATCACCCAGTACTGATATATTTATCGCCCCTCACTGCCCCACGGGGCAGCCTTCAAGACATCAAAACCCTCGATGCGCATATTAGGATAATCACTGATCAATGTCCGTACTCACCCCACGCTGGTCCTCACCAGTACTACACACGACGCAGAATGTATCCACCATGCTGCAACTAATTCCTGGGGGGGAGATCCACCAACGGACATCATTGTCCGAATCTCGACAGCACAACCACCTGCTATAATATCTCAGCTCACAGCATGGCCAATTGAAGAGAAATACTGGCGAGATTGCCGGGGATTGCAAAAGGTTATGCCATAGTCCACTATCTCACCGCCACAATGCCTCCCAAGCTGAACCCCCTCCCCCCGCTGAGTCAACTACCCCTAAACGAAGGTGACCCGCCTCACTCCGCATGGGGCCTTTGGGAAGGACACGACAGTTCTCTCGGCTCACTCAACTATCTGACTGACGAGCTCGTGCTCAAAACTCTCCGCGAGGAAGTACAGACAGGTGCGAGGATCGGCTTAGAGTAGGTACTGTTTGGACCACGATCGCAGACAAGTACTGAGCGTGTGAACAACAGCCTACCACTGGATTTCTTCAACCCGCCCCTACTTGGGCGAGCAGGGTTCGAGCAAAAGGTCATCGACAAGGCTCCCCTAGTCGTCAACGACGACATCGTAAGCCCGTCCCATCCAGCCAGCTCGCCGCTTTTCTAACGTGACTGTAGATTACCTTCAACACCCAAGGCAGCTCCCAGTGGGACAGTCTGCGTCATTTCGCATACCAAAAGGATCAGAAGTTCTACAACGGGTGAGTCACATGAAAATCGGCGAGAAGAAGGTCGTTTAGCTGAACCCTCCCAGGGCAACACAGCAAGACATCCACGCCGCCCCAAGAACATCGGTCAATGACCTCCAAAGATGGACTGCGAAGGGGTTGGCGGGCCGAGGTGTGCTCATTGACTATGCTGCCTACGCGGCGAGGGAGAAGATTGCCATCGACCACTTCTCCCCGCACGGAATTACCGTCGATGTTTTAAAGGCCATTGCCGACGAGTCTAAGATTGAGTTCCAACCCGGAGACGTACTTTTCCTTCGCACGGGGTACGTTGATGCGTACAGACAGCTTTCAAAGGACCGCCGTATCGAAGTGGCCGGCGTGAGGGAATGGTGTGGCCTCACTCAGAGTCGCGAGACGACCGAGTGGCTGTGGGAGCGCCAATTTGCCGCCGTGGCCTGCGACGCTCCTGGATTCGAGGTTCGACGTGAGTTGTATAGGCCTCTGCTATCGTAGTCAAAACCGCCCAGTAGCTAACCTGTCTAATAGCCCCGAACAACAAAGCATGGCATCTGCACCCGATCCTGCTGGCTGGATGGGGTACACCGATAGGCGAGCTCTTCGCCTTGGATGCTCTGGCGGATGCGTGTAGGGCGCAGGGGAAGTTCTCCTTCTTCTTCACTTCGGCACCGCTCAATTATTCTGGTGCGGTTGCATCGCCCCCCAATGCAGTCGCGATCCTATAGTGTGTAGGTATCCTTATTTCGTTATCAGGAGTATTAAATATACTAAATCAAATGATATAACTTCTGCGTTGTTATTATTATATGAGCCTAACCCTCTAATCAGCTCAGTTCACTCAGATTATAGCTCTAGTAAGCAAGTATCTTTATAGGAGATCAATTTGTATGTATAGTTTTGCTGTTAGGTGGTCCTTTGACGGTTGAGCGAATTATAACCTGAACATAACTCCCTTCCTATAAAGCCAATACCACTTTCAATCCAAGTTGTTCTCCGTTGGCTTTTGCACAAACCCGCAATTTGCTGCCAAAAACACGAGTTAGGAGCAGACTCAAACGTCTCGGCAGCTTCCTTGTCATCAAAGACGCTGAATACGAGCGCAGATCCCCCATCTCCCTCTCCCCGGCCCAAGGGCCAGAAAGTCAGCACCGCAGGGGTATCTAGTGCTTGGTCTGCGAGGCTTGTCAGAGCCGCTTTGACGACCCCACGACGATCGGCATCAAACTCGAGCTCGTGCACGACGGCGTATCGGGCTCTGCCTTGTGCTCTCACTGCCAAGTCCAAGCCACCCTCACGACTCTCATAGCCGATGCCCATGGGCCTCCAAAACCGGAGATCACTTGGCCTCGACAGAAGACTTTCGCTAGCGACAGCTGCGCGGAACGCCTTGTACTCGTCGCTTGCTCGATGATCGACGGAATTCGCTTGGGGCGTTCTGTATCTTAAACGATCTTAGCGACTGGAAGAAGGGGTTGCAATTTTACATGTCCCATCTCTCTTCAACAATGGTCAAGTACAAAGGGCTTACATCTCCAGTCCCCTCAGCCAATAATGCGGCACAACATTGTTATCGCCGGCGCTGCGGAACCATGCATAGCCCAGGCAGTCCACCTCAGTGCGTTGCGTAATAGGTGCAATTTTGGCTATATGCTCTAGAAACTTTGGCCTCCGTCAGTCGCTGAGAGCATCTTGCCTACCGCTGCCATGACTCACCCGGTCGCGTTTCTCGAGTGACGCGCAGTTGCTCATTGGGGAAAGGATATACATAATATCGAATCAAATGTTCTAGATAAGAATCTCGAAATTTCAATACATGGTGGAGTTCTAGCGGATGAGACCTTGCTTGCTCTTGATGATGGAGTCAAAACGTGTTACTACTGCGGAATGTGGTGGATTGTGTTTGCCGGACTACGACATGTGCCGGACATTGATTCCCGGCAGCATCCGTCGGCTCGGCACCGCGCTCGGAGGTCTTGTCGACGGTAATATACCTATCAATCGCAGTTGCCTCCAGTCAGACTTGGCACCAATTGCCTCCTACTGTCTTTGCCTCTTCAGAAATGTCGGCGACAACACCAACCCTCCCTGATACTTTTTGGGATAGACTGGCTACTAGGGAAGATGACGAAGCCAGGATCCGTTGGTACATGTGCGTTATTATCAACCTGTCCTCCTTGAACTACCCCGATGTCATTCCCCAGGTCTACAAGCACCTGCACGACTACCTCCTGCATGACATGACCGAGGCTCAGCGATTCAATGCCGTACAGATTATCAGAGAAGGTCTGATCAAATCGACTGGCATAGCCGGCGCAGCCAGAACAGGCAACGCGATGCGGACACTGTCTCAATGCGTGCCAGAGGAGTATCGAGAGAAGAGCTCGAGACGGGCTAATGAGACGCACGAGTTCGCAGTGGAACGCGGCCGCCAGTTCTGGACAAACATATACGCGAGAAATCCAGCATTCGACCCCGAGGCGTCCGTTAGGGCTAGCCCGGATTATGCCTTTGTCGTAAGAGGTATGTTGAGAAATTCATGCAATACAGCTAGAAAGCTGACTGAGTGGCTCTATAGATGTTCTATACGCTAGAGTCTTTTCATACGACGGCGTAATCGACCCCTTGACTACGGGACTAGCGATGGTCTCGGCGCTGTATGGCATGGACTGTCCGAACCAGCTTCAGCATCATATGAAGGGATTCCTGTTCAATGGAGGCACGCGGGAGGAGTTAATTGCACTGCGTGATTTGTGTCTTGGGATTGCTGTAATCCTAGGTGTCCAGTCGAGATACGGGGAATGTCCTATTCCGTCAGTTGAGTCTGTCTAATCCTGAAAGCAACTAGGCAGGCAATAGAATAATTCTTATATTTGATCTTTCAGCGGAAATAACTCTGAAATTCTATTATAAACAAGCCGCGCAGACTGAGCACATGCAGCAGTCCCCGCAGAAGCCCACAGCTTAACGCCTTCTCCAACATTAAAAAGATTTGCAATGGGAGTGATCTGAGATTCGTTGAAACCAGATACAGCACGTTGGGCTGGCCATTCATGGGGGCGTCGATAGCTAGGATCTTGGCCTTACTAAAGCCCGGGAATCAATCACGTAAATCGGCGAAGAGCAGCTCTGTTTCCTTCTCCGGGTCGAAGTGGTCTGTTGACGGAACAGGGATAGAGGCACTCACAATACAGGTGCCACTGTTTTGGAGCCGCTGTAGCCCGGGGGCACCCAAGTTTCCTGCGTAAACCATGCGGCGAGTCTTTCTTATAATGGCGAGGAATGGAAATGAGGCGAGAGGTTTCGCACTCGCGAAGTGCACGGTGATAATAGCCGCGAGGTCATTCCAGTGGTATCTTGTCGGCGTAGTCCTCAGGAAATCTGTTGGGGCCAGCGAGCCGAAAAGTTCCGAGAGGACTGATGTTGCTTATTGTAACTTTCGAGGAGACCTGGATCTCTGAGCCGTCCTTTCAGCGGACCAAAGCGCCGGCCATTAGTCCGTCAGGTCTCAAGATGAGCTTCGAGACTGTGGAATTGAGCCAGACCTAACCAGCCCCCCAAGCAAGCATGATATCTATTCAAAACTAGTGCTGACTGCTTGCTCTGGCCATCGCGTGATCAATTTCTTTGGTAGGCTTGTAGCACATTAATCTGGACCAGGGGGAGAAATAAAGACATGAGACTGCCGACAAACGCTTGTGGGCTTTAGGTGGACTTCACAAACAAATCAATACACCGACAGACATAAGAAAAAAACTTAACTTGGGTACAGCAATGGGCTTCGGTAGTTGAATTCACGGGAGAGACTAACAGCAGAAATAAGCGCTGCTATATAGATGCCCACGTAACTATGGGCATGCTCGGAATTAATACCTACGACTGAAGATTCAGCTGAAATGATAATTGATATCATTACTGATCTCTCGATAATGCTTACGGCTATTCCTTTTCATTATGACTGATCTCTCGGTAATGCTTATAGCTATTTGTTTTCATCATTACGAGGCAGGGCTTCCGGTGCTTATCAAGCAAACACGGTCGGGTTAGCAAGGGTATTTTTTCAGCTAGAGAGTAAGCTGACCAAATACCGGCTGTTGTAAACAACAAACTCGTGCTTAACAAATAAGTATTTAAAGGCCGCTATCAGGAGGCATATTGAAGAGTCAACACTCAAACATACAAACTCGTCAATTGCTTATCAGCTTTGTTCTGTTCTTCCTTTTATCAAAAAACAACTACATCTCACAAGTTACCGGTCAGCTAGAATTAGCTTTCAGTTCAGCTTCACTCGCCTAACCTATTGGAACTATCTCGTTCAAAACTATACATTCTACCAGAATGCGATTCTCAATCGTTGTATTCGCTACATTTCTTGGATCTGCCATCGCTGGTTCATTCTCTGACCTTCGGAGGCGAGATTTGGAGAGGCGAGAACTTGGGGAGCTTCTTGAGAGAGCACTGGATCAGGACACTGGCTTTCTTACCCTTCGGGAGCGGGACGCCCTGAAGAAGGTTAAAGCCGCTGTTGTGAAACCCTTGAGAGCGGCCAAGGTATTGAAAGGCCCGAAGGACGAAAAAGGCAACAGGATCGAGCAACCGAGGAAGATGACAAAGGATGAAAGGAAGAAGTTTGATATAGGGGCTTGATTCATCAGGATTAATTATTGTCTTGAACCATCCAATGGGCCATTCGGGTCCGGGTGTCTAAACGCTAGCCACGAGTCCGAATCCACGGCGTCTGGGCCCGCAGTATCCAGGATGTGAAATTGTCAAGCAAGACACTGGCTCGTTATTTACATATGACATAGAAAAGGAACATTATGTACTCAGTAGGATAAATATGAAAAGGTTATAAGTTCGATCAAAATCGTCAAGGAGAAGAATCATACCTCAACCAGTCTGACTGTGCTTTATCTATAGAGTATTCCCTTCACCTTGCCGAGGCCATTTTACTTCATCGGTTTGCTATCTCCTCCTTTCAAAACTGAGCACGCTGAAAATCTCTTCGGGCAGTTGCTGCAAAATCTCCTTGCCTTGTACTTCTTTTTCTCTATGGTTTTCTTCCCTGTGTAATAGAAGACCTATTGGGAAAAGTAACCATGGTCAGCGATGGGCCAGCTGGTTGCACAGCCGTCTACACCTCCGCAAACAACAGTGCGACGTGATACTCTTTGAGCGTAGCGATCGGATTGGAGGGCTCACCAGTCAGATCCTCAAGCAGGACTTCAATCATGTACCGGCGCGCTATTCCTTATGGGAGGCATCTATCCCCGCACCAATGCGATCCTGAAAGAGCTTGGCCACTACAACGACTTGGTACCTTGGAAGGCCATCACGCATGTCATGGATTGCGACCGCCAGCGACACATCGCGCGTTTCGACAAAGCCACCAGCTTCATCATGATGCCTGTAATCAGTCTACTTGATCGACTTGAGTTAGCAATTGGCGTCATGAGGCAGCTGCTCTTACCAGGCCCCAAGTTACTCTTTGACGGTGCTGAGCTTGCCTTATACGAAGACCGTGAGATCAGGAAGAAAGTTACCAATTAATTGACTCTTCCTTACATGGGCTTTCTGTATGCGGTACGTTTGGAGTGGCAGTTAACCCTGCTGTTTTAGGGTGTTGTCCAGTAATTCTACAAGTTCTCTATGCAGGTGCTGCCTGAGGGCTCGCTGTCTCGGTGAAAGACAACCTAAGGATTCTTGGAGGTCCCACAAACAGTATCCGAGGGGATACAGCCATGGGTGATGACTATAAGGAAGGTAGAATTCAACTCTCCAGTTGACTCGTATCCTCGTTCTATACTCTAGGAGTTTTGTGTTTAGCATCTACTTCATAATAATAGTTTAGTGTTGGTCGTAAATCTGCGCCGCTACCTGGACATATTATTGTGTATAGTCTGCCGAGACACTGTATGGAAATTCATGAGACGAAGAAACTAGTTCCAATCTCTCGACATTGAAAGTGCGCGGTGGAGGGTGATTGCCGTGGAAAATGTTTCCCGCAAAATGGATGCTGTCGGGTTCGGCCCCCCATTCGGTGTCGCTGGTGGTCTCCACACACTCGGGCTCGGGCTCGGGCTCGGGCTGAAGGAGATGCCATGTCACTACGCAAATCAAGATGCCCGGATAGATGTGCGATTGGAAGTAGCATTGAGAAAATGGGCACTTCTGATTGTACGATGCCACAACACAGCCAGACACCTTCGGCAACGACCGATGTTGAGCCTTAAGCTCGTCCATTAGGAGTGTTCTGCCCGGGGGTCCATAAAACATTGAGCATTGAAGGGCGATAAGCGTGATTTGGTTCGCAATTTCGGGCCGTATAATCTTCGAAAGCCATAATAAACGTCTTGACTTCCCACTGCTGCTTTCAAGCTAGTCATCTTGTAGCTGTAACTTGATCTCTTACAAGAGCCCTGAATTATCGCCATGTCTTTTTCACAAAGACCTTCCGAACGCCTCACACACCATCTGCCTTCGGGATACGTGGTTATCGCAGGCGGAGGGCCAATCGGTCTCCTGCTTGCACGTGTTCTTTCCTTCGATGTTAATTCTGTGTTGTTTGAACGCAACGAGTCCACAACAAAGTGGCCTAAGATGGACCTTACCAACTGAAGATCGATGGAGATTTTCCGGAAACTTGGCTTGGAGGAAGACCTGCGGAGGCAAGGTGTAGCAGTTGACATTGATCAGAACGTCTTGATCTCAAGCGGTCTTTCTGCAGATACACCTATTACGAGCTGGGTATTGCCTGGAGTAACCAAATTCCGGGAGCAGATTCGACAAACGAACGACGGTACTCAGCCCCAGGAGCCGTGGCAACGAGCATCCCAAGCGATATTTGAGAAATGGCTCAAAGCCATTTGCGACAAGGCTCCATTGATTGACCTGAATTACGGGTATACGGTTGAGTCTGTCGAGGAGAAGAACAACTTGGTAGAAACAGTGGTCACAAATATGAAAACTGGGGAAGAATCGCGTTGGAGATCTGAGTACGTGGTAGGATGCGATGGGGGGTCTAGTAGAGTTCGCAGCTGTCTCTCAACCCCTGTGGATGGAGGCCCAATGTAAGTCAATCTTTTGAGTCAATCTTTATAATCCCCTCTTCACAATCAACAGAAACTAACTAAACGCCTGGAGCCCATCATGTGCCCTATTGGTGCACTTTAAATCCCGCGATTTGGCCCACCTTCACAAGCAAGGGCAATTCTGGCACATGTTTTTCCTCGGTGAGTCTGGAGGATTTGAAGCAGCCATAATATCCCAAGACGAGAAGGATACATGGACCATCCATCTTTTTTTGCCTTTGGACGCAGAGCCTGAGAAGATCGATTCCCATGATGCTATTTACCGCGCACTTGGTGGCGTCTATGGGCCGTACAAAATTACGGTTGACGAGATATTGGTCCGATCTATTTGGCGTCCAACTATTGCGGTCACTCGTCATTGGAGCAGCCCGTCGCTTCGAATCTTCCTTGCGGGAGACTCGGCGCACCAGAATATCCCCACTGGAGGTTATGGAATGAATATGGGAAGCGGCGACGCCTTCGATCTGGGTTGGAAACTCGCCTCGGTTATCAATGGGCACGGAGGCGACGGATTGCTCCGATCATACGATTTGGAGCGAAAGCCTGTTGCTCTTCGAAACGTCGAACGCTCAGGAATTCACTTCCAAGTTCACAGTCAACTCCAGGAGATGATAGGAGGTGGCGACCCTCGCCGGCTGGACTCCGAAACCGATGAAGGTCGCACTTTGCGGCCGAAGCTACACGAGTACTACCAGATGAATGATGGAGAGAACAAGGATTTTGGTATTGAGATGGGTTATCGATACTCATCTCCTCTTATCATGGTCAGCAAAAGTGATGACGACGAGCCACCATTCATCCCTCGCCACTATACACCTACGACATGGCCTGGAGGTCGGCCACCCCACCTGTTTCTCTCGGATGGAACTGCCATTTTTGATAAGTTTGGTAAAAGCTGGACGCTTTTGGTTTTCATTGTAGGTGATGTCGGCCAACACCACCTAGTGAATGCAGCGACAGACTCCCTACTACCCCTCGTGCTGGTGGACTTGTCGAATGAGGAGTATGCTGGAAAGCTTTATGAACGGGATCTAGTGCTCATTCGTCCCGACCAGCATGTTGCCTGGAGATCCAATAAGATTGACTCTATCGAAGGCGCCCACGAAATTCTCCGGATTGTCACTGCTCGAGCCGAATGGACTCAGTTGCCGTTGTTTACCGAAGTATCCGAGCCCCTTAAGTAACTCACCCCGGCCGTGGACATGGCTTCGCAAGTCAATGCTCCTTCCACAATCATGGCAGAGATAGAAAGCCAGCAGAGGAAACTTCACACTTGAATAGACCATGTATGGTATTGCAAGACTTATAAGATCAACTAGGCAAACGGCTCCTTGGACTACGATGCTGCATGGTTGCGGCACCGACTCGGATCATCTGAGCTTGCTAGTGCTTGTTTAGCGAGAGAAATGGTACTGATGGATTTCTCTCTTTCTCAAACGTCCTCCTCTTTACTTTGCAGTAGCTATTCGTTTTTATTCTGGGTTTCCCACAGCAATTTATGTGTTGCGAACATTACATTATTGCTGTGACCTCCTAAGTTTAATTCATTTCCATTCCTCATCCAGAATCTCCGCCCACCCCTATCTGGCACTTGGTGTATAGGAGGAACAATGGGCATCATTGATATAAGTTCAGCCTCTGGGGCTACCAACATTGCTATCACCCACAAATCCATATGTATTCATTAACTGCTCAAATACTTATGTTGGAATGCTTGTTGGTTTGATGAATGCCTCACAAGGAGACGTAGAGTTACAGAGGGCTTTCCTTGACTCTAATACTGAAAGGGTGATTCCCTAGCCGTCTAACATACCACCTGTCAACCACAATGGAATCATTATACGGCATTGAAGTTAAGCCGCAGTCTGACGATATTTTTTTGGTTTTGATTGACCCAACGTGGTCAAGGCGTACTTCGACCACGTCTCCGTCCTACAGCCACGCAGGTGGTTTCATAAAAGCTACCACGCTGCTGGGGGTTCCTGTCATGATAACCGTATAGGCGACTAAAATCTGATATCCATGCCCAGAAAGCGCGGCTAATGAATCTCCGCATTGGTGCGCCGTGTCTACAAATAAATAAATAAATTTAGAAAAAAGTGAAATAGAAATTCCGCTTTAATAGTGCCTGTACAACCTCTTCATCCCCCTTTTATGCCCAGCGTTTGCTATACACCTTCTAAGTCTCATCCCTGCTGCACGCTTCTTGGGCTTCGCCTTAACCGCGGGTTTCTTGGTGTTGGCTTTAGCGGGAGGGGGTGCCTTTGAGTTGGCTGGCTTTGCGGGCTTCGCACTGGTGCACCCGTTGCCTCCTGCCTTTCCACGCTTTGATGGACTGGAGCAGATGAAGGGGTTTGTATGCTTAACATATGGCTTTGTTGGAAACCTGGGGTCGGCAGCATCGACTGCAATAACTGAAATCCCCCTAGCTTCGAGCTTAGGGAACTCGATCTTAAGCCAAGTTTGTCCTTCGGGATCTTTGTCCTTTAACATGACGTATGTCTTGCCCGCAGGAGCAATGATGGCCAAGGCTAGGCTGAAGACATCGTTCGAATTCAAATTATTTTTTGCGCATTCAGCCTCCCACTCAGCAACAGTTTTATCGAGAGGATAAAAATTATCCCAGGATTTTCCGCTGACGGTGTTACCGAATTTGCGAGCGTCAGCCTTGAGTGCTGGGTAAGAGTAAAACACCAAGGCACTACCCCCTAACTTGGGTTGAATGCCTTTGGCCACCTTGTCGGCCATCTCATCCATTGTAAGACAAGCGACACATGATATAGATATAAGGAGAGAAAGCAGAGTTTGTAGCCTCATATTGAAAAAGCCGTGGAGAAATATCAGAAAAATAAGTAATTTGAATTCAATTGTTACAGTAGATTTTGTAGTTTTGTTGGATACTCGGAATCTAAAGTAAGCGAGGATATCGGTTCTTATAGTTTTTACAGTATTGTGAGATTTTCCTTTCATACATTATTAGACCCTCATCAGGTAGAGAATCCAGAGAAATCCAGAAGCAAGAATTTCACCGTCATGGAACGGCTCATGGAAGCTGTGCCATTTCCCAGGGTCTGACTACAAATGAAGCACCAAGTATAGACGGACAACCTGCAATGTGTTTCGTCTACAATTCGGCATCGCGAGAAGGGAGGGTTGGTGTAAGATACCGTCTGACTAATAGTTGGACGTGTTCGACAATATACAGCCCTAATTGTTACCTTAAGACCAAAGATCATGGCAAATCTGACTGCGAATAAGACCATTATTCCACAACCTTGGAAAGCAGGATGCTCGCGCCCCTACCTTGCAGAAAACCTATGCTAATTTTAGGCGCATCTCTCGTAAAACTGAGAAAGCTGAGGTTTTGTTTTCCCGCTCCTTCGGGTCAGCAAATACTTATGATCCATGAAAAGTTCCATGAAAGAATAGCTGACGCTTCTGCCACGAAGGTAGAGAAAAACATGTCTCTTTCGTTATGGAAATTAGTAATTTCTTGGAGGGGGGTGAGACAGGCCCTAGAAGGATGTGGGTTGCACGATTACATAGTACAATAACATCCGATTAGTTGACTAATCATATCATATGACCTTTGGTGTAAATCCCACCCTGAGATAAATATCTCTCTCGATACAACCACCACTTTATGTTGAAGTTGCACTCCTTGATATTCTAGCCAAGCTTGCATCAGATTTTACTCCATTATGGACCATTCAACCGACGAGGCCAACGCATATTACAGCGATGTCTCCGATGTCGGCCAGCCAGACAATAACCATTATTCAGCTAAACGGTGTGTAATGCCATGGTGTGGCTATTGCGGATATGAATTTAAGACTGGCGACCGTCTTCGGGTTTGGCATAGTGAGTGAATCTGACCTTGCTACCTGTTTCTAATAACGGGTATATATACCGCACCTTGCTAACTCTAAAGTGTCAAGAACAGGACGATCTCTTCATCGTCACTAGGCTTTCTCTCGACGTAAAATATAAACCCTCATGGGAGATTGAACAGAAACTATCTCCTGGAGCTGAGGGATCTTGCCAAAAGCTGGCATTTTGTGCCTGTGGCCTCTCCGCAATTTCGCGATGCAAGTATTGGTACGACGCTTGTCGGCCAGCATGCCATGAAGTATGCCATGACCTGAGAAAGGCAACCCAATACGACTACCCCACGCTATTTGATTTTTCTGAGGTCAGGTGGCCTTCGTTTAAGCCCGTTAGATCCGACAGTTCACGCAGATGTGCGTTCATGGAAGATGATCTTGTGTCGGTGCTCGGTGGATCTATTCCTAATCTGCCCCGAGAAACACTCAATCAAATTGCCGAGTACAATTTGTACGAGCATGCCATCACCCATCTAGTGACATCAATGGGAAACCAGCTGCCGAAGTTTATTACCCTTGACTTAAGAAAAAATGTCTGGGTGGAATACATTGACTTCGAGGGTCAGAGATACACCCGAGCACTCTTCAATGAAACTGACGAAGCTTTTACGACAATACCTAGTGAGAACAAGGAACTCATTTTAGATGCAAACGTGGATCATATTGGAGACACAATATTTATCGAAATGGCCCCCCTTGGAGTCAGAAGAGTCATCTTTCCTACCGACTCTCCTATGCCAGCGATGGAAGAAGAGCCTGATATATGGTGGAAAGTAATGCGGTTCCAGGATGAACCTGCCATTACAACAGCTACGGATGTATTTATTGCACAGATTTCTGTTGAAATTTCACCTCGCTCTAACATTTAATTTCAGGGTGTTAAGCTACGCGAACTCATGTTTCAATCCGAGCGGAGGGATGAGAATTCAGCTTCGATTCGGGATGTTTTATGGCCAACACCAAGCAGTCACCGTCTCTACAAGCTTGTATCTGATATTGCCCAAGAAAGCAGCTTATATTCAGATACTGCCCTACGTCAAAGATCTCGGCGAATGGACTCAGTGTGGCTGAATAGCGCTGGTATCTATGGGCTCTCACTCGCTATTTATAATGCTACAGTGAGCCGCCCAATCATAACTATCCATGTCCACCATCCAGGTGAAGATTTCATCTTCTATCGAGAGGTAGAGAGAAAGGTAGAAGGTAATGTATCATGGCTCTATATCCCGCTGGGCTCAGATGAGGTTATTACGGAGATTTGGGCAAAAAACGCCAATGAGGACCTTCCCATATCGAAGTTTTATGATGAAGAACTGGGAAGATGGGCTCCGGACCTAGCTAATCTGACATCTTGCGAGTATTGGGAGCTTCTTGTGCGTGAACTCATTGACCTCTTATCATATCTTCAGTGCTGATTAGTTGCTAACATTGATCACAGCTCACAACGAGTAAAGGTCATGTCCATCAAATCGGATCAGCTCGAGATAGCCCAAACCAAACGTGGACATCGCTCCATAACTCTATGAATGGCCTGAAACGGATCTTTTTTGAAAACACGGATGATACACGATACGGCTCTTGGAGTATCGGTTTTTCCGATGAGGATTCTCATCATGAACCGCTAAGAACTTCTCAACTGCCTAGTGTGCTTCAAAATCATCAAACAGTCTTACTGCCTCATACTTCACATGAGACATCAATCAATTGCTCTGGTGCATCGCTTGACAAGGTCACTGAAGTGACGCCTTGCCTAAGAAAGCCCAATAGATTCTCCACTGTTACAAAGACGTGCGTCTCAGGGCTTTTGCTACGATATCAGGATGGACACGTGGAGAGAGTGGGAGAAGCGCGTCTTGACTCTGTCAGAGCAAGTCAAAAGGTCCTTGACCCTACACAAGTCCTGCGTTTTACAGTCCAGGAGGAAGTGGTCAAATCTTGCACTGTTAGCGCAACTGAAGAAGATGATGGCTCAGACACTGAATACATTGATATTCCGCTGCGTGGGATGCTTGAGTGGTGCTTCGATGCCGAGCAGGCATGGATTAGTCACGACGGATGCCAGATTTTCCCAAATCCAAAATAGAAGAGGGAAAAAATAGAGTTGAAGATAGTACAACGAGCTATTCAACGAGCAGCAATATCCTAAATTGATATATAAATCTCTCGTTGTCAATAAAATAGTATTTGGAGTATATCACATGTAAATTTATTTTTTGTGTCTATTTAGTGTCGCGGTATATATCTAAGATGACTGTAAAACTACCGCCATTTTGTGAGGGAAAGTCCTTGCATTTCTTTTGTGTTTTGGCTCCCTTGTTCAGGTATCTTATGATGTGGCATCTCACATACTTGAGAATGGCTGAGCCGGAGCTGAGCCGGAAGCGTTCTGCAATATAACTGGCTAAATCAGACTGACCTAATATGGAAATGGGAGACTATTGTTTTTCAGGAATGACTACAACCAAATATTTCTGAAATGTCACACACCCTCGCATGAAAGCATGTGACCTGCATGTACGTTTGTGATAGGCAAGTCAAAAGCGGTAACCCCGTCGGTTGGAGGGACCGGCTCGCTCTTCCTCCCGCAATTGTATGCTGCTTAGCCGGCCCGGGCTCGGCTTCACAAACCGGGTCTAACATGTCATTCCAAGCTTTTAAGACCGCGGGTTCATCCAGGTGGTCTCCTGTGACAGTACTGGGGCCGCTACCCCAGATCGGCTTCACATCAGACCCATTCGTCGCAAATAACACAACCAGTGTTTGTAAACATCCAGCTTCCCCGCATCTGCTTTTCGCAGCTGGCATAACTAGCTCTTTGGGTATCCCGTCATACTCTCAATCAAGCAAAGGGTAAGAATCAGGTTGCTAAGTAGTGCGTACAAGTATTTAACCCAATCGTCTGGATTTACTATCAAGCCTTCACTGTCTGACACGGAGGAGTAGCTCTAGACTCACAGCAAAACTCAACTTAGTCTTAGGTCACAGATGTAATTCAAGGTCAAAATGGCCCACGATCTCATCGTCACCTTTGTACTCTCTCTTTTGGTGTTGTTCTGTCTGTTCAAAGTGGGGGGGATTGGATCTAGGGCCTCGAATCTACCACCGGGTCCACCAACACTGCCGCTTTTGGGAAACTTGCATCTTGTTCGTTTGACCTCTCTCTATCTACATTTAGGTATCGATAATTCAAATAGATGCCTATTTTTCGACCACATGTTCAACTGCAAAAATGGGCCAAAAAATACGGGTAACTGCCACACAGCCAGAATTCGGAGCATAAAATTAACATCTCGCTCTGATAGACCCATCTATTCACTGGTTCTTGGAACGAAAATCATGATCGTACTCTCTTCAGATGATGCAGTTACAGATGTGCTGGTAAAGAAGAGTGGGAACTATTCAGACAGGCCTGACATGTTCATTGGACAAAAGATTGCCAGCGGAAATCTTCGACTTGTTGTCATGGTAGGTGCCTCGATAGCATAGACGGATGATATACTTACGTTCAACGATATAGAGGTATGGCGATAACTGGCGCATGATCCACCGAATGATACACAACGTAATGAATATCAAGGCTGCAGTGACCTACGTCCCTTATCAAGACCTTGAAAACAAATTCCTTCTAGAAGGTCTTCTCGACACTCCGGCTGATTTTTTAGCACACATTCGACGATTCACGTACTCACTTTCTACCCAAATGATTTTCGGTTACCGCTGCGTCAATAACAGGGACCCAAATCTGTTGCAACTGTTTGAGGTGAGACAATTATTATCTTCACTTTATGATTCGCTAACACAGGCCAGAGCTTCGAAAATTGGGGAAAGCTTGCAGGGAGTTCGAGTGCTCAAATAGCAGACCTTTTCCCTGTTCTTCAAAAACTACCGGACTTCATGACGCCGAACGTTAGTTACGCGAAGAAGCTTTTCGAGATTGAAAGAAAGAACTACGTCGGCCACTGGATGAAATCGAAGAAAGTACTTGACAGTGCCAAGGGTTTGGTATGTATAAGTAAAGCTATACAGAGGCATCCTGGCATCAGAAAACTCCTAATTAACCGATTCCTGCAGCATTGTTTCTGTAACGACATCTACGGAGTTCAGTCGCAAGAAGGATTCAGCGATGATGCCGCGGGATACACCAGTGGCTCACTACTGGAAGCAGGGTCGGATACGACTGCATCGACTTTGTATGGTTTTATTCAGGCCGCTCTCGTTTGGCCTGAAGTCCAGCAAAGTGCCCAAGAAGAGATTGATCAAGTCGTGGGCCCCAGCCGTCTTCCTACGATAGATGACTACGAGAATCTTCCATACATTCGTTGCTGCATAAAGGAGAGTCTTCGCTGGATGCCTACCGTCATTCTTGGGGTACCCCATGCCGCCATTAAGGAAGATACGTAAAATGGTTATGTCATACCACAGGGTGCGACCGTCGTAAACAATGTTTGGTAAGGAAAGGGCAGATCTTGGTAGCCATCAGATGCTAACAATACATTTCAGGGCAATTCACATGGACCCAGAGCGATCCGAGAATCCCAGAGTTTTCAACCCTGAACGCTTCAGAGGCGATGATACTTCTTTGTACCAATCTGCTGTTGGGAATACAAAAAACCGGGATAACTTTGTGTTTGGGGCAGGCCGCCGCCTCTGTCAAGGGATTCATATTGCCGAACGATCTCTCTTTTTGGAGATTTCCCGACTGATGCGGGCATTCAATTTCGAACTACCGGTGGACGCCAAAGGAGTTCCAATTCAATACGACATCGAAGACTTGGTTGGAGGGATCACGGCCCAGCCCTCTGATTACCCTGCTATTATCAAACCTCGCTCTCCTGAGAAGGCTCAGATCAACAGGGATTCAGTTGAAGAAAGTAAACAATTTTTAGACCTGGACACATTGCAGTGGAAGAAGATTCCTAAGGGCATGGCTTTTAGCACATGGATGCCAGACACAGCCCAAGATTGATTGATTTATGCAAGAGTTACTTTGACCTTCAACGATGTTTTGATTGTGATTAAGTTAAATACCAACTAGTGTTGCGGTACTCCAGATTATGGTCTCTTACGCTGCGCGGGTTATCTTCTAGAATTATTGAACACTATGGCTGTCAAGACTGCTACTTGAATATGAATACTAATAGTCTTTTCCATTGGAAATCTTAGGAGAAAAGACCTTGAACTCTTCGAGCCGTTGATCCAGGCCTCCAGGACCTGATGCACTCGCCTATATTGAATCTCACGCAGTGGTTGACACCAACTTGGGAGATCCCGGTTGTTACTAATATCCATAATAAATTACTATAATATATATCGTAGTTTGCCTTGTAGATAGGTCATCAAGTATTAACAACATACTTGCGTTATATGAGGACATTCTTGAGTCCGTTAATGATGCAGACCAGGCGATACGCAGCCTCTGGCGCTGCGCATTTGCCTCCTCAGTAACTTCTGCGTAAAGGTTAGTGAATATAGAGGGAAGATGTTGCTTCTTCTCTTTCTCGGCTGAAGCCAGTGCCGAAACGACATCTCGGCGAGTTTGCGTTCTAAACTCTTTGTCCTGCTCAGCATTCCAGAGTCTCTTGTGCTCCAACCACTCTCGTAGACGCAGAATCAAGTCTCACTGAGATGACCCCTTCAATAATGCAACGTCATCCGCACTGCGGTATGCGGAGCTGTTATTCACTGGTGCTGTGATGGGACATTCGATAGCTCATTAGCTCAAGAAGAATTGGGCGGCTTCCATTCTCAAGGGCTTTTTGGCTGGCTACTGGGGAGATCGCGGACGCAATGACCGTGGATGTGTGATGATCGCGGTCGAAACGACTGGTACGCATTTATAAAAGATGCTAGCTAATGATTTAAACCGACCTACGCCGATGCCAGCCGAGGACCAATCATTTCAATACCTTCACGATTACGAACATTATAATATATTCCAATAAATCGCCGAGCGGGATCCAATGTTCGGTATTCCTGGCTATTCGACATAGCATTTAGCTTCTTTTAGTCGATGACTAATTCGGAACGCTGCGTCCCCTGATTTTTACAGGTATCAGCTTTGTTCGGGTAGAGAAATCTGGGATGAAGCAAGGGTATATAATATGCGTACTGAATAAACTTCCATAAATGCGATACGAACTTTGGGTACCGCTTGGTGGTAGGTGACGAGTTTGATATGGCAAGAAAAGGGAGAATCGAGGATATTGTCGTTAACAATTCTATATGTACTGCTCCAACAATGATCAACTCCTGTGAAGTATCAAACCCCGAGAAGACCTTTTTTACAATATGTCTCCTTGCCGAAACTGCTTTCCAAACAGCTGCTCGGCAATTTGAGATTTCTTTCCTTGAATCCGCTTAAAGGCCTTCAAACATTAGATAACTATAGTAAAGATCAATAGATACCTTCAAAGCCACGAAAGGTTGCCTGAGGCCCGATCAAGACCGCTTCCTTTGAGAAAATCTCGTTCGCCATCAGTTGACCGGCATCGGCTGACTTGAAGTCCGCAAGTTCATAAAATCTAGCAACAAGGTCTTTGACATCCTGAGTGATGTCATTTGAAAGCCAGGTAGTGTTTTTTGTGACGTAGCTCATAGCTGGGTTGGGATTCTGATGAAAAATGTTACAGATGTAACAAGAGAAGCGATGGGAGAATACGGAGAAAAAACGGGCAGCGTGAGAGGGTGGAGAAACCATAAATCTAAGCGCCATTAGTCTTCTTGCACAAACGGATCTTGCAGAGGTCATCAATATCTTAGAGAGCGCGTGATTACTTCACAGCCGAAGATCGCCTTAACTGACGGCAGTGGCCAGGTGGCCTCTCCCCAATGCCGTCGGTTACACCCCTCTGTCTCCGTCTGTACTCTACATGGGGTCGGCTTCGGCGTGACGTGAATGGGTAGATTGATCACAAGACATCCCATCCCGTTGAAAAGCCAGATATAACAATCTATGAGGCCAGCCAGCGGCGCCTATATCGCGAACATAAAACCTCTCAGACTAGCCTCCACACTCTACCCAAAATTCTACGTTGAGCCCAACATGTCTGCTACCGCAAAACCAAACTTTGATGCCCCTGCTACCAAGGTGCTAAGCCCTTCAGCCCTAGCTCATGTGGTCCTGCGAACATCCAATCTTAAGAACATGGTTGATTTCTATACCAGCTTCCTAGGTGGCACAGTCACATATGGTAACAACGCAGTTACATTCATCACCTACGATGAAGAACATCACAGAATTGCACTTCTTGGGATTCCCGGCACGGAGCCGAATAATCCCAGAACCTGTGGCTTAGAGCATATCGCCTTATCCTTTAAGTCCTTGAATGACTTGCTCCTGGCCTACCGGCACCGAAAGGAGCAGGGCATCAAGCCGGTCTGGTGCGTCAACCATGGCCCGACAACCAGCATCTACTACGAGGACCTCGACGGCAATATGATTGAGACGCAAGTCGATAATTTTGACAGCGTGGAAGAGGCCACGAACTTCATGATGAGCGATAATTTCGCGGAGAATCCGATAGGCACAGATTTTGACGCCGAGGAGATGATCTTGGCGTTACAAGCGGGGACTAAAGAGAGTACTCTTAAGACGCGCATCGAGATCGGGCCAAGGCCAATGCTAGATCTAGCGAGCATGTGAGCCCCGCCCTAGGAAGACTGGTGGGCGGTCATGAGGGGAAGCTGGCTGAACGGCTTGGCTGTGTGGAGATATTGTAAGGCTCCCACGGGTTCGGGCTAGGGTTCGGGCGGGCTCGGCTACGGGCTTCATACTCCAGCCTATTGACGCAACGACCAGGCTTGTCAAATATCCATAGTAATTTCTCATGAGAATAAAGAGCTAGGCTCTGTAGCAACGTTTCCCATAACAGTAAGCTCCTACGCCTGTAGGAACCCACGTCTTTGTCGTCCTCTTGACCTCCACGTACACCAATACTCAATGGTGAACGTGATGTAAATGCTAAGGTCAAGACAATAAAACCTGATAAATCATCCAATCAATACGCAAGTGTAGTTCAAATTAGAAAGGCGTATCTATTTCAAATCAAGAACAGTTGCCTAACATTAAAAAGGATGACAAAGTACATCATACTCTTCAGATTGAATAGATTTAGTTACCTCTCATATTTATAAGAGAAGCTTATCGGCTCTGAAAACAAGCAAATTGAGCCCACAATTCGTCGCATCGCTTATTCGTTGCGGTCCGATCCGTCGTTCAAGGAAATCAATAACAAAGTTACTTCTACTCCGTGCTCGCCTATGAAAATCCAAGTCGTTTCTCGACGGTGAACCTAGACAGCCGAGACCCAATCCCTAAGCCAACTCACTTGTGCAGCGTCACCAGCTGGCGGTGCCAAGAGGCTAGCCAGGTCGGAGTAAAGTGATTGGTCGTGTTGGGAAATTTCCATCTCTGGACGCGCACTCTGCGTGTCTGAGTTCTCTTCTTGTTGGAGGGGGCCCGTAAGCGCGGGAGTTGCCCCAAGTATCTGGTCATTCTCTGCCCCATATATCTGAACATCGTGATTTTTCCCAAACCTGTGACCAATATGAATATGCCTGTCCTCATCAATGTTGATGCAAGGCTAGAACGGTCCGGCCACCTCTATTGAGAGATTGTTGTCTTGGACCTGAATGGATCCACGCAGGCTGGCCTGGACCCTGTCTTTGGAGTATCTGCTGTGTATGTTGCGTGCTTGGCGGACGAATTCTGTCGTTTTTGTAAAGGCAGCTTCACCTGAAGTGACATATTCAAGTCTCCCGAAAAAGCCAACAACAGTTTCCATGAGAGCTATGCCACTCTGAGTTGTGTCACCGGGGGGGTTGCATACGATGTGGACAAGAATGGTGGTGAGGGCGGTGAAAGGGTAATAGAACACGAGCCTATTGGGATAAGGGGCATATTAGTAAGAGAGAGAAAAACTATTCAGATGGCTTTCCAGATGCATGGATATCTAGCGTTAAATCTGTATCACGTACCACGCAGGAGTGAAGCTCTCAATGTCGAGATGCTTCGTAAGCAGTACCATTGACCTTGCAGCCTCGATCTGGGAACTGTGCATTTGGCTGTTGATCAGGGGCTGCAAATTGTCGCTGTCTTGGGTAAAAATTGGAGTAAATCTACGGTAAATAGAGCACAGGAGGTAGTAGTAACTCAGATGAGCACAATTATCTGCTCTCGTGATAGGCCAAACGTTGTATTCATTCGATTCGGGGGCTGTCCAGGTCGTATTGAGGAAGGTAGTAGGCTAAGCCATGCATGCAATTCTTTCAAGAGATTATTCATTATGGGAAGCAGGCGAGAAGACGAGGTGTATAATGCAGATGCCGAGTAAAGCATTCGTGAGACTTTCCCAGCAATACGTGCTAGTTTGGTTGCACAGAGAAAAAAGTCGACATCAGGAACTCCGACAGGCTCAGAATACCCGTGTTGGATGACGAGAACGCCTCACGGGAAGCAGCAGCTGATGTCGTCGTCGGAAATCACTGCAGGACGACCACAGCGTAAGGAGATGGTCCTATCGAGGCAATATATAACCCAGAAGACCCGATTACGGTCCCTCTGCTCCTCTTCACTAAGACTCCAATGTGGAGATGGATGACGATTCAACGCCACGCTCTGTGCTAGTCGCGCTGCAATAGAACTCAAGGTGTACTCCAGCCGCTGTGGGCCTGATAGCCCTTGAGCAAAGATAGTCATGATGGCAATGGCCTGAACTGCCATGAGATCTGTAGATCCATGCGCGATACGAGGTTCAAAGGATAGAGCATTTTGAAAGTAACCCCAAGCTTCCTGTCCCGACTTCTTGAAGGCCTCGGCTGTTTCAGCTGATAGTGCAGCTCGACAGCCGGATGCTAGCACCGCACTCAACAAGGCCTGCCATGACGGGTTCTTCGATATGCTTTGTCTAGTTCCATATGTTTCCAACTGGGAGAGAAACTTAGCCCTGTCCAGGACTGGGAAGATGACTTGAACGGTGTCAAAAAATACGCTTCAATGTATTTTATAACCTCCGAGCGAGGAGTCTCCTTGACTTTAAGATTACAAGGGGCCGATACAACCAGTGGCAGAACTTGCGGGACGCATTTGGGTTGCCGCAGGTGACTGAGCACGCCGTTTCGTATGTCCTGGATGGTTTCGCAGAGAACTTGCGAGTCTGGCACATTATGCCGTACCCAGTTCAATCCGAGGTCAGAGATGGTAGAGATGCCGGACGACGGGCCTGTATACTCGTCTCCATCGATTGACCGCATCCACAGCGCAGGGTTCCGGTCCTTGGTACACTCCCTGTCCTTGCCCTCTAAGATCCTATCAAGAAGGGTTTCACCCTCACCGGCATCGATATTGATTGGCGTTTGGGAGCCCGTAACGCCCAGGTCGCCGGGAATCTGGTCGAAATTGCACCCCATCGGACCAGATCCTACCTGGGACCACGGAGGTTGGGGCTGCAACAAGTCGACGTCCTGCTCTTGTTGCATTTCGCGCGCGCCCCTTGGAGTCGAGAGGACGGATGTGCACGACACCCCGCCGCTGGTTGGGCATGGGAGATGCAGGATGAGGGAAAGTGGTGGTGTGGACTCTTCGAGTGCCTCCCTCATTCAGTTGTTGGTTTTCGGAGGTGCAAATAGCGGAAACCCTTCTAGAGTCAACGTTGGACTGCATCCACTCCTTGGTCCGCCTCTCCCCAGCGTAGGTGCAGACAATGGATCTCAGCCTGCAATTCTGGCAAATCGGCCGCGTCCGGTCGCACTTGATCTTTTTTGAGCGACAGGACTTCCAGGTCATGATGGAAATACGCGGACTGCGCTAGCCTGCTCGGTATCGTGGGTGAGCGCGAGGCCGCGCGAGCCAGGTGATGATGATAGGTGACCGACTTGGCCCCATGGAAATACTAAAAGCTGGGAAGAGCTTGGTCTCGAGTCAGCAGTCGAATTAACCCCGGAAAATAGCCCCTCAAATAAGGCGGGGGTGGAGCCCTCATGTCAGCGGGAACTAATACTATTTAGGAAGGGTTGTTAATTCCGCAAATTTGTCCTACCCTAGACTTTCCCTTACCGCTCTATCAAACATGATAGAATCGCTTCTCTGATGGTACAATTAAACTCGACTAATGATTTTATACAAGTCTAGGGAGGAGTATAGATAACTCCTTATTAACTAAAACTTACAGCCTGATTTCTATAATAATATTTATAGAGTTCAGTTTGAAGAAGGATTTTCTGATAATACTGCGGGATATGCTAGTGGCTCGCAATTAAAAGCGGGTTCAGTAACAACTACATTAACCCGATAAAGTTTCATTTAGGCCGCTCTCGTGAACAGATCTTCTATAGCTCTGTAGCTTCTAAAAGCTCTCTGATGATATTTTTCTCATGTCCGAGGTAGATAGAGATATGCCCCCGGTCTTTATAGAAATGCGTCTGAAGTTTCCCTTGGGGTAAGTGATTCGAGAGCCACTTCCCGTGAGCATTCGGTACCGTATTATCAACTCCACCTTGATAGAGGAATACTGGCACTTGTATCTCAGCGAGTCCAAAGCCCCACGGTGCTAACATTGCCATGTTATCATCGACCCAGCCGTCGCAATTGTTCCTTAAACCTTCTTGCATCGATTGAACAAGGTTGAGAGCCATGCCTGGGTTTTCGCGCATCGCATCCTGATCAGCTTCAGGAAAAGACTTTGACAAACCCTCTAGCATAGTAGACACATCTGTATTCACCATTCCGATTCGTGCAGGTCCAATGTGCTTTAGCAACTCATCTTCCCCTTCTAGCGCGGCTTTGAATCCCCGAACGCCTATTTGCGAACAGACTATCAGATACAGCGAACGCAAACGTATGGGAGTGTCACTCACTAGCTTCCTCCTTGTCTGCTAGCCAGTCTAGGCCGCCTGCATCATAAGGCGCGAAGGCAGCGATTGATAAAACGGCGACGCATCCTTGTAGTCGAGCTGCACAAGCTAGAGCATCCGCACCTTTGGTGCAACATCAGCAATTGTACAATTCATCGTCAAATAAGTCAAGAGAAGGGTTAAGCATACCTCCTCCGCTCCAACCGCCAACACAACACTTCTCTACTTTTAGATGCGCAAGTAGCGCCTGGATGTCGGCTACGGTATCAACGACTCGCCTGCCCTCTTGTCTGGTTGATCTACCGTACCCGGGCTTCGAGAAGGTGATGATCTTAATTCCTAACATGTCAGAAGTAGCGGGGAGACATGGAGTTTGTAAGTAACAGCTAGGAGTACCGTGAATCCAGACCAGTGGAAAGCCATGGTTTGGTCCGGAGACAAGGTACTCGAGATTGCGGCCATCTGGAAGAGCGAATAGCTGAGCCATCTTAAAAAGTGATAATATAATAACGATATGGGTGAAATAATATTTGATTCAAGCGAATACGGCTGATAATGTGGGCTAGCAGACCCCTTATATATTAAGACGATCACTCCTACCTCCCTTATTGAAATCCAGTGAGATATTTTTACTAGGGTTTATAGTAATAAAGGTATACAGTAATTTTTCACATGCTGTTAAGCGCTAATCCTATTGTAATACCTTGCGTCAGAATGGATCAAATAATTAATAATATAAGTATTGGATCTCCCTGCGTAGAGACTTGATGCTTATCCCTGTCCGCTATATATTAGCTGGGAGGGCAACTATTATAGGGCGTTATATATCCCCGCTGCTAAGACCCAGCCGCTATACAAAGGGGCTTGGTTATATACCTATCAGCTGATTCGCCTCACGAGTCGAAACCTATTTTAGATCTTTCACAAACTCAGTAGCTACAATTGCAGCGGCTCCGGATAATAGTAAGGCCCTGGCGGATGCGGACTTCTCTACGGCTGGAGACTCTTTAGTCTAGAAGATACTAAAAAAAACCTAAGACTTGCTTCCTCAAGTTGATCATCGATAAGAATAGACTTTTACTTGGACTTTGGTAGTTTCAAGATAATATTTCTACCATTACCTTAATTTACACCTTGATGACTTCCACTTATAGTTTGTATATAGCTTTATCTCAGAGGCAGAGATGTTTTTGGTTATAGCCTAATTGTTAATACAGAAGCTCTTACCCGGCGGTTGCAACTCACTCCTAGCGATGTATATGGCAAGCACCCGAGAGTGAAAGTTAATCATTTTGTATCGAAAATATAACAAAACCTCATTTGATCCCTCCATGGCCATTTCGGTTGTTAATAAAGCAGCTTCCACTAAAATCAGACTTTCTTAGCTTTGGAACGCTCGTAGATGGGGCTCGGAGCGGGCAACGTGGTGGACTTGTACGCGCCAGTACTTCCGGCAAACATAAGGCTTGCTAACCACTTCTGCGGAATAAGACCCACGATATAAGAGTCAATGAACCGAAATATCCAGTTGGACCATGACGCGAATCTCATGAAAGTGAGACCTCCACCCACGAGCTTTTTTGTACGCGCCAACCTGACCTCAGCGGTCTTAGTGAATACAGACTCGATCTGCTCCGCTGAGAGCTTCTGCATATTGTTGGCCTCGAGAGCATTGTAGAGCTGGTCTACAAAAGCGGCCGTCGATTCAAGGGCCATGCAACCACCCTGACCTTGAATAGGTTGGAACTAGAAAAGTTTAGTGTTCGGGACAGATTTCAGATTTCTGCATCTTATTCTATAAAGCCAGCACCCACCTTGGCAACAGCATCTCCCAGACATATTATACGCTTATAGTGCCATCCCTGGAAAGTGTGTGTTGGCAAAGGAGTGATGACATGAGTCTTCCTGTTATTGAAGATGTCGTTGAATGTCGTCCCGTCTTTCACAATGCGGTGCCCATCTTCGGCCAGCAACCGTTCCACATCCTTCTCCGTGTATCGCGGCAAATCCATGCCGGTGTGCTTTTTTGGAGCCCTGAAGAAGTGAAACCAGTAGATGTCATCATTTTGTCCCATTACCAACCCCAACATGCGGTCGAAGGTATGCACCTGGTAAATTTGGCCTTCTTTGAGATCATTCGTCCGGTTAGATAAGCCGAAGACACATCCATACTCCGTCTCAACGTCTGTTATCAGAAAGTCAGCAGAGGTATAAAAGACAAAATATCCCAGCATAAAGCAGCCATTGTTTACCTTGACCAATCTGCTTACTAAACGCCGTCGAGCCATCGTTCCATGCTGCCTTCCACATCTGTCCTCGGACATGGCTGTGTATTCCATCAGCACCAACCACAAGGTCGGCAGTAAAGGTACGCCCCTCTTGGGTATAGATCTCCACGCCATCCTTGGTGTGCTCTATGCTCTGTACTTTCTGACCCGTAAAAATCTTATCCTTAGATTGAATATGGTCATAGAAAATTTCAAGCACGATGCGACGCTCAGTAAAGGTCAGGTCGTAGCCATGTATTTGGCGAATAGGATCGACGGCAAATGAGTACATAATTTTGCCCTCGCCATTCCGCATCTGCGCCGACCTGCAGGCGGTAGACCTCTTTTCCACATCTTCTAGGCACCCAAGTTGATCAATAATCGCCATCCCATTTGGAGCCAAACCAATAGAAGCGCCCAGCTGAGGGGCAATCACATCATGGGCTTCGATGAGAACCCAGTCTATTCCTAGTATCTCCAGATGCAAGGCAGTAGCTAGGCCAGTATAACCTCCGCCAACAATGGCAACTTTGAACGGTTCGTCACTCATGGAGGGCCAAAAGTTTCGAAGACTTCCGCGGGACGATATTGCCCAGGTGGGGTTTTCAATGTGGAAAAAGCTTCAACTAAGGCATCCACGGGGGCGGGAGTACCCGACGATATTTATAAGGCCTTGTCTACCCCTGGATTCTAGAATTGCACACCCTAGAACAACATTGGAAAACCCATGACAAGGTAGTTTTCCCTGTCGTTTTAAAAAGAGCCCGTATCTATTGGTGCCCGATATATTAATAGTGCTACCCCATTGATTAGCTCAGTTCCTTATCCCAACTCACGCTGCATAGATACCTATCACTCTGCAGTTCTTGCTTTTGCAACAAAATGTCGGTGTGTGAATGATGGCGATAGACCCAGTCTATACCCTTGCACTATGGACTCTGAGAACTTGGCCATTAAAGTTTCCCAACCCCTGAATCGAGCAGCTGGCTTGCTAACGTTTTTTGTGAATTTCCGATGCCTCGGCTCCACTCTCCATATTCACGCATTGACGCACTACCTGTTTCAAGCCTAGTAGGTCTTGAGCCGTCGGCAACAGGCGGTACACCGCAAGATCATCGAATCTCCCTGGCAATAGACAGGACTTCTGTCGATATTCCCTGGAAAGCTTGATGTCATTGGCAGCTCTGTCTCCACCACCAAGATAATCACATCGCTGAAGCGCCCAGTCTCGAAGCAGGGATATGTCAATGGGAAATGGATCAATAGTACGGAGGATATATGATGCAGTCAAGTTGTTTCGTGATAATCTCATGACGTGAACGATAGTCCATGTCAATCTAGCTCATAGCCTCGGCGGCAATTTCTCTCAATAGCAGTGGGTTCGTAGGACTAGCACTTGTCATGGGTCACGCCATGATGCTGAAGTAAGACAAGAGACCTTGTGAAGCAGATGAGAAATATAGAAGAAGAGATCCGACTTTTGGTTGAGTTTTGAGCATGACAATCTATTAGACGTTGTAGTTATATGTAGGTATGAGTCATGGCTCAAGCTTTGAGTCATCTCTCTTGTCAGTAGCACCGTTGCTTACTGTTTGTGGGATCTCGACGAACAATTTATTGCTATCATCAGCTGAGCATTGGGAGGCCGTAAAAGTACAAGGACGAGTGAAACAATATGATTATTCATTCTGTTAAGATGTTGGGGTAATTGCATCTCACTGCGTGGGTTGAGGACTGGTGATTCAACTCTCCCAAACATGAAATACTTATAATATCTTACCACCGGATTGCTAGAGCCAAAGAGAAAGGTGTCCAAGTAGAATGAGTATCAGTACGGAGTGCTAATCCCTTCAGAAACCACCCATTCTCTCAGTGTGTGTTAACCGTGACCAGCTTATTTCCCAGCGTTACCTTGATTGTACTTAAATGAAGAGTAGTCATAACTATACAAGCGAGATACGTAGCATCTAGATCTCGTGTGAGTTTACGCGAAATGGAGAAGGGGAAGTTCGAGTGGATTGATCACGGCAATAATGTCGAGTATGTAGACAATGCAGAGAAGGAATCGCATACTAGATGTTCAAAGAGGGAGCCTTAGAAGCAAGGCCAAATTCACCAACATCTAGAGAAGCTAGATACCTAAATAGCTACAAAATCAGGGGTGCACATGGCAACAGTCTTTAGGCCAAGTTTAATTATACCCATTCCCGAAGGCTAGTATCCCAAATTAAATGTCCGATCCCTATTTATAGGACCAAGAGTTCGCGACCCTCCTAGTGATAGGCTAGGCAGGAAAAAGGGTATTTCAGATGGCAATCATTCAGCCCTGGATCTCAAGCCAGACCCAACTTTCGCAGAAAGATCTCGGCGGCCCTCTCTCCAATGGCACACATAGGGTTCATCGGATTAGCCGATACAGCGCTAGGCACAATGCTCAAGTCGGAGATTTCGAGCTGCTATAGACATTCAGGTTGGCATCTACAAACGCCCATTTTCTAACGGGCGCCCATGTTGCATGAGCCGAGCGGATTCTAATTGAGGCCAATATTCTAATGCAGCGAGGCCTCGAGCACGACGTCGTCCTCAAGCAGCTGAAGTGTAATCAAGCCCTTTGCAATGCGGCTGAGGCTTGGCAGCGGGGCAACGCCTTCTAATGATTCTCCTTCCAGCTGATACGTGTCTATTGTATTTGAAAATGAGCATATTTGCCTCGTAAATGATCCGAAAATCCAGTCATCCCCCGACAAAGCTGAGCAGACATGTCGCTTTATGAGGAGTGTGTCAAGAGGGTAAGAACTTGCGCCCAGTTTGAGAGAGGCAACTAATAACGTCAGCATGGCAGGCTGGTGGCGAGGATCGCGTATGTGAGAATTGCAAACCTATAGTCAAGTGCTATGACACCGTCTTTGGCGTCAGAGCAGCGGGTGACAAGTTGGAGGATCGATGCTACTTTTCTACGCTCCTAGCCGAGGCCTTTTCGCGCTCTGCGACGTGCTGGCATTGCGGATGGGTAGTCTTGGTTGCCTCGAACACCTGGATGAGCGACATTGCGGCGAATGTCTCATCGCCAGACGCCCAGCTCACCAAGATAGAAATCAACTGGCAGTCCATCTCAGTGTACAAGGATTCCCGAGCTGTGCAGGGCCACCCAGTCATCGAGCGTATCTGGCTCTCGTATTCGGCACCTTGGACAGGCTCCGAGAAGAAGAGTATCTCATTCTCCAAGTGTCTAGATAAACCACAGAATCTCTCGGTTGCCACAGCGGATGGAGGTTTGATTGTCGCGCGCAACGATTCAGTCGAGTGGGCGTCCAAGGAGCCGTATGCAGGTCGCATTCGACCAGCAAAGATTGACCTGCAGTTATTGAAGAATTGGAAAGACAACTGCATCCGTGATCATGGAGGCACTTGTGATCAAACATTCACGACCCATCGGGCATCGCATCTTCGATTTGTCGATGTGTTGGAGAGGCGTGTCATCCAAGCTGTGCCCGACGAGGTGACATGGACGGCGTTGAGCTACTGCTGGGGAGGACCCCAGGAGCATGCCCTACAGGCATCCAACTTGGAGGAATACCAATTACCGGGTGCCTTGCGCGATGATATGCTACCAGCTGGAATAGTTGATGCGATGACGCTCGTTCGAGCGCTGGGTGAGCGCTATATATGGATTGATAGCCTGTGTATCGTCCAAGACGATGACATGGACAAGCTCGAGTTTCTACCAATGATGGGCACCATTTACGCGCATTCAGTCCTTACCATCGTCAACGCGGCCAACGACAAAGTCGCCATGGGCATGCCTGGTGTCAGCAACCCGCGACGCATGCAACAGGTACATCAGATGAAAGACTTTTGGATGGTAGAGGCATTGGACCTGCCACATCAACGCTGGGAGGGCTATCTGCATGGAAGTACCTGGAACGCTAGGGGCTGGACCTTTCAAGAGGGGCTCTTGTCACCACGTTGCCTGATAATTGGCGAGGCCCAGACTTACTGGCAGTGCAAGGTGAGTTCGTTTTGTGAGGACAGTTGCTGGGAAAATCTGCCAGGCAAGAACATTTATCGGCACTACTCTGGCTCCGAAATAATCAGCAGACTCACTGATTCCAGAGAGGAGAACTGGATGGATCTGTACAAGGATGTTCTCGATGCGTACGCCAAGCGAGAGCTGACATCAGAGACCGACCGCCTGGGCGCCGTGGAAGCCATTCTTGACGTGCTTCGTCGCGATGACGAGGAGGGCTACTTCTGGGGCATGCCTAGAGGTCATCTGGAAATGGCGCTCTCTTGGTCTTCTCACGTATCACGAAACACTCGGAGAGACTGCGAGGCAAAGTACATTGGCCCAGGAAAGCAGGTCCGTTCTGCTCCCTTTCCAACCTGGTCATGGCTAGGCTGGCATGGAGCTACCCCCATGCCATCGGTGAACAGAGCAGTATTGGGTGGCAGACTTGGCTTAAAGTTCTACCGCATCTTGGACGGAGGCGTTCCAGAAGCGCTCGTCGATGGTGTCCCCTATGCTGGACCGGAGAGAGACTTTACCAAAAAGGACTACATGACACACAGCGACATGTTCGACACCATCGGTTATCCCAGGGGGCTGACGCATCCGTCCTTGGACTATTCCAGGCAGTCAGTTAGGAGAGCCGACATTCCTGAGAGTGTGCTTTTGAGTAAACAGGCTCCATCGGCACTGTGCTTTTGGACGAGCACAGCGGTCCTCGACATGAAGTACGAAGGTTGGAACGGCTTTCACCGCTGTCCCCTAATCTCTCTGTCACATGGCGATGTCAGTCATTGCGGCGCCTGGGAGAACGACGAGTCTTTCAAACCGAATGGTCGAGGGAAGTTCATTGTCATTGGCACCGAGAGGGTTCGCATGTCACATGGAGGTCAAGTGACGGTGAACCTGCTTCTGGTGGACCAGGACGACAATGGGCTATCGTACCGACGGCGCCTTGTGACCTACACGCCAGAAGAGGTGTGGGACAGTTTCAAGAACCGAAGATGGGAACTGATCTTTTTAGCTTAACATCAGGGTGCATAAAATAGATTTCAATGCCTTTTCCATCCTTTTGTCAAACCTGTCCGTTTCTGGATATAACCAAAGAATCAAACAATAAGCTAAACCAGAAAACTGTAGTAGCAGGAGTGAATTAAGCCTGGACAACGAACCGACTGAGTCTGCTGCAAGGAATGTGGCCAGGGACATAATAGATGGTCGTCGTGACCAGATCTGGCGTGGTATCATGGTAGGGTCAATATAACTGGGCTTATGGTTGTCTTATCACTTTCAATTCATTTTGGTCTCAGTTATACCATTCTTTCAATGTTCTGTATTTGTTTATTTCAAGGTAATGAATCTGATAACTCCCATCTCGTATATGCTTCAATTAAATATTACGAATAATACCGGAGAGAGTTTGATAGAAAGTTAAAAAAGGAGTCAGACCCAACGACTCAATACAATGGAATACGAAAGGTTAATAAAAAAAGGCTTCGCTAGCCCAAGGCTGCAGTCATACGGATATTACGAATAATATATTACTGTATTCCCAAATTCCCTCCTTCTTGACCTCAGCTGGCATATGTCGACTAACATTTTCCATCACTTACAGCGCAGGCGTGGCTGTACCAATGAGTCCAACGCTCATTTGGGCCTTTGGATCAGCATTTCCGCTATCTGTAGCCGAAGAAGATGCGCTGTCCGTCGCGCTGCTCTCATTAGAAGCGCCGCTGGACGTGTCGGAAGCACTCTCCGAAGTCTTGAAGGCGTTGGAGACAGTTCCAGAAGAAGCCGTGACTCCACCGTTGTTTCAGAGACAACCGTCTTCGTGGTGGCAGACACTACGGCGCTCGTAACCGTGACAAAGGAGTTCTGTACGCTGTTGCTGCTGTTCTGGATCGCACTGGTTGGGACTACTGACGAGATGGACCATGTTCCCGCACAGCATCGAGATGGCCTCGTATCACAGCCCAGTGTGTCATGCACGCCCTGCTGGAACTAGATCCATCCGTTACTGCTTTATATATTGGCTTTGTGCAGGTACCCGGTTCGCCTGTTGGCCAGCCGTTTGCAGGTGTTTAAAGCAATTCAAGCTTCTACAGAGCATTTATACGTACGGCACTTGGTTCCGTAACAGTTGATGTATAGCCATTGCCGGCTGATCGAAGTCGATTCATTGTGTGACTTTCAAAGTCGGATCCTGAGCCGCGGCCATCGCCGCCGTCTGAGCCGGCGAGCTGGTGTGTTGAGCTAGACTCGTCGTGGGCAGAGGATTTCCTGAGGGTATCGAGTCGGATTGAAGGCTTGGTTCGGCTTCGACCGTCAGAGTGTATGTAACTTTCTGAGCTAGCCTCGGTTCGTGTTCGTGGGTTTGTACAGGTGAAGATATACGTGCACGCCGGTCGAATTACAGGGAGGGAAGCTATGGAGAGTCAGTCGTCCTCACGGCCTATAGCGAGGAATAAGATTATTGCCTACCAGAAACATTGATCAGGTTGACCTCTACAGTTGCCCAAATAACTATTTCGCAGATATTCCATGTCAGATCGGGTGATTTATCGTCGAGCACTCTAGCGGCTACTATCAACCTAATAGCTGCCGCACAAATACTACGTTTGTTAGAAACAACATCAGTCGCTGTATTGTAACACTACTCACAAAAAGCCAAAAGTGAACATAATCATAATGCCAGCCTTTTGCAGTAAGGGCAGTTGTAGCTGTGAAATCTGCCACATTGGTAGGATCAAAATCGCAATATCGATAGCCGCGTGAACAAGAGTAGTACCGAAGAAAAACTTTTTATCCTCGATAGCACAGTATCCGCCCGCATTGGAATCCCAGAATGCCTCGACAGGGACACAGTGAAAGATACCCATAAAGATCTGTCAACAATTAGATTCAAACTCCTCAACTAGATACGAGGGTACGTACTCGGAAAATAATCCAAACGAAGGAACATCCAAACAAAATTTGTATCGGAAGTCGGATATTCGTAAGGTTGAACATACGCCAGTACAGACTCAAAATAGAAACTTTGGCGAAGAATAGACCGAAGGCGTAGAAAAGCTCGGCGATAAACAGCAGCAATTTCCCTTCGAACAATATATCTTCTAGCGTTATGCCCTTAGTAGCAACGATATCAGTAACATGGAGTCCGAGACCGTGATTGACCCCTTACGAGTTAGATCAGCGAATTGGTCGGCGTCGGTCGATATAGGAAACCTACAATAGGGGACAATAATTATCCAACCAACCGAGATAGCCTGGGAAGAATTAGCAGTTGCAGATTGAGGTATAGCAAGCGTAGTAACTTACAAAGCCGCAGAGGGCAAAGTAATCATCCCAAGAGAGTGGAAGCCTTTTGAGTCTTCGACTTAGCAGACGAAGTATTGTGATAATTGTGGCCGCGGTAAAGGTGACAAACAGTACAACCCAAAGTTCTGTCTGTCTGGACTCCATCTTGATCTTATGAGATTAAATCAATAAAATAAATAGAATCCCCAATTAAGGAACCGATTTATTAAAGCTTATCCGGTCCGTTGAAGACCTTAGGATCACTATCAAATCAATTGGGGAGAGGATAAGGACACAAACCGAACTCCAGGGGACGATTAGAATATATGGAGGCAATATTCAGGCGCACTACCGGGGAGATGAAATTTTACTAGTGCAGTAGTATGAGGAACTGCCGTAAAGATACATATGGTCTCCCTGTAACTAACCCCTTCACCCCCAGGCCCTGATAGTGCAGCTGGGAAAAGTTCCCCGGCTCCTAGAACCCAACTAGCCTAGCCTATGTAGCTTGAAGCCTAACCTGAATTTGGTTTCTCGACCTGAAGATCTGTGAAGGCAGCCTGCTATGTAGTCCAAGGAAAGCACCGACCTCGCGATCTTGGTAGTCTCGGCCAAAGCATATACCTTGGGGGAAAGTTCTTGAATATACTTTTGAATAATTGCTCGCTATATCGTGGTCTACAAACGGATATACTGCTTTGTCGATTCCGGTTTTCCTTTGGGGAAGCTAGTACTAGGAAGAAAATGTCAAGCATCAGGGGTATAATAAGGAGAACCAGTAATGGTCTGGGTATTAGCGAAGGTGAACCTTGCATCACTACCACCTCCTAACCCCTACCGCCCCCCCAAAGGCCCGAAACGGTAAGATGCGCCGCAGCCAATAAATTATCTCGCATTAACAGCCATCCCCCGCTTTTCGGGTTCGCCACCATTAGGTCTTCTTCTACAATTACGCAGCCCCAGCCCTAGTACACCCTCCTCTTTATTTACTTCAAGTTCCTCAGGTAGAAACATACCAGAGGCGCCGGTGCCCCCTTTGATTGAACCTCCACACCTTCACTCCGGCACAACATATTATCCCACGATGACTCCCTCTACTACTACCCCGGATCTCGTTCCTGAGCCTGTCTCCAAGCTCCCCGAGCTCACCAGCGCGGACGAATCCGCCTTAAACGAGCACCAGCGCTCTGAGATTGCCTTTGTCGACAAATACAGCGCCCCCGATGTGTATATCAACGGAAAAAGCGATACTCTATGGTTCCCATGGATCGGCCCTATTGAGTTGAAGCCCATGCGCATGGAGAACAGAACCGGTACCTTCGTCGTCGGGCTTCGATCAAAGGTGGCTGCCAGTCTGGGCAAGCATCGACATCGTGGAACCGTTACCGCCATCACCATGTCAGGGGAATGGGGCTATAAAGAGTATGTCGATTGAAGTTCCTATATTGCGATTTTGCTAATCCATCTGCTCGTAGATACGACTGGGTTGCTCGCCCTGGAGATTGGGTATGCGAAAACCCGGGCGTTATCCACACCCTATCCGTCGAGGACAACACCGATATTGTCTTTACCATTACTGGTAGCATTGAGTTCCTTAACGATGACGATAGCTTGAAGTTCACCCTGGATATATTTAGCTTTGCCAAGCTATATTACGACCACTGCAAGGCTAAGGCTCTCAAGCCTAACGAGGCTCTGTGGCACTAAATAGATATGAAACTTATGATCCCAACACGAGACATGATGTTAGTACTAGCCACTACGCAGTATAAGTGCAAACAATTATTCATAGATATCATATTATACTATTTCTATAGCGAAAGCCCCTCTGTCAAGCCAAGAGGATGTTACCGAACCACTAGATACACTTAAGAGATCCCGTCGTAATCAGTACTTCATGATTATACCGCCGATCCTGTTATAGCTGCAGTGCTTGGTAGGTGTACACTTGGGAGGTGTAATACTTGAGAGGTGTGTACGGAGAGTGCTTGAGCAACTAAATGGCTCACAAATAGCTCCATAAGGGACATCCACATGTCCTGTCCCGTGCCAGAGCTACAAGTCCTTTTAGTACCCTATTATGGAGCAAGAGGGGACAACGGCGTTAATTGCGATTTGCTAGCCCGCGAAGTCTCCCATGTCAAGGAATCCTCAAAATACATACCCGATCTAAGTGTACTGAACTCAAAAGGCGGGAATAGAAATACAGAAAATAATAATGAGAGGAAGAGAGTTAGTGGCTGGTATGGGTACACCAAAGTGCTATAAACAGCTCTATGTGTTTTGATAGGGTGTGCATAAATATATTATACACTTACATTAGCACTGATTAGTCCCAGGACAGCCAAAAGTCCCAGATCAACCAAGGATAGAAACATCGAGGAGCTAAATATCGTTAGTCAACCTGGATAACACACGTATACCAATACACTTACGTACGAGATTCCTCGCCTCGCGTATCCTAATCCGCTTATGAGATCCCTTGCGTACGCTAATCTAGCTTAGCCTTTTTTGTGCAAGCCTGTCAAGATGTGGCTATTCCGTAACACAGATCGCCAAGACGATCCCTCCACGGAGTATAGCATTCTCTGCCTCAGTCGCGCTACTGGGAATGTTGGTGCTGCGACCCATGCTGACTAGGAGGATATTGGCTTGCTCATCAGGAGCGATATCCGAGCCCGACGCGCTACAGCGGCACGAAAGCCCAACATCGTTAGGTTCTCATAGTGATATGTCACTTTGAGATGGTATGTCACTTTGAGGTAATGTCACTTTGAGCCATGTCACTTTGAGGTATGTCACTTTGAGGTATGTTACCTCAGGATTAAAATCCGTTCAGACACTGGCTTGAATTATTACTCTAGATCATTTCTGGTGCGATTCCAGGTGGCTTGTTCATTCACCTCGGCGCCAGCAGGCAGCTCGTTGACTGGCTCCTCGATGGCAACGCTCTAGAGTTGATGTTAATTGATACTTGGAAGCAACTCGGGTTCGCCCTAGAGCTCTATTCGTACGTGGTCATTGCAAGTACCATAACGCCACACGGGCTCGTTTCATCCAGGACATTTCCAAACGGCATACTGTCTCTCCCCAGCAAGTCTTATCACCTGCAAAACCTTCGGAATCATGTTTGCCGGCGGGCACGGGCTCTTTGAGCTAATCCCATGCATATCTGTCCTCTTCAGCCAACGGCTGGCCGAGGAGGCGGGGGGTGCTTCATCCCCTTATGGAAGAGTACGACGACAAATTGAACAACTGGGTCATGGACGATGAACACAACCCGGAAGAGGGTTCCGATCAGAAGAAACACTACTACCAGGCGATGAGCAACGAATTTCTCCGCAACAGCATCCATGTCTACCTCCTCCCTGCAATTTCAGGCTCTGTTATTTCAGACCCAGGCACTCTGGCCACCATCAAGGACAACGTGATGGCCATTCTGGGCTCAGACAGACGCTGCGAACCTCGAGTGGTCATCCAATCTCCCGTGGCCCACCCTCATGGTGGGCTCATGCATGAGGCTCCACTCCAGAGACACCGGCAGATTCTGCTGGATGACTTGCTCCATAGCTGGTATGACATGGGCCGCCAGAACCGAGCGATCGAGGCCCTCCAGCTGCTGTGGGGGGCGAACCCTGACCCACGGTGCTACGGTCCGTATGGATTGTATAGAACGATTAAAAACCACAATCCTGCATTTTCGATACTGTGGGCAAGAGAGGACCGGACCATTTTCGTAAGAGGAAGTGAATTGGACCTGAGGGCATAATTTATTACTGATGCCTTGATTACCCCTATTATAGATAGCAGATTGACTTGATTATGATTATCGTAGCGATATCACCATCCAGATAACTTCTACCCTGCACGATTCGACAAGGCAAACAGGGCGGACGACCCAACCAAGGGTCCCAGCTGGCGCCCATTTGAAGGCCGCAACGCAACACGCTATACACAGGCTGTCACGTTGCCATCCGATGAAGCTTCAAATCTTACCTTGTTATAACAAGACTGATATTTAGTCAGAAAGAGGTTCAAAGCTTACCTATAATAATAAGTAACTCTAATATACCTACTAATTTATAAACTACTAAAGCCTTATCTAATGAGCTACCTATTAGATATAGATATAGATAGTAGATAATATATATTATAGTAGATCCTTAGTTATTATAATATAGAACTAATACTCAGCTAATTCTAGCCCCTAAGATCACTCTTACTAGATATATTATCTTACGAGAATATATATAGTTACCAAGCAGTATCTGTATAACTGACTCTAGATGTTTGCATTCTCGTAGGTAAACGCAACATGCAACATCGTGGGATTTTGACGCCAACGATAAGAAAGTAGAACTTGACTCTTTGGTCTATATAATCAACACCTGGAAGATTGTTATATCAAAGAAATCCATGTCGAGCTTCAGACACAAGCACGAATGCCATGACAGAAGAGGAATGAAATAAAGTTCAATAGTAATGAAGCTGCTAGAGCCTGACAACTCAACAAAATGAATACGGAAGCTTAAAATCATCGCCTTCCTAGTCCAAGATGTAGTTATACGGCAGATTTGCCAAGGTATTGAACAGTAATTAGATGCCCAAGCTAATAAGCACACTTTAGTAGGCTACATTTTAGAGAATAATTTAGAGAGAAAGAATCTATTAAAATAGCCTACCCATCTCTACTTATCGCAATTTTTCTTCATTCAACCGCTCCAAGTTCTTTAGTCTACTTGAATTAGCCCGATCTAACAAATGCTTTGGATGAATTAGTTACATCTACCGCATCTTGATTGATAAATGAACATTCGTTGCTGGAACAACCACTGTCGTCCACCTCACCGATGTCCTGTTGTTTGGGTTTGTTAATTCAAAATTATACTTTTTCAGCAGAATCACCAAACAGCTTTTTAGCAAATGTGACACCATCCACCTCCCTGGGCTATCAGAAGTCGTGTTAGGTCAATACTGATAGAGGTTGCTCAAATGCCATGACTGGGAGGTATTCCTACCATGGTCTCGCGGTTGACCCCCAATATGTATACCGCTCGTTAATATCGGTCCATTTTATACGAGCTTGGTCCTCTGGGGCATGCGGTTTGAACCGGAATGGATCGAAGGTGTCCGGGTCAGAGTAGAACTCTGGATCGCGCATGATTGCCTGTTGGGGGATAGCAACGTTTGTTCCGGGTTGAATCGATGTCCCGTCAGAGAAAGTAAATGGGCGAAGTGCCTTGCGTTGAATTGTAACTGGTATGATATGAGCGATACAGAGCAATAACTCCTTTTAGTGATGCACTCACGGCCATCAAGTGTATAAAGTCTTGATACTTCACGAAGTACGCATTCCATCAAAGGAAGATGTGACATAATATCCTCATGACCTTGCTGTTCGGCAGTCAAGATTTCATCACGAAGCAGCTGCATATACTCGGGGTGTCGAGCCAGCTCTATCAGAACCCAAGCCAATGCCTATAACGACGGAGGAAATTCATATGGTTAGCGGGCTGGTTAATGTGATCTAATGGGGGCCTGTAAGTACTATCGGTGGTTGGTGAGCAAACACAAAGGTCATTGCCACGAGAAGCTGTTGAAGACGGACGGAATCCTTTTGGCCTGGCGCACGGGACGATTGAAGGAGAAACTGGGCCATGTCGATCTTTATTTACCAATGTTAGAGTTTCTTCAACAAGGGTTTCCTTTTGTTTTAATGGCATCAATGAACTTACATGACTTGCATTTAGCTCTTCATCAAGCGCACCTAGTCGCTTCTTCATAAGATATCCAGCTACTTCTCCTACTTTATGCATTGAACCCTTCCAAAGCATGAAGAATTTCACAAAGTATCTGTTTTAAATTTAGTTGGATTTAACGATCTAATCTGCAAGGAAAAGAAGCGGCTCTCTTACGGAGCTATGGACCGGGGCAGCAGTTCAAAGAGTGCTGTACCATATGCTGAGTCCCACCAGTAACTTAAGACGATTTGGTTGAACAATGGGTCGGTCGCTAGTATGAAAATGTTAGTCAATGGCGGGAGTGCCCATTATATCGTCGAAATCCAAATATAACTTTAACAATACACACTCACCATAGTCGTTGCCGTAGCATATCTGGATGCAGGATCGAACCAGTATTTCTTTGGTAAAGGACAGCACGCTTACTTCCATGTCCCCCTTTTGCTTCAAACACGGATCTATCACCATACAGCAGCTTTCATCCAACCTCAAGGCGATAGCTTTGGATAATTGCGGAATGCTCTCTCGCAAAAGTATCTTGATCGCTCGGAGAGTCACAGCACCATCTGGATCAAATTCGTTGTGATGGCTGAACCCAAGCATAATCAAACCGGGCTCAACACGCTGATCCAACCACTGTCAGTCAATCTAGATTCAATGGGGTGAAAAGAAGGGCATTGGAGGCCGGTTCGAATTCTTACATCTCTCACTACAGCATTAAATGAGAGTACCCGCTCCGGCGCATTGCCTAAATCTTTAATGTGATCAGCTCGCGACACAAGAACTTGATATGACTTGAGCGCAACCACCGCAAACGGCAGGCCGCCACTCTACAATCAAGTCAAAATCTGATCAAAAACTGAGATACTGGGGGACCATTCAACCTCCTTGTAAGCCTTGGTTATGATAGATTTTGCCCGCAGCAAGTAGTCGAGCGTGCTGAACCATTTTCCCAACGTCAGGGAGCTGCAGTTGACCACTCGTATTCCTTCCTAGAAAGACAAAAGCATGGGTTAACTGTCCGTTCCCCATGTCAAATTTGTTTGAACTCAAGCTACTAATGAAGTTTTTGAAATTGAAAAACGCCGCGTGATTTCGACGGGACTTGAAGTGGTGTATCTTACAGGTCTATTCATAAACAACGAAAGTGAATTCAGGTAGCCCCATGATATGAGGACGATGCCGAAGTAAAGAAGTAGAACGCCTGGACTGAGGCTACCAACGACGATTCCTTCCAACATTTCTAGAATGCTGGGCGATTAGAATAGAGCCACCTGAGTTACTACCGTCTCTCTGGCTTGAACGCGTTTGACAAGGTCGCTCGACTCGGGCGAGTTCTGTGTACAAAATGCATAGGAACACCAACTAACAAGGGACATTTTTATGTCGAGTGATCATCCCCAGTATTTCCCGCTCACCAGGCTTATACTCGTTACGTGTACAGATGCAATATTACGAAGCTTAAGCATGATTATGGCTAGTGCCAGCATAAACACAGTGTCTTTCCTTCCCACTTGAACTGTGATGCACGATAACGGAAGATGGTCCGACATGGTCCGGAGGCGGTAGGAGGAACTTCGGATAATGTGCATGTTGACATCCATCCTTAGGGTTGAAGATACTAATCCCCAAACGGCTGGATGCTTCGTTGGTGGGTTGTATTGCCATCGTGCCAAGCAAACTAACCATGCAAGACAGTTCTTGTATGAGCTACAGGCTGTTGCCGATGTAACATCTTACCATATTATATCAGAAAACCAGAGAACGTTAGTCCAAAGCCCCCTATCAATACCTTGTCGATTTGAAAGTTGGCCAGATCGGCCGTGGATCTCTCCGCTTCTACTATGGTCGGGTGCTGCATATGACTGGATAACCGCAGCCAACATCTTTGCACGACTGCCCTTGACCACCAGTAAGAGGCATGAAAATCTGGGGCCTAGTGGATGGGACAAGTTGAAAATACTACGGTGCTCAGTCACAGTAGGGCCAAGGAGAATGATTCTCAAGATGGCGTGATTCGACATGGCAGTGGACCATTTTTGAGAACGCCAGAATGCGCTGATGGCATTGCGGCTGGCGCCAAGTTGCAGGCAGGCAGACAAATTTTACGTAAATGGAACAGCAGCTGAACTAAGTAACAGTCGCTAAACTACTTCCTACAGGTCCAGTCGACGTCTAGGGGAAGCAGTTGCGCTCCAGTTAGTTCGCTATTACTGCCAATGCATCAAGGCAGTATCGTTCGATCGGAGTCCAGTGTATCTCAAAGTATCCTTCCACAAAGTCCTCGTCTTTCTCTCGTCTCTAGCCTCTTCCGACATTGGCACCATTTCGTTGCCATTCAGGTATAGTCCTTTTGGCCTGTCACCCAACGTTGGGTTACATTCAAGCATAACCGCCAGCATATCCTTGCCTGACTTAGTATTGGTTCGCACCCCAGCATTGGACGAAAACAGGGACAAGACGAAAGCTAGGATAGCCATCACAAAGTGCCCGATGAAAACATGCACGATCCAGCCTCCACGTCGGGTGATCCCGCTGGGGGTCGCGCCAGGATCAACTCCAACAACAGATATATTGTGGAGAGCCTTGTCAAGGTCAATGCGGCGCTGAAGTTCCGGGCTATAGCAAGTAGATGTCAGCAACCGCCGATCGGAGTTGGTACGTATTGCGGGATGTCACATACATCATCATAACTTGACATAGCTTAGCAGCACCGTAGCGCCGATATCCACTCCTAAAGGAGGAATCATCCTCGTTGGTACTCCACGTACCCCGAGCGAGTGGGTCGGTACTGTCATGGAATATCTTCCTCCACTTGAGATCCCTGTACTGACCACCAACCGCATTATGGTTGCTCTCCGTGCTGAAGGATGAGGTTGGATTAGTTCAGACCTTGACATCAGGCAACAGCCATGCCACCAATGGCAAATGAAGCAACTTACTCATGTACCGCGCTGCCCACGACAACGACGCGCCCGGCACTCCGGTCCATGCTGCCAAGCAACATCAAAGTCAACAGCCAATGCCCAAGGTAGGCGGAGGCAAAGCTCATATCGAACCCATCCTCTGTCCACGTCTGTTTAAATAGCTCAAGGTAAGCCGCGTTCAGAACCAAGGAGCGTAGGGGAGGGATTTGACCACTCTTGATGCGCGCATCAAGTTGTTTGGCAAATCTGCGAATCTCCGAGAGCTGGGTCAAATCCAGCAGCAGTATTTCAAATGAATGACCGCTCTCTTTCAGAGAATCTCTCAATAGTTTTGCTGTTGCCTCATTCCGAACAGTGTAAATCCCGTGGTAGGAAGCTGCATGTTCCGACTTCAAGGCAAACTGCGTGATTAGTGCACGACCTAGGTCTCCATTGGCTCCCGTAAGAAGGTAGGATCCTTTAAGTTTCGTCATTTCTTTATGATTTCAATGAAATATGTCTAGAGGGGTAATCGTTGACTTAAAAATGATGGAGGCTGTTGTCTGGATGAGACTGGTCGAAATATAATAGTCGAAACTGATGGCAGTTCCTCGGAGCACATTGTAGACCAAAGTCTCGAGAGAGGTACTTTTTCTATCCACCAATGCTAATAAATTACTTGGCATCATGCAAGAAAAATTTCCTCCCCTTGTCTGGCCTGGAATACCCAGCCAACAATCTGCCCCTAATCATCACACCCTCACCCCCCACCCCCCTGCCTTAGGCTGCCTCACGCTCGAGGGGTGACGGGTTTTCAGAGCCCAGAGCTTACCCGATATCATGCGAACTGGCATTTTGTTTGTGGCTGTGGCTGCCAATTGATTGCCGAGATATGACACGCCTATTGGTAGCGAGAATGGCTTGCGGAGATGCAAGAACCGCACAGGTGTAAGGTCACATACTCAAAATATATAAGAGCATCGGCTCCATGGTAAATATTGTGCAGGCTTAGCACATTGCATCCAAATTATCCTGCCAAAATGAGTCCTCTCTCTGAGCTTTTGCACAACCTACCCCCACAATATGTCGGCTACGTCTATACAATACTCCTGCTGCTCATTTTCTGGGTGTCTTGGCGACTCTGGAGGTTCACCATTTCTCCAATACTCCACCCCGAGCTACCAAAAGAACTCCCCTACTGGATTCCGTGTGAGTATCTATATTAGAACAGGTATTATTCTGTGGCTTTATTGACACCTGCAGTCCTTGGCCACGGGCCGGCGTTCTTCAAGAGCTCAGAGGCGCTAGTAGCTAGAGCCAGGTATAGACAGTGACAAGAACTCAACAATTCCTTGGACTATGTGCTGATTCTTGTGGCTAGTAATTACTGTGGCAGACAGGAGCCGTTCGCAATAACGCTATTTGGCAGCACCCTGTACATTGTCGCCAACCCGCAACATACAGTGGAGGTGTATAAGAGTAACCACTCGCTTTCCTTTGATGAATTTGCCGAGGAGCTGGTCCGAACAAATGGATATAGCAAGTGGGCTGCCAAAACATCCTACACGGACCTACCTAAAGACAAGGCAGGATTCCCTAATCCAAAGGGGACGTCATTTGGGGGCCTGATCCGGCAGATGCATATTCACCAGCTGTACCCTGGTGACAGGCTACGAGTGATTGAAGACCAGTTTCTAGATTGGTATGATCGGAATTTACAGCTGAAGAGCATCCAGACAGGGTCTATGGTTCACAGTAGCAACGGGAATGATACGACAGTGCCGCTGATGGCATGGGTGTCGGATTATGTGACGCGCGCAGGGGAGGCGGCCTATTTTGGAGACAGTCTGGGCTCGATTGACCCGGATCTAGCCCGGGCTTTTCTCGAATTTGACGATCTGAGCTGGCAGGTTTTGTACAGGTACCCGGCTTTCTTAAGCGGTGAGATGCGAAGTGCCCGCCGGCGAATGATGCAGGCCTTCTCCAAGTATCTGGCCATCCCCCAGGAAGAGCGGACCAACAGTGTCTGGCTTCTCAAGGCCATGGAAGATGAAGCGAGAGGCATTGGAATTCACGACCAAGATATCGCCGTGCTATACTTCAACATCTACTGGCTGTAAGTAGAACTTCCTTCAATCTTGTGTAGGTCATCTCACTCACGCCGTAGCGCAGGATCAATACCAACACGCGTAAAATTGCCTTCTGGATGCTTTCCTTCCTTCTCCACTGCGACGCTTCACTCATTGACCCAATCCATGCCGAGATCGGTGGCGCATTCCAAGGTAATACACTGACAAACCTGACTTACATTTGCCAGTCCTGCCCCACGCTGGATCGTGTCTGGCATGAATCGCTTCGGCTATGTTCCAACGCGGCTTCCGTCCGCTTGATACGTAGCGACACCACCATTGGTGGGAAGAGGATGCTGACAGGCAACCGCATCATGATCCCGTATCGGCAGCTCCACTTCGATGGGCGTGTGTATGGGGCAGACCCGGACAACTTCCACCCTGAGCGCTTCGACAAGGCAAAAGGGGGGGGCGACCCAACCAAGGGCCATAGCTGGCGGCCATTTGGGGGCGGCAATACGCTATGCACCGGCCGCTACATTGCAAGGCGGTCGACGCTGATCTTTGTCGCTCTGATTCTGCGCCGGTTTGATTTGGAACTCGTTGGGCCAACTGGCCCCCCTGAGCCCGACATTGGCAGACCCGTACTTGGCATCTCGGGCATCAAGGACACGGAAGACTTCATGGTCAAACTGAGGCCCCGGTGAGAAATGTAACCAGGGCCTTCGGGCCAGCGGGAGCGAGAATAAGCTCAAGGTAGTGCCCGATATTAGCCCCTGGCGATCAATCATCTAATACTATGTATACTCGGAACATCTGCCGCAAACCATTGAGCTAGTCCCACTCCAAGTCACATAATGCTAGGGTTATTACGTAGTAAATTATGAACTGTTGGCTCTACCTAGTTGTTGGTGGTCTATACCTTGCATGCAGAGCTGAATAAATCAACTCCACCTTGTTGCCTTGCCTCCTCCCAACAGCATTATGCTGTCCTTGATTTACAGCGCCTGCATATACGGGCCTCTTCTCTGATGGTACAGTTAGCCCCTGCATATGGCACCTCCCAACCGAAGCACTTTTCTTGGTTTTGTACCGTGGACACTCGCTCAGCACCTAGCCAGAATAAAAATCAAAGCCCCTCATCCTCTGCTCCGCACTCTTTGCTGTCCCATTTTGCGTATCCACGATCAGGTTTGCCGGCATCACGAACATCCCGTCAACTGATTGCACAACATGCCGCCCACACTTTGGAGCCTCTTGACACAATGCTATCCCCCAGCTCCCCAATTCACCGATAAGGATGTGCCCGACTTGGCTGGTAAAGTATGTATCATCCATGAACATTTTCATTTCGCTCAAGTCAGACAAGTTTATTCTAATCGTCTGGTAGGTCTATATTGTTACTGGCGCAACATCAGGAGTTGGTAAAGAGCTGGCTCGCATTCTGTATGCGAAGAACGCCAAGGTTTACATTGCTACGCGAGAAGAGAAGGACATCATCAGCAAAATCGAGCAACTTGAGCCAAGCTCAAATGGCAGCTTAGAATTCCTCAAACTAGATCTGGCCGATTTGCGGTCAGTCAAGGCAGCAGCAGAGTCCTTTATTGCGGCTGAGACTCAGCTGAATGTGCTATTCAATAATGCTGGTATCATGACAAATGATGGCAAGAATGGGGTAGTCAATCAGTCAGCACAAGGCTACGAGGAGCAGCTGGCAGTGAATGCCTTGGGCCCATTTCTCTTCACTAAGCTGCTCAACCCTCTGCTCCAAGCTACAGCCGCGAAAAAGAGCACATGGACAAACGAGGTCCGTGTTGTCTTTATTTCTTCTTTTGGTGCAGAAATGTACCACGAAAGGCGGGTAGGCATCGATATGGAGAATCTCGACTACCATCATCCCAAGGCTCCTATGGAGCGCTATGCTATTAGCAAGGTAGGCGTATGGACATACGGTGTTGAGTTTTCGAGGCGCTTCAAGGCCGAAAGGGTTATTGGAGTTCCTGTCAACCCCGGAAACCTGCGATCTGATCTTTTCTCGCAACAAGGCATCCTACTAAGACTTCAAATGGCTCTTATGCACTACCCTCCAGTCAAGGGCGCCTACACGGAGCTGTATGCAGCCTTCTCGCCTGATATTACACAAGAAAATGCCGGCACCTATGTCTTCCCCTTCGGTCGGATGGGTGAGATCTGCAAGGAGCTCCAGGATGCAGCTGAGCCGAATGGTGGAGTGGACCTGGCGCGTAAGTTCTGGGAGTGGAGTGAGAAGCAGGTTGAGAAGTATGCCTGATTCTTCGCCTGTCTCAGTCGGGGTTGCTAGTTGCATACATAGTGTTGATGTAATAAAACTTGCTTGCATATACCCCTCTCCAGGTAAAGGGCAAAGGTTAGAGAATATATACTGTGTCTTGCTTGTTTACCTTCAGACGTAGCGCTCACCCCCCTCTTCTCCTTTTCCGTCATGCAGAATGTCACTTCTCGTACACCTGCTACCAAAAGGCCTTCCCGTGTACATCCAATTTCCATCACCCATTAAGTACTTGAATGTAGCTGCTACACGAATCCTTTACCGTATACCATCATCCTGCAGATCGAAGGATTCCCCCAAAGACAGTATGACCCTGCAGTATCCGACAAGGCAACCAACTCAATGTCACCTTGAGGACGAACCTTTCCACCTATGAGCAACCTGATCAAGATGGTTCTTTGGCAAACTCTTTCTATTTATGGTGCATAAGCTTGCCTTCATACCCTTGTGATCAAAACCCCGCTACCGTGATGTACCCGCCCTTCTTTCTTAAACTAATGATACATACTGTAAATGATTCCATCTATGTTCAACTTCAGAAACTGCCTTTATCACTAGACTTTACCTTACACGATCAACGGCAACACAAAGATAACAAACGATGGTATCCGTCCCAGGTGTTGATCTTTGCCAATTCCCTGCAGCGACGCCCCCCGCTGGAACCGTCCCAAATTTCAAAGACCCTCCTTCTCATGCCCCAGCACTGATTGGAGTAACTTCTGTCATGATATCATGGTCGGCTATATTCCTCCTGGGCCGGCTCTGGGTTTCTCGACATCGTTTCCATATAGCGGATGGTATGTCTTTTAAACGGCCTGGATTTTGTTTTTGCCATGAATCTCGTATTAACGGGGGAGCAGCATGCGCAATCTTAGCTTTCACTTTCTGTGTGGCATACTCAGGCCTCATCTTCTGTAGTAGGTTTTTCTGCCCTCAAAAACTTGTCCTACAGTCTTGTTTAAGCTCTGCAGTTTGGGGAGGATATATACTGACAATGGACATGAAGTGCTCGACTACATGCGTCACCAATATGACATCCCCGCCTTTTGGTTCAATGCCACATATGTCAAGTTAAATACCTACTAGCTCTTTGGATGGCTCGCGTGAGGTGCTAACTAACGATCCCAGCTGAACTGCGCAATGCAGATCCTCATGCCGCTTGCACATACATTTTCAAAGGCCGCCATCTTCTCCCTTCTGTTCCAGATATTTTCCATCAACCGCAAGATGAAGGTACCCATCTATGGCGGCCTGGTATTCGTTGTCCTTGTCTACGGGTCCAACTTCATCGTCGGCCCATTATACTCGGTGCCTTACGCGGGCGAGACATGGGACGACATGTTGATTAATCGCCGCCCTGCAAAACTTATCACGGTTGGCTTGGTACAGGCTTTGTTCGCTGTGGTGATCGACCTGTACATTTTCTTCCTCCCTTTTCCAATTCTCAAGAGTTTGAATCTCAAGACGAGCAAACGGATCCAGCTTGCTTTCGTGTTTGGAACCGCCTTGATGTGAATATTACATCCTTACCAAATGTATTGAAATTAGACTAATCATCTCTGGACAGGGGCGTCATTGCTAGTGTTATTGGACTAGCTCTACGTGTTCCTTTGCTGACGTCTGAGGATTCGAGCTGGGTACAAGGTCAAGTCTTCATCTGCATGTAAGTATAGAAATTCATTGCTGGACCTGAGAAACGCAGTTTTGCTAACTGTGAGGCCTCAGCATGGTCGAGATCTATATTGCCGTTATAGTATCCTGCTTGCCTGCGTTCGCAAATTTCTCTAAAGTATACATCTCCTCGTCCAGCTTCTACAAAACTCTCACTTCCATCGTTATTAGCCTTAAGAGTAACAGCGATGGAACTGGTTTCCCATCGAGTAGCGAGAGTTGGAGGATGAGAGCTAGGAATGCAGGGAACAAACCATCGGATGACGTTAAGCTCAATACCGATGAGTTCGACCCATACCAACAGTTCCAAGATACGGTAGATCTTACTTCGACATGGAATGGAACCACTGTTAATGAGGCCACGGTAGGCTCAGTCTATGACCGAGACGAGCCTGAGTCTGGCATTCTGAGGAGATACCAATCTGAACAGCCACATGAACCTCGCAGGGTAGATTTAGGTACAAATTATCACACCCAACATACTTAGAGAGCATTATGGCGTAGGATAATACTTTTCTGTTGCTACTTAAATGGTACTTAAATTCCATAAATGATATGCAGTTTTGAAAGAGAAAAAAAAACTCAGAACCTTAAGGTTAAATTTCACCTAGTACAGGGGTGAAATTTACCATTAATCCTATGCTTGCTGTGAACCCAGATACGGCTCATCTTCGTCCGCTTGCATGCTGTTCTTACTAGCGCTAGCGTTGCCATTGTATCTCAGTATAAATTGACTGTAGTAAAAGTCTTATCATGGCTACGCTTGCTCTCTAGGGTGAGCTTTCCATTCCCCTGGCATGTTGTTAGAATCAAGGAGTCTGCTTCAGAAGAGTAGGAAACGTACAAATACCCAGTTAGGAAACGGCGTGAATGTATGCCGCTCTCCATTCAGCTCGAGGACGCCCTCAAACCGATATAGCTGCAAAGTACCCCGAGTCGTGTTACATATGAGGTCTCCTGCCAGGCGGTGCCACGTCAGATTATCAAACAGCCGCCTGATATCCATCGTGTCGAGGCGCAGGTTCTTCGTGAGCATGAGCAGCTCCAGCCATGATACGAGGAACTCCTTGTCACTCTCATAGGTAGATCGGTACCGATGCTTCTCCAGCGTCGTGCGAACCCCGTTGTTGAGCATCTCCTCCACGTGTTCACGATACTTCTTGATGTCTGGGAACGGATCGACCCCATGGTCGCAGGTAAGAGCGTATTCGGCGACCTCGTAGAGGATCCACAGGCGCGGCTCGAAGGGCGGGTAGAACCAGGCGAAGCCTGCGTTTCGGATGATGGCCGACATGGTCTGTAGCGTGCTAGCAAAGTATATGTCCTCCGCTGGTGTCCGGGGAGATTGGGGCGTGCACGTCCAGTCTACCCAAATATAGTCCCAGCTCTGCGGCCCGAGTGATTCTTGATGCAGGCGAAGATATTTCCCCTCGGGGTCTGGATCATCCTTTGAGTGCCAAAAGTGGCTGACGAAGAAACATGTGGCGCGAGAGACGTAGCCGTTGGCGGCGGGTAGAAGTACATAGTCGTCCAGCCGGTCTCTACTCCATTTTGTCATCGCATCCTGCCTTAGAAACGCTTCCCTTTTCTGGAAGAACCAAAACGCGAAGCCCAATGTTTGACCCTCCAGAAACTCATCCAGGCTGTTGCATTTCTCCAAGATGCCTTTCAATAGTGTATTGAGAGGAAGCGGTTTCCAGGCCTCAATACTGTGGCGTACGAGTAACTTCCATGCAGATGTGGCGTCGCTGGACGGTTCCATCTTTCCCTTTATTTTTGGGGGGGGCAACAGAAGATTTGGAGGGCGTCGACAATGCTGGCGTGGAGAGAGAAACTGTCTGACACTGAACACTTACTCTGACAACCAAGGCGGGGAATGAACTCGACTTTATAGAATAACTAGGAGGGTGGGTGAGACGGTCGCTTAGAGGGCTGCATAAGCTTACAGGTGTGTTTATGCATGTTAGTTAATGTGTGATGCTACTCTCTGGGAGGCGAATTGACTCAGTCCATGCGAACCACTGGCACAGTAACAATCCAACATGCTACAGGCAGGCAAGGCAGAGGCAATTATCCACCTTGACCAGTCCAATCTTCATACAGGACAGCGACTTTAATGCTTTTGCGTTAGATAATGTCGGCTGCTTGGAGTTTTCCTAATATCGGCAATGCAAATCCTATCAAGGTAATAACGAGATAGGGTACATAAAGGGGAAATTATTAACAATCTACTCTCCCGGTTTACCCTTCAATAACTAAAATATTCTATGTTCTAGGCATATGTATCCTGCTCTAGTCAACAGTGGGGTGAGGTCCTATCTAGGCTCTTAATGCCTTGTCTCAGCGAAAAGTGAGGCGAGGGTATGCCTACAGAAACGCCCTGCCACCCCTGTCGCGCTGGGTTCTAGCGTGTTCTGCTCCTACTATCTTCTCGTTCATGTCCACTACAACATGCCACCTTTTCAATAAGATCTTTGTTTTGCCCCCGGTCTATCAGTTTCACATCCCTCAGTACATTTTGGGACAGATTATCTCCACCCAAACTCCGTACGGGTAAGTATTTAGCATAAAGAAAGATATTTACCAATACAATTACAAATGAGGGAAGCTGACCTAGATGTCTTTCATCGCGACAAGTGATCGCTATATAGCTAACGTAGCTGTCTGCTATCACGACGAGCGATTGTTATGAAGGTGATGATCGTGTCTCTCATAATAACAGGCAATTACGATAGACCAGCATATCTACCGTCAAGACAAGCGATCGCTATGTAGGTAACCTAACAGTATACCGTCGAGACGAGGGATTACTGTGATGATCATGTGACCTGCGCGTCTGCTATTCAGACTACTGATTGCTATTCCCCTGACTAACCTGTCTCATTAAAAAGTACCTAAAGGTTGATCAAAGTTTACTATAATTTAAGTGTCAAGTAACTAATGATACTATTTATGAACAAAAATCTGAACTCTATTTGATATGTCTCTCTTTAATCTCAATAATTTCCGCTAATTACTTACAAGGGAGCAGGAGCAACACCATCCGGCTTCACAACAACATAATCCTCAATCAAAGCACTGCCATTCGCCAATGCCGCCAATTGCTCCTTTGTACATGAAGTAGGCGCTTGCATCAAATAACAAGCATTCTTCACTGGCTCAGGCACTTCATTCTTCACATCCCTCACCTGATCTGGTCCCTTTGTCGAGTAACCCCCTTCCACTTCTGCGAGAGTCACCTTGCCTGTAGCCACATCCTTCCCAAACATGACACGATCGAATAGTTTGGACAGAGTCTCAGGTTGATAACCACCTACACCGTGGCCAGCTTGGAAAATGCGAGAAAAGGAAAGTGGACCGTGTTCTCGAACAAAACCACCTTGGTAGGAGCAGTTTGTCGTGATAGGTTCGTATCCGGCGGAGCGGAATCCATTAGCGGAGGAAAAGTCCAGAGAAAGACTGACATTTTCACCTCCGAACCCTGTTCACAAATACAATCAGTAACCAATCCTTAATGTGTAAATCCTTGATGTGTGAATGATGGGTTGTAAACTTACAGTTGCATCGATAGTCTCTATCTCCATAAATCATAGCAACATTGACACCACTCTCCATCACTCTTTCAAGAGAATGCAGTGATCTTCTCATAGGATCACCAGTCTGCAACATGAATGCCAGATTTGTCTTTGCCGAACTAATCGTAAAGTTCAACGGCACACCAAGTTCCTCTTGCACCCATCGATTATTGAAAAACGCATCTTGGTAAGGTTTAGGGAAGATGGTAATATTGGAATGCGTGACATCAAAAGGAGATCGCTAAAAGTTTCATCAGTATATAACTTTTGAGTATTAGGGGATGGTAAAATGTACATCGCCTGCCTGTGAATAAGCAGCTTGAATACCAAAGAAACAAGTCTTTGACGCAGCCACACATGCCTCATTGACTGTGTTATTGGATCCATAGCTAAGGGGGTCACCTTGCTCGGCAAGCTTTCTGCATTGATCAATCAGAGCGTAGCATCCTTTTCCAGGTTCAACAATGGCAGCCATAGCTTTTTCGTAGACTTCTTCAGGATAGACCTGAAGCCCGAAGGTGTTGTTGTAGGCAAAGGTCGGGTAGCCCATTGCCATAGCGCGAGTGTCGATACAAGCGTCTGCAAGACCAAGAGTAGCTAGGTTGAGGGGAGTGGCGTTAGCGAGTGCGCCTGTTTCGTTGTTTCTGATGAGGTTGTTTTGATCTTGGAAGTATTCGAATGTGCCTGGTCCGTAGAATCCACCGTACTATAATATTATCAGCAAGCATTCCTTTGGAGTGGTGTATGTTCTGATTTATACTTACTGATACAGCCCAGAGAGAGAGCTCATCATTGTTTGTTCGTTGTTTCGGGAAGCTACAACCTATTAGTTGTCCATTTCAGGAGCGAACTTGTCCTGTTCGGCTTACTCATTCATCCACACTTGAGAAAATGCCCAGAGGGTTCTGGCAGCACTGGCAGTGTTGTTGATAATCATCTCAGGCTTTCCTTCATTGAAAGTAGCCTGTCGGAACGTGGCATTGAGCTCTGGCAGAGAGTCACCTTCCTTCAATGGCGTGAATTGCTTGGTGAGAAGGTTGCTCACCCCGTTGGCCAGCGATACATATGAGAAGCCAGTGTCAAGAGGCTGATCAATGTACAACATGTTGACATGGTTGTTCCATGAGAACTTGTTCAAAGTGGTCGAGTTGGCATCGGGGTTGAAACGGCATGGGAAGTCGGACATTCCATCAAAGGAGGTTGTTCCGGGGCCGCCTCCGAGGTAGATGGACGTTGGTGCGTTCTCAGGGTCATTTCGGGCCTCTATTAAACATCATAAGTCAATAGTTCTCATCTTTGAAGTGGAAGGGTGATGAAGAACATACCAAAATACCAGAAAAACATGTGAGCTGCAGCTCCATCCTCCCATTCATTCGCAATAGGATGAAGAAGCTCCTTGGGTATTTTGACGTATCCGGAATACGAGTTGACTCCTTCTGTAGTCTCGCAAATACTTGTCTATATTATTTGGTTAGTGGCAGAGTAAATAAAGGTGGTGTTAGCGATGAACCTTTTTGAAAGATACTTCGGCTCCCTCAAACAGTTCCGATCGAACGACTGTTGTCCCTTTCGGCGCGGGAGGGAATGCCTGAGCGGCAGCACTTCCCAACAAGGGAAGAAGAGGTAGAATGGAACGCATAACAAATATCACGAGAAAAACTATTGTATGATTCTGATGAGCAGAGTTAGATGTCCAATTTCGAGATATTCAAAGAAGATATTGAGAATCTTATGTATTTTCCCTCTAAAGCTCAGCCGTGGCGGTACAAGACAGACCAGTGGATCATCACTAGCAAGAATTGCGATGGAGCCTATCAACATGGCCCATCAAGGTCCCGGTAAACACAAATTTGGAGTTTTTTCAGGGGTTTCCATCTTACAGCCCATCTTAACTCGATTAGATCAGGGCAATTATTATTAGTAACGAGAGACCAGCTGTTAACCAACTGACAAGGGTGGCTGTGCTGAGTTGAATGGTCGGTGGATCATGGTTGTGGTTCAAATAGCGAGCCAGCCAATCAAGTGTGTAGAAATTGCGCAGATCTGCCAATGCTTGACGCTTTGGCAACTTGGCTTTTCTTCATGTATGGATTAATGGGGCGGAATGATATGCGCCACATTCATATTTTGGGGATAGTAGATATCGTCCTTAATATTAATCTTGCGAATTCTAAATAACATATAAGACTTTCGCCAGGTAAAGGGTCCATCAGACTTAATAATTATACACCGAGACCAAACATGTCGGCGTCAAGGCTCGATGTCACCAATCCACCACTACTAGAAACATTTTTGGTTAAAAATCATTTGATTAAAATTATGCTTTTTATATTTGTAGGTTTATCCACTAAACTAGCTAAAACTTTACTGTTAATGGTTTCATCGTGACCAAAGGCTTCTCGGGATCAAATCCGCTCATGACAAGCTGCAAATTCAACTCCCTCGAGTCAAATTGATTCGCCATCATCACAGAGCTTACTCTCTGCTGCTCCGAAATGCGAGCCATACCATCCCACGTGTAACATGTAGGTGGTGAAAAGTCCGCCAAAGACCAAGCTCCCCATGGAATGGACAATGAATCAGTCTGCACTCTCTTCTTCAAAAGGTGATTTTCACACAGAGAACCAATATTCTCATATTCCTCCCACAGTCCCTCCTCTTCCACATCCATAATACTAGAAATGGCCACGGCCGCACCATCGCTCCTCCACATGCCTTCGTGGCGATTCATTTTTCTCATGAGATTCAGAATATGGCGCCTCAATGCCGGATGTCTACATCTTTTGGCAGCATCAAATAGAGGCAGCACTACTGCAGGCTCAAGACTGAGTTGAAGGGATTCCGTTTTGTTGTCGTTGTTTCCTCCTCTTCTTTCGATAAAGATGTGCACAAGTGTCGCGATGAGTTGAAAATATCCCAAACAGTTGTCGTGTCGGACTTCCGGTCCAAATAGTTTTGTTTTAAATATATATCGTAGCCAGGCATGATAGACTCGAATAGAAATGGCTGCATGCTCGTCTAAGAAATCATGACGACGCGCTTCGAACTTGGTCATCGTGCGTTCAAAGTGCTCCAGATCCAGTCGCACTTGGTCATTAACGGTACGATAACTCGCGTCGTCCATGCCGCCGTCCCAGTAATTCCGACCATTGACCATTAGTTGCCGTATGATATCGAATAATGTAGATGCAGCGTGGGAATAGGAATTAAATACACCGTCTCCTGTCACTTGGTTGATTCCTCGTATAGCGGCTGATTGGGCAAAAGGATATGGTGAGTCTGAATCACTCAGTGTAAACGATTGCATATCCATCCGTGTCAGTGTCGCGGCAATTCGTTTCTTCACATCATCAAATGCCGATGGCTTTGGTACCTCAGCCAGTATCCGAAAACTAGACAGGATGTGCATGTGAGACTCGGACCAAAGGCCGAGCATATTGGCTGCAGCGATGAGGGGCAGGCCCAAGGCGAGCAGTTTGTCAGGTGAATCCAGAGTACTTGCCAACGCCATGGCCTTGCCGTAGTGAACGGTCGCATGGCGAATCAAGGTATCCATTTCCTCTCCTGGAGAACTGAGCTCCCATCTCCGATGTAAGGCTCCAACAGCGATGGTCGCGTGCCACATGGCAGGTTCGTCATGCGCAAGCTGCAAAAGATCCTGGCCCCAGAACATAGAGGGGATAAACGAGTCTGTATTGGGTGCTGTTGTGCGGCGAAAATGGTCAAAGTACTTGACGTCTTGAGGTGATGATGACGACGAGGATGATGCTTGTTGGCCTGTGAACGGTGGGCTGGGCGCGGGTAACGAAGGCAAATTGCATTTGTGATTGGCAGCCAGGACCTCAGAGGCTGGTCCGACGATGGAAGAATTGCTAAGGGCGTCCAATAGTTGGCGACGCGACATCTTTTTGCCGGGGGAGAGATATCCATCGCATGTTCTTCTAGCGGATTGACACCGGAGGCATTGAGGTTTGGTTTCGTCGCATTTGACGCGACGGATTCTAGTGACCTCAGTGATGAGTGGGAAACTTGGGCGTGTAGATCTAGGTCTAACTCACCTGCATGAGATGCAGCCGGTCTTAGTCCGTGTGATCATTATTCAATTCGGTATTTCCAATCGTCTTGATATCTTATTTTTTGAGCTGAATGGAAAGATGAGGATCCCGATACAAAACGTCAGCATTTACGTCGCACGTACAATCGGTGGGAGACACTCAGTTAGGATAAATTACCTAATACAGGACGTTAATTATTGTAGCGCTCCATTATATCAGCCCTGTAACTTCTTAGGGCGCTGATATTGATGAAGTTATGCAATCCTTCTAGAGACACCTAAAAATAGATGCAGTATGTCTCTGATCTACTGATGCTGTTATGAAGCACCAGTCAACCGCCAATACCACTCACTACCCTATAGCCTGGGATTGGTATTGTTTTCTTGTACTATATTATTGTTCTTATCTGCGTTTATGTTTTTGAAAACATATGTATTTATTATTTCTCGGTAAAATCGATGGTTAAAATTCTATTTTTATTATAGGGACATCGATTGCCTTGCATTTGTATGATGATCAGTTTTGAGCAGGTTGATCGCCTAAACTGAGGAACTCTCTGAGAGTAACTCTCCCAACTACTCGTGACTTGGAAGATTTGGGGTATGATCATCAATCCTTTCGCCGAGAGTTTCAGGAAATAGCACTTGTATTTCGGAAGGGATGAATTTCTTTGGGAACTGGTAGAATAAGTCCTGTCTACGCGCGTAATGTTCACGGTGCTATCGCCGGGTTTATCTTGGAAGTGTTGGTGGGTCCACCTAGGAAGAGCTGGCGACTTGTTTGGGCCCACCATTATGAGCTTTCATTGGCTAGGATTAACCAACGCGTATCGGTGCCAGGATAATTGAGACAACGCCGTCAGAGGTTAACCCCGAAATCGGGCAAGCCTCGGCGCTTCCAGCGAATAACGGTTGTTGTCCTTGAGGAAAGCCTGGAAAGGCAAGGACGGCCTGGAGGCTGCGACGAAGTACCTAAAACATCACACCTTTGAACATAGGTAGGTATAGCCGCTCGCCGCTCGCCGCTCACCAGGGCTAGGTGTCTACTTTAGGGGCTATTTCACTGTTAACTAAACAGGTAGAGCCAGTTACGAATGACCACCGAGACGGAGCCCGTTAACTTGACTTCGACGTTCGAAAATCAGAGGGCGTCAAATTTCTTAAAGATGAACCAGAAAGTATCTTGTGTGCTTTGTGGTGCTCCAATCTTTGAGCCTGAGCCCGAAGATCCATCAAGCAAGTGGATGAGCTCTTTTCGCGCACGTAAGTATTGTCAACACATCTTTCAAAGACCTTCATTAGCCAATATTCGCTCCCTGGATTTACTACTTGAGACTACTGATAAGATACCTAGTGTACACGGTCTGGGAAGATTGGTCCCAAGCGCGAATATCGGGTGTCGGGCGATGCAGCTGGCGTAATATGATTCCGCTAGATCAAGCGGTGGCAAGACAAGCTCCGTCGGCCATCGTCGACGGAGTCTGGTTGAAGGTTAACCTCTTGATGCACCTTTTCGACCCAGCGCTTCATGTTGAGTGGAACCCACAGACTGTGTGGGGGTTTCCGCTCCATGATTGTTGCTGGCATCTACTTCGTTTAAACGACCCTGAGGTCCCGGAGCATGTAGCGGTCCAGAATCTCTTTGACCTTTGCAGGTCTCAACCGGTTCAGCAGCATAAAACAATGGACTGGGGTCATGATTATGCAGGCTTGCTGGCGTATGAACTGGCACCAACAGCCGCTTGTCCTGGAGAATCCGCCATTCTGAGTAGAAGGCCCTTGATTGGTGAGACTCACTTGCCTGACCCTATCAACATTCCAGAGCTCCAGTCGGTTCTCGATCAGGAGTGCTTGGAGTTGGCCTCCGATCACTCTAGCCAGTTGGTATCTTCCAATATCAGCCAAGATCCTTTCGCGATTTTCCCGCACGAGATCCTCGTTGAAATTTTGGCCGACCTCGATTCTGCGGATGTTGTCTCTTTATTGATCGCCTCCAGAATGTTCGCGAGTTCAGGGCTGCCGGGACCATTCTGGCACTCACGTTTCTGGCCCGGCAAGGAGTTCTCTCACATTTTTGAGCTTTGCGGACAGGGATCGTCGGCTCCTAGAAACTGGCGCCGGACATATGGGCTACTCAAAACAATCAACGATAATCCGGCTTTAGAGAACCGAAGACGCATCTGGGGCCTGGCTTCTAGGCTGAATACGTTGATACGCGTCCGGACACAGCTGAAAGCTTGCGAAGGTATCACTATCGGGCCAAGCGAGGGATGTGAGAGCAGAAAACCGCACCGCTGGAATCAGCACATGGGAAATGTGTCTCCTTTCTGCAGCTACTTTACTCGAGGCTCAAGGGCGCTCTATTACAGAAAGTCCCTTCTAGAAGGATGCGTCAAGGAGATCACCGTCTCAGTCAACCACCTCAATGGAAGGACTTATATCTGTGGGCTCTCCTTTGCTCATCAGCAAGGGATTACAAGTATCGGCAACCATCCCGTTGGCCGAAGCGGTCAACAGATCGATTTCTGTGATTCCTCGCCCTGCCGATACTCTATCTCAAGACTTGAAATTGCTCGGGACCCGCGAGGCATTCGAGGAATAAGAATACTGTCAAGTGAAGATGGCTGGTCAGGATGGGTCGGGGACCATGTCGATCTGCCCAAAAAGAAAATCACATGCGAACGGTCCTGTGAAGGGTCCGTTGAACCAACAATAACTATTATTGCAGGGTTTGACGCAAGTTCTTTCTTTCTCATTCTTCTCTCGTGAGCCAAGACGATCAACTGCTGACTTCTATTCAGGCAATGAACATGGTCCTGTTGAGGACAGATGGAGCCGGGGCCGCACGACTACGTGATACAAGGTTATGGTACCCAGAGATTCCGGGTCCATGTCTCCATCTTACGGGAGCTGAGCATGAGAGGCTTGTGGAATACAGGGGAGTCCTTCCACACTCTGTATGCATGTTCGGGGGGCCAGATGGAGCATGGCTACCTCATCTCACGGAAGTAATTGTATGGGGCATCGATCGCTCTTCTCTTGGCGAAACCGGCAACAACACCCTGGTATTCGGAATCGAATTCAAATATAACAAGGGAGTCGATGATGGCCGAGATTCAATAGTACTTGGGCATACCTCTGCGTCGTATATGGCCGCACCTTATTCAAGTGCACATCGTATCTTGATCGACTCGCCAGGTGGTGAGCGTATCACTGGGATTGACGTCATGTACCAAGACCCGGATCAAATGGCTGGTTTCATCGTAAGTCGTCTGCAAACTAAATGGTGCTTGGCGCTAACTCTTGTGCTAGGTTTACACATCTTCCGGCCGGAGAAAGGAATTCCCGCCTCATTGTAAGCATTACATTCAAGTGGATGCCGAAGACGAAGTGGATGCTGAAGACGGGTGCGATGACTTTTCCGAAGAGCTTCGACCACCATCGGAGACTTGTATAGTAGGATTGTATTCCACTCTGGTAAGTCATTTAACCTGCTTGGCCGACATAACAACTAAGATGCTGAACCTGTAGGAACATAACGATATCGGGGCAAGAAGCAGTTATGATAAGGTACTCATGGACTTGGGAGTGGTTTGTGCAACGAAAGTATGATGCTTATGGAAAGAAACACCAAGATCATGACGACTTATTCGACAGAGCAAAGGCCCCATATGTAATGCGGCCGGAGGCATGCCAAGGGATTGTCTGGATCGCTCTGTACAAGAATCGGTACATGCTACGCTCCAAGACAGAGCATTGCGACAACTTACTACGCTACTGTCTGAATGAAATGCGCCCTTGTAGCTTGCGGCCGCATCAGAACAGACGCAACGACTGCCTCATTCTACAAGTGACTCGCAAGTGGATAAACCTAATGTCCGCGGATATTGAGTGACATTGACTCGCACAGTCTATAACATTATTTATTAAATAGTGCAACTACTCTTATTCTACTCTATACTTGCTCTTTGAAGCCATAGATCGACTCAGAGCAATAATACTTTTGTTAGCAAGAAGCTCAAAAACAGAGGTTTCTGCTTCAATCTTTTCCTTGAACCAAAACCTCAGTTCAACAGCCATAAGAGAATCAACACCGTATGAGTGAACAGTCCTTGCTGTGTCGATATCCTCTACTGGAATGCATAGAGCATTTGAAAGAAAGCTTGCAACACCTGTCGCAATAATCTTTCCAGCCTCTTCCGTGTTTTGTGCTCCGGAAAGTAAAGCACCATAATTTACCTTTTGTGCCATTGATTGACTCGCGGTATTGCTCTCTGTAAATCTGTTTTCCTGTAAAAGGGAACTGAAAATGGGGCGCTTGAGGTGTGGAAGGAGGTCGGCATTGTCGGTTTGGCGTCCTGCGAGCTGTCCTGCTCCTGTAATTATTTGAGTCGACCAAGAGGTTGGAAACTCGCGGCATGGGTTGCATGCCCAGTCAACGAGACTGTGAATCTCCTTCTCATCGAGAACTTGAATCCCCTTCCTCTCCCATCGCCTTGCAACATCGGAATGCTCCGCCACATATCCTACGTCTCCAACCACACCTATGTCAATCGACACGCACTTCTCCCCGAGGGACCACCTATGTCTGGCAAAAGCATCCTGGAAGGTGGAGGCGCCATTGTACTGAGATTGCCCGCTAGAGCCCATCATTCCGCCTAGAGAAGAGAGAATGAGGAAGAAGTCCATCTCGCGGGGCAGAACATTATGGAGATTCCAGGTTCCATGGACTTTTGGGAGTAAAACTGCCTGCCACTCTTCTCTAGACATGTTGACAAACATGCGATCCTAACAATAGACAAATTGGTTAGTCTGGAAAAAATGTAAAAGGGAGGAAATACCATGAAGGACCTACTCTTAGCACCATAGAAGCCTGAACAACTCCTTTGATGGGGGGCATAAGTTGCATAGCATTGCATACAGTGTCCTGCAGTGAATTGAGGTCGGAGACATTACATTGCGGAGTCAAAACGTTGACACCGGCAGACTTGAGTTGACTGAGCCATTTCTGCACACTCTCCGACCTTGGCCCTGAACGTGAGAGAAGAATAAGATGCCGTGCACCACGCCCGACGAACCAGGAAGCCAAGCTCTTGCCAATACCGCCCAAGCCGCCAGCAATAACATAAGTTGCGTTTGCAGCAAAGGTATAACTAGGTTCAGTATTCGGGGCAATTGCGATTTCAGACTCAGCTTCCCAATCCACAACGGCCTTTCCCATATGGTGCCCGGTTTGCAAATAGCGAATGGCCGACTCAAATTCTCCTCTCGAGAATACTTTGACAGGCTGTGGAGGAGAGAGGTCTCCTTCAGAGAGTAGGTTTTGCATTTCAACATGCATTCCCCTCATCAACTGAGGATCGTGAATCAGCACAGTCTCTAAGTCAACAGAATGAAAAGAAATATTCTTGGAGAATGGCATCATCTGTAGACTCTGGAACGTATGAATGTCCCTTTTCCCAATTTCAACGAATCGTCCTAGTGGCGCTACAATTCTCCACGATTCAGACAGAGCCTCACCAGCGAGAGAATTCAGGACCACATCCACGCCTCGCCCGGCTGTCGCCTGCATAATATTGTATCCAAATGATAGGTTACGGCTGTAAAAGATGCGGTTTTCGGGAATTGCATACAATTGTTGAATCATGTGCTTCTTTTCATCTGAGCTCACCGTCACGAAGATATCAGCTCCAGCTTTCTTTGCCAACTGGATAGCGACTTGTCCCACAGCCCCAGCTGCTGAATGGATGAGAATGGACTCTCCTCTTTTTAATCTTGCGACATGACTAATGCTGTATATTGCCGTCAAGTATACTGCAGGAAAGACTTCGGTGAAGCGTAGGTTGTCGGGAATCTTGACCGTTGTATATATATTGCTTCGGCAATAGGTTTTAAAGGCATCCAAGCATAAACCACAAACACGATCTCCAGGTTTAAACCCTTGAACTGATGATCCGATTCGAGTGACAACACCGCTGTACTCAAAGCCGACGGAAGGGCCGGTGATTTGTCCCAGAATATGCATCACATCAGTGAAGTTGATCCCAGTTGCTTTGACATGAACCTCGAGATCATCTGGCGCAAGAACAGAGTCCCGAGTGTGGTCTTGGACAAAACAGAAGCTATCGAGCTGCCCCGGAGTGAACTTTAGCCTGAGCGCGTCCCCTGCGTCATTGCTGCTGCCCACAAACTTCCGCTCCAGCTCCAGCTGCCCGATCTGAGAATACACAAAGTCATTGACCTCTTGTGACCTAATTACTCGAGGGATTGATATCACATCATCCGACTCTACATAGTCGCTTTCTTGAGGATTGGGTTCCCTTAGGGATGCTGTGAAAACTTTGCGAAAGACTCTTGCCGCATTGGTTGGAGTCTTCACATCAATGGTGACAAAATGCATCTCAGGCCGTTCATGCATAATCGCTCTTCCAAACCCAGAGGCAAAGGCCTTTTCTGGAATCTCAGCGTTTGATCCAGCGCCTGAAGTAATCCAGTAGATTCGCTCCGCTGACTCTATAACCCGTTTGAGCGCATCGAACCCATCTTCGCTAACGGAGGTGAGGAATGGGTCGCCTAATTCCAGTAGGCTCACACAATGATGGATAGTTCGGGTATGAGCAAGAACAGACGTCGGGGTAGTGATAGAAACATCAGTAAAACCCAAAGACCTAAGTTCAGAAGAGATAGTAGCGGCTATCTCTTGCTCAAGTTCTGTATCACTCGACAATATAACAACGGGGGAGGTCGTCGTAAGCTCCGTGTCATTGTCACCAACTGCTCGGGATACCAAGAAGGACAAAACATGATGTTCAATGTCGGAATAGTCGGTCAATGCCACATCGAGCCCTGTAAACCCAGTCTCTCGGAGAGTCTTGTCCCACTCCGCCTGTGTATAGAGAGGACTCAGTTTTCGATCATTCTCAGATCCCCTCCACCAACCTGACAAGGTGCCCCATACTATATCTGCTGCGGTTGTATGTTTGTTTGTAGTCTCAACCACGAGGAGATATCCTCCCGGCCGAAGCAGGGACCTTGCATGTTTGAGCGTCTCCGTTATATTGGAAGTAGCATGGAAGACTAAACCTGCTATAATAAGGTCATACTTGCCAGCCTCAAATCCTTGCGAGGTTGGGTCTATCTCAATGTCTAAGGCCTTGAAAGTCATGCGACCAACGTGCTCGGCAAACCGAGTTTTGGCCTTCTCGAAAAAGCTTGGAGATATGTCGGTGAATACATAGCTGTTGAAGTTCGACGATAGTGTTGACAGGACAGAGCTGGTAAAAGCTCCCGTTCCTGCCCCGATCTCCAACACATTCATGTTGGGGTTTTTGTGAACCAAAAGCTCAACAAAGGCCGACATTCGCCTGCCCATTAGGTCGTATAATTCATCCGCATATAGGTCATTGGCCAAGCCCTGGTTGAAAAGAATGTCGAGGGGGTCCGTCTCGCCTTTTACAATTTGTGGAATGCGCGAGCAAAAGTCAACAACTGCCTTTTCTGTTCGCCCCCTGGCAGCGAACTCGCTAAGATAACGCTCGGTGTTTTCGGAAGGGATGTAGTCTTCCCATTTTGATGTGTCGACCAGGCTCTGGCGGCTCATATATTCGAGATGTAAATGCATCCATTGCATATAGTTTTTAAGGTGCCCAGATGGGCCCTGGAACCCTTCTTCACTCAATTTGTTCAGTGCCCGCTTAATAAAGTAAAGGCACACGAGTTGCTTGGTAGGATCCCAATCTAGATGCCTATTTGCACGTTGGAGGCAGTAATCTGCCATTTGTGGCTCATCGAGAACCTCGATATCAGGCTTCCATTCAAGCTTGTAGACCTTGTCTTGTCTTTCAGACAGTATTTGGTCATTTGAGTTGAGTGTTGTCGCTCTGTAGCCTTCAATCACTATTTCTGGTTCCAAAGTCTCGGAATTCAAGGACACGATTGAAGATTCAGTATCTCTCATGGAGATTTTGTCGTGTTTCGCGGCTGCTAGAACTTTGGCATCTGGACCGCGGCCAAGAAGTTGGTTGGAAACCCAAATGTGTTTGAACTGTGTGGGTGCCTGAAGCGGCCCCATGACGGTACCGCCTTTACTATTCAAGGCCGCCACCATCTGCAATATTCCATCGAGAGCAGTTGGATGGATGACATGTCCCTGGATCTGGGATTTTTTGGTCTTCCCCATCCACTCATCCAAAATAATAGTTCCAGCAGCATAGTGACCAGTCGGGTCGTAGGTCAAGTTGTGCACTGTCTGGAAAGCTGGACCGAAGTCATAGCCCATAGCTTTTCCCATGTCATAGAATCGATCCTTTGGGGTATTGGCTGAACACTTGCTGAAAATTTCATCAAATCTAGCTCTGGTGTCTTCTTGGTACTTGAGCACGTGTTGCTCGTCATGATATATCCCTTTGGACTTCTCAATGTAATCCAATACAATTGTTCCCGAACAAATTTCTTTCCACTCGTCATCTATGTTGGCCGCTAGATAAAAGTCGTTGCAGTCGGCGGCTGAAAACGTAGTGACACGTGTATGCTTTTGTTGTTGCAGATAGAGTTGAATTTCTACACCTTGAGACTCTGAAGGAATGACAAGCGCAGTTTGAATGGTGACCTCGCGTAGGCGATAGCTTCGAATTTGGGAATCAGGCTTAGCTATCGATCTCGCGGCTTCAATTACCATGCAAAGCATGCCTGCCGCGGGATAGATGACAGAACCATTGAGCTACACAAATGTGGTAAGCAGACTGATTCAATAAACTCACGCCAAAGGGGGAATATTGCCTTACCTGATGATCCACTAACCATGGTGAGTCTTGTCTCCTAATAGTGTGCCTCCATCTGGGCTTGAGAGGGTTCCAATCGATGGAAGGAAGTCCGAGTAGTTCATGTCGAGGCTTACTGCGCTGACGATAGTTTTTGAACAGCCTGCTCTCCAGCCAGTATCTTTGGGAGTGGTTGAATGGATATGATGGCAAATCAGTCTGTAATTGCCGATGGTTTCTGGCCAAGCCATGACTGTTGAAGGCCTCAATGTCAACCGGAAAACTCTCCATAAAGAGTTCGCCTATGACATTCGCAAGACTATCCCAGCCACTATCTCCTCTCCGAAGAGTGGAGTTGTAAATCAGGTTTTTAGTTCCTGATGCAATGTCTTTGATAGGTCTCTGCAAGGCGGCGTGGGGCCCGACTTCGATACAGTAGAGCCATTGACTCATGTCTGGGACCTCGTCCAGTTTTGAAAAAAGACTTTTCATAGCCCCAGTGAATCGGACTCTCGATACGAGGTTTTCGACCCAGTATTCGGGCTGGCGAAGTCGATTGAGCGTAATTTCTTGCCCTGTTACAGACGAGACGAAGACCATACCACTTTCAATGTTCTTATTGCCTTCCAAGGGGCAGATAGGACGCAGTAGGGCTAGATACTCTTTCGCAATCCCCTGCATATGTTTAGAGTGGTAGGCAACGGGTATTTTTAACTTGCGGGCGAATACACCATCCTCGTCAAGTAGTCTCTTTAGATGATCTATGCTGCGCTCCATTCCCGTTACGGTTGTATTGACGGGGCTGTTTTCACATCCAATTGAGACGGTTATGCCCTCTGAAAGCTTTTCAAAGTAGGGTTTGAGATCAGATTCGGATAGCTGAACCGACATCATGGCGCCTCTTTCATCTTTGGAGCTTTCATTGGCCAGGCGGCCTGCTAGGCTGCCTCGGTGGTAGGCGATGGCCCAAGCCATTTCACGGGTCAAAGCTCCTGCGCAGAAAGCTGCAGCAATTTCCCCAGATGAATGCCCAACAACACCCAAAGGGCGGATTCCCCAGGTAGTCAGAAGTTCGACCAGCGCAACTTGTATGGCAGTGCAGATTGGCTGAGCCAATGCTGGTTCGTCAAGCCTTGACTCCTTCGCTGGCTTTTCAAGCTCGGATATCAGTGACCATGAACAGCCTATGGAGGTGAAGTAACACCCTGCTTCGCTGAGGCTCTGACGAAATATCGGATGAATCATCAAGTCCAGCCCCATAGTCGCCCATTGAGCCCCCTGTCCAGTAAAAACAAAGTGTAATTTGGGTGGGAGAGAAGACCGGGTAGGCTTTCGTAGCTTTCCCAATTGGTCCTGGAGGCCCTCCCCGGACTGTGCCACAAGGTATGTTTTCCATGGAAGAACACTCCGCTTTGACGAAAGTGTATAGGCAAGATTTCCGAGATAGTCAGAGTCAATAACATCTGAGAGTAGTTTTCTGGAAAGAAAATCCTTGTAAGAAGCGCCAATTCTCTCTATTCCAGGAGCATCAGATGTAGACCAGACAAATAGATAGGGAAGATCCCCTCCGTGTGTGAAGCCGTTGTGAACTCCGTTCGTTTGCTTAGAACATTTGTCCTTCTGGTCTGACTCCAAATCATTATCGTCTTTGTTGGTGAGTGCTTGCTTCTTACTGGGTCTTTGCGGACTGGTGCAATGATGTCCAGAGAGTCCTCTCTCCTGCATGTAATGATAAGCGTCATCAATGACGGCATGGGCATTGGACCCGCCATAGCCAAACGAGTTGACGGATGCCCGACGTAAGCCATCGGAGGGCCACGGTACAGCCTGAGCTGGAAATCTCAGATGCCATTTCTCTGCTTCGATACGTGGGTTCACCGCCTCGTATCCAGCGTTGGCGGGGATGATGCCCTTTTCAAGGCACATGACCACCTTGATAACACCTGCTACTCCTGCGGCGGCTTCTAGGTGGCCGATGTTGGATTTCAGCGCCCCGATATACATGGGGCTCTCCTGGCTACGATACTCCTGGAACACATTTTTGATAGCTCTGGCTTCGATTGGATCGCCCATTGGTGTTCCAGTGCCATGAGCTTCAAACAATCGAGTGCGATCAAGTGAAAGCCCTCCAAGGCGATAAGCCTCGCGGATCTGTGCTTCTTGCGCCTCTTGACTTGGTTGTGTAATGCCCGGCGTTCGACCGTCTTGGTTCGTTGTCGTTGAGCGTATGACGGCCCGAATGGTGTCTCCCGCTGCAATGGCGTCTGAAAGGGGCTTGAGTACAACGACACCAAAACCCTCGCCTTTTGCATAGCCATTTCCTCGATGGTCGAAGCTGTAGCATCGACTATCAGGCGACATGAATCCTAGCGAAGATAGGGATATAGCGCTGGACATTGGCTCAAGGTATAGCTGAGTGCCACACACAAGGCTCTAAGTAAAAGTGTTAGTGTCTCGATGATTGAAACAGCAGAGACTGGCGCAATACTACTAACCATTTTAGATTCTCCACTCCGAATGCTTTGACAGGCCAGGTGCAGAGCCACTAAGCTCCCAGAGCATGCTGTCTCGATCGTCATGCTTGGGCCTCTGAGGTCATAAAACCAACTCAATCGATTGGCCAAAAGTGCACTTCCGGATCCCGTGGCTCTATATAATGGATGAATCTCTTCATCGTTTCCATAGAGTTGAGTATAATCGACTGCCGAACAGCCCACGTAGACCGAGGTTTTGGACTTTGCAGCTTCATGGATCGGTATACCAGCTACAAGTAGAGACATTAGCACTAAGTCTTGTGTATTCTCAAAGCACCATTAGTAGTGGTTTCTCACAGTTTTCAAAAGCATGGTAGGATGTTTCCAAAAGAAGTCGCTGCTGTGGATCCATACATTCAACCTCCGAAGGTGTGATTGAAAAGAAGGCTGCGTCGAAAACACCCAAGTCCTCTTTGAGAAAATATCCTCCCCGAGCATTGATCTATAGCAGGAAACCTATTCAGCACATTTCATTATCTCTCTGTTTTGATTAGGTGGAGGACCTCACTGTGTCGGGGCGAGATGCATCAGGATCATAGAATCCATCAACCTTGAACCGATCGGGTGGCACTTCTGTCATAACCGACCTTCCATTCTGCAGTATCTCCCAGAAGCCTTCGGGAGTTGTAGCATTCTCGGGAAAACGCATAGAAAAGCCGATGACAGCAATGGGTTCCATCTTGTCCTGGATTGAGGAACTGTTGGCAAAGTCTTCACCACCGACTTGGGCCATAACTTCAAGACTTCAAGGATCCAATAGAATGGGCTGAATAATCAAACACTACAAATTAGGTAGCTCATTTGAGAAACCTCAGAGGAATAGCATGTGGTTTTATGCGGGTAAATGAGAGGCAGAGTAGCTTTAATTGTTGAATCCGACACTTATTTCTATGCACAGTATGACCCAGTGAAGGGCCATTAATCCTGGAGATACTCCGATTTTTCCCTTTGATTGTTAGATATCGCAAGCCAAACTTCTGAAGTTTGGTAGGTAACACGGAGCTACTGCTGCCGCTTGACGTTCTTCGATGTGGTGCGCTGTTCCCTGTCATGCGGGAACAGGCAGTTGTCGAAAGTGTGGGTGACGTTTTAGGATTGATCGACATGTTCGAAGGATCACCATACATCCAAAAGGGCTTCCTGGGCTTCCCGCCATCCATCTTCGGCAGTACCGCGTACAACTGCCTGTATGACTTTTCTTCCCACCCAATCGTTGCTGTGTCATGGCTCCTCGTCCCATCCCAAAAAGTAGAAGTTTTCGGCCGCTTACCCATTACGTTAGATTGTTTGAAAATTCTTCAACAGGTCAATCTAAGACATTGAGAGGGCACCTGCACCGCAACATACGACGCTACGTAGCACCCCCAGTGTACATCGCCGCATCCTTCCTGATTCTCATACCTTGGCACCTGAGTAATATTGTAACCTTGCCAAATAAGCGATCATATGAATACGAGGGGCATGCATCTCTGGCAACTCCCAATGTTCATGATCTTTTCGTCTCCATAGTAGCCCCGGCTGTTTTTTTATTTCTCTCCGTTATTATTCTTGTTTGTTTTTTTCTTTTTCGCCAGCATCAAGTCTAGCCGGCAGACGCCGACTTCTTTCCCCACCATGGCCGAGATCAGCATCAGTGCGACGAGGGGCCTCTGGACAGATGTCTCCATGTTAATTATGTCAACATTAGTAGTCGCGGTACGATTGATTACTCGTCTTATGGTCGGATTTTCTATTTCGTTGTCGGATTGGTTAATACTATTGGGTTGGGGACTCACTGTCGCATACTTCAGCAGGATTATCCACTGTAAGTCTATTACCCCTTGCGATTGAATTTGCTAATTTTTCATCTGACCACGAAACAGTTGTCGTCACTGGCGATGGGCTCATAACTTTCGATCTCACTGAGCTCATTGCAAAGTGGAACGAGGGAGGACAGGCCTTGGGACCTGACTTGATGAAGGTAAATTTCTGGCAACTTTACCTTTGATATCGTTTACACTTTCTAACCCCGCTCACTAATAGCTATTGCTCACCACGAATCTCTTATTTCTCTTCGCTATCACTGCTATTAAGCTTTCTATCTTGGTTTTTTACCACCAAGTGTTCTCCATATCCCGAAGATTCCGGGTCATGAACTACGCTACAGCAGGTGCCTGCCTTGTGTGGCTCATTGTCAGTGCATTTCTCAACATCTTCCAATGCAAGCCCGTTTCTGCACTATGGGAGGCACTTGGATCGACCGAATACTGCCTAGCAAGTGGCACGATGTGGTTGGGACTAGAGGTCACGAATTTACTCGTCGATGTGGTTATTCTAGCATTGCCCATCTCCGAAATTGGCCGTTTACAGCTCAGCACAGCCAAGAAATGGTTCGTGGTATGCATCTTTCTCCTTGGTAGTCTGTAAGTCACCTGCCCCAAGCCCGAACTTGTCTAGCCGCGATGAAATCTTGCTCACTCTCCCAACAGCGTCTGCGTAGCAAGTATCGCCCGGATAACCTTTCTCTACCATCCGTCGACCCCAGAAGCCGTCACTCTCCCGGAATCGATGTTGACGGCATCCGTGCAACTCGGGATTGCTATTCTTTGCGCCTGTCTCCCTGCATATGGTCCTGCACTCAAGGTGGTCCGCAAAGGAGTCAGCCAAGCCAAGCTATCGCTGGGGATGAGTGTCTCCAAGAGGTATACGTCCGACAATTCCAAATATAATGTCTCGAAAAACAGCGGAATGCATGACTTGGAGGCCTCGCCATATTACATGGTAGATGGAAATCCCTCCCTGGCCCACAATGCTCAGGTACAAAGTAGTAGGGGCAATTCGCAAACGACGGATACTATTCCACTGAATGCCATACAGGTCAAGAAGAGTGTTAGTGTAGTCAAATAGTCACGAAGCTGGTTGCTGTTTCCATTTTTCTTAAATTGATCTCAAAATCAGTACCTGCGAACCCAGAGGGACTCAGTGATTCAACTATCAAGACAAGACATGCATGTGTATACCTTGCGCGTAGACTACCACCAGAGATCAATAAATGAAAGCACCTCCCACCAATGCAAGCTCATGTATCTCTGAGATACTATAGAGCAGATGTAGTGCTAAGTGTTTTCCTATTATGAACGGCGGCGGTAAATGGCTCATCGCATGAAGGTGTACCAGGTTTGGGCTAACAAAGCCTTTTCTTTAACAGTTTTTGTTCATTATCTTGGCATAACGGTACAGTATCTTTCATTGCTGGTTTTAACCCTACGCTCGAATTCTCTCATCTGTATCCTAACACGGAACATTCGAGTATCAATGAATAAGGTATGATTTTTCTACGGACGGGTAATTCAATGTAACTTTCTCCTCCTTTTCAGGGTAGCAGTCGCCCCCCATTGCATCGCAGTACCCGCCTCTTACGCCCCGAGATATCCCGCAATTTGAACAATACTTAGGTGCCCACACCCCCATACACAAGTACCCGCCTGCCCGCGCCGGGACGTCTCCCCGGAACGTTTCCACTAGGATCTTGCCACGTATGCGGCCCTGGGGGATCACCCAAAGAGATGGAGGGAGGGATAACCTGAGAGAATTGGTTTATGGATTGATGTACCAGAAAAGGCGATTGGCTTACTCGCCTATAGAATAGTCTTTCATAGAAGAGCTCTGTACATTTTCTAAGAGTGAGGTAGTGGAGCTTTACTCTGTCCCGGATGATGACATCTACTAGCTGTTTGAAAGAGGGAATGATCAGCAGATACTGTATGTGACCAAGGGCTGTGCTAAAGTACCTATCCATTACGCATTGTTTTCGAGGTGACAATAATGCGACGTTGGTACAGTAAGATACGACCAACTGTCACCACTGTACCATTATCGGAAGGCCAACCAAACGCCCCCCATGTTTCAATTCCTTCAATAATACTTTGCCTAGGTACATTATGCAACAGGCGTAATCTATTCTTTCTTGGGCTGTCAACCGTGCCGCCTATATATACTATGCATTCCACCACGACGCTAATCCTAACATCTGATGGCTATCAAACAAGAGGTTTTTGTGGAGAAAAAAAGGTAAGACTGAAAAGTCTAGCCATTGCCTTCATACGCGCATCTTCCTTTGCTTTACTTAACCTGGAAAATCATTTTCATCATGTCGCAACTGGGGCCACTCGTGTGGCGCGTGGCCTTGGCAGTGCCCTTGCTCTACATTTCATATGCCTGTATTGAGGCCTTTGCAGTTGACAAATTAGTGGCCTTGCAAGAGCCATATCTTCAATCTGGAAGGATAGAATGGGCCGATGGCGGTTCGATTACAATCCTAGAACGGTTCTGGAATGTGGAATTCCTTGATGACCTGTGGCGTCGCTTCACAGTCACATTTGCTCCCTCCACCTTGGCGTTCGACTCCGTCAGCTCGTGGCAAGCATTCAGCTTCCTCAATGACCTGGGCCCTCTCTTCACTATTTGGATACTTGAATCGTCTCGAGTCGGAAATAGGTATACTCCGGCATGGCTGTAAGTGAAGCACCTACCTAAACTTGGCCCTATCACGAACCGCGATCGTTGATGAATAAAACCCGGCTTAGACCAACAATATTCGCTTTTGCCGGCCAAGTAATGAGCTTAGGTGCGGTGACGCCGCTCTTTTATATTCTTAGCATCATCTTTAGCCCGTCCTCATCTACGCTTGTCGCCAAGACTACACCAGCTGCACAGCGTCGAATTACATCATCAGGTAGCTCACCACTGCTGCTCCCCATTCTCTTATTCTTACATACTTTCGAGCTGTTTTACGCCTATGGGGCAACTCAGCTGTCTACCCGCCACTATTGGACCTGGGCATGGCAGATGACGCCGCTCTTCATCGGTCTTGCTAATACTAGCCTGGCATCGCTCATCTCGCTGTCACCCTCCCTGTCTCGCCAGCTGAAGGCCATCTCATCGCCTCGTGTGTTGCTGGGCGTCCCTGCGGCCATTTCGGCCGGAATCTGGATTTACACTTTGATCGTTTCTCCCCATTCAATGTCTACACTTTTCTTGCCACTCCTTGAGTCACAAGACGCCCTCGAGCCCCTTCTACGACGCGGATTGCAAATCGATGAGCTTTGTGTTTTTGGTAGTTCGCTATTATGGATAGGATATCACATCGTCGACCTCTTCCTGGCTGGCCATGTTACAACGAGCGAGATCTTCAACGTAATTTCTCTCTATCCAGTCATTGCAGCACTCACCGGCCCTGGTGCAAGCCTATCATACCTGTGGTTATGGAGAGAGTCAAAACTACAGCGTTAAATACATATGATCGCTAAATTAAAGCATATGGCTGTACTTGTTCTCCTTTCCCTTCTGGGGGAAAGGGTTTCTTAGATAAAGTATTATTGACTGTCATTACAAATACTGGAGTGTGGCCTCCAGACGAGAATTGGCCTCCAGATCCAGAAGGAGCATTATCTTGAATTGAATGGGAGGCGGGAGGCAATGCAGAGTGATTGAAGATCAATATTTAAAGTAGTGTTTGCAGCCGCATTGACGATCGAACCCCATCTCTCAGTACTCTAAAGAACAATGACAGATGAATAGGCCCCCTGAATTGGAGAAGATGTCGGGCCAAGTCATTGAATCAAAGCGGTTACTTATTTGACTATGATTACTAGAGACTAATCAACGACCGAGTAGACTGAGTCATGGTATCCCAATGGAGTAAAACTGGTAGGAGTTCAGTGTGACTCCTGATAGTTACAAACTAAAGCCAAACATGCCCGACTCATTGCTCCCTTGCTCGCCGTCAAACAAACCAGCCCAGGCGAGCTTACTATTCGGCTCAAACCCCAGCAAAATCATTAGCGCTTCATCCGAGAGCAGCTCCTCCACCCCCAGGTCATGTTCTTCAAGGGCCCTCGATTCGTATATAAACTGTATCAGGTCGTGAGTGTGCGCTGCGGGACCCCTCCACCTGCACATCTCGTTGAATAGCCTGAGCGATTCTTCAATGTCACGCTCAAGAGGCTGGACGTCGGTCTCAGGTGTCGCAGAGCTTAGCCCGAGCAAGACAACGAGAACCGCCTGGAACAGAAACCAGCTCGAATTCCACGCCACCAATTGATTAGGGTACCAATTGCCCTTGATGAGCTCTATCGTCTCACGAGCAATCGTAACGCATGTGTCGGCAATGGCCGCGGTGTCGTTACGGGTTGAGTGCTCGCTGCGACTACTCGCGCTGAGGGATCGAAGGAGCAGATAAGGTCGATAAAGCGTCATGCGCTGGTCTAGGTACCGGTATTGAAGGATGAGGGATGCGAGGCGGATAAGCTCTGGGCTATGCTTCGGGTCTCGAAAGATTGGATGGACGTCAGCGTGCCATGCAAGAAGCTCTTGGTCAAACTGCTTCAATTCATCAAGGAGCATCAAGGGGAGCCGGGCCATGCGATCCTGTATGCGGGCAGCTATCCTGCAGAATGAGGCGCTGGTCCGTATCGAGATGGATTGATAATCCTGTGGCAGCACTCATTAGCTTACACCGAACTTGCCCGATGTTGACCATGAAGCTTACAAGATCAGTCCCAAGATGCATTGGCGACGAAGTCATGCTCTCAACATCCCACATACCTCCTATAGGTCGTCCCAGAGTGGTGCCCGCCCATACATCGAGGCAAAAGAGTGACCACCACGTTCTAGCTCGCGCATCTACGTTGCTGCTGGGGCCTGACGAGGCCCTACTGCTAGGGGGGACTTGATGTAGCCCCATGGCGACGGCCATGCGATGAGCGGCACCCATGATGGCGCTGGCCATGTTCGGCCGGTTCAGGTAGTGTAGGTAGTAGCCGCTATATAGAGCTAGAGCTTGAAGGGTGTAGATGTGCCCCGAAGCAAAGCAGCTCATATCGAGATGCCTTGAAGCGCGAGAGAAGTAGATACCATGCCCCGGCTGGCTGTCGTCGTTGGCGGCGATGTAGCCGAGCGTCAGCACCATGTTGTAGAGGGCGAGCCACGGCCCGCGAGCCCGGCCCAACCCACCACCCTGCGCCCGGCACTGCCGGAATCCCGGTTCGTCAATCATCGGGGTGATGCCGTGTACGGTCCGAAAGTAGGCGTCTACTAAGGATGCCTCGTCGTTGATGATCGGCCGGGTGCAGCGGTCTATCGTGTTGGGAGTTGTAGTTCGATATGGACGAGGTCGCAGCGACTGTGTCTCTTGCCTCTTCTGGATCGCCTTTCGAAGCTGGGAAGAGCTGTGAACCATGACACGCATAATGGTTGGAACAGAAGAGATGCCAAGGTACGAATGCTTGCCCGTCTCGAACAACACAGAAAGACCATTGACGTCGTCTTCGGAGAATTGTCGATGAATGTGGTCGTCTTCGGTCTCATTCCACTCGAAATCCTGATCCGGGGATGGTTCTAAATCTAGAATGGTGGCAGTTTGGGAGTCGCAGGCGCCCGCCACGCATAGCGCCTCGGCAAGCTGCGCTGATGGCTGTGCAGGGGAAAGGGAGGGGGAGGATGAAGAAGGCACTTGGAGAGATGCATCGGGAAGCAGAGCGAGAAGTTGGTCGCACGAGAGATGTTCGAGGTCCTCCAAGGAGTGTTTCGGGAAGAGCCTGTTGAGAATGCCTCGTCCTCTTTCGTATGCATTGGACACGTCGGCATACTCTCTGCTGAGTGTAAGCTATAGCAAATAATGATTATCTCTGGGAAGCAAAAGAATAGCAGTACTTTACAGATGGTGCTTTGCGTGTCTTACGCGCCGGGTAGTGGCAGAGCTCTGGGACTTGATAGTAGACACATTGGCTACATGGAATAACTTGTCCATCACAGCGAATCCGGCGGCGTCGGCATTCGGCGCATGACTGAGTCTTGTTCTTGATCGTTAGGTTGGGAGAAAGGGACATGTGAGGCGTCCTGAGATGGATTGGCGGCCTTCTGATCAGCACAGGGTTGTGAGAGCTAGAAGACCTTAGAAGGACGGGCGGCTGCGAGATGTAAAGGCTCATCTCTAGGGGCTGGAGCCTGGACTAGAGTCCATGTTGGGTCCACCATGAGATCAGACATTACCCCTGAGTTGTCAAGTCTCCTTCAGGTCGGACATTAGATGGTCCTGTTGTCATTCTCATAAGACGTGTCCATCATATGTATGTATCGATGTTTCAATATTTTGTTCATTATATCATCGAATGACATGTGCTATTATTTGCATCGCAAAATTCAATTTCAATTACAGGGCCAGTCAGCCGAGCCTTGTGTGAGAGTGGGTGGTCATCCACGTTTCAGCTTAATAAGTACGAGGCGGAGTTTGGCAACACCGTCCTAGCCTACATCATCGTAGTTGTACCTGAATGATCGTATTGCTTGAATTATATGTAGTTTGATTGAACAATCCCAGTTCGCTCTCTCCATCACGCCCGAACTCAAGTTTCAATTGCTACATGCCGGGCATCAAGCAAGGTAAGTCAGTGTCTGGAATGTCACGATTGGCGGTCAAACCTCCGCATGTGGCGCGGAATTATGAAATAGCACCTTAGCCTCCCTGGGCAATGCATCCCCACACTTGTAGAGCTGATTCCTCCCGCGTCAAGACTATCTGGTTGCGGGACTCTACTGCGAGTAATGAAACAATGTGGGTGCGCCAAGGGCTAGACTACCGAGTACCTTCCAGATGAGGATTAATGTTCGTACTTCTCAAACATCTAGAGGAGTTGAGCGACCTATGACCTGCCCCAGAGCGCTTTACCGGGTTGATACAAGTTGACCATCATCAAGTTGGCATGAATATATAACGTCCTGCTAGTCCCGGATTCTGGAATGCTCACAAGCTTCATTTTTGTTCCTAGAGAGTTGACATTCCACATACCATAACAAGTCGTCAAAACAAAATTTAAAATGAGAATTACCTCTCTCATATTGGGACAAGCTGCGCTGGCAGCAGCTGCAGCTTATGAACCAGGTCTTTTTGAGCGTCAGCAAAGCAATAGCTTCGCTGGCGTGAATTCTTTCTTTCTGCACGCTTTTAAACAGTATGTAGGTACTCTAAGCTGGTGTATAGATCCCTCGTTCACACTACATGTTTAGGGCAGATAGACTTGAGGTTCTCGACGCAATCCAGGCCGCAAACCTCAAAGTCTTGCGACTTTTCATATCTGAAACATTTTCGAATTTCAAGAACACGGGCTCGACTTACATGCCTGACGTTGAGCCTCAGACAGTCGGGGTCTGGGATGATACACAACTGGAAGCTATTGACCAGCTCATGGTAGAAGCCCATGATCGAAGTAGGTCGCCCCTCCAAAAAATGATTATGCTAGTCCAAGCACTGACGTAGCTTCACTTTCTATAAAGACATCAAATTGACCATTGCTCTACACGATCGATATCAACTCGGCTGCTGGGGAAATGATGCCTACGTCGACAAGTACCATCTTCCTGCAGTAGACTGCTCAACAGGCAAAGCCAGTGACAACAACGTCGAATTCTGGTACTCAGACAAAAACTGTATTTCGGACTTTGAGAACCGTATCCGTCATATCCTCGAGCACCGCAATACCCGTATTACAGGTAGCCCTGCTTGGAAAGACCTCTCCAGTCACATCTTCAGCTTCAACATTCAGAACGAAGGTCAGGGCCATTTGAATGGCAATATCGCCCCTCATCCTTCATGGTGGTGCGACCGGGCCAAGTTCATGCGTAACGTCATGGGCGAGAGCAGCATCCTTATTTCTACAGGCAAGTCTTCAGTCTATTCAAACTCACGGTAAAAGCTAATCGAGAGCCCTCTAGGAGGAGGCAACGAGTTTCCTAATAGCGACATCCCCGAGAACTGGGCGTGCGCGGCGCTGGACCTCGTCAATATTCATTCGTACAGCGGCGTGGCTGAGTTCCGGAACAAAGGGCCTGCCGCGCTACAGCGAGCCCTTAACGCGAATAAGCTCATGCTGTTTGAGGAGTTCGGAGCTTCCGGCAGTGGAAAGGCCAACGAGATCGCGCAGCACATTGCTGTGTTCAATGATCTCCGTGTCCCATGGCTGCCTTGGCAGATTAGCAAACCGGGCAACGGCCAGGCTGATTTTGAATTCTGGACAAACGAAGAAGCATATGGTGTTGTGCGAGATGGGTCTAACGCAGCTGCGGCACTGAATGCTGCTCAAAGCTGGTCTGTCTAGAAGCTGATAAGTTGCCTGCGGCAGGAACTTATCTGAATTTCAAGTTGCTGTATGTCAGGTAGTGATTGAGTATGTTATGTGTCTTCGACCCATATCATAGAATACATGTACATGTCGAGTTGCCTCACATACTATGTTGGCTCAGCCTTTGGCTGGCGAAGCTTTTATTTGTCATTTTCATTGTATTGAGATATCGGGTCTGGCACCTTTGAATGCTGTTTTTAACTTCATACTAGAACTCTCATCCGTATTTACCACTAATTTGTTGTAGTTTTTTTCTAGTTTAGGCTATTAGATAAAACTAACTGCTGAAGTAGGATTTTTTTTCTTTCGTCTTATATATAAATAATACTAAAAGAAAAACCAGGCTGGTCTTCGTTGAATATAAACTTAGTTGAAAAATTATAGGCACTTTTCAAACGTTGTTATTTCCTTAGAATTCACATTTTGTCCGCTATCTAATGGGGTTCTTCTAGCATTCGCTAGCCATGCCGGAGGCGTCAGGTCGTCGTTGTCGTTGATCTCCAAAGCCTTGGGCGTTTATTTTCCCTGCCGCTGATACTCGTACTGTGCACCCAGTATCGGAGCCTAAGTTGTTCATGCATCGACAGGCTCCCTGTAAACCGCCCATGCATTACGCATCCTACTCACTTGCCCAGGGGTAAACTCAGTCTTGCAATAATCATCCGAATAGTCCACTTCCATGATCATCAGTATACTAGCCTTGGGGACTTAGAGTCACATCATTAGAGGGACTTACTGTAATTATGAATTGAATCAACTCCCGGGAAGTCAGGGCAGCTATCCTTGTCGAATGGACATCCGTAAGTCTCCGTTGCTTGCTCAGGGGTATCATCTACTTCATCTCCTACAAATCTGAGTTAGTGATGCCCATCCATTGCTCGCATCATGCGCGTGATGCCAAGCGATAGTATCCCTCTTGACTTCACTTACCATTGCCTCCGCATGTATCGGTAAAGACATGAATGAGTCTAGGATCCGTGTTAGCGACAGCACAGGACAAGAATCGGCTCTGCTGCTTCCGGGAAAAGAAAAGCATATAATATAGGAGAACAGGCGCAATCATACCCAAACCAATGTCCAACCTCATGAACAGCATTTAGACCACCATTATAGGTAGGATGAGAGCCACCAGGAACAGTGCTTGAAACCATCATGCAAGCATCCATTGATTTCATTCTATCAGGATCTGGGAAGTCGGTCAGATTCAGAGGGAACGAGCACTGTCCAGTGACTTGGCCGCCCATGGACAGTAGGAAGAATAGATTGAGGTCCTTGTAGGACCCCTTTCGAAGCGCGGTCGTCATGTCTTGTCTCATATTGCCAAGGGCCCAGTCCTCGTTCTCGGTGTACGTGGTGTCAAGAAAATTGAACTGGATTGAATGGTCCGCGAAAACGTCATTCAACACAGCCTTCTGCTTGTCGAGTTGCTCACTGGTAAGATGGCCGTCTTCGATGGTCGAGCCATTGGTAATCACGTGGATGTAAGTATTTACCTCTATGGGGTCAGTGGAAGCGATGGATGCTGCACGAGTCGGTATTTTGTAATTGGCCTTGAGCTCAAGCGATAGCTCTGCTCCGCAGCGAGCAAGAGCACCAATAGCCATAGTGCTGACAAGGGCAATCTGTCTCAACGCCATCTTGATAACTTGTTGTAGAGGAGACAGAGAATTGGTAGAAACAATTAAGGGATAATGAGACGAGGAATATAGGATGAGACAGCTACTAGTATAAATATTTAATTTAACAGTCCCCTGCTACGCGAGATCCTCGTCCCTGCTGCGTTGTCAGCGGAATAGCCAGGGTTATTGATCTAGTTAGGGATCAATATCCCGTATAGCCAACCCCATACTTTCTGTATTGGATTAGTTTGCTGTTGATCATTGGGAGCTTACACAGCACCCGTAAGTACGTAGGCATGCCATAATCCAGCTGCCATTTTAGATTACCTCTCGGACGACTGGCTACAGGTACATTCGAAAACTCTAAATCGGGATACGAGAGCAGTATGTTAAAACATGGACTGTTATAGATAATGTAATTAATATTATAATATTCTAAAGTATTATACAGTACTATATGTATCAATTATATCTTAACCTAAAAGGAAAGAAGATAGTACTATTTGAAAAATTATCTAGACCAGCTTCCCTTAAATATATATACCTAAAAAGGCAACTTGGAGAGGAGTATGGTCTTGTTTTGTCCAAGTGATCTCTACCTTGTGCAAAGGCCGGATGCTCCTTCGGCTTAAACTGATGTCTACTTATATAAACTTTGGATACGGCGGCATTTATTCTTCGCTTCCGCTTCTTATTTTTGTTTATTTCCACTGTGCAGCACTCTGTGCTGGGGTTTATAACCCTTAGGGGCTATGCCCAAGTATGCTTACTTCGCCCCCTGGCACCGAAGCCGCGGATAGGTGCGAGTTATCCCGAATACGAGGATAAACTGGCTCCAGTAAATAGCTATCAAATAATTCAAGGTTGCTCTTGATCCTGATGCCATGATTTCCGCCGTTGCACTATTATAAGATTGTTTTTTATGTCTGATGGGTAGGTCAGAAGCAATGAATGCTTATACAGCAGCTCTAAGCACGGATTCTGCGGAACGACCGAGTCTTTGGAGGTAGCGAGGTAGCCAGGCAGTCAAGAAGCCCAGCGCGAGCAACAGCTGAGGACAATTCAACCGGTTTGTGGGCTACTATCAGAGTTGGCCACTTGCCTGCTCTCGTAATGTGTTTAGCTCATAGACAATCCCTGTTGGAGTATAAAGGCACTTAAATTACACATTTCCTACCATTAATCCGATTACGTTCGAAGTGTGATCCGAGTCTGACAAAGATATATACGCTAAGTTGGCCCGAAAAAGAGAGATCCGGATCTGAAACATTAGGCGGTTCCTTCCCGCCAAGTTTTTGGAACAGCGACAATGTGTAAGGTGATGAGGCAGTGCGGTCCTCGTCTTCACACACTACCAAAAGTCAATCACACACAATGTTCAAGTGTAAAGCTTCTTTCTGAGTCAGATGATGCACAAGTTGGAGGCTGGAGGCAGGACGTAAAAGGCATACAGACTTGACATGTCATTTCCATTTCACTATCCAGAAGTTTCATGTCGGTTTCTGACGGCCTTTCAAGCCTCTAGAGACCACTTTTGCCAGCAAAAGCATACTCGAGAAGTTCTACGAGTACCAATCATACCTTTCACCTTTACGCCCAGTTTCAACACGCTCGTCATATCAGCCAGTTATCGTGATGATGACAAGTCCTATCAATGGTGATAAAACACGATCGAATTCTCCTCACAGCTCTGAGTCCATTGGACACTCCTACCCTCATAAACATCCCAGGCATAAATGACTATAAAGGCATCACGCATCACATCTCAAGATAGCCACACGACCCTGTTGATTTTGAAATAAGGAAGTCGCCGTCATCGGCACTAGAGCTGCCGGTATTCAAACAATCCAAACAATTCCCAAAGAGGTTAGCTTTTTGACTGCATTCCCACCACCGCCGACTGGAGCGTACCTCTCTGCAACTCGGAAGTAAGTCTCGATTGAGGAGATGGAACCAATTCGCCCTCTCTATCCCGAGACTTTTCAACATTTCAAAGAAACGCCGTACTGTTTCATTCACGCTGCAGACCCCAGGAAGGCTCTCAGCTGACTCTCGAAGAGCCCAGAGCTTTTTTGGGAAGAGTCGTACACCAAGCTAGGCCTCGCACAGTAGCTCAGTAACTTTGGAGATATCTCCACAGACGAGGCGGCGAAACACGGTCAGAGAATTTTTTTGAAGAATATTAGAGAGCACGTCAAAGGTCCAAAGACGTCGAAAAAGCTAGTCCCCAAGGACCAGGACTTTGGAACACGCCGCCTCCGGCTTGAACGCATTTACCTCGAGGTCAAACTAGTCCAGCTTAGGGAGACGCCAATTGAATACATCACTAAGTCGCCACCCTAGTCAACGGCCTACCCCCTACAACGGTCCACCTTCGATGATTGAATCACACAAGTCAACTACGTATTTCTCAATGCAATGAATTTTTTCGAATAAAAAGGAAGCTATTTAAGCTGCCAGGTAAAGTATAGCTCTTTAAAAATATAAGTCTTAAGTTCCACAGCTGAGATCTTAGTATCTAATTGACCCTTATACCGGTCTCTTATATTAATAATATTAGAGATCTTAATAAAGTGTTTATTTAGATCCGGATAAACAGTATATCTTTTCTTTAGCTACAGGAGCTTATTTAACTCCTTTAGCTGTATATTTTCAGTATTTAAGATAGATAGCTATATTTGCTATTTATTAAGACCCTTGTAGATCTTATAGAATAGCAGCCGAATTATTAGATCTACCTCCTTCTTATCTATGAAGTCTTATATTAAGCTATACAGCTATTATAAGCCTGTTAGAGTTATTATTACAGCTTCTTTCCTCTTTAACCTAACTGCAGGTATAGCCGGGGGTATTAACAGCTAGGTCTAAAAGGTATATTAAGGTATAAGTATATACGGGCTTATTAATAGTACTACTATATTAATAGGCTATATTCTAGATACTTTCTAGCCCGAGAGGATATTCTTAACTATTAAGGTAGCTAGCTGAGCTAGGTAATAATACCTTAGGAAGATTATCTTACTGACTAGTAATAAATCTATCTGTAATTATTATTCGGAAAGAAAATAATAAAATACTTACTTAAGGGTAGAAAAGATAGATAAGTTAAGTAGCTGTAATATATATAATAAATATAAGGGTAAGAATAGAAACCAGATCTTATTCTTAAAGTATTCCTATATAAATTTAATAGTTTTATAACTCTTATAGCTATTAATAATAAGTAAATACTAGCTATTATTCTTAGGCTTTATTAATAGAATAAATACCTCCTTGAGTTATACTAATATAATCTTATTAGAAGTTTACCTCTTCTTAGAAGCTGTAAAATACTACTACTTAAGATAATCTAATTTAACTGAAAACTACTATTACTATATAGTCTTTCCTTTAAAGATAATAAGAGGCTTAAGGTATCTACCTACTGTACTAATATACTTAATTATTATAGTCTAATAATAAGTTCCAGGCTGTATCTTAGCTGCCTAGTTCTTATAAGAAAATCTAAGAATTAGGCTATTATTACTAATACCTTCTATAATACTAGCTTTATCTATATTCTAATAATTATAAGGAGGGATCTTCTGGATATTAGGAATTAGCTTAAGTATAAAGAAATCCTTAATATAGTTAACTATAGCTCCTTTAACTCTTAGGAAGTTAATTCTCTTGCTTTAAAGGGTTCTAACCTCCGGGTTATAGTATAAAAATCCCTCTAACTAGTACTTACTAAGGGGGTTAAGTTTACCCTGTTTAAACAGTAGGAACAAAGTAATATCTCTAACCTTCGTATAGGTCGGAGGAAACCTAATTAAATCTTAAATAAGGATCTATTTTATTAAACGGGCTTCCTGGATCTTTAAGAGCTACTACTAGATCTCTGCCTCTTATTATCGTATCTTACAACCTTCTATATATATATATAGGATTATCCGAGGGATTCCCTATCGTATTACAGCTGTTCGCTATAAACAGCCTGCTTTTATATTACGAATAGCTGATTGAATATTATCTTCAGAAAGCCTAGTTATTTGCAAATTAAATAATATAATTTTCAATTGAAAAGAATAAAATTTATATAAGAAATCGCGCAGTTACAGGTATAGAAAATAAAGAGGTTAGGACATTCAATAGTAGACCGTTAAGGGGGGTGGGCTGTTAACTAGGGTGGCGACTTAGAGCTAGTACCAAAACCAGCATGGAGCACATTGACTTGGACATGACTATCTGTGCTACAGGTTTTGACGCCATTAAGGGAGCGTATGATGCCATCGACATCACGAGCATCAACGGCATCAGTCTGAAAGACTGTTGGAAGCACGGTGCAATGACCTTCCTAGAAATGAAAATAGAAAGCTTTGCTAATCTATTCATGATTATAGGCCCGCACCAGATCTTCGTCAATATTTCCAGAAGTATCGAATATGCAGTGGAGTGGGTTAGTGGACTGATCGAGCACTATCAAAAGAATCACATCAGTTGCGTTGAGGCCACGACCGATAGATTTGGCTGGTGGACTCAGCATGCGTACGACTGTGCAGAGGAAGCGCTATTTAGCAAGATCGACTCATGGATGACGGGGATCAATGCAAACGTTGCTTGCAAGCAAACAGGAGCAGTGGCACGAGATAATGGAACTGCCACTCAGTTCAGGACCAAATGTGGCGCTATTGCCGCTGATAAACATACTGCGTTCAAGTTGGCCGCGTAGCAATTCAGATTTAGAGACATTGCTAACTTGACTACCTGTTGATATCCAGTCAGAGGTTTTCAGTTTCTTCTTATATCATGACCCAAGTATTATCTACGAGCAGGTGTGCCCATAGGACCGGCTCTGGTGACTCATTAAGAATCGAGCCGAAGATTTGGATCTGCGCCAAACCATGTTGAAAACTATCTCAATCTCTTTGCTAGGTATGCAGCCTCCAACCAGGGCTGCCTCATACATATTGTTGTAAAAAGAAATACTAGGTCTCTTTTCCTAGAACTTTCTTTTCAAGATATATATTCTATTGTTTGACCGAGACCTAGCTAGCCTATGCAGCTCCATCCTACAAAGTAAAGGTTATACTATACTATAGTATACTTAGGGCTGTAATCGAAAAGCCTGCTCAGGTAGTTGAGGCGATATCTAACCGGTATATTAGCTACTAAAACAGATAGAGATATACCTTTGTACTGTTAGGGGTCAAAGAGGTTAAGAGTGAGATAGAAGCCTTAGACAGTATATAAAATATAGTAGTTAGCTTATTTCTAAGAACATATAAATAAACTCCTAAAATATGTAGAACTACTTAGTAACTAAGCCTATTATAGGTATCTAAGCAGCTTCTGCTAGCGGGATACCTTAAAAATAGGGGGTTAACAAGAGGATGGTAGGCGTTTATAACTTATGTATAATACATATACTAACTTAGGAAAGGTCTGTATTTTGTACAAGGTTATGCCATTAGGCGGTCGTTTGGCGGACTTTTGGCGGACTTTGGCGGACTTTCCGATCACAGCATCGGTAGGTTGAATTGGCGGAGATGGCCACCATTTGCCTCGGGCCTAGACTGGACTGGTATGATGCGTGGCAGGGGCTTAGAGCAAGGTGCAAGTAGTAGTAATTGAGAGAGCTATGCAGCTATGTGGCAGCTGCTGAGAAAAAAAGGGGCAATTCCCAAACACCACGAAGTTAACAAGTTGACACCATACCCAGTATCACAACACATTATAGAGCAAGGTGCAACATGTCGCAGGATAACACGATGGGCATCAGCCCATCTTTAACTCCTGCGTCTTTATGCTTCAATAAAATAAATTGGAAGCAAACAATTTTAAACAATCAAACTTGTTCCATTTTAGTACCGACTATAATCATGGTTTATTTGTCAAAAATGTGTAATTTCAGCGTACACAACTGGGATAGCAACTCCCCACCAATCCACATTAATTAATCACAACTCACAATATTAATAAAAACTTAGTTATATTCTTATTTTTTTATTTCGATATAAAAATAAACCTTTTTTATGTTATTCAAGATATCAAACATCGACCCTTAGTTGAACGACTGCCTGTTGACTAACTTTCGTTATGTGAATCGCGCACCACCGGGACGGTGTCTACACGGGGTCCTTGACTTCCCGACAAGCCGAGTCCACCTGGCTAATAACAATGTCTAGTATGCCTAGAATAACAACCGGTTACACGCTGTTCCTATTAGAGCTAGTATGTCTTAGAGCAACACGCTATATGATTCCTTCTCCAAAACGAGGGGCTCTCCAAGACTCTGTTACATCCAGGGGCAGAAGATATAAAGGCAAGCTGTACCTCCTCACGTATCATCCGTAAACCATACCTCCTCACGCAGGTCCAGTATTCATTTAGTTGAGTTGTCGAGCCCTGGCAGCTTTCATTGCTGTTGAAATTTATTCTCTTTCTCTTCCATACCTCCTCACGCCTCATCCGCTGGGGTGGCCATTTCTATTTCCACAATGGCTCCTTCCGGCATCATTTACGTGGGTTCTCACATCACGGACCCTACGCTCAGCCGGGATCTCCTCAACAGATGGTACTACGAAACCCACTTTCCCGAGATCTTCGCCATCCCCAACGGCCCCCAAGTGGGTTTCCGCTTCAAGAACGCCAACGAGTCCGCTACCTTTCATCATCTCACTCTTGTCCCGTTGCCTAGTCTTGCACTGGTGGATTCCCCCGATTTTAAGAACGCAAAATATACCTATGACCTGCTGCCTAAATCCCATCTCGAGCTGGCTGAGTTTGACATCCGGTACTACGAGAAAGTCCGGACCTTCGAGGACCAGATTTCCAAGGACGGCCGTATCGGAAAGTGCTTGGTCGCCATTAGCATCGACTCTGACAAGAGCGATGAGACAGAGAAAGACTTCGACGCCTGGTATCGTCTGCAGCAGCCAGACATGCTTAGCGTGATTCCCGGATACCGCCGGACCACCTGCTACAAGTTGAAGGAGGCGCCCAGCTTTTCCGCTACGAATTCAGGCGACGTACCCAGATACCTGGCTCTGCACGAATATGATAGCACAGATATTAAATCAGAGCATATAAAGTCTTACATAGGGACCCAGTGGAGCAAGGAAGCTCTCAGCGATTCCAGATCGTTCATAAGAGACGTTTGGATTACTATCCACGAGCAAGGTAGAGAAGGACTCGGACTATAAACACGGTGTGACGAACTTGGGGTCCTAGTACACCTATCTGATCCCTAGAGAGCCGTAGCTTAAATGATTCGAGGCATAGAGCGTCGCTAGTCCAGTTGTACTGATCAATAAGAAGGTATGCTTTTTCTAAAACGGCATTCTCAAGCAACAACTTACAGAATTCTGTAATTGCTATTACCTAAAGCATACTTCCAACAATGAAATTTTAAACCAACATTCAGCTCGTAGATCCCGATTGTTCTTCGGGCCATGCTTCCAAGAACGGATTTATTGACTAATGGCTCGAAGCATCATGCCACTAGTTGTATCGAACTATCATTCCTAAATGTAACTGTGAACTAACAGGCCAAAGGGTCAATTTGCGAGGTCGCTTGTGTGCATTATCAAACAGACTTCTTGGATAATTCGCTAATCTTTACCGTTTCAATATTCTCAAGGCTATACCACCTTGTTGGCAGTGAAACAGCCTGTCCCTCCATGGGTCTATCGCCGTATAACAAACAGGTTGAACTTAATGTTGGAAAGAATATGTTAGGTTCTACTTTCCACGCTATCTAATGAACAGGTTGGTTAAAATTCAAACGTTTAAAGCAAAAAAGACGAATGCAAACTAGTTCAAGTCCATGCGTCTTTGAATATAGTTCGAAGTAGAGAACAGTAATAAATGCGTTCACCATGTTGACCAGTGGCTGAGGTAGGTGAATTTCGGAACAGTCTTAGGCCACTGCCAAAATCATTCCAACTTTTTACAGTGACCATAGTCCTCTCCAAATTCATCCCGTCTACTCACGTGGCTTCACTCCCTGAGGAGTCGAGAATACATCTTCGCGGTCAACCACCGCCTTGATACCTTCCAGCCGAGAGAGATTAGCACCCCAATACTGTTTCTGGGGGCTACCCTTGATCCGCAAATTGGTGTAGCCTGCGTAGGACAAGAACTTTTCCGGCTTGTTGTCCTGGTAAGTGAGAACAGCCTTTTCGACAAAGTCATGGATGGTGCTAGTCGTCTCAGAGCCACTTCTCGCGTACAAGGCGAAGAAGTAGGCTAGGTCGCGATGAGGATACGATGTGGCGTCGGCAGCCGCATCGTTCGCAGCGCCTCCGTACAGATCAATCAGGACGAACCAGGTGTCAGTGCCGGGCTTGGCAGTCTGGAGATGCTCGAATACGGCGTCAATGGTCGAGTTGCTCGGGAGGGTGGAGTAGGTAACGGCAGTATCCTTGGCGTAGAAGTAGGACTGGTCAGGAAATAAATCCGAAATGCTCTTGAATGTGGCATCCATGTGTCCCATCCAGGTCAAGTCGGTTTTCAAAGTTCGGTTGGTAATACCGGGAATCTGGGAGCCGAAGTCAACGCCTGCATAATCTGACTTTGACCCGAAGAAAACGCCGCTAATCAGAAGTGTATCTTTGCTGATAACTGCCACAGATGACAACCGACGATCAAGGTTTCGGTCGATAGTGATTCGGTGGTAGGCCTTGAAAGCAGCAGACAAGTTCGCCGAACTTGTGGAGGAGATAGTGTAGGAGAAGTTGACGACATTATCGGGCTCAGGTTTGGTTTGGAAGTCGAAGCTCGTCACGATGCCAAAGCTTGCACCGGCGCCTCGGATCGCCCAGAACAGGTCCGAGTGCTCTTTCTCAGAAGCATGTACGGTGGTTCCATTCGCTAGAACGACCTCAGCGCCAGTCATAACATCAATCGAGGTGCCTAGGAGACGACTGTGAAGTCCAAGACCGCCGACTGTGGCATGGCCCCCGATTCCCACGGTTGGAGAAGAACCATGAGGCATATATCTCTTTCCATTGACATGAAGCTTCTCGCAGACGTCTTTGAGGCGGTTGCCGGCGCCAACCGTGGCAATACCCGCCGAATTCACTTGAACCTGATTGAGATTCTTCACATCAATGATTAATGCGTCATCTCCCGCACCAATACCTGTTCCAGTCAGCCTCGTACCACCATATATCTTCTTAAGATACTCACATTTGTTCGTATAGTCATGTCCGCCGCTTCTAGCCTGTACTCTGCGATCATGTTTGGAGGCACAGGTAACAATTTTGGCAACGTTGGAAGCCTCTGTTGGGTAGGTGATTGCAAAGGGAGCCCATGGAAAGTTGAGATTGTAAGGCCGAACATGGCTAGACTGAAAGTCATCATCACTCGAGAACTTTACTTCAGCTATGCTCCCACCGACAGCATTAAGCAGACAGTCCTTGAGGGCATCTAAGGAGTTGGCCCTGGCAGAGTAGGGAACTCCGACAGCCAAAACTAACGTGGCATGGACAAGCCACAATAGTAGCATCGTGGGCAACTGAGCCTGTTTTGCCATTGATCGAATGCTAAAGAGTTGTTGGTTGAGTTGCTTGAGTGTGGAAAAGATCAGAGATGCTGGTTTGGAGGATGGTGGTACGGCATCAGGAAGGGTCGGGGACTCCCTTAAATACTTTGATCCGGAGAATACTATGCACCTTGAGAGTATGACGGACACCTCATGATACACCGAACTGCCGAAGGTCTGATGGTATCACAACGGATTCCGCAGGGCCCGTCAGCCCTGAATCGCCAAGACCTCATGCATTTCTATCGTCAACTTTCAGCTGGTACTAGCTGCATTTGGCTTGTGACATGCACAATGAGTGACCATTGCCGGATGTTCGTCATATCTATCTTTCCTCGTAACAATGTCACTGCCGTACTATCCCTCGACCCAGTTCACTCAAAGCACCTAGATTTCACGTGCAACGATGTTAAACGGTTGTGGGTGTTTGGACCCTCGTTTGGATAGAGCCGAAAGCCCTTGGCACTTGATTCGGCTCGTCCCGTGTCAGTACCCTGTTAACGGTATTGTCACTCATAATAGTTCGCCCGACTATGCCGAAGCTAGGCAAACGATTCGCATTTGAATGAACCCACAGTTCATCATGGCTGATGTTATCATAGCAGCCTGCTCAGCGTTATCTCTTGAAAATCAAAACTTCTACAAAGAACATCATTGAATGGAAAATATCATGTAAGTTATATAGAATGGAATGTCTGAAAAAATGTGATTTACTAAATTACATCTATTCATGCTTTCGTCCTCCTTTTCATTATGTGATAGCTAAATTGCAACAGCCTACGATATAATAATCGAGCCTTAGCCACCTTCTCATATAGTAAGTTAAGTCCCATTAAATCTATTAACTTCTGTAGAATAAAGATAAGATATACTCCTTAAATACATAGTTCAAATAAACGATATATACGACTAAACCTGTGAATCTTCTATTATCATAGTGGACCCGAGCAGTAGGGGCCTCTCGATCAACTGTGGATGGAGCTTGTGTCACGCATTAGGTCAAGAGATGGGGAGATCCAAAGGCGTGACAGGTAACCGAACGTGACGACTAAGTAAAATCACATAGTGACTATTGTACTCATTCACAGCGTCCCCAATGGTTTTCCCCATATGCTCGAAGCCACGCAGAACAGCAATGTCAGCCATTGTATCTTACGAGTACTTGATAGAGACGAATTAGCCCGGAAGTGACAATACTTTGCCACGATAAGATGCAAGGCCTTGTGAATATCTTCTCATATCTTGCTACTATTTGAAAGAATTATGGAGTGATCGGGTCTCTTCCGCATTATCATTTCAGAGTGGCAAGGCTATCTGCCTACATCCCGCTTGGTGTCCCCCCCCTCGTGCAACCTTCGGGGTCCGAGCCGGTGCGAAGGCTGAATTTAATAATTACTAATTCCAGGCGAGCTCGGACATTTTGCAATGCCGATCTGTTGCATAGCTTATTAAATCATGAATCGTCCCGGAGCCCGCGCGTTCCATTCCAGAGGTCCACATCATAAAACGGACGGGAGCCATCCTTCCAGTCCACAGCCCTAATGAAAGCGCATCCGCTGTGAACATACCCTGCAAATGGCAATCAACTGGGCTCAGGCTCTACAGCTTTCGAGCTTGCTTCTAGCTACTCACTCCTCTGGTAGGGAGACATTCCATTCTCAGCTTCGATTCATCATGACTAAGAGCCCTTAGGCTACGGACTTTGCTCCGACAGATTAGCCTTACATAACACATTACTCTTATCTGACCGAGACACGATCACTCGACAGTGGTTCCGAGCCTGGGACTTCGGGCGCAAGTATGGGCCTGTCGTAGTGACTGGCTCTGGACTGGGATTCCTTGGTGCTGCACTGCTAGGTATGCGCTTCCCCCACAAGCTTCTACCCTCCATCGTACCAGAGAGTAACACTTATTAGACGGCTTGGATAGCCCTGGCTTCTCTCTCAACATCTCCGCTGCACTCTCAATGGGACTAGTTGTCTTCTATACCGTCTTTTACGTTTTTCCAGTTAATGACAAGCTTCTGGCGGCCCACTCAAGATTGATCAGCCAGAAGAAGTCTGATAACGCTTCTCAGACGACTGACGAGATCCGAAATCTGGCGGCTGCATGGAAAACTGCTGATCTAAAACGAACCCTACTCTCGACGTTTGCGGCCGTAGCAGGCTTGATTGCTGCGTGTAAGCAGTAAACAGGTACTAGGGGCAGGAGATGCATTGTGTATGGTACTGGACTGATAAGGCGTCCGTGACGGCAGCACGTAACGTGGCTCTACCAATCTAGACTTAAGATCGGGGAGAATGAACACATAACTTTGATAGCACTGATACCAGGTGTCCAATCTTCGTAGCGACACAGTAATTAACCCTCAGATACAGGAACACCTTTGCCACCTAAGTGAACATGAAGATTCTCCAACTTTTTATTCCCGCCTGGGCCATTGTCAACCTGTCCATCAACCAAAATGTTACTTCCGCGCTCCATCTCGACACTCTGGGGCATATCAAAAGCGATGGACAGCTGTTTGAGCACGCATAGGCTCAGGCAGCTAGTCAGTGTACACTTTGCGCTCCTCGTAGCGGGATCCTCCATTACCAACTTTGCTATTCAAGGATCTGAATTTAAGGAAGGCGGTTATCTAGGTTTTATAGAACTATGTGTGGATTTCCTCCATGCTTACGCCGGCAACCCTTTCACATTCATATTCGACTTAGGTGATAACATAATGTAGCACTCTGATACAATTACTTAGCTTTCATCATACAGAAACAATGAGTTCTGTCTAATGTTTGATGATTGTCACAAAAGAATATCCTTACTCAATCGCTTACCCCAGAGTTTTCAGCTTCCGGAGAGCGCGGACGCCGGCATAAGTGGCGCCCACCGGATAGTTCCATGTCGGTGACCTCATGTACGGGCCGATAGGGTCCATCCGGATGAATGCGCATCCCTGTTTTTCGTTTTCAATGTCCGGGCTAGCCTAATTTCGCAAGATTGCTATTGTCCGAAGTCCGAGGGCTTTGGACTTGTTTATCTGTTGTGATTCCTTTGATCACATGGTCTCCTAGTTATTGTCGCCTTAAAGTACTATCATGGCAGGTAAGAATGATCTGACGGCATAGTCCTCTACTTCTCTATATATCTTGCTCCCTTTCATCACCAACGGTTTCACTCAAACTAACGCTCTCTTTGGGCAGGGATCATCGCGTCGAAACTTGCCCTCGGGCAGGTGACCAAAACATTCAACAGCCCTATTGCCCGGACATGGGCCCTTTGGTCCTCGTTCGGAGCCGCTCACCTCTACATAGCCGGCTGTGATACCGTAGAGTTGCATGGGTTTGGTGTTGGGTCTGTCCGCGTTCTCTCCATGTACGGCAACAAGGTCCACGAAACTTTGAAATATATTGACCCCGCCACCCATTCCTACGCATATTCGATTGCCGACTCACCTGGATTTCCAGCCACTGGGTCCCTCGGTTTCATCCAGTTACAAGAACTCACAAAGGGGCAAACGCAGATAACGTGGAGAGGTTTTGCAGATCGTGTTGTACCGGGTGCCGAGGAGTCTTTAAAGCTGCAGTTGGATGCACTATATAATGACTCTATTGAGAAGGCCCGCAAAGCCTTGGAGAAGTAGCCCATGAGGTATAGCTTAGAAGTTTTATCAACTTACCTTACCCTCTGGCCGTGGAGCTCGTATGTTGTAGATCAGAACTCATAGTCGTAGATTGGTGGTCTCAGTCTCAAATCGGTGGGCAAGCAGGAGGCGAAATGACAGATTGCCCCAGAGTCTGAACGAGGGCAAACTTGCCACGGCTCGGTCGATGTTGTCTTGTCGAGTCTAAACTAGTCTACGTAGGATGGAACAAGACTTTCCAGATGTCGAAAATTCTCTTACTGTACAAGGCCGCCGTGTGGTTCTTGCTATTTGCATACGTTTTTACGGTTGAGCTTGGACTGATATTGCTGGATCTTGAATTTTCCATCATCCGTACATTAAAACTCTGCTAGTTTTGAAAAATTTAATTATCACATGTACGGATTTATCAGCAGTTCAGATCCAGAAAAAGACGCGGTGTGCTATTAGCTATTCTATCCGTAAAGTCTTGGTGCCGCCCCTAGCCTCGGGCAAGCAAGACACCTTAAGTCTAGAACAGGTGACTAAGATTCGGCTTATCTACTGCAGAACAACTTATCAATTTATTTCATCTAAGTCTAGAAGGCATCCAAAAGTCTACTTCTGTTACTAGTAATGTATTGTTCAGAGTCCTTCACTTGAAACCCTACTCAGATGATCACCTGCACATCCATATAAGAAGAAGAGTTTACTCAAATATCTCAGTGAAAGCAATATAATCATGTCCTCAGGCTTTCTCAATCCATGTTCTCTGGGATTGTGCCCTTGTAATAGCTCTCCAGCGCATCTTTGACAGTAAGTGGTTTGATGTCGGGGAACAAGTCGTTCAAGCGCGGTCCATATCGATAGGTGTCTGCACGGCCCGTGCCCATGAACCACTGAATTGCCGAGGGTAGCCGCTCAGCCATTCTCTTTGTCCAATACTGATACAAAACGTCCCAGCCTTTCAGTTGCTTGAACCGAGTGATGTCTCCAGATTTCAAGTCTTCGAGGTCATTATATTCCTTTTCAAACTTGGACCCTACAATGGTGTTAAGAAATGAGATAGAGGTAAGTACGATAGGTGCATAGGGAGGTGAACGAACCGGAGGCCTTTTCTGCAAGGTCGATGAACTCATTCCAAGTGAGATGGTCTCCAAACATGTAGAGCCGGCTCGGCCAATGGGCGAGCGAGAGACTAGCTACGACAAACCGGGCAACATCAAGAGTGTGCGTGAAGGAGACAGCGACATTTCCGTCGCCCGGTATGATGGCTTTCTTCTCGTCAAGATCCGCGATATACTTTCCAGGGGTTAGGAAGGTCTTCACTTTGGACGAAAAGTAATAGTCCAGGAAGAAGCCGTTGTGGAATCGGGTCCACTCGAGAGTCTTTGTCGTCATTAGCAGTCTCTCGATGTCGAGCTTGTAGCCGCCGGTATACAGAACGCTCGCCATCCTAATTGGAAGATTAACTAACAACTCAAAAAAGACTGAATGGTTCATGACTTACTCTTCATCATAAGGAACATCAAAGGTGCTGGGCACAAATCTCTTGGTCACCGCTGAGGCCTCTGCCGCACGGATTAGGTTATGCTGAGAAGGCGTGACTCCATCCGAGATGAAAACATTGGAAATGAGGGTGTGGACCCCCTCAGCTTCCAAGACCTTTGTGATATCCTCAACATCTAGATAGTCGACAGTGACCATCTTGACTCCGAGCTCTTCAGAAAGGGCTGCTTCAGCCTTTCGGCTGAGTATCTTGGCCGTGTAGAGGCTAGGGAACTTCTTCAGCTCGTGGACAATGGCGAGACCCATGCCCCTGGAGCCTCCAGCAACGGCGACGGTGGTAGGCATTTCCGATCTGCCCAATGTTAGCTTGCAGATCCTTGGCCAAGAAAATAGGGGAAGCCCGTACGTGGAAAAATAAAATCAATAGAGAGTCTGATTACTGTGGATGTAAGTGAAGGGGGGTGGCTTGTTGATTATTTTGAGATAGAAATGTTCAAACCTACCCCAAAGAATTTTTGATTTTTTTATAGTTGGCAGAAAGTGTGTTTCGGGCCGTCTTCATAATCCGGCATTAGTTAATTTTCCTGTCTGCTTGGGGCAAGCTGGACTTTTGAGGAAAGTCCGACTGAAAGTGAGGCTCATGCAGGCAGGACATTGGGCACAGCACGGCCTCTCGTGGTGTTGTACGTGTTTGGCTCCTGGTTGGTGGAGAATGGGGCCAACCAAGCCAAGAAATCATTTTATTTGTCGATCTTTGTGCCGTGACTGGCAAGGAAAGGGCGTGAAGGTAAGGGTGCATCAGTATGTCGGTCAGTTGCAGGGAAATACGCTACCTTTTTACAATCATTTTGTTCCCAGCTATATTTCCCTGGCCTCTGTAGACTCGATGCGGCTGGGATTCTACTCCAATCCTTCCTGAGACATACGTACGGGAAACGGTGTTTGGTTTTAATTTGCTAGCCGGACAAGGGGCGGTTAAGGCGGTATCCACTGCAAGGTGCCCATTTCAAATTCCGAATTCCAAGCAATCTTACCCTAGAGTCAAGTCCACAAATAATTGCAAATCTTCAACCAATGTATATATTCATTGATATACTTGTTTGTTCATCGAATTATGAAGAAATATAGGCTTAGTTGATTTAAAACTAAATATCTACTTCTTACCGATTCATTGTAGATTCAAGGTGCTCTCCAAGTGAAAACAAAATAAGCCCAATATAGCAGTAGTTGGAACTACATGTAGTAGGATCACATAACACATTACTAAGCTAGGAAGGTCTTGTATCACTTTCTGACAGCACAAACTGCTCCTCTTGGAATAATATATTATGATTAGACAGTATAACTATAATAGCTTTATCTACTTCTTATATTCTCTTATATACTACTATATATTATTATAAAGCAGAAGACATGCTAAACAAGTCCAGATGTAAGAGTACAAAGAGATATTACATGATGTTCTACTCTAACCAATCATGTTATCTAAGCTGGACCATCATTTACGGCCCAGACTGACAATTTCCATCTGCCTCCCTAAAGTCCCTGCCCACGGACTTGAGCGGGCCGGAGAATCTTATTCTACAATGCTGGAGCATTGAGAGAACTTCTGCCGAACTCTTAAAAGAAAAGGTAAGCATGTTGGGATCTCAACTGCTCGGAGCATGTCTGTGGAGGCACGTATCAGAATTAGCATTCTTATCATTGAGTAGACTTCCAGACTTATCATTCAAGCCTGGTCATTCTATGCATTAGAAAGAGCGGGAAGACTCACAAAGTCCATCCAGCACACGTCGATTAGACTGAAGGGATTAGCCTTCCTTTCATTCCACACGCTGGCTAGAACTTTAGTTAAGGCTGGATGTTGAAACCCCGTTGCCGTCTTGATCCCACTAATACACCACTTGGCGTAATGTATCTGGTGCGGCGAGGAAGTATTGGCCCCAGCTAAGAATATGGGAAACAATAGCCGCTTGAAGAAAACACTATCTCTGGGTACCAATGAACAGACGTCAAGGATAGCGGCTACAGATTCCTTGATCCGAGGATCATTACATGAGAGAAGGTAAGGATCTGGAAACCGCATAATACGAAGGAGACAAGCATGTCTATAAGCCTCGGCCAAATGCTTCCATTCGGCATGCCCAGTAGGGTAGATTACTTGTTCTGGGTCCCAGCTGCGAAAAAATCTTTCAGCGTCATCGAGTACCTATTCGGTGATGCATTAGACATCTTAATGGAAGTTGCTGATCCAGCCGGAAAGCTTGATGCTTGCATGTGCCGACCTTGGCTTGAAATACCTGTTTGAATTTCTCGAAGGAGAGTTCTCCTGCTAGGCTGGCTTTACCAGCCGCTAGGACCTGGCCTATCGCGTAGAAAAGACTGGCAGGGCAGCCTACGAGGGTGTGAAGGCTAAGACTTCCATGATCACGCACGCATCTGCGTATATCTTGCGAGTAAGATAGCTTTTCAGCCCCGCTAAACCCACGCAACATATCTAGCCTGAACCAAGTTAGTAACGACATCAAGCTGCTTTATAAATGCTACGTACCAGGATAAGGCAGATGTGAAGAAAATTCCGGCCTTGGATCGTGTCGAGCAATTAGCTGGGTAAGCCATTCTCTTGCAAAGAAATGAGACACCAGTAAGATGCGCGCCATTAGCCGAGATGCCAGTCTCACAAACCTAGATGAAAATCAACGACGTACATAGTGATAGATGTAGGGCTTTATATACGTCGTGTAGTACCAGTAGCAGCACTATTGCTAAAATGTACTCTGCTTCCAATGGCTCAAGATTGGAAACCTCTTCTTTACGGAGTAAGGACCCAAGAGAGTGTAGAGCTGAGATCCTATAACTGCAGGAAGTTGCAACAAAGTACTGGCTACTTTCGTTTCCTGAAATATGCATATGGCATACTGAAAGTCCAAGTAAGGCATGAAGGATGCCTTGATGTTGGTAAGCAAGAGGTAGGACATACTTATGAAATGGGTTCTCTGTGCCCTGCGCCTGAACTGTGAGATGCTGGCTAAGTGTTCGTTCAACTAGCATAAATGGTCAGTAAAAGTACTTGATGACCGCAAGGGGATATCTTACAGTACTCTATGATTGGCTGATTTGCAATGATCTCATTCTCTAGCTGGGGGACTGGGACAAGCGGCGAGGCGAACGAGACCTGAGTTGTCGAGTATTGAGTATTAGTGGGCGACGAGACCGATAAGTAATCCGAGATAGATGAGTTCTGAGTCAGGTCCTCGGCAGGTTCGAGTGAATTATTGTCCAAAGGCTCGGTGACAGAGTGTTCCACAGAAGGTGTCACCGCAATTACAGTTTCAGGCACGGTTGGTGATTCCAGGACTGACTCGTCAAAGGTCGTTACTGTTGATGAAGTTCCAGGATCACTCGAAGATGAGACGTTGGAACTCTTTTTGCGAGATGGAGCAGTCAGAACCTCGCAGAACTGGAAACGTGGAGGGTAACCCTCGCAGTGGAGGCCTCTAGTCCGACAACGATCACAGATGGGACGTTTGCGATCGCACTTGCGGCATTTCTTACGACAGGTACCACAAGCTGGTTCTGTCATGATGTATAATGTCAGCAATTACTCGATGAGGTACCAACTTATGGCGCTGGTACTCTCTCACCTTTACGTAAAACTGCCACTTGACTTAACGGAAGAGGATCCATGCTTGTTTCAGTTTCTCGGGCTGGGATGTATACGATAGATGATCGAACCAGGATGATAGAGAGGAATCGTACAACCAAGTAGCAGGGAGAAAAGAGAAGGGGAGGAATAGAGAGTTCACTCACTCATGAGGTGCCTCAAGTCTAGTCGCTGCCAGGACAGGCTACCCCACATTAGATAAAGTTACTGAAACTGTGCTGGTGTACGGCACAACGCGATGTCATGTGGGGTTGCTGTACGGAAGATTAGGTAGTTGATCCGCAACCCACTACATCCAGGCGGCCCATGGATCAAAGTCAAGGATATCTAATGACGCTATCTAGAAGTAGGGATGCAATCTCGGTTAGGAAATAGCGGCCTGTTCATATAGGGAGAACCGCTCCTCTTCATTGTATGGGCCAGATGCGTAAGAAACGTGCGGATTCTTCATAAATAGCCCCTCTCTTTTTATACTAGATACCTTTTTCGCCCTATTTTCTAAAGCTCTGCGGAATAACTATATTAGGCAGCGGAATTACTTTACTAGGAAAGGTCACAGCATACTAGAAGATCGTAAAATTCCCCGTTTGGAATCGCGTGGCTGGGGAAGTGATGTACCTACCATAGTACTTGAGAGGGCGTGTTCCCCCTCACACCTTATCGCTTGTCGCTGACTCGTCTCTAGACAATTGGCTTCGGCGAGGCGGAGTTTCACTGCCCTAGCATACCAATGCTTGGAGAATAACCGGGGTGAGAGCCTTACTTCTGAGACCTTGGTGAGTACTGCACCGGAGTCTGGATCTGTAACCTGTGGAGAAATCAAGGACCGAGACGGGTCCCGTTGGAAGACCTACCTAATTGGGAAAGCCCGCATGTTATGCCGCGAACTTTGGAAAAGCAGTCCACCCTAGAGTAGTACGACGAATAGAATAGCTCAAAGATGACGATGCAGTCATAAAAGCCCAGCCACTTCTAGAGATAGCAACTGTTAGTGTGCTGGCCCTGTCCGTAAGTAGAAGTTAATCCAGCAGCCCGGAGAGCCTGACCGCCTATGTACCCAATATGTACTCATCAACCCCGCTGCGAGGAAGTTCAGAGCGAAGACGCGTAAGAAGAAGACAGACACAGGCAAGATTGAAGAAGAACGAGAATCAATTCTCATCTACTAGGAAATCCGCCTGTTAAACTGTTGCAGATGCTCATCTATTACGTTGCAACCCATCAGCAACTACATCACTCCTTCCCTGGGACGGTAATCGGACCAATGATAATTATAATATAATGGTATACAGCTATACAATGTACAGTTTGCTCTATCTTACTACTGCCAAATTAGAGATGAGAAGGGCGGCAGCACGTCTCGTGTGGTACGATGTGCAAGGTTGACTTGTTCTGGCTCTGGTTGGATCGAGGAACATCATTGGAAGGATTCACCTCGAAAAAGTTGGCTGGCTTTAGCGACATAGTAAACTTCTCAACCGGCATAACGGGGAAATCTGTATCAAGTTAGTGTTATGTCAGGGATCGGAGCTGCGCAAAACATACCCTCGGGTCGAGTGACGTGTGTCACTCCGAATGAGTGCCACAAGACAACATCCTCGTTTTTTACGTTCTCTTCACGGGAGCTCCAGATAGCAAGGCCAGTATCCTCTCGGCTTTGGTTTGTAAACTCTCCTGAGGCCCACAGCTCGTCGTCCTTATATTTGGTAACCCAAATAGCTTTAGAGGTAAAGATTCCGCGACGATAGTTGAACGTCTTGGGTCCCATCATAAGCATTTGGCTAGGAACAGGGTGTAGTTTGTATCCATGGGGTTTTCCAGATACTGAGTTAATACGAGATTCATTAATAATCTTATAGGTGCGATTCTTTGTGATATCCAGCTCGTATCCACCCGGCTTGTTGATCGCTGTCGAATTGACCTTAAAAGCACAGCCATAAGGATCAATCTCTGGGTCCTCAATAACAGGATGGCATTCGTCATATGCGATTGTATTCTTCTCATCGCCGTCAAGGTTAGCATCAACTCTGGCACAGAAGATATGCTGATGGTTGACCGCTAAGACACCAGGAGCAACAACAGTCCCCCAAGGCACTTGGAGTCCTTGGCGGATAGGCATCGTAGAGACGATGCCAGTAGCCCGGACTTCAATGTGAATATTAGCAGCCTGATCCAGGACAAAGGCTAGGATGTACTCGTAGTTGGCAACGGTTGCTGTACATTGGATGACGAGCTGCCTGTTTCTCACGACCGAAGACTTGAAGTTTCGGAAGTTTGTGTGCTTCCATCCAATGCCATCATCGATCTCATGCATACAAACAACATTAGGCATCACAACGGGCTCTCCGTCCCTGGTCACTCGTACACCACTGAAGTAGGTGATATGACCAAGACAATCACAGCCGAGGCTAAGACTATTGGAGGTCAAGCCAAAGCCAGAGTCACCCAAGTCGAAGGCTTGCTTTCGGTGGTATGGAGAACGGGGATCACCATAAGGAACAGTCATCTCACTCATAGAGACTCTGTAGAAGAGCGGACGGCTGTCGTACTGCACATCGTGGAGAACAGGGCCTTCACGGAGTGTCCAACCCAGCTGGAAAGACCATTTCTGCCACTCAACGCGACGTCCGAAGATCTGAAACGAGGGCCCCTCTGGCTGGACAACCTGTAGCGGCTTGAGATCCTTTCGGAAGGCGTCATCACCCATGATGTTTGCGCTGTACTCTACAGGAATCACAGGCTCCCATGGTTGAGTCTCAGGATCTAGCTCATCGCCGGTGCCCATCGGAAGTCGTTGCAGCTCCACAAGCTCTAAGGTATGCGCATCGAAGATCGGGGCAAGAGGAATGGGAAGCGAGTAGTGGTTGGCCTCAGGGTCATCGCTCAAGGCGATGTACATGTAGCATTGGAATAGCCGTCGTCGTTCGTTGGGATCGTCTGTTCCGAAAGCCCAAGGGTCGTTGTGAACTCGAGCGCTAGATTGTGTTAGCGACGTTGTTTCCCATCAGTGAGTGATAGATAGCTTACTTGCGAGGAAGCTTGAGCTTAGCGACTTCAGCCTGAACTTCAGGGTGGTCGTTGCAGGCCTTGTTGACGAGTTCGAATTCGTGCCAGTCAACAGGGCCTTGAGAGTCTGGGGCCTCTGTTTCCTTCTCTACCCGGCTTTTTGAGATGTTGACAATTGCGATCAAGAGAGACTGGCTGCCCTTGAGATGATAGTAGACCCTGGCCCTGCGGTCGGGCACTGGTGCTTTGCCACGAAGGTGCTGAAGTGTTTGAACTTTGGCTGGTTCGGCAAGGTCGATCACCTTGAACCTCAGCTCCTCTGCGGGACATCCAACGTGCTTCAGAAGGGTTCGCGATGCAGCCTGCACCTCTCCAGGCCTCAATGGGTCCAGAGGGTGAGGAGCCTGTTTGTTGGAAGCGCGAGTGAACATGCTGGGCAGCGGTCTTGGGCAAACACAGAATGAAGATTGAAGAGATCGCTGGTGATGTATTATTTGATCTCGATGCCTAGCCTCTCCCCGCGATTCGATGCCATCTTATACACACTCGGCTTGCCTTGCCCGACATCATAGTTGAGACTGAGAGGAATCTCCAAAAGCAAGCAGAGTAGGGGGTGTCCGTAGTCCAGCGCCTCCAAGGGCGTTGTATTACTGAAACTGGCAATATCCCCAACTTTAAATGTCGTCACTCGGGCTTATCTGTGGAGAAAGCTTACAAAATGGGGTCTAACCCTTTGTAGGAAGTAATTCCCACTTTGTGGCACTCGCTGCAACCGTTGCCGTTTACGGTAGGGAGAGCAGCTGAGCCACGGCCCACTGGTGGTTCAAGACTTTGCGTTTCATGACATTGTCAACAATGGGGAACCATGACGACCTTCCAAGAACATGGTATTTTTGTACCGCTTCCCTTATCCGTTTTTCTAAATGGAAGGCCATCGGCAGATTGTATCTATCTTTACGCAAACAAGCACACTCTAAAAACATCATGCCTAACTTCCAAGGACTCGACTTGACTGGCAAGACTGCCATTGTGACTGGCGCCTCCAGGCAAGTTCTTCCCTCTGCTCGACATGACAATATCTAACACGACTTCCAATAGAGGTATTGGTGCTGCTATCGCCATTCTACTAGGTCAGCGTGGTGCCAACGTGGTTGTCAACTTCACCAGTGCCAACAGCAAGCAGCGCGCTATAGATGTTGCCCACAAGATTGAGACGAACGGTTCCCGAGCCATACTTTGCCAAGCAAGTGTAGCAAACGTCAAGGAAATCTCCAAGATTGTCGACGCAGCACTACAACTGAGCCAAAATGGCAAGATTGACATCGTTATTCACAAGTACGACCCTCTTTTCTCTATTATCTCATCAAACTGGTATGCTGACGATGACGACGATCAGTGCCGCCCTCGGGGTTGACGCAAACCTCGACGAAGTCACGGAGGAACTTTTCCAAACACATTTCGATACCAACGTCAAGGGTCCTATCTTCCTTACCAAAGCAGTTATCCCCCATATTGCCAAAGGCGGCCGCGTAGTGTTTGTCTCTTCGGCCGCTGCTCGTCTTGGCGTCGCTGGCCAGACAGTCTACGGCGCGACGAAAGCTGCCAACGAATCGTGCGCCCGGGTTTGGGCAAAGGAGCTCGGACAGTCACATGGAATCACTGTGAACTGTGTAAACCCTGGACCCGTTGCCACTGATCAATGGCAAGAGAGCGATGATCAGTTCAGACAAGACATGCAGCCACTGATTGAGTCTACACCGGCGGCGGCGAGAATCGCCGAGGTGGATGATATCGCGCCCCTTGTTGCTTTCTTGTGCACTGACAATGCGCGATGGGCTACGGGCTCTGTACTTTGCGCCAACGGTGGACTGTACAACTAATCAAATGGCTAGAATATATATATGACCAATGTGAGACCGTGAATTCACTGCCTTCTTCTGCATTGAGCTCTGTGAACTGCCCTAACGCTGTTAAGTGCCGATTGTTTAACTACTGATTCATATTGCATTGTGAGACATCCTACAACGGTCATAGGGAAGCTTCTCAGACGCATGATAGACCTGTCGAAGATTCAATAAATTCGTCGCACCAAGCGGCTCCCATGTATTGTATTCTTATTCGGCCATGGTTTACTGATGGTAGACGATCATAGTGGCCATGTAGGGACGGAATTGTCCTAGAAATGAAGCGCATTATCGTCCTACGGACATATTACACAAACCTACCCAGGTTAACGGCGATAATCATGCTAAGCCCGCGTTACAGACCACCACATTACTCTGACAGTACTCACCGCAACATAGTCGATCTGCTGGGCGATTAGGGTGGAAGGATCCGACTGGGCAGCGCGTGGATTGTCACCACCCTTCCCGCTGGCCGGCCGGTGGGAAATTGATTGCCGTTACATGGCAGGCATAACTTACAGGCTATAAGTTACAGCCCCGGTCCTGGCTCGGTATCAGAAGTCGTGTAACGCACCAGAGGACGCTAATGCGATTCTCGACCTTGGATGTAATTTGAGACTGACTCAATGAAGAAATGCTCCCAACTCCCAAGTCATGCCCCTATCTACCAAATTAGGGGGAATATCTGGGGTACAGCGGTCGGAGGCGATAACATCCCGAGCTCATTAGGTAGCTTTGCCACTGCTATCCGCACCCTTTCTATAACGGGGATGGCATCAAGACTGGTTCTCATCGATTCCCATAATATATCAGGGGGTCTCAAGGTTATCGGCAAATGCCAATAGCTGACCATTTTGAGTGTTAGATATTTTGAGTGATATGTTATAGCACTGGAGGGGTAAGAGAGGGTGCTCCAGGCCTATGCATATGTAAATAGACAAAGATATAGATATTTCATAAGGGATGTTAAAGTCCATTTGCGCAGATGATAAAAATACTCAAAACAACATTCATCTGCATCTGAATATACGGGCGGACATACGGAACCTGCCTTTTTGCATTGCCCTTGTGAATTGTACATGCACGTCTAGTACATCGCCGATTAATATTAGAATTGCACACCACCCCGTTCTATTGCGAGGCTAACTGGTAATCAAGCTGTGACTGGGAACTTTCGTTATGTCTTAATCGTGTCAGTGGTAAATAGCGTTATCGGACATGTGGTTGGGGAGCTTTTGGAAAGCCTCGATTAATAGCGCACCGATAACAGTGTCATAATCTTGCAAAGGTACATGATAGTCTCAATATCTCAATCCCATTTTTGGCGCATGGCAGGCATGCTTATCTCGAATAGGCTTGCATATGAGCAGCACCACCCCCAGAAGTTCACTTATCTGTCTAAATTCTATGCCGTGTGACATGACCAGCTGCATCGGACTGGCATAACCGATAGGCCAACTTACGGACGTTGCCAAACTAGGAAGAGTTTCCAGCTCCTTAATCGTCTATCCTGTAATAGGAAAGCTCCCAAACAGCCACACCAACCTTGGTGAGAGCTGAATACCACTGAGTTTAGGGGCCTTTGCATCTAGTGTGCTTAGCCGATAGAATGCGGGGGAGGCTTAGACCAACGCTCTGCGACCTCCGCAAATCCAGGCAGATGCTAGGTTTTCCTTGGCCTCGACATGCAGCCCCATGGGGATTGACCAATAGCCAATGCTGACTTGAACCAGTCCCTTATCATCGACGAAGTGCGTGTACATGGTATCGGTATCTCACAGGTAGGTCAAGAGATTGGCCACCCAGAAGTCAAAGCTTGGTTATTAGTACAAGCCCCCGGCCAGACGTTATCTAACCTAAATACCCCTCGAAGCACGACAAGTTTCATTTCCATTCCTGACACTTTACCCATCAACGCTCCTACACTCATCTCGTCAAGAATATCTTCCCTATCTTGGTCTCAATGTCTGATACGAAAGATCCTACCATGAAGACAAACTCAAAGGGACACGACGGAGATCGCGACAGTATCGCCAACGGCGTCGTAGTCGGAGACGATATCGACGATGCCATTCTTCGAGCAAACGGACACAAGTCCGAATTAAGGCGTCAGTTTAGCTGGCTGTCTGCCCTTGGTCTTGGCTTTTCCATCACAAACTCTTGGGCTGGTTATCTGGTTAGTTCGCTCCTCCGACCGCCTTCCTGTAGTTACTGACCTCGATCCAGAGCTGCTTCGGGCAAAGTCTTTTGTATGGCGGGCCGGTAGTCTGCATCTTCGGTCTCATCGTTGCTTTTGCCGTCCAATTCACCATCACAATCGGGCTGAGCGAAATCGCTTCTGCCTTTCCTGTACGTATCATTCGCCCCCATCGAGGCCACAACAGATTAACTAACACAACCATTCTTAGTCCACCGGCGGCCAATATCACTTCTGCTACATCCTTAGTCCCGACAAACATAAACGCTTCGCTGCATATACGATCGGATGGATGTCGACCCTCGCTTGGTGGATTGTTACGTAAGAAATAGGCCACTTCGAGAGAGTAATCCTAGCTAATCCGATATTCAACAAGATGTTCTGGCATCTCACTCGCTGCAGTTACCCTGGGTGGTGTCATCAATTTCATTGACTCGTCATTCACCGTCACCAACTGGCAGACTTATCTCTTGTACGTGGCAGTGGCAGTCATTACAGGTTAGTTGGTCCAGCCGTCCCCAGCAATTTCCATGTTAACACACTTCCAGCGGTACCTGTATTTGTGGCCTCAAAACGTCTTGCATGGCTCTGCCAAACTGCGCTCGTGCTGTCAGTTATTGGAGTGTGCTTGTGGCTTTTTGTTCCAGTGGGCATGCATCAGCATGTGAACAAGGGCCCTTTCCTTGTCGAGACCGGACTAGGAGTCAGTGGGTGGAACTCCGGTACGGCGTGGATTCTTGGTATCTCAAACGGCATGTATGCCTTTGGAGGTACTGATGGAGGTAAGTCAAAGCTTCATCCTGGAATGGCAACATCTGACAGTGAATAGCGATTCATATCAGCGAGGAGATGGCACAACCGACCCGTCGAGTGCCTCAGGTTATCATCATGACCATGTTTATCGGCTTGTTCACCTCCTTGCCGCTCTTCATTGCCCTCATGTATTTCATGACGGACTTGGATGTGGTCAGGTCAGCGCCACTTCCCAGCTTGGAACTCGTATATCAAGCGTAAGTCCTCCCCTTGGGAAATTTGTGAGCAAAATAATGACATCGAATTAGGACTGGAAATCGCAATGTCACCCTCTTTCTGACTATTCTGCTTCTAATTGTCTTCATTCGTATGTCCCTCTGCTCCCCACCCTGACTATGATTGCCAACGTTGACCAGCGTCTTACAGTTTCTTTGCCTTCCCAATGGGTCACTTGCGGTCGCATGGCTTGGGCTTTTGCTCGTGATGTATGCAACCCAACACTGCACAAAAATTCCCATAGACTAACAAACGCCCAGAACGGAACTCCTTTCCCCAAGTACTTCTCCAAGGTTGACCGCAGATTCGAGTTTCCAGTGCGAACTACGGCCGCTGCTTTCGTCTTTGTCGTTATTTATGGCCTGCTCTATCTTGCATCGACCACTGCCTTTAACTCCATCGTCACATCAGCCGTCCTGTTTCTGAACATTACCTACGCTGTTCCTCAAGGAATCCTCCTTTTCCGGGGACGGAAGGAGCACCTGCCGCCTCGCTATCTGAATCTCGGCATCTTTGGTTATATGTGCAATGCCTTCTCTATCCTGTGGATTGTGGCCCTAGGCGTTGCCGTCTGCATGCCTCCATCATTGCCTGTGGCCATTAGCACAATGAACTATACCAGTGTCATCATTGCCGGTCTGTTCATTATCATTATGATACTCTGGCTTGCGGACGGTCGAAAGAAGTTTGAAGGTCCAAATATTGATTGGGACCTCATCAGAGAAGCAAACACCCAGATGCTTCATGAGACTCATCGTCGCCATCATCATCAGGGAGATGTGTAAGGACATGGGTCCATAGGATAAGTTGTTAAGGTTCGGGACGAGGATCAAATTGTACTTGAGACTTAATGGTAGTAAGTAGGCTCTGAAACTCCTCAGTCGTTCAAATGCATTTACATTTATTCTTGTTCACTGGCATGAATGTGACCGTTGATAAAGATGGTTAATCTCACTTCGAATGTCACAACCCTATATAGATATTAATGGTCTCATATCTGCATTGAGACCTAGGTGCCAGTCAACAACAGCCATGTTCAACGATAACGTTTGCTTCTGTCTATACCAGACACGTGCCACCATTTGAATCGAAGGTTTATCTATGATATGCTCGATCCTAGTATAAATTCTACTAGCGCCATCCCATGTGAAGTGACAGCATGGTTTCAGGCAGGACCTTTTTAAGCACGAAGGTAGGTGAGAGAATTTGTTTTTGTTTTTTTACCTGCCCTTGACTATCGGCTCGCAGTCATCCCATAGATTTGGCTTTCATTCACGGCGTGGGTACGAGGTAGAATTTGTACTAGGCGATGTAGGTTTCCTAAAGGAGGACTAATCGATAAGATTCCCATTTGATGTTTCTTTTGAGTAAACTATTATCCCTTGTCCGCACGCAAGAGAAAGAGAATAAAGTTCAACAGTAATGGTAATCTCTTGTCCAATGTATAAATAAAACTAAGCTGATCATACATCTACATCTCCTCTACTCACTGTTCAGATTCTGGACGGGCGGTGGTACTCGCCGGGGGAGGGGTTAGCACCAAGAATGCCGACCTCGTTCAGAACAGTGTCAGCAGCGATAGCACCTTGCTCCATTGCACCCTCGATGAAGCCTCTCCAGCCCGAAGCCCAATCAGCGTTGGCCATGAGGACGTTGCCATGGCGGCTCTGAAGCTCGGCAAGGTACTTGGTGAGGAAGTTGGCAGGGTACCAGGCGGCTCCAGCCTTGGCGTAGGGATCCGATACCCAGTCGTGCCAGAGGACTTTCTTGATGTTCATGGGGTGGAAGCGTTGCAGGGCAGTCTCGAGCCTCTCTGGCTCCTTGGTAGGGTCCAGCTTTCCTCGGTTATCACCAGCAAACGAGGTAATACGAGTTGACTTGCCGCCGGCGCAGAAGCCGTCGCCGTAGACATACAGAAGATCTCCAGGCCATGTGCATCCACGGAGGCCACGGAGATCGCCCTCAACTTCAGCGTGGCACTTGGTGAGGTAATCAAGCTGATTGATCTTGATTGCCTCCTGGCGGAGAGGCGAGAGGGGAGGATCAAAGCTGATATCAGGGAGACAGGTGATTGGCAGTGTGTTGACCACGCGCCGGGCACGGTATGTCTTGTTGGTAGTGGATTGGACGGAGACAATGCCATCCTTGTCGACAATTGATTTGACGGGAGACTTGAATGTGTATTGCAAGCCGAGGCGCACGGCATCATCAAAGATGCGGCGAGCAAGCGCAGACTGGCCCTCTCTGATCTTGTAAAGAGTCCAGACTTCCTCAAAGGTTGCAATCTCGTAGTTTTGGAGGGCCTGGGCGCAGATCATACCAAGGAAGCCCATGTCCTTCACGGCACCACCACCAATGTGTGGAACAATCGACTCAAGAAGGGCAAGCTCATCAGCCGATAGTAGGTGCCTGATCTGTTCGATTCGGTCGCGACAGGTGAGTTTGTCAACCTCCTTGACCTTTTCGGGGTTGACGCGGATGTTGCCGAGGGCCGAGTGCGGCAGAGGACAGATATCTCGTCCCATCTTGCCGTCCCAGTTGATGAAGATGTTCCAGGCGTTGGCGGTCATGTCGCCAGCTTCCTTGTGGGTGAGCTTTCGGGTGCCCGAGCCCGTGTCGAGAGTGAAGTAATCGCAACCTCCGGCCTCAGTGCGGGTGACGCTGACATCGTCCTTGAGGCCGTAGCGTTGCATCTCAGAAAAAAGACGGCCATGGTTGTGGGAAACCCATGTGCCGCCCATCTCGTAAGTTGTCCCATCGACTTCAGCGCTCCAGGTGCGGCCACCAATGCGGTCGCGGGCTTCAACTAGGAGAGTCTTTTTGCCTATATAGGAGCAACGTTAATTTCTTTCTCGACGTCAAACAGCTCTCAAATGTGCTGCAGCGCAACATACTAGCCTTGACAAGATCGCGAGCGGCGACCAGACCAGCGTAGCCAGCACCAATAACAATGGCGTCCCAAACTTTGTCTTCTTGTCCCTGGCGGATCTTGCGCTCGGGCTGGATCACACCGTAAGTGGCGAGACCAGTGACCAGGCCATCTTTCTTTGTGTAAGTGTAGCCCTCGCTGGACAGATTGGCGCGGTAGATGGACGCGGACATGATGTTCTTAGATTGAAACTTGGGCGAATTGGGAGTCCTCGGGACAAGAATTTCAAAAGGTTTAACCCCGCATTTTGTATTGAGCTCTAGACTTGAATCCCCACCTTGAAGCAAGGCACTGTAGGTGTTGTCCTTGCTTCAGACAGTACTGAAAAGGGTAATGGCTGCAATTCCTTCGTCGCTTTGTCTGACCCGAGTTGCCATGGCAGTTTACCCGAGACCGCCTCCATTTCTATCCCTGTGGCTGCTGCCCCGGTCTATCATCATCGTCCCGTATGTACAGCTCATACGAGACTCTGGATTGCCGCTCGGCGCCTTATCTTGTTGATAATAGGGCCCTTGCTCGATATGTGGTCGCCTGACGTACTGGGGTTGATTTCACATCTCACAACCGAGACCTTGGAAAATGAGATCATGCTGCGGCGGGTTGAAAGTATGTCCTGATGTGGTAATCGGGCAGTCTAGGGCCCTTGGAGACAAGGGGACGTCAACCTACAAAGGGGTGCATTCATTACCCCTGGGCTGTTCCGAGCAAGTTACGCGGTACTCCGTAGTTCGCAAAACAAATCGTGACCAGCTCCACGATCCGGAATATCCGAGTTGACTCTTTTACCCGATCGAGCTAGATTGCCAACCTGAATGATCCCCCACTTTTCTAGTTGAGAGACACTACGCTACATGTAGTGTGTCCGCGAAACGAGCCCAACCCAGCTTCACAACATGATAAGAAAGCGGAAGCTGGTGGCTGAGATGAAAGATGCTCATTCCGGGGTCGATCGACAACACGCGCGTTGTTCAAACTCATACTCCTGGCTTGCCAGTCACGGAAGCGGGAGTCAGGGGCAAATTAGAGACTTTCTCTTACATTCATACTGTATACAGTATACTTCTCCGATCCAACACAGCCCAAGGCTACCTTGAGTTCTACTTTTCGGGCACAAAGTTCAGTCTTCCTGCTGCAACGAGCCAAGACAAAGGAACAGCGCCAACATGACAATCAATGATAACAATATGAGGCCCATTCGCCTTCCTCCATACGACCCCGAGATTCTCGCTGTTGAAGATACCCAGCATCGACCAATTCCCTCATCAGTTGATGAGCTTTTTGAGCTACGTAAAAAGGAGCTCCAACGCGATGACAATATCTACAACGACCCGGAAATAGATATTCAGGATATTAACGTGTCGGGTCTGGATTGCGAGATCCCCGCCATTACCTTGACGCGCAAAGGCGCCACCACTTCCAAGCCTCGTCCTGGCATTTTGTTTCTTCATGGCGGAGGCCGCGTGATGGGAAACGTCTATGTCGGGCTCGCTGCCGTGAGTGAACTCGTCAAAGACTTGAACGCAGTCATTATCAGCCCTGGATACCGACTCTCTCCAGACGTCCACGGCATGGTATCAGTAGAAGACTGCTACGCGTCTCTGGTCTGGATGTCACAAAATTTAACAACATACAACATCGACCCAGCTCGCTTTATGATTGCTGGTGTTTCCGCTGGAGCAGGCATTGCAGCTGGAGTTACGCTTCTCGCGCGTGATCGGAATGGCCCCAGTCTTTGTGCGCAATTGCTTTCCTGTCCTATGTTAGATGATCGATTCGACAATCTATCTAGTCGCCAGTTCGAAAACGGTCGCGGGTTTTATACTCCATGGGGCCGTTATGCTTGGAAATTGATCCTCGGCGATGATATCGAACGGGGAACGGTCAGTCATTATGTAGCGCCCGGGCGCGCTGAAGACTTGTCCGATTTACCTCCTGCCTACATCGATGCTGGGTCAGGCGAACCATTTCGGGATGAAGACATCGCATATGCTGCAAAGCTTTGGGAATGTGGTGTCCAAGCGGACTTGCATATTTGGGGTGGAGGTTGTCATGGGTTTGATTTATTCTACCCCACGGAAGTTGGTGCAGAGGCAGTCAAGACAAGATACGTCTGGCTGAGGCGGACACTGAGAGAGAGAAAAGAGTCCACAGTCCCTTCCACTGTGTCTTCATCAACCACACCCTCATCTGCTAGTCATTCAGTCACTTATGCGCAGGTGCCTGGGCCTTTGGGAGACCTGTTCCAGACGTCCGGTTCGTCTCACATCGCCAGAATCCCGCTGTCTGGCTCCCTCGTTATAACAGGAGGTCAACCGGGATTCGACCGCCATGGCCAACTTGTTACCGAGTCTCTCGAGAAAGAATTCGAAGCCTGCCTCGATTGCGTCGAGACTGCCCTTAAGGCTGGAGGTGTTAAAGCTGGCTTGGCCGGCGCTCATAAGTTTTCTGCGTATTTCCTTGATGTTCGGCATGAAGCAGTGTTACAAGAAGTCTGGAGGAAGAGATTGCCGGAACATCGACCAACTTGGGTTTCTGTTGGTGTGTCTCAACTTGCAGTTCCGGGTATGCGTATTGAGATTTCAGCTGAGGCAGCACTTATTAAATGATTATATAGATAATTAGGAGCATTAAAAGCTATACTTACTAGAGAGATAGAAAATTTTCTATCTTATATAAGAATATTATAAATTATTTATATATTTATTTTTATCTAAAGAAATAAAAACCTTAAAGTGATTAAAAAAGCTATAATATAATATATAAAATTCATAAGTTTATTTCTTTTAAATATGCTTATTGAATATTATAGAACAGCCTGACCGCGACAGCCATTCCCAGTTGCAGCGGCTCTTCCCTTGGAAATATGTCATGATAGAATAGCCTGATAACGACTGCTTCATCTACTCCTCGTGTTCTCCCACGACGGTAAAAAAGACATGATCGAGCGTGGTCCTGCTCAGACTATAATACCGGATTCCTAGAGCTCTCTTCCCCAGCTCCATACTCTCCATGATCTCGGCCAGCGACCTCTGTAGTCCACGGGCAGTCGACATCGGAATTTCAACACGCATCTGTCCCCGCCTCTGTACCCCTCGGTCCAGATTTCTGGCGCCGGGAAAGGTGCCCACCATCCACGCCCAGATGGCTGCCATATCGTCTGCCCTGGTGTGGGGAGCGTCATCGTGTAGGATTTGAGCGACGTACCCGCCACCGTACTTTTGCCTCAGCTCCTCTGCAGACCCTTGCGCGAGCATCTTCCGGGCGACGATGCCGATGTGACTGGCCAGAGCAGTCGCCTCCTCCATCGAGTGCGTCGTGAGCACGAGCGCTCTCCCTGGCGTGACTCCGGCCAGCACACGCCACATGAGACGCATGCTCAGGGCGTCCATTCCCGAAGAAGGCTCGTCTAGGAGCAGCACGGAAGGGTTGCCCATGAGTGCGATGCCCAGGGAGAGCTTGCGCTTGTTCCCGCCCGACAGCTTGGTGGCGATGCGGTTGCTGAATTCAGACAAGCCAAGACCGCGCAGCAGCGTGTTAATGTTGTGCATTGGGTCTTGCAGGCCGCGGGCGTCGGCGTAGAAGCGGAGGTGTTCCATGACGGTCATGTTGTCGAGTGGATCAATCTGAGGACAGACGCCGAGCTTAGATCTCGCTTCCTGACGATGCTTGAGGATGGATGAGCCGTCGACTATGATCTCAGTGTTCCGACTGCTCGGGGCCACATCACCTCTTATCATGGAGATGCAGGTCGTCTTGCCGGCACCGTTGGGACCCAAGAGGGCAAAGCAAGTACTCTTTGGCACGGCAAGTGTCACATCGTCGACAGCAGTGAACTTTCCAAAGTCTTTTTGTAGATGGATAGCCTCGAGGCAGGTTGTGTCGTTTGACCAGTACACATTGCTATGTGACGCATGAGAACTCAACTCCATCCCTTCCTCATCACTTAGACGCTTCGCGCTTGGCCGAAGATTGATTGGAAGCTGGGGGGTGTACCCTGCCTCCTTCCAGAACAGTAGACCAAACAGAGACATTGATTGGAGGCAGAGATAGAGTATCGGTCCACCATAGACACCGATACTTCCAGGGTAACTGGCCAAATGGTCGTCTTGGCAGGCAATCCCAAACATGTTGAGGGAGACGTAAAGAGCTCGGGTCATGCTAAAGGCAGGAGTAAGGAACCCAAGGGAATAGAATATAATGCTCAGAGTCGAATTGAGAGACGATGGGTCCGTATTGGTAGAGAAGGTAATCGTATTCGCCACAAAGAAGATGAAATATGCCGCTGCTTGCACTGAGGCGCCAATCGCGAATGCGTCAAGTTGAGATGAGACGAACAGAGACAGGACGTAACACGATAAGGTTGAGGCAGCCCCATACAGTAAGAAGACGACAAACAGATACTCAAGGTGATACCACACGCTCGTTGATGCGCTCAAGACTATGACGGCGATGGTGCTGACTACTAGAGTGACGAAGAAGTCAAAGGTCAAGTAAGCAAGCCAGAGAGGAAGAGCTTGAATTCCGTTACTGTAGTGCATGGCTCGGATACCCTTGAGTCTTTCAAATACAGGATATAGGCCGAGTAAAGCAGGATAGACTGCCATGGCCAGACCGCAGATGGTCGTCAATATGATGAGACTGCCTGTATCGCCGGTATCAGGCGTCATTAGGGGTTCAAAGGTGCTCGCGATGGTCTCGTTCAGCAGAAGGTTGTCGATTAGGTTTTGAGTAACATGGCCGAATGCAGGCGACTCTTCCGCAAGCCAGACAAAGGTAGGTTCATCGCCCAGGTAAATGGCTCCTGTCAAGTTGCGAAACTCAACTCTGACCTTGTCATGCAACTCGGCCAAGGTGTCGACCATGATGACTTCGCGTGGCTGACCACCAAGAGCCCTTCCAATGCCATCGGTTGACACTCTGTCTTTGGGACCTGCGATGAACCGCATGTCGCTGATTGAAAGAGAAGCATCAGTAGCTGGACCCTGTGCGGCATCATCGGGTGCACAGCTCGCGACAGAGAGATTCCGAAGGAAGATGGTGCAGCAGGACACCGCAACGATAGGAATCAGCATAGAGGCCAAGTGTAATATGGGGTTCCTTCGGAAAAGGGTGAAGCGCTTGTAGAGCAAAATCTTCATTTGCGTGAGTATCGTGGTCTTTCGACCGCTGTGTAGAGCGGACATGTTTCCCTGCTTGGGGCTCGGTTCATGCGTTTCATTCACAAATGCTTCCGTCGATCGATGGACTTCTTCCGTAGTTTGTAGGGAAGTCGGCTGTGGCCAGGAATCCTCGCTAGCAACTTTTAGAAAGGCATCTTCCAGAGTTGGCCCGTCTACTTGGTAGTCCGATACTCCCTGAGCCTCTAGCTTTTTTAGCAAGCGACAAGTATTCTGCGGATTGCCGGTAGTAAAAACGCGCTCAGGGTTGTCGGTCGTATCGCCGTGTGATTGAGACCTGTTCGTTACCAAACCGTCATGAACTCTGATTTTATATCCTGTCCCAAGGCGTTCTTTCAGCTCGACCGGCGTTCCACTCACTTTGAGCACACCATGTGATAGCATAGCGATCCGGTCTGCAAGGAAGTCTGCCTCGTCTAGATAGTGGGTAGTGAGAAGAATGGTCCTCTGACCCGCGTCGCGCAGCAGAATGTCCCATAACTTTCTACGTGACAATGGATCGACGCCCGAGGACACCTCGTCCACGCAACACACTGTTGAGTTTCCAGCAAACATGAGCGCCAGCTGCAACTTGCGCTTCTGACCGCCAGATAGTGATCCGGCCTTGGACGACGCCTTCTTCGCCAAGTCACAAGCTTCAATCAGTTCTTCCAGCTGCTCTTGAGGCGACTTCTTTGACATGGACTTGATGCTGTCGAATATCGCAATGTTCTGGCGGACCGTAAGCTCCTCCCACAGGACATTCTTCTGGGGGCAGTGACCGAAAGACGCCCCAGTCGAGGAGAAGCTTAAATCGATCGATCCAGAGGTGGGCGCTAGCAATCCGGCGATGGAGTCAAGGGTCGTAGACTTGCCGCTGCCGTTGGCGCCTAGAAGTACCATGATCTCTCCTCGAACTACCTCCAGACTGAGCTGTTCGACGGCCGTAAAGTCTTCCGGCAGTGTCCGAGTGAAGAAGCTGAAAAACTTCTGCAGAATGCTTGCGCTATATGTTTTTGTGAACTGGCGTAGCCGGACAGCAACTGCAAGGTCTGGTGGCTGGACTGTACGCTGGCTGGATGCAGTGCCCCAGGAGAACTTCTCGACGAAGCCGCCTCCAAGGACATAGGTGACTATATGAACGACGGCAAAGATCCAGAATACGAGTATGGGCATGTTGGGGTGGCCTGACGGGAGAGAAGCGACAACGTTAGCAGCTTGGCCATGGCTTTCCCATCTCGCGGTCAACTTGAGAAGGTACATATAGTTCATTGGGGGGAATAAGAGGGACAAGAAGATGATCCAGCCAGTTGCAATGTCTCCAGAGACAAGGGCACCAACTGCCAGAATCACGCTCACGATGACTGCCGTGAAACCACTCATCTGTGACTTTTGAAAGCAGCAGCCAAAGAAGAGACCGTTTGCAGTGAGCGAGATTCCAGTCAGTAGATGGGACAAGATCGGGATTATGATGGACGTGTTCGTGAAAGACATGGCTCCGATGACGGCGCCTATGGCGATCCAGGCTGGCGCGTACACGAATACAAAGGCGACAAGGTGGGACAGCAAACGTGCAGCCTGGGTCTCCCAGCGGCGAGTGTTGGGCATCATTGTGTCAAGGAGCTGTGCCATGCCAATCTCTCTCTCCGTCGCGACACGTCCAGCTAGCTGATATAGAACCCCAACCATGGCAATAAAGTAGGCAATGGACAGTATCCTGTCGATTCTGTCCATGAACCCTTCATGTATTAGCCGTCTCTGGTCCTCATTAGTCATTGAGGTAAATGGAATCTCAGATACAACTTGAGACGTTGACTGCATGTGACCAGCAATGGCCAGATCGATGGCGCGCTGCAATGGCAACGTGTAAATTTGGGCATCATTGTCCTCTGACTGGGCATTTGGGCCACCTTTGAGCGAGCCGTCAGCGCGAATGGTATAGTTCCATCTGCCACTCTCGCCCTCGGATGGCGACGAGTGAAATGTGGCTGCCGCGATACATTTTGATGACCCGCTGCTTGCGCTCTGGCATTGGGCCAGCAGTTCTGATTCGCTTTTCAACACGCTGATCTCGATTTCCGTGCTATTGATGGAGACCATGAGACTTGAAATAACTTGTTCAATCTCTCCAGCGCGGAAACCATTGTCTACGAAGACGAGTTGTTCTCGACCGCCGGAAGCATTACTCAGGGCGTCTGAAAGAGATCTGATCTTGTGCGGCTGCCCGATGCCTTGCTCTGTCGGAGGAGAGAAGAGATTTTTAGTGTAACATCTGACGTGTTATCAGCATGACAGACTTCCAATGCTAAGGACCATTCAACTCACAGAAAAACAACAAACAAAATGGGAAATAGGAACGCTCGGATTGGCGTAGAGATCCAGGGCCCAATGAGAATGATTCTCAGATCCTTTACGGTGAGGGCCCAAACTTGGCGGAGGAAAAGCGCCATCGGGAAAGTAGAAATGGTAATTAACGAATTTTCTCTAGGGATAGAGTGAAAAGAATTAAGGAGCTTGTTTGTTGCTATATGTTTTATTGGTGAATGACTGTTTGGTAAACAAGTTGACGACGAGACTACTTTATAGTTAGTAGGCATCCTATCGCTCTCATTCATCTGTCCTAGGAAGCCCATGCCAACAAAGTAATTATCATCATCACAGCCACGATGGTAATTTGAATTTGAGGCTTGAACTGTCGGGTTGTCGTTGGACAAACGGGATTCCGTTCGTGCAGCTGCTTCGCCAGGCCGGGATTCCGTTTGACCACTGATCATTTCCCTTTTGAGCCGTCCTCAACCTTGTCCATGCTGCTCATCCCATGGGAATCGAATCGGTGGCAACCCAAACAGGTACGCCGAGTTGAAGTTGAGAATAAGCTTAACCTGCCTCGTGGTGCCTCTGCCAGTATCAATGCCGAAGGCATCTTACATTAAGTACCTTATAATAGTGCCTTTAATGAAACGCAATCGGCACAGCCCCCTTTGTTCAGGCGCCCCACCCACTGCCGGGGACGCGAGTGGCTTTTCAGGGTCAACGTCAGCAACGTAGCTGAGACTGAACCAAAGACAACCTCCTCGAGATGAGAGTGACTGGCCATGCCCAAGACACTGGATCTGAAATCTTGCAGCGTATGCGCAAAAGCCAAAGCGCGATGTGATCTCGTGCCTGGTCAAGCCAAGTGTGCCCGGTGAGTGATCGAGCTGGTCGTTGCCCCTTGCACTCAATTCGAGGAACGGAATCCCGTTTGCCTACCTGTCTACCTACCCAGTTGCCTCCTTTTCTGTCGGCAGCCCTTAGAGAACGCTTACTGACATCGAAATTAGCTGTGCACGACTAAACAAGGAGTGCACATTACAGCCGCGTGGTAGTCACAGCCGCAGGGCGGCCCCACGAAACCACGGCCGACAGTACGTGGAGCCTGGCTCTTCATCCTCCGCCACAAGAGGTCTATCAATTTGTGCTGATCGTTCCGGTATCTAGACATGTTCTCCCTCGCCAGCCAATATCCGGCACTGCTGCACGGCCGCTTGCGCCAGTCTCAGCACATTTGGTAGACCCTAGTTGCTCAAATGTCTCTACTTCTCAGGATCCTTCTCCTAGCTCAGCTATTGACCACTCGGTTCCGCCCGGATCATCCATCTTCATCGACCCAGAACGCCGTCCATCTGAGATGCTCAACCTGTATTGTAATGACATGATGCCGCTCTTCCCCTTCGTTATTCTTTCTCCTCATATGACTCCGGCCGAGTTGTTCCGTGAGAAACCCGTCCTTTTCAGGATCATAATTGCGGTGACGTGTCAGCACGATGTGGAACTACAATCAAGGCTCTGTAGTTTGTGCCGAACAGAGATCGCTCATCGAATTTGGGACCAGAGCGAAGTCTCGCTAGACCTCCTCCAAGGCATCTTGGTTTTTATAGCTTGGTGGGCACATTTCATTTATTACGTCATGTTTATCAGAGACGCTTACGGACTTTGGAAGGCGCCACATCCACATACACCTCGGCTCAACACTTTCCAGCCTCATTCATAGTGCTATAGCTCTCGCGGTAGATCTCGACATCTATCATGAGCCTCGCCAGGCTGCAAAGGCCAGGCTAGGTGCCCTGGTTGGCTCCGAATCTATTGGCAATGGAGAATTGAGAACTTTGGAACAGCGGCGGGCCCAACTTGGCCTTTTCTGGCTGTCTTCAGTGTACGTCAAGAAGCGCCGTTTGAGATTAAGTGACTGACTAATTGTTGTTTTATGACGCAGACTTTCGGCCTGTCTAGGAGATGTTGCTGGTGTAAAGTCGAACTCATCAGTAGCCAACAGCTGCCATATCTTGGAGCAGGCTAAAGAGTGTCCATCAGACCTGCACTTGGTGAGATTAGTACAGTTGCAGATGACAGCTGAGACAGTTATCACGGCCATCAGCGAGGATGACGGAAGTAATAATTTGAAGTTTTCAGCACATGCAATGTTCGATTTGCTGGGAAGGGAGGTTAAAAAAGCTGATCCTTCACGTTTGCCGCCCAGTGACAGGTCCTCGTCTGGTAAGTCTCAATCCCAATTGCCGCGTACCCAATGCGCTACTTCAAAAAGTGTCAATGCTAAACCTTTTGATCTTTTAGTACTCCTCTCGTTATCCTACGACATCGTACGTCTACTGCTATATCGAAGCTACCTGGATGGGGTGTCCCACAACATGAGCCATGATGATCTACATGCCCACGGCATTAGCGCCGCGGCTCGGTGCACTTCGCTCGTTTTTTCAACTGCCGACGCCGCTAAAGCGGCAATCATGGCTTTCCTGGCCCTCGATGGCTATACGGTATTAGCTTTACCATACCCTCATTGGGCTCAGATGGGCCACGCCATTCGCACTTTAGCTCGTATCCTCACCATGAAGTCGGAGGCGTCAGAGTCTCTCCCGGCAGTAGACCTTCTCAAGCTTTTTGAACAAGTGCCGGCAAAGGTAGAAGAAGCGTTTAGTCGAGGCATGCAATGTCCCATGCCCAGACGCTTGCCCGTCATCTTCCAGGGGTTCCGAAAGACCGTGTCAGACTTCACCGAAAGCACAGGTGTTACCCCCCTAACGCATATGCCCCTAGACTTCGGACCGGGGCAGACCAACCAGCCCGATAACCAACTTAACGGCATGAATATGGGAATGTACGAGGGAGATGAGGACTTTATGATGGACCTGTTTCCGGATGGCGGATTTCAACTCAACTTTGATCCAGCGTGGACCTATTGAAATACTCAGTACACACGGCTTATTGGCGTAGTATTGTTGCTATCTGAGTCAATGAAAATGTAGAAATTAAATATAATGGACTATTTAGCAAAATTATTCCTGAATAAGCTAAATCTTGTCTACTGATAATAACATGCAACCTTGAGATGCTTTATATCTCCTACAGCGTTAGAAGCAAGTATCTTGGATAACAGGGCTAATCTTACCTCATCTGAGAACCGGTCTTCTTATCCAAGCGCTTCCTGCGATGGCATCCCTAATCAAACCGCACCAATAGCATTGGTCACCCCTGCCGGCATCGCCAGGACTTGACAGCTCCCTACCCGCCGGTTGAAACCTAGAGATCGTTCTGTAATAACGTAAATTTGCCGCACCAATGATGAGTATTCTCCATTCCTTTCGGCAATTACCACTCGAGCGCTAACGAAAAGGAGGAGATGGTGATGGGGGATATCTCCGTTTGTGCGGATCCGCGTGCCCCTGTGGCAATCTGAAGTATGCTTACTACCCCGCCTCCGCAGGAGTTCCAAACCCTTGTCTTGGAGAATAACGGTTAGATTTAAAAGGGTGGTCATGCCCACGAATTGCCTACGAACTTCGAAGAGAATCCCCAGATGGGTATAAACCAACCTCCATATCTTCTTTTTCTGTACTCCCCCAACCCGTTACAATATGAGCTACCAGTCAAGACTCATGTTCACGGTCCTGTTCTTAGCAAGCCTACTTGTTGGGCTTGGGACTGCTGATAACCCAGTTGTGCAAAGTGGACTTATCGCGGAATTATCATGGACCGCGAAGGTTCTGCCTTTACTAATCACGGTGGTATCATTCAATTTCAAGGACAAGACTATCTATTCTATCACAACGGCGCTGTACCCGGAGGCGGTGGGTTCACGCGATCTGTGTGTGTAGAGGCTTTGTTCTACAACGAAGATGGCACTATACAGCAGGTGCAGATGAGCCGCAGCGGTCCGGCACAAATCAGAAGTCTTGACCCGTATATCCAGCATGAGGCCGAAACGATTTCCTGGAGCCAAGGCATTGAGACCGAAGTATCTGGAGAGGGTACTTTGAATATCTGGTCCATCAACAACGATGACTACATCAAAGTGCAAGGTGTAGAGTTTGGGGCAGGCGCAGCAAGCTTCTCTGCTCGCGTCGCCTCGGCGCTCAACGGAGGATCCATTGAGCTGCGTCTTGACGCTCTTACTGGGCAACTGGTGGGCACATGTATCGTTCCGGGGACAGGTGGTTGGCAGACTTATGTGACTGTCTCGTGCGACATTACCAATGCGAGTGGCCTTCATGATTTGTACTTTGTATTCAAGGGCGAAGGCAGTATGGACTTGTTCAACTTTAACTGGTGGTGTTGGAAGGCTTTTCCAAAGCGTACGCTTGTATATAAGATAGGTTGTAAAGGTGATTGATTGAGTTGCTATCCTAGCTACAGAACTGGGTCGGTTATAAAGCCGGTTCCAGAGCGGTCGTGACTAAGCGGACCGCTCTGTAACTGGCCTGCAGCCAGTGACTGCTTGTTAGAGGTATTTAGTATACCAACAGGTGGCAGTTTAGAGCGGCTTAGCCACATACAGATTCCAGATGTCCTTATGACAACATCCCACTACATTACAGTTCCTCTGTCATATTTGGAAACCGTTGAGGTAGGCTGTATATTCTCAGCGGCAGGCAGTATGCTGTCTATAGTTGAATTGATAGTGGCTATTTCACCAATGGTGTTTAGTTATCTGGTATAAATGAATACACTCCTTCGCTACTTTAATATCATTGATGGACAATAACACCCTCTATTCTCTAAGCTCCTGACGATAAAGATAATTTGCGATTATATTGAGACGCTTAATTTCATACCTAAGGGTTACCAAAGCAAGTTTTTTTTTTAAAGAAGCAACCTTCCCAAAGAAGCAACCTTCCCAAAGGACTACTTCTTACTCTTGCTCTAGAAGGAAGGCGAGTAGCTTTACAATTTAGCTTCCGATAAAACTAGCGAGATCCTTTAATATAAAAAGAATAGGAGGAGAGCCAAACTCACTTAGATGTCTACGTCGAAATTTATGTGATACGGGCTAGGTGCGGCCTAACGAATGTGGCCTATATAAACCATAAAACGAAATTGGGCAATGAAATGGCGTTAGTTGTTGTCTTGAGCTGGCTAGAGTAGAGGCTTATTCCACGGCTATTTAATCGCTCTTCCTAACTCAAATCCTTTGTGCGATATGATGCGACGATACGAAAAGTGTCCTAGTCCTAAGGTTCCGTCTTGGTCCCGTCGGCTGCCATTTCGAATCAGGAAGATATACCATGAGACCATCCACCTTATCCCACGGTATAGGACAATCTGGAGCATCATATCACTCAGATTCTCTTAGTGGACCTAGAATGGGTACTTTGCAAGCAGGAGGTCATACTCAGCCTGAGTGACTGAAAAGACCGATCCATGCTTGATGGATGGGGGGATCCCACTGGGACTTGTCGGCTCCCAAGCATTGTTCAGAATATCAGTGGTTTCGTAGGCGATATACTGAATGTAGTCGTCAACCCACAGATAGTACTTGTCTGTAACCACGTTGTCTTTGTAGGCCAAGGCACCCTCGCGTGGACTTTCCTCGCGCGTATTGCCTAGGATGCGGTCCCATGTCCCAAACATGCCAGTGGTGGTCTTTTCTGCGAAAATTTGGCTGGTTGTGACGTTCTTCAAGAACCGAACGTAGTTTCCAGTAGAGCCCAGATATTGGAACTCTTGGTCTATGACAGAAGTGTCGGCAAAAGATATGTAGTCCCTAGGGGACGAAAACGTGGCAAAATCTGTGGTAAAGCTCGTGCGAATCCGAGTGTAGGTTGCCCACCCGGAGTGGGCGGGGTTATCGTAGAAGTTTGAAGACCAAAAGACATCCCAACCTCCCTTCGTCTCGTCATAAACTGCCGAAGGAGCCCAGACCATTCCTGCGTCAGGTATTTCGACAGTCGGGAGGTACGGACCACTCCAGTCCGCCAGGTTGGGCGATGTCCAGACCACTATTCCCAGACTTCCGTTCCTGGTAGCCGTGTCCCAGCTAAAGCCAGGCACGGTAATGTCAAGATCCATAGTGGGTATTAGTATTGTGAATTTAGACACTGTGGGAGGGCCATACCGGTTGCAATCAAGTAAAGGACCGATCGATCAGAATTGGTGGCAAGATATGGATCCCTGATGCGACCGGTGCCAATATCAGAGTTGAGGATCGATTTGCCCTGATTCAACTGTTTGAAGTTGATAGGGTCATTTCCAACGGAAAGAAATTGCTCGATATTGTGTGAATTGTGGAAAAATCCGGTCATGAGATAACCTGCAAAAGGTTCATCGCGACGTTCAGGAATGACGCTCGCTGTCGCATAGACAGCCAAAGTGACGACTGAAGCTGTAAAGGTTGGGGGACGCATTCTGGTGTTCTGTGCGATGGGGTTCAACACTTATGGTCTGATGAAGGCTGATGGATCTCCATGAGTCTGTTGGTGGTGTTCAAGTTCCCTACAAATACTTTTGGTTCAAGATTGATCTGAGCTGTCTAAAAAGGATTTTATTGGAGCGCAATATTTCTTAACCAGCACAAGGATCTGCATTTCGAACAGTTTGAATGCTCTCGGATAATATCAGGTTGAAGTGATGCCAAGTGATGTCGGGAATGCTACCGCACCAATAATCTGGATTGAACCGACTGTTTGCAATGCGGAGATGCGGAGATACAGGGAGGCCTCACCTTTTTGCCGGGAACATACACTGTTTAGGTACAGCTGGTGGGCGGAAGTTTGCGGTTGGCGACGGCTCCTACGTAATAACCCTCGCACTGACGCGGAGTACGTCGCCACGCGTGAGTTCATTTCCTGAGGTAACCTTACAATGTGACATGTCAGCGTATCATAGCCAAAGAACGAATACCCCAGTCGACGCCTTCCCCGAGGCAGATTCTGGCAGACACGCGATGCAATTTGGTTGCCTTCTTCTCCATTGTGATAACGTCAGGGTGCCCAACTACTGCGGCTTTGGCTGCCATTCAATATATACCAGATATTTTGTTGCGAACCACGTGTTGATGCCTCTTAGATTTTGTATTAAAGAGTATCAAAGTAATTTTCAAACCAGGCAACTGCTTGTAGAAATGCCTGGTCCTTTGCAAAACGTTCTGTTTTAACTGAGGGGTCTCCTCTCACCGCAAAGCCATGTTCCACGCCAGAGAAAATATTAATCTGGTAACGGTGATTTGTATTGGCTAGAATTATCTCCGACTCACGGCGCTTTTCTGTCGTGAAGATGTCATCCTTCTCTGCTGCAGCAATTGAGAGCGGTCCAGAGATGGCTGCAAGCTCCTCGGCGTCGACAAAAGATGGGTGAGCAATGAAGCCACATTCGATGCCATTTTTATAATGACGGACAACGTACTGTGATGTTGTTAGACGTGACTAGTGACAGAGAAGATAGTTTTAAGAGGGGCAAGCTGCTGAACAGGCCTTACCTTGGCTCCCAGGCAATATCCCACAGCACAAATACGAGCTAAGCCGAGATACTTTAGGTGAGCCAAGCCTTGCAATATGATAGGATCAATGGCTTCTGGCGTGTGGGGGCTGTTTCCGTTCGACCCATGGGATAACCAGCCCATGATGTCGAAATCCTCTGGCATTTCCAAAGGCGCCGGATCTCCATTGAAAATGTCCAAAACGAGACAGGTGTAGCCTTGCGCAGCAAAGAGATCTGCCATGAGCTTCGAGTTCTGCCAAATGCCCAGAATGTCAGGTATATAGAGAATGCCTATACTCTGTAACTCTATGCTCTTTGGAGGCACTGCCAGATAGGCCTCGAAGTTACCGTCAATCACGATGGAGCTTCCATTTGGAGTTCCTCTATTAAACTTAGAATAAACATTCGACCTTTCACAGTTTCAAACATTCAGGACCTACTCGTGCAGGGCTCCCATGGAGCAACACCGACCGGGAGCGAGAGAAGCCATAGCTTGCACCTGTAAGATAAAGTTTGGGAGCCTAGCTTATGCTAGAATGCAGGAAGGTTGGTCTGGACTTTGAAAAGATGGCATTATAATCAATGGCCTACTCTGTGAAGGAACCGGTATGCGGGCCGATGTATCTCGAGAGAGGCTGGCAAACTCAGTAGACTAGCGGCTAACGGCTAAGGGATCTGGCACCGGCAGCGGATGAGGTCCGACCGATAATCGGCTGTGCGATAAAGGACGAAATTACGCGGGGTCTTGCTTTGAGTGGAGGCAACGGCTGACGAACGACGACGTAATGGGGCAACCTTCAAAAAACGTGAACACCGAGTGATGGCCAGCTCCTCCTCTAATCATTGATGCTTTGATTAACCCCCTTGACCTTCTATACTACCACTCATTCCACCAAATCATGTTCGCAGACATTTCCAAACCACCTGCACCACTCCCAGCCTCACACCTCACGACGCTTAGAACCGGGGTGTCGCTGCTTCTTCCTCTCTCACGACGTGGCCAGGGTCCTGGATTGATCATTTTGAATTCAAAATGTGAAGACCCTGCGGCATTCTCAGGTGGAACACCTTCATGCCTGCTTAAATGGGCTGAGGAGGGATATGCCGTTGTCCAATTGGATTCAACTGCTTTTCAGGATAGAGCTAGCGAGGACGTCCTACGAGAGGCTGCGCAAGCGCTGGACCAGTGTATGAAATGCGAGCCCAAAGGCAAACTTGGTTTAGTTTGTAAGTGCCACTGCCTGTATGTTGAGTTTCGGCTCTGACGGGTTACAGCCTACGATCCCAGTCTCTGGGCCATAGCAGCTCCGGGGCTGGCCAAGACTCCTGATATAATTGCCAGCGTAGTCTACACTGATATCTCAATGCTTGACGAGCTTCCGGTTGTTGATATCCCGGTACTGTATCATGTGACTGGACAACGCACAGAGTCTAAACAACAGTCAGGCATCACTCAATACCATTACCCTTCAGTGAAGAGCCATGCGTTTGCAACACCCACTCACGAGCACTTCCACTACGTCACTGAATCCATTTCGCACACGAGAAACCTTCAATTTCTGAAGCCGCGCATGGATGGGCCATATTTTGACCTAGAACTAATCTGGGAGGAGCACACGTATTATGAATTTGCTGATCGTTCTGTTGAGCATACAATGAGCACCATGGTACAGGAACCATACGTAAATCACGTTCCTACGGTAAGTCGTTTCTGTGCAACTCTGGCCGGACAGACTGAGTTAACCGAGCATGTCGCTTTAGCTTACGGGTGGCATTGGCCGTGAGAAGCTGACGAGTTTCTATCGCCATAATTTCATCTTTAACAATTCCGCCGATACAGACTTAGAACTCATCAGCCGCACCCTTGGCATCAACACTGTAGTTGATGAATTCATCTTCAAGTTCACCCACGACCGGGAGATTGACTGGCTGTAGGTGCTTCACATAGTAAGAGTAAACTCAGATTAACGAGGCTAATTCATCCTGAAGCATTCCTGGTATCCCACCCACCAACCTCAAGGCCGAGATTCCCTTCACTGCAGTCGTCAATATTCGTGGAGACAGGTTGTACCATGAACATATTTCCTGGGACCAAGGCACGGTATTGAAGCAGCTTGGGTTAATGCCCGAGTATCTGCCGTTCCCCTACAAAGTGGACAGCTCAAAGGGAGGTTCTTTTGAGTATCGGGTACCGGTTGCTGGAATCGAGGCGGCAGCTAAAATGAGGGATAGAAATAGCGTACCGTCAAACGAAATGTTCAAGTTTAGGGGGAGAGAAACCGATTAGGTTGAATTTGTATGATACGGGCGTATGTAACTATGCTCTTGTTTCTACCTATGTGCTTGTTGGCATGTCAATAGTGATTGGGCCTAGCCCATGAAGGGTGTTTGAAGTAAAATAATCAAGTCTATTTTGAGACCTGGAGCAAGGACACTACGTAAACGATGAGTCCCAGAATTTGTTTCTCGTATCTTATCCTCGCCTATGGACTCGGTTTGAAGATCAAACATGGCTGAATTCGCTAATGAACCCAATTGAGAGATGTTTCCATACAGTGAAAACCTGGAGAGACGGAAATGCGTTTAGCAGGTGGTCGTTCTTTGGAAAGCCAACGCTCCTCCGCCTAGCCCCAACAGCCGCCAAGTATGACCATCGGCCGGAGAAAACGTGAAAAATCATACCCTTGCTCGACCAGTCGACTTTAGAGTTGTTGGACGTTCTTTGATAAGACCCTGGTCTTGTTGCCCTTGTTTCCCGTAGATATGCATCGGCCGGATCACCTCCGAAGGCGACTGGGGTTCAGTCAGGAGACACTTGCGGATAAGATCAAGTTGAACATGGGGCCCCAGGCTTGGATCCCGGGCGCTGCAATAAACGTTCTGAGGGTTCGCTACATAGCGAAGCCATTCCTCGCCCTCACATGTGGTCGCCACAAGACTTCATCCAATTGGTTTCGTCATTCAGAAATTACCAGTAATGAATTCCGATATTGAGTCCGCTGCCCATCACGGGGCTACTGCCCTGGGCCCCGGAAAGTTTGATGACCCTGAGAAGCCGACGCATGATAGCATCCGTGGCTTAGAAACTTCAGCTGAGACATCACTGCACAAGGAGCTCAAGGCACGACATATTTCCATGATTGCCATCGGTGGAGCTCTTGGAACTGGCCTTCTTATTGGTACCGGCCAGGCTCTGGCAGAGTCTGGGCCAGGGTCTCTCCTCATTGCGTTCTTGTTCATGGGTGTTATCCTTTTCATGATTATGGCTGCCATCGGCGAGATTACAGCGTGACTACCACTGAGCGCTGGCTTTGCAGGCTACGCTACTCGCTACTGCCATCCTGCTCTCGGTTTTGCCCTTGGATGGACGTACTGGTTCAATTACGCGCTTGCTGCCCCAAACCAGCTGACAGCCGTCGCCCTCGTCATACAATTCTGGGTACCTAGATAGACGGTTAACCCGGGCGTGTTCATTGCCATCTTCATCGTTCTGATCTTGTCTATCAACTATTTTGGTGGGATCAAATTCTTTGGGTAATCTGAATTCTGGCTGTCGTCTTTCAAAGTCATCGTCATTGTTGGTATCATCCTGCTGTCCTTGGTTATTGCCTGCGGCGGAGGTCCCTCTGGAGAAGCAACGGGGTTTCGTTACTGGAAAGACCCTGGAGCCTTTGCAGAAGTTTACACTACAGGCCCCTTGGGGAAATTCCTGGGGTTCTGGTCTGTCATGGTTAATGCGACTTTCGCCTATCTCGGAACCGAACTCGTTAGAACAACAGCTGCAGAGGCGAAAAACCCACGACGTTCAATTCCCAAAGCCATTCGACTTACATTTTATCGTATTCTTTTTTTCTACTGCCTGGGCATCTTCTTGGTTGGACTCATCGTTCCCTATAATTCAGAGGCTTTACTCTTTGCAGCCAGCCAGCCAACACCGGGAGCCAATGCAAGCCCGTTCGTTGTGGCCGCCAAAGTTGCTGGAATCAAAGTTTTGCCACACATTATTAACGCTTGCATCTGCATGTTTGTCTTTTCAGCTTCGAATTCCGACTTGTACATTGGAAGCCGAACACTCTACGGCTTGGCAAGTGATCGAGCAGCGCCAGCCATTTTCAAGCGGACTGATCGTCGAGGTGTGCCATGGGTTGCTTTGCTCGCCTGCACCTCCTTCGCCTTGCTAGCCTTTATGAATGTCTCAGACGACTCGAGGAGCGTATTCAAGCATTTTATCAATGTTTGTACAGTACTTGGATTACTGACTTGGATTTCCATCTTGATCACCCATATCCGTTTCGTCTGTGGTCGCAAAGAAAAGGGCATTCCTGACTCGGCGATGCCCTACACGGCGCCTCAAGGTATCTGGGGGAGCTACGCGGCTCTCGTAGTTTGTATTATTGTTGCGCTAACGAAGAGCTACGGTGTTTTCATCCCTCAGGGCACGCCATTTGACTATGCCTCTTTCATTACTGGTTATATCGGCATTCCTGTATATCTCGTTCTTCTCTTTGGCCACATGCTTACCCAGAAGAGCAAGCTGGTCAAGATTGAAGACATGGACTTCTTCACTGGGAAGGATATCGTAGACCGATACGAAGCTGAGTTCCTGGAGGCAGAGGCGGCTAGAGAGGGACGTAACTCGAAAGGGGTGAAGGTGTACAACCGAACTTTGGCATGGCTCTTTTAGCGATGTTCATCCATAGCTCGTGGGATTGGACGCCTTGATTCCAATTAAACTCCTCTTTTTTCTTGAGGTTACAAAATAATGATTCCGTCAACTTGGGCTCAACCCGTAGAGATGCAAAATGCATACAACCCCACTTGTAGCCCCGTTGTAATTGGTCTTGAAGTTGTCTAAACTCACTTGCAACCTTCGTACTGCCAAGAAACGTCCTCGATCATAGGGGTCGGTTACAGCCCCAAGAAGAGGGCAGGGAGCCCGTGACAAACCAGACGCATTCATTACCCGACTACTTGGGTCTTTCTGCGTTTTACAACAGTCTGTCTGGGGTAGCGGCTGGGTTCGTGCCCCGCATATTGGATAGGAGTCTAGTTCTGATTCAAGGGGTCTTATCTGTGGATGCCGCTCTGCACTGTTATCTAACATTACCAACTTCGGGGGAGTTCCGGCCGGCTTCTCGGCCTCTGGGTGAGGAGCCAAGATAACCGCCAATTGACACAACTCAGCTGATGCTGTTGTGCATTAGTCGAGGGGCCAACGCGTCTTATATTCCAGATGTTGGCATCTTTCTTGCCTGACCAGAATCTCTCCACCATCAAAGCCATATATCGAGCATCAACAATGACAGACAAACAGCCAACCAAAGTCGGCGAAGACGACAAGAACTTCGATATCGAGATGACGCACAAGCCCTCCATCGACGATGTACAAGAGGGAACGGTCGATGTATCCGCAGAGTATTCGGCTAAGTACTATCGAAAGCTGCTCTGGAAGATCGATCTCTGGCTTCTCCCGCTCATGTGGATTTGCTATGGCACGCAGCAGACCGACAAGACCTCTCTTAGCGTGCAAGCCGTGTTCGGTATTCAAGAAGATACAGGGCTCGTGGGCGAGCAGTTCAACTGGCTCAGCACGATCTTCTATCTTTCCTACATGGTCTGCGAGGCACCCGGCAACTGGCTTATGCAGAAATGCCACACCGGCAAGTTTCTGTCCATTGTCATGGTGCTCTGGGGCGTCATTGTTCTGTGCATTGCATTCGCGAAGAACTTTACGCATCTCATGATTCTGCGGACGATTCAGGGGGCTTTAGAGTGTACTATTTCTCCAACCTTTATGCTGATCACCGGGGCATGGTATACATCGCAGGAACACACACTTCGATCGCTCATTTGGGGAACATCAAATGCTGGCATGAATATCCTTGCTGGTTTAGCCATGTATGGTATTGGCCTCCATGCCCAAAATAACCCTGGAGGTGTAGCTGCTGTAAGGATTCCTTGATATCTCTCTACATAACTTGAATTCAAAGCTAACGACGTTCTTCTATATAGTGGAAAGGAATCTCCTTTTTGCTTGGCGCTCTGACGATTACTTGCGGTATCATTGTCTGGTTCGTCCTGGGAACTCCTCGCGAGGTTCGCTGGTTGAGCGAAGACGAGAAGCGAGCTGCCATCGCGCGTGTGATTGTGAACCAGACAGGATCCGACCAGCAAAAGCGATCCGAGTTCAAATGGGAGCAGGTGTGGGCCACATTCAGAGGTTAGTTGCCCTTTGTCTCTTGTGAGGTCGGCGAACGTGCTGACAGTTGGACTACACCTAGATCCTCAAACCTATTTCTTCTTCTTCGTCACCATCATCAACGCACTGCCCAATGGCGCCAACACTACCTTTTCGAAGCTGATCTGGAAGTCCTTCGGCTTTACTCCGCTAGAGACTTTACTCAAAGGATCAACCCCTTACTATTGCGTCAGCATTTGCTGGTTTATCATTGTGGGATATGTCACATTGAAAAAGCCAAACTTGCGATGTAGGTATTTTGAGATTTCCTACAGTTGGTCTTAGTCTAACCAGAAGCAGTTCTCATGATGATGTTCTCACTTGTTCCCGCCTTCTCTGGAATGATGGCACTAGCATTCCTGCCACAGAATGACATGAAGTGGACAAGGTGGGGGATGTACATCCTGCAAGTGTTTGGCTCACTCCCCGGACTAAGTAAGTCTCTAGTCTATTCAAAATGATATCTTACCATCTGACCGTCGTCCTCCAGTGATCTGGACATTCTTACCATCTAATGTCGCCGGCCGGACGAAGAAAACAGTCACAGCCACGGTTCTTTTCATCGCCTACTGTGTTGGTAATGCCGTTGGCGCACAAATGTTTGTCGCCTCGGATGCGCCCAAGTATATTCGTGGCCTTACGGCTTGTGCGGTCTTATACGGTGTCGAATTCTGCAGCATGGCTTCATGGCGATTCTACTGTAAGCACACCTTTCAACGATTTTCCCGAGCTACACTGACTGTTATACCTAGATATCTGGGAGAACCGCCGCCGCGCAAAGATAATCCAGCAACAGGGCATCTCTGAGGAGGAGAGTCTGCGTCTGGGTAAAGTGAATGCGGAAGCCGACATGACTGATCGCGAGAACATTCACTTCAAGTACAAGTATTAATATAGGAGTTTACCTGTGGGAAGACTGAGGATCAAGTTGGTTGACCACGGTCGGGGCTATTTGTGATCGGATTGCAACTGGTTGCCCATGAAATACTTGCATATGCTTTACTAGGTACCTAAAGAGGTAGAGATATGAACTGGTTGGAGATATGTTTAATATGCAGCTTACTTTGCTTGATACTCTTGCGTACGAAAGAATTCATGAAATTATCACCTAGATTCGGCTTTGAAACACTTACAATGAGAGTTCATCCTCTTATATACCCAAGTTGTTGGCTTAGTCTAGGAAATTTTCGTTACGAGGGGTGTCATAGCAAGGATGTCCTTGAGGCAAATGCCTGGGCCTCAATTTAATATATCTAAAATTCAAGTGATCTTCTATACGGGAGAGAAAAAGAATAGAGTTTAACCAACAATGAAGCTGCCAGGGCCCGACAGCTCAACGCAATGAATAACAAGTGATCTTCTATTATGTCTGGACCTCTTGTAGGTCACGGTCTGACCCGTCTCTTAATAGCTCAAACTCCAGTCCCGAACGGATCCTCTTCCTAGTCAAATGTCTTTTAGATCGGAAGCCTCGTAGGGCGTGCAAGAGAACTTTCTTTGTCCTCATTTTGCTATTTTTCACCACTAAATATATCGCCGATCTGTAAGAGCTCATCCCAACGTTGATCTTTCTGAACCTCAATCGTTCCTTGCGGAGTGGCCACCCTCATCTCTTGTACAGTCCGTGTGCCAAAGTCAAACGACTCTTCGTCGTTCACAAATGCCACCAGGGCCCGGATCCAATTTTCCATCAATTCCCTCTCCCTCAGCGTTGGTCCATGTTGTATCGAAAAGCTTTTTGTCTGTGAGCTCAAGCCTGAATAGGGGCGAATATAATAAAACTCACTTCCAAAACGGTTTGTCCATGGCATGGGCCACTCCAAAAGACATGGGTGCTACTGTTTCGTCGATAAATGACAACCGGTAGGCAATCTGATAACGCCACACATCCTGGAGATCAACTCCATTCGCCACCAAGTGCTTCACCAATGCTCTCGAAGGTGCCCTGACTTGGCCATCGGATATGATGTTTCCTAAGCTGTAAGTCAATACATCATGAAAAGGGAAGTCATTGCCTATTTCAACTACTCACCAAAGAGTCGTTTCCAAGCCTCCAGGTCCTGGGTAGTCGGCAGAGGATAACAATCAATTACTCTGTCCGTGACTTCTGGGGCATAATAATTCATGATTTGAAGTTTCAACGAGTCGATGGTTGGAGCCGCGGGGCTGTTGTACGTTGAATATAATGTCTCTTCATTGGCAACCTCTCCAATGAGCAATTTGTAGTGCCTGGACTTGAACTCGTTGGCAAAGTTTTTGCTTTGGAGATACTCAATCATCCCAGAATGAATGAAAAGATTGTCGGTGACTGGACGAAATGTGTGCTGCTTCAGTCTTGGTATAACTGCAATGAGATCGCTGACACTCAGCTTCCGGAGCGATTCGAGCTTCTTCTCAGCAGGCAAGCTTTCATCGATATCAAATTGCTTGCACACTTCGTCGAATTGAACTTGGGTATCCTGCAATGATTTCGGCTGTGCCGGTATGGCGTTTGAGTCCATAAACACGCGTCGAAACAGCGATGTCTTTGGGCCTGGCTTGCGGAAGTCGAACAACATCTGCGCTTCCACGCTGTATGCTCCTGCGCTTCGGCCGGCGAGGGTAATGTTGTTTGCGTCGCCTCCAAACAGCGAGATGTGTTCTCTGACCCATTCAGCAGCCATGCGCTGATCCCAGAGACCGAAGTTTCCTGCCGAACCACCTCCGCTTTCCTCTAGCAGATCTTCACCGGCAAGAAAGCCAAAGATATTCAAGCGGTAGCCTATAGCCACGACAATGGCGTTGAGGCCCCCAGTAGAGATCAACTCCGTCGGGTCCATGCCAGGCTCCTGCGATGGGTCGCCCATTTGGAACCATCCTCCGTGTAGCCATAGCATCACGGGCCACTTCTTTTCTCTCGGATCACCTAAGGGCGTCCAGATATTGACAAAGAGGCAATCCTCGCTGTATTTCCCGGAGCCTCCCTCGGCTTTTCCGACATGAAAGGCTTTCTGGGGACAGACTGCTTTGAACTTGGTAGCATCAAATGGGCCACCAGCTCCATCTCCGTATGTATAGTCCGCTGGGAGCCGTCTCGGCTTGCGCCAGCGATTGTCGCCGGTTGGGGGAAGCGCGTAAGGAATGCCAGCATAGCGACGCGATTTTTTGTCAAGTTGGATACCGCGAATGGTTCCCTTGTTGCCAAGGTCTAGGTCGTAGACCTTTTGGTCGTACGATATTGTGTTCCCCATTTTCGATAATATTGAATATCTTGGTTAAATATGGCAGCGTTTGACACTGGCGTCGGGGCTGGAACATGGGAGTCACTTGCTCATCTGACAGCAAAAGTCATTCTGTCACACAATGACATCGGAGATCCGTTTGATCAATCGTCATGGGAGTACTTGGGAAATAACTCATTGTGGGCTACCCACTACCGCCCGGATCTCCGGCCGAGGGAATGAGGGGAGCAGCGGGACCAACAACCACCGTACGAAACCTTGATTGTGAACTTAAATCGTGATTTCCTACTCTAGCTCGCCGACTCCAAGAACAATTCCAAGTCAAAACTGTCGATAAAGCGCTGATATGGGTAGTCTAAACCACCAGCAGGAGGCCGTGGACCTCTCCCACCACATCAACGTCAAGAGCAAGTCTCGCCACCCCTCGCCTCTCAAAGAAATTATCAAGTTTATGGGCTACGATGGCATGATCAGCCTAGCAGGAGGTATGTACTTTTAGCAACAGGCGTGAAGTTATGATGAAGTTAAGTATTACCCTAGGTCTCCCTCATCCTTCTTTGTTTCCTCTCGAGAGAGCCAGATTTGACTGCCTCCCTCCATCCGCATCGCTGGGAGATCAACAGACAGAAACAGATCTTGTAAGCCTCAATCTTGGTCGCGGATTATCTCCGGGAGATCTCGACCTTACTCAATTTCTACAATATGGTACGACTTGCAAGCGTGCAGCCTGGGTCTCCCAGCGGCGAGATACCATAGCCTGTGCTAACACACGTTCGCAGGAACTGGAGCCGGGAATCGACGGCTCATCCAACTCGCTGAAGATTTGACCGAGCGAGTGCATGCTCCACCTTGCCACTATGAATGTCTCTTGCATCCTGGAAACACAAACGCATGGTCCAAGGTGGTTGGCCTCCTTTGTGAAGACAATGATTTTGTCATTGTTGAAGAGTTTACCTATCCATCCGCACAGGCGCTCTGGATCCCCCTTGGGATCAAGGCAGCTCCTGTTTCCGCCGATGCAGAAGGTATCTTGGCTACTAATCTGCGAGAAATGCTCGAAAGCTGGGATGAGAAGTCAAGGCGTAGCCGAAGACCTAGAGTGTATGGTTTTGAAGTCCCGGCAAATAACTACTCCGATACTAATATGGCATTATAGGCTTTATTTGGTTTCGGTAGGCTCAAATCCAACAGGAATCACAATTTCAGCAAAGCGTCGCAGAGAAATTTACCAAGTTTGCGTTGAGTTCGGTATATAGCACTCCCTGCTATCAGTTAACATTTCACCCGCTAATTCTGATTAGACTTGGTGATTGTGGAAGATGATCCCTATTATTTTCTTCAATATCCGGGTTACTCGCCGCAAGCCGAGGAGCAACCATATCAGCCAAAACCCACTGGAGAGTTTCTCAAGTCATTAACCCCGTCGTTCCTATCCATGGACACTCAAGGGCGTGTCATCCGGCTCGAGTCTTTCTCCAAGACCATATTCCCGGGTCTCCGGCTGGGCTATTTCATCGCCAATCCTCTTTTCACCGAACGACTACTCCGAGCAACCGAGATCGAGACTCAAGATCCTGCTGGTCTCAGCCAAGCATTCACGCTTGCTCTATTTAACCAATGGGGGGTTGATGGATATTTACTGTGGCTTCAGAGTTTGCAACATCAGTACAAAACAAGACGAGATTGGCTCGTCTCGGCCATATATGACCAGTTCACAGTCGTGTCAGCCGCCAAGTCACCATTGCCAACTGCTCAAGGGCATGTAGCCTGCTTACAAGACAAAGTGACTGGCAAGTTGCGCCCCGTCTTTAGCTTCGTCGACCCAGAAGCCGGCATGTTTGTCTGGTCAAAGTTTTACTTTGGTGGAGTCGCTCGTTTCATTGAGCTCAAGGCCCAGTCAGTAGAGGACCCGGAGCAGGCGTTTGCTCAAGAGCTTTGGGAGGCCATGGTGGCGGAGCTCGTCTTGCTTACACCTGGATCATATTATCACGCTTGGCAAGGGTCGGACAAGGTATCAACCAAAGCGAGGGGGGCTGATCCGCGATCAGCCTTTTTCCGTTTTTCTTTTGCTACTCCAACGGTAAGTCGCACAATGAGAGTGATTCCTTTGACTGTGAAACTAATATATCCCTATATAGAAGGAACAGATTGAAGAGGGTGTGAAGCGAATGAGGAAAGTCATAGGCCGTGTCTGGGAAGCGACATCATAACATATTCATCCCATCCACGCTGTTTGAAAAAAGTATAGAACATTTTTGTATATCCAACCAATCATCTTGGTCCATATTAGAACTTTGTCACCACCCATTGCAAAATTTGAAATAAGCAGACTAGCTTCTCTTATATCCTTCCGGCGCTCTACACTAAATAGTTGGATTGTGCTAACAATACAAGGTCCGTTTCTCAAAATGTACCCCAGAAGTTATTAAAGTCCGCGTCAGAAGGATCCAAGTTCAGCAGATCAGGAGTATGGATATGAGAAGCACCAGAAAGCTGGGTCTCTAAGAACGAACCTTGCCGATTGCCTGCAAAGATATCCAAGGTCTGTTCGATGATTGCCCTCCCCCTGGAAGCTCCGGAACACGTTCCTTCCAAGTTTTTCAAGAATCTGACACACTTTTCCACGTCTGGATCACGTTTTCCAAGCGACTGGTCTTTCATCCAGACCCTATAATCATCGCGGTTAGTTTCTACATAGGAGTCGGGTGTCGAAGGGATGCTTACAGAGCCAGGCCAGAAATCGTCAGATAATGTACAGAAAACGCCATATAATGTGAGGGAGGCACGAAATCCCGCACTAACTCAGTTGCATTGATGCAGCTACGGGCAGCAGAGAGGCAGTTCTTCAAGGTTTGGGACTGGCTAAACGAATGTTTCCTATTGGTAAAGGTCCTAATTCGCTCTTTAGTATACGATTTGAGACAAATGAGTGAGAAGATGCGAAAAATACCTATAGAGATCGAGGAGCGATCCTGCGTGGACGACAAATAAGATGATACACATGGTTAGGTCTGGGCTGTGGTCCAAGTTGCTACACGTCAAGGTTAGTCAAACCATCAAACCGCCTTACACAATTACGAGAGGAAGCTAAGCTATTCATGGCAAAGCATATAACATACTTGGCAGAGAAGCGAATTTCGTCTGGCAAGCCATTGAGCCACATGTCCAACATTTTCTCCAATTTCTTCCCCAAGGCCATCATCCGCTTTTGACCTCGTGGCGTGTTGAGACTTGCTATACGGGTTGGCGACTGGAGACTGTGAACCTTGCCAGATATCTGGCAAAGCTGAGCAAATGCCAAAAAGCCCGACAAGGGCGACGTTGCTGGTAGTCCATCGTCAAAGGGAGTTGCCTGGTTACAAGCAGCCTCTAGCCCTTCGTCGGCAACAGGCATTGGCAAGTCGCAGCAGCAGTCGCAGTCGTTGATAGCCATCGGTCTCCCGAGACATATCGATGTAACCCTTTGAGTCTGGTGGTAAGCATTTGTCCACATCGGGATGTGAAATGACATACCTGTCAAGACCATAGATGCTCCACCAGATTCGTCGAGAGATTTCTGCCTCCAGTGGAGATACCCCCGTGTCGTTCATCGAGTGGCCAGAGACTGGTGCCTATCTGAAGTTCAGTATCACGCCGCGAAGTAGGGAACGCAACACATACGAGCCTGCCCAGGTGCATCCCAAGATCCTGAGCTGCCTTGACTGCCTGGCCAGCAAAATGCCAACTTAACGACAGGGTATTCCATCCAGAACAACACATGGATATCAGCGCAAGACACTGGGCGCGTTCCATTGTCGCTTGACCGGTTGTGGAGTAATGGACCAACAAGGCCCTCTCATAGTATTCCAGGCCGGGAAATGTCGAATTGTTTCCGTCCGAGGCTACCAGGCTCGAAGCACAGGCGCATACAGCGAAGAAAACGGAGAGGAAGTTCCTGTCCCATTCTGTTTCCTTACGGACTATGTAGAGTTGTCTGTATTGCTCCATAAAATGAGGCTTGTACAAGACCGGAAAAGTATAATGGAACTGGTTGAAATACAGCCCGACCAACATATCCGCTACGTATCGAGGTGGCAGATTTAACTCTTCGGGCTTTGGTAGGTGCGGTAATTCACGCCACTGAAGGCCATGCACAAAGAGTGGAATCTCAATTGAAACCCTTCGTTCCATTGGAGTTGGTCCGGTTTGTCCTGGTGTGCAGAAAGAAGGCGATTCCGAGATTGTGGAAGATGCTGGGGTTAGGCTCTGAATTGCCTGGACCAGAAGTTCATTACTGGCTCCTCCGATGAATCTTACAGAGTCAGTTTGAGCGGATAGGAATAAGGCGATATGGACAAAACCGAGACTGACCGTAAACGCCCGTATGAGTCAGGAACGAGTGAGCCAAAGATCCCCAGGGTTGGGTCATACTTGGGGTTCAGCTGAACTGTATCCTCTGCTAATTCGTCATCTGTCTCCTCGCCCGAACTTTGTTCATTTGCCCCCGGTCGGTAGAGCTGGAGATCTTGCGAATGGGCACATCCTGGATCAGACAGTGCGCTTGTTGCTATTTCTGTGCGAGACATTACGGATTCCGAGTCTAATGGGCCTACAAGAGACCGGATGTTTTGAGAGGCCTGCTCCAACTGCGTAGTAACGGAATCTTGAGGTGAGGCGGCCGTCTTATTTGGCAGCTTCTCAATGGCGTCGGTGAGTTGGTTTGTCAAGGCTTCTAGTCTCTGGCACAACGTGTCAACTTGCTGAAACCGGGCTTCAAACATGGCAGCATAACTACTCGTGGTCAGTCAATGCAACTATCAAACTAGTGTTGGCTATGCAGGGCTCAGAGACTTGCGACTGCTGGATGCGTTGTCGTTACTACCGGGATATTCACAGATAAGATTCCGGGAGCTGCAGTTCCGACATGGGTCATTGCCATCACACTTGATCTGGAACATGGTTAGTATGATCCGCATCTGGCCTGACAGAGACACCCATCGATACCTTCTTGCGCCGGCAAATAACACATGCTTGCCACACACGAGGTGCAATGCTCTCACTTGGCTCTTTACTCATGGTATCTGTCAATCAAGGCGAAACAAGTTAAGGGAACGCCTACGTGTTCCCGAGATCAGCAATGGTGAAGCCAACGGCCAAGCCAGTTCAGAGCAGCAACAGAGGAGACTGGCTAGTGCGAGATGGTTTTGAGTTTCGCCGTCACATCTGCGCTCCGAGTGCGGGGATGTTTATCCAGTCACTGACTCAACTCCACAAGTTGGCAGGGCTAATCTAGTCTTTGGTAGCACCGCTATATCCTGATTATCTCCTATCTACGCCAAATTTAAGCCGTTTGATAGAGACCATCACATGCAGCTGAAGCGGTGGCAGAAGATTAAGAGGGCAGCTACATCCTACCGAGAATTAAGCTCTGGTATATTGAGAGAACTTCAGAACCTCGTTGCTGATTCAAGATCCTGATGCTAAATGACCCTATTCTCACTTGGTCAACTGCTCAAATGCCCCCGTGTCTAGCTCAAATTGATTTGTGGGGCCAGAAATCCTCCACGGACCGGGATCCGGCCGAAGCAGTGACGGAGCGGATCAACTTCACTGGAGTTATTTGTCTTCATCGATGATTCGAGAGACAGCGAGAATTGAAGTAAATTAACTTAATCAAGGAATACGAGTGTATCTCAAGGCTATAGTTAGGGAACTCAACTTATAGCTAGAGCCTGAAACTGGTCGTGAAGCATGGCTACAGGGTAGGCTGAAAACTTGGCCTACCCTGTACCCTTGATCTTCAATCAATTTGCTCATCAAGCGAACCTCTTCAATTTCCAATCTAGTAACACAAAGACTTTTGGCCTGGCCGTCCTCCAAATATATTTCCCATCTGAAATGGTTCGAGACAAACCAACTTGTCACCGCCCCATATTTGTTCGTCGATTGCGAGAATCTCAAAACAAAACGCCTCCCCTGTCGACTTACCAGGAAAGTCACTCTTCGTACAGTCCCTTGGGCGAGTAAAGTCTCAGTATGTACGGTACGTGTTTGGGTAGTGGCTCACATTTCCGGGTTACACGTTAGTACGCACCATTGCACCCCTTGGAGAACATTTTAGTAGCGGTCAATTTACATATGCTTGACATGACGTCTAACGAACTCTTCCTCTAGTGAGTGCTTACTGATTGCGAACATGAGTATATTGATGAATCATAAAATGTATCTCCAGATCGGCGTAATTGATTATTTATGAGGGTCCCACTGGCGAGCCTTGGATGATAAAATGGGCTCTTGCCCTGCTGTTGGTAATACATTGGCTGCCACACTGCATACATTGTTTCATCTGAGAGCCAACCATTCCATATACGGACGGGCCAGGCAGACACGGAAACACGCGATGCCCCACTCATATTACCAACAGATATATTTTTGTCTCTTGGCTGCAGCCTTGGGCGGCTAGCAGAGCTTGTTGTGTTGTCGAGTCTGGCATCTTCCATTGCTGGCTCTTACTCCATACTCAAACTCTCTCACACTAATATATTTTGGCTCAACACCATAGCTCCTAAAAAAGTTATCATTTAGCTTAAACTTTACCCCATGCTGCCGGGTACGCCTCATATTCCTTCTTAAATTACTCCTTTCTTGACCACAAACACGACGAAGTCATGCTCTGTGAAGTGTGCTCTGAGGTCTTCCAGGGCATCTGGGACCCTGCCAAAACACAGCGAGTATGTCGCCTGGAAGATTTCTGCCAGGGGAATATTGTCCCTCCCAATCGAACCAAACCGGAAGATCCCAACCACCCCGAGAACTATGTTTTTGGGCACCACCTCACGCAGGAATCCTTCAAAAAATCTGCTCTTGATGGCTGTGTAGTTTGCTCTCGGTTTCAAAGGACACAGCAAGAGGGACAGGATCCTAAGTTTGCTGAATTTGGAATAAAATACTACTCCATCATCAAACTCGACTACTTTAGCGGGATCAGTATGGTTTTCACGACAGTTGATAGGTATATGCTACAAGAGAATTTACGTGAGTTCAAGGCGCCATCGTTGACTACACTTGTTCAGATATATTGACGCGGGTTTAGGGCCTGCTCGAAATCCAACCATTGATTTTAGTCCAAATACTGGCGGTAACACCACCTGGACTTTAATTCGTGACTGGCTAGCCACTTGTCTCCAGTCTCATAAGGACTGTAATACAAAGACAGACCGGGATTTTACGCCTCCCTATCTTCTTCGCCTTAGCGAGACTTCTGAGTCTTTCCATCTAGTTGAAGCAAAAGCAGTTGACACTGGTACTCGCTATGTTACCCTTACGCACTGCTATCCATACAACAATGATAGTCTGAGGATCTCTTCATTAGTCAGAGAAAGCCTCTCATTTCAACAGCCACTTTCCACCCTGCCTCAAACATACCGCGATGCCTTTACTATAGTTCTTCAACTTGGGCTTAAGCATCTTTGGATCGACCACCTCTGCGTTTTACAAGATAACCAAAATGATCTATCTATGTATGAGAATAAGATTATCAGGCGAAAGATCTTATCCAACAGCTTTTGTGGGATCAGTGCGGCGTGGTCCATGTCCCCTTCCTCTGGGCTATTTGTCAATCGTGACCCGGACTTGCTGAGGCCATTTGCGTTCCCCTTCCCTATCGATTCAAACAACACTCTAGTGCCTTTTAAGTGTGCTTATGCTGAAAGGGATGAGGGAAATATCAAGCGATTCGACATGGAACCACTGCACCAAAGTGCCCGAGCCACACACGACCGTCTCTTAGTACCACGAATGTTACACTTTACGAGCCAAATGGTCTACTGGGAGTGCCATGGAATGCAATGCGATGAGTTTGGCCCTATTTCCAAGGACGAGAACTACTCCTGTGATGTTGGGACAGAAGGAGAGATGACATGCGATGGTAAATCCGTCAGTAAGCTGTGGAAGCTGCTGATCGAAGTTCTATACAACCAGAAGCATGACGACCCCATCGACCAGATATATTACCGCTGGCTGTGCTTTGTGGAACACTACTCGCGCTTACAGGTACTGAGAGAGGAGAAGCTACCTTTACTTGAGAATCTGGTCAACGAAATAAAAGACCTATTACTCAAAGAGGGCTGTGCGGATACTGAAATTCTTTTTGGGATGTGGAGATCACTGATCCCCATGACTCTTCCATGGTTAGCACTTGGATACTCCAAAAGACGGTCAACAGCAGTTCATATTCCGACCTGGAGCTGGGCTTCAATGGGGTCGGTGACTATTCGCCATGCAATGGAAACAACCTCATGGAGGAAAATCGTTGTTTGTGAGCTTGTTGATATCGCTCGGGCTTGGGACAAGGCTGGGATGCTTACAACAGCTAGCCTGTTGCTCAAAGGGAAGCTTTTCATGGGAAGACTGGCCACTTCTCCTCTCAGGAGCGGACCTTGTACTGCAGCCAGGATCCTAAGTTTGACCAACTACGACTTTCCGCTTCAAGCGCCAATGGAAATAGTACGTCCCAATATGACGTGGAGCGGAACCTTTGATACTGAGGAAGATATGAGAGAAGAGGTACTTTGCCTACCGGTAACTGTCAACATATTTTCCGGGCCGGCAAACGTCAACCTCCCACTCAAATATTATATAGAGGGTATAATGCTGTCGTGTCTTGAAGATGGACGTTTTATTCGCCGTGGTCGATGGACTATTGACCGTAGTTCCAAAGAGGAGTGTCTAGATGCTGTAAAGCACCTGCAGGATCATGTCGTGGAAGTTATATAGTATTTAAGTATACCGTACTATACATAGTTCCATAGCATGAGCGCTTAGTGTAGCAGGGATTAGTTTGAATTGTTATTTGATTGAGCTCATAGACTCTGCTTAGTCTGATTTTAGACTGCAGCTGATTATGTAGCTAGGCCATATTATTTTACCCCTATAAAGATATCCCGAAACAGATCATTGGGACGCGCAAGACCCCCAGTTTACTTGTTGGTTATTACCAAAGCAGCAGCTATTGCCATCTTCCGTCGGCTCGCTTTCAACTCCAGTAGCATAATCTCAAGGCTTAAGCACACGCAAACAATCGCAATATTCCAGCTCATCTGCGCCTCGCGTTTCTTTTCTCTTCGTTGTTGTTTCCGTCCATTGAACAGAATGCTCACAGGTGGGTGCCCTCAACCCTCCACATAGCCTGTCTCACATTCTATCAGATTGGCCTAACCTTCTCTCTCCAGAAACCAACCTACGCACCCTCTCCACGAGGCTCCTCGCAGCCTGAAAACAGGGCTCTCTCTCTACCGTCCGCTCCATCGTGCCCACCCTCTATCCTGCATCGTCGCCCCCTCCACCCTCTGCACTTATCCCTCCACTTAAGATTGCCCTCGCAACAGCCGCTTACCATGGCCAGGCAGATGTTCTTCGATATCTCCTTGCTTCTCCACAATGCTCTGCTTCGCATACTCCCTGGTCCCCTTCGTTCCAGAACTCCCCTTCCTCTCTCCCAGAAGAATGGCAAATGGCAACCTATCCTGATTTAGTTGTCAAACGCGCCATCAGCTCTTCGTCTACGTCTGTGGTGCGAGCATTGTTGGACGCAGGCATGCCCGTAGATTATAACATCGAGAAGATTGGCGCGCCGTTATGTCACGCCATCACACTCCAGAACTTAGAGAGTGTCAAATTTCTACTGGAGGAGGGAGCTGACGTGAATGGCATCCTCTGGATCCCACCCTGGAGTTTCCTGGCACACGCAGCTACGCTTCCTTCTATTGACATCCTCAACGCGTTGCTGGATCATGGCGCGAAGCTGCCTGGTTCTATTGCTCTGAGGGCGGCTGCCCAGGTGGGGAATATCAAGATGGCTGAGGTTTTACTGGAGAGGGGGATGGACGTAAATGTGCTGGACCGATGGAACATGACTGATCAGCCAGATGATTTCATCGGTACGCCTCTACATGGGGCTGTGGTAGATGGGTAGGGTAAGATGGTTAGGTTTCTATTATCAAGGGGGGCAAGGGCGGATATAAAAGACGGTGAGGGGAAAACGGCGAGGGATATTGCGGAGATGGGAGAGAGGGTGGAGATTATGAAAATACTAGATGAAGTGAAGTAGAGAGGAGAATCACAAAATGGTAGCCGTCTGTGCCTGGTTGTCGAAGTAGAAACACGAAAAGCGCCTAGCTAAAGCAATAATAGCTCGTTCTGTATTTTGTTTCATAAGAAAGCCCTCAGGCAAACCAGAGCGGTGTCCTGACATAAACAAACCACTCGAAAGTGAATATGCAGTACCCTGGCGATATGTCACTAGGCGTTGGTCATAGGGGTTTCCGTAATATTAATGGTTTAGCAAGTAACCTCCGCAGTGTGATAAAATGGAGATGGCCAAGATTATTCCGAGCGCTGACCCCTCATCTCACAAACATCCATACACTCCGCATACATGCGCTCGACAAACGCACGGCCTTTACGTGCTTTCTATCATGGCCTCATTTTCGGACGCACCCAGAGAGGTCATTGACCAGATCCTGAAACACTTGCCGAGATCTAGCCTCCCCATTGTTTGCCTCGTGAGTAGATCACTGAGACGTTGTGCTGAGCCCTTTCTCTACTCGACTGTTTCGCTTGAATGGGGTGAATGGGATTTCGAAACATTCCCCCCAATTGCCCCTCTTCTCGCGACCCTCGTGCGCAGACCAGAACTTTTCAAACACTTGGATGTCGTAATATTAGGAGGCATGATGCAGCAGAGAGCTCGCGTGCCCCCCATGGACACATCCAACGTCCCAGTCGACGAGTTTGAGGCTGCCATTAGAAAAGCCAAGATATCATTTTCCGACATGTGGGTTGAGAAGTTAAAATCAGTTCATACGTGCATCTACGCGCTTGCCGCTCTCTTGATTGCACACCTTTCTCGAACAACTCATCTCACGATCACAACCCCTTGGATAAATGGGCAACCGTTGGTTGGCAAGGTTATTCAAGCCAAAATCTTCTCGGGTCAGCTCCCTCAATTTGAGCGGCTTAAACACTTGAAATACCTCAAGAGACGCGATCTCACTCTTAAAAATAACAGAGTGTTTGGAGAAACTATTAGTCTCTTCTACCTGCCGACAGTTACACACTTGGAAGTTATAATGACAAATCCTAAATCTTTCCAGTGGCCTGTAGCCGCCGGCGAGCCCAACTTCAGCCACCTTACATCGCTTAAGATTGGATGGCTATGTGAACCTTTTTTGGCTAAGATACTTGCTGTTGCCCGGAACTTGGAATCTCTTGAGTGGAGTTGGGAACATCACGGCCCACCACACTCTTCGGATCCTAATATTATGGACTTTGATAAGATCACTGAAACGCTCCAGCCTCTGAAAGATACTCTCAAGTCATTTTCGTATACAATGAATCTTGGGGAAGAAGGCGAGCTAATGGACAGTCCGGCGATGCCTGTGCAGGGAAATTTCCGCCATCTTCGCAACTTTACAAGACTTACTCACCTGGAGGTCCCGCTCACACCACGTTCGGAAACCGACTCCACGCCTCTCGCTTTAGCAGACTTTGCTCCCGAAAGCGTTGAAGTTCTTACTCTCTCTGGCGCTGCCTTAAATATTGAATGGTGCCGTGGCGGTTGGGCTGATGACGACGATTTCAAATTTGACGATTTTCTTCCTCTTATACAAGCTGTGGCTGATGATCGCCCTGCAAGATTGGCACGACTGCGGAGTGTTGTCATCTTGGACGATGAAAGTGGATTTACCCGTCGCGGAATCGGCGATGTCCGTCGCCAAATCGGCGATAGAATACAAAAGCTTGATCTCGGTTTTGAAATCCGCTTCAAACCGAGTTAGCTTTGGCCAGCATTTTGGAACGAACATCTTTGGATCTGGAGAGGAACAAATAAACCACCGCTTCCATACACTATTTCTTTCCCTAGGAAAGCAAAGTCAAACAGCTTTTCAAAGCCTTTTGTTTCTATCGTCTGTTTTCCTCAGTATATGTCACATTGAAATGGTGCCTTCCTCTATATTGTGAGAGACTTTGAGCACAAACTAAAAACACCAATAGAAGAGCCCAGTCTTGACATTACTAACCCAGTGAGTAGGTTATCTTAGGTATACATATACAAGTAAAGTAAGTTATAGGGAAGGAGTCGATAACAATCAACAAATTCTTACTCAAGTTTACTAAATCTAATTTTCCAATCTAGAAGCCAGTATAGCAGCTAAGGAGAACCATAACTATACATAGCTGAACTAGAAGCACTAAACACTCAGCTATCTCCTCAATGTAAGCTTGCCAGTACCTGGTCCAAAGCACTAATTAAAAGAGGGACTGGAATATGAAATTAGTAAATTTCGTGAAAGCTCAATAATAATCATTAGGACCCCACCATGATGCTCTTCAAAGATGAGCATGGGCCGAAGGCGTACCGTATTAACACCACAGGTACCGATTTTGATTGCCTTCAACTTCATAGCCTTGACGAAAGCAGCCGAGTCAATTGTATCAAGAGCGATATAAGTACTGAAGTTGGTGAGCGAGGATTTCTAGCCTATGAACGGCTGCTATGTCTAGCTTACCCTTGACCTTTGCCACGGAGATTCTTCACGTATTTTGGGTACTTGCGTGACAGCCCCTCAAGCTCGGCATAGAGAATAGCACCGACGCGGGACTAGCAAGAAATGCATTAGCTCGGCATGGTAACGAATATCCATGTACCCAACATCGTCGTCAATTACTTACGCACTGCTCGACCAAATTCTTGCTCAGAATTTCCTGAATGACGGCCTTGCCAATGATGACGCGAGCTATACTCACTAATCCAGCCCAACCGCACCTGTTTACGTGCATCTGCCGATCGAGCCCTACTTCATCTCGACGGTCCCCTTCAATCAGCATAAACAGCGCAGTAAATCTCCCAAAAAGCGAAATAACCATCAACCAACCGAAAGGGAGTACGATGTTATTCCACTCACACAAGACAATCCTTCTGCACAACCTCGCTGCGTTCGAATCAAGACGAATATTAAGAAGAAATCTGCCTCGTGCAGCCGATCAGACACCTCCACCACCAAATTTATCTTGACTGAACTAGCAGCCTCCTCGCGTCTGCTTAGAAGAGATAGAATTATCATTTTTTACGGGACTTAGTGCCCGTAGGATCCTGCCTTGTATACATGTACTACAATCTTATATAATACTAAGCTTTTATCATATTCTCTTTTACTATATTTTAGGGGCTTCTGCTTTCTTTATCAAGCTTCGCAAATTAGATCAACGGCAACCGCATTTGGATATGTTACATTACTCAGGTTAAGAGAGGATCCAAAAGAGACCTGCATAGTGTTACTATGACGATTTGCCACAGCTAGAGGTCACCAATTGAAGCGGAATTAATAGAAGACTTGAAATTCCTATTATCTAATGAGGGTCTACGGATAGTCTATTTATTCGGAATTGAAATGAAGGGTATCACGTGAGATATCCCGTGATCTTGGTTCCATCGCGTCACAGTTAAGTTGAGACGTGGATACGCCCGAAAGAATCCGATTTGCCCGGCTCATACCACTGAAAAGGGAATTTGTAATTCTCGACGACCCACACTCAAAGAGACATCTGGATCGTGTGTCTTGGGTTTCGCTAAACCATGTTTTGCCCGTCCAATGATGATTCAATATAGTGAGCTTGGAGAAAGATTTACACGCCTATTACTCAACAGAGCGAGATTTATTTTTACTACAGCTACGAAAGACCGCCTCCACCTATCTCCATTCGATCATGTTGTGTGGGCCAGTCCATGCCCTGTATACTCTAGCTAAGAGACTCGGAATGTATCAATCAATATTGACCAACAATCTCAGAGCACTATAAGCACTATATAGGAAGTGACTACCGACAAGAAGGATTTAGCTCCATTGACAGCTAAAAAAGTCCCAGTGGCTATGTTTCTTTTCTTAACGGAGGAAAGACAGATAGATCTGGGTCCGATTCATGACAAAAAGGCTCAAGTAACTGTCTTGTTTAGCACAGGGACTTTGGTGTTCTCGTGCAACTAAATGCTACAGTAAGTCATGGTAGTACCATGAATAATGGGAACTGCAGATCCATCTCAGCAGGAATGTAAGCGAGCGGTATCTTGTCCCGATCTGACTTATGACATGACCCAATGTGCATGGGAAAAATTCAGCCCTAATCTCGCGCAGACAAAGATCCTATCACAACACCCTACGCCTAAACGTGATCAGACATGAGCATGGGAGGGGCTGTAAAGCTGTAGAGATTAGTCGAGATAAATGAGATGACATAGCCTTCAATCTCGCTTACACATGCCTATTTACCAATTAACATTCCAAACGCTTGAAGTATAGTCTAGACCAATACTAGCTGATGAACGACGTAATTCTTTCTTGAAATGATTTCTTTGCTACTGCAAAGTTATACAGGATTTAATACTACGTGGGGTCTAGACCAGTCAGGCATGCAGAAACGGTTGCTTTGTGGCAATGCTGCTAGAGGATCAATGTTTCAGGAAGCAGAACGCCCAGCCTAATGATGACATTGAGCTGGAAGCGGTCTATGATCTTCAATCGTCGGCATATCGGCATTTATTGTCAAAACGTATCGCTATGTTCGTTCTGCCAGGAATCCAAGAGACAGTAATCGAAGTATATAAAGGCCATCTGCTCGCACGTCTTGCAAGTCACAATCATACCTCAATCCAAACACCACCAGCCTACAATATCAACCTGCCTATCACAAGTCAATTCTCTTGGAATCACTCAAGATAAACTTTGTTTAAAATGCTATTCAGTGCCAGCTCTACAATTTTGGCTGCTTTTGCGGCTCTCACTGCCACGACTTTGGCCATGCCCGGGGTGAATCCAAGCCTCGAGCGACGCGATTCCACCACCTGTCGCTACTTTCAAGACACGGACGGTCTTCGGTACGAAATTGAATTGACAGCGCTCAAGACGTTCATGTCTGCGATGGCATCGGTGCCAACATTCCCTGTTCCCAGGTGAGATGGGGCTGTGAGGCGCAGGGAAGCCGCAAGATTATGAGCTTCACTGTTCTCGGTTGCAACCCGGGAGATGTCGAGTGTGCCATCTACCTTGCCACCGCTCCTCACTTGGAGGGAGTCAAGTGTATTACTCGGGGTTGAAGGCTTTGAATAACTACAAGGCTGACAGAGGACTCTTATTCAACATAAGTAGTACGATGTTAGTCATTTAACCGGGAGCTGCCCCACCGGAGGCTTTCTCGTTATTGAGAGGGTAGAATTTCCAGTGCAATGCAAATTGTGGATTGATGGAATGAAATGGGATATTTTTGCATGGTGGATGATGGTTCCTAACAGTTTCCTTCGTTTCTGAAGGTAGTTTGAGCTCAAGTAAAGAAAATTTATTAGTATCATGAATAATGCTCATCCCTTGATGGTGATATTGTAGCAGATTCGTAAGCCTGACAAGATGTGTCATCAACATGTTTCCCCCAAATCTTAACGAGGTCATTCCACTATGATCTTCTTTCCGTTGGAGTTTCAAAATTGGCAATCTTTCTGGCAGCTCCTACTGATGACGGATGTTGTCATCTCAAGTGTTGAAAACTTGGATGTGGAGGCACCTCAGAATAGGACATGTAGGACTGTCACACTTAATTATCCACATGTTGCTTCTCTAGATCTTGAGAATTTCGACTGCCCTGAGGGCGCCATGTTGGCTACAATATCCTCGATACATCCAAAGGCCGTTGCACTCTCCACGGCATGATCGTAGGCCAACAGGCATTATGTTGTGGTTAATAAGCTTAATAAAGAATCCAGAATTAGTAATCAGACTTGAAGAAGTTTTGTCAACGAATCAATGTCTGCATCCTCGGTCATTGACTCCCTAGAGAAACTGGCAAGCCGTCGAATCTGCGAGGACCGTCTCAGTGACACCCAAACCAAGAAGAAGCATGAAACCGACAACCTCCATCGCTACCAGCATGACGATCCACCATCTGAAAAATACACTAATCCTCTGCAAAGGTGTCTGATCAGCGGCTCTCCCCATTCCTAGATATTGGCTCATCGAAACCTGCGGACGAGCCGGAGTGTCGCCATTCAGCCTTTCCTCCGCTTCTGGCTTGGGCTGTGACAGATGATCCCCGATGCTGTACGCCGCTGTCGCCAGGATGAAAACAGCGCTCAAGCCCAATCCCGCAGAGCCGAGATATCGACCACCGGCGAAGTGAAGCGCAATGTTGAGCAGGAGAAATCCCACAATAATCATGACCCCGATCAAGCCGAACTGGATCTGTATGAATGCGTGCTTGCCCGTCTCAACAACTTGTCCGTCGGGCCTGTTGTGCAGCGCGACGTAGATGGAAGAGGCGGCGATGGGACACATGAGGAAGAATTGCGAGGCAAAGGCGATGAAGGCGGGGACACGGCTCGCGTTGCAAGCCTCGGGCAGCGCAAACTGCGTCGATTATGTGACTGCGCCCGCAAATGTTGACAGGAGGATGAGCACATTTGCGAGCTCGAGATATGACTTTTTGGTAGGCGTATTCCGCACCATCGTTGTATATTCAGTATGAGCGACTGCTACTTAGATTCTTGATAATGAATACAACGATGAGCCTAGAGAGCGGCCAATATGTCAAAATAAGTGTGTCGGTAAATCGTCTGGTCAGATGGATTCAACAACATCGCGGCGATGACATCGTTGTACATTAGTTAGTCAATAGGATCGGCGTCAGCTGCAGCACTGTGCCACCGCCACTAAGTATGTGCTGACCAGTTGTTAGAGATGGTTTCATGTGATACATATAGGCGATGAGTGACCAAAGTCCGTAGAATGCATTAGCGTCAAGCGGAGGGTCGCAACTAACAGAATGGAAGTATTGAAAACTCATATGAGACAACCGGTTGATGGTGAGACAGTCTTAGAAATGGAATATGTTTCATTTTGGCAAACTGAAAGGTCGTTACCATTTTGTTTTTATGAATAACTGGCCCTCTAGGATATCCTTCTCTATCTACTAGTTACTTATAATCTATCCGCTTGTGTCTTGCGAGATTAATCGAGTCTCTGGATAAAGAGCCTCTTTAGACCCTGTATATTAGTTGCATCCCTAAAAGAATCTGTTGGTGCTATCCTACTTTCAAAGCCTTGCAGCCTTGCGAATTTTATGTCCGTTGGGTCGAGTCATTGTGTCGAGTTATGTCTAAGTTAAAACTACCTTCGTGAATGCAATAATGTCTGTAATACTTGTCTAGGCGCCACTGCTTACTAGTTTCTATGTTCTTTCATTATTTCAAGTTAAATTCTTAGCTATTAGTAGGAGATGTGTTACGCAGGCATGGTGAGATTTGATTGTATAGGGTAGGCCAAGATCCTGAATAGTCACGTGAGACAACTCTGTAGGCTCCAGCCACAAGAGCTCTTTAAGCTTCGAGATCCGTTGTTCATCCTGAGCCAAGCCAATTACCTCGATTCTCGCTATCTCTCTTTTAATTAAAAAGGACCTACCTCTTTGACGCTTTCCACAGGTTTCGCACTTTAGCACGCGCAGCGAAATGCTCAAATTTTTACAGTCTTGTCGACTTCCGCCAATGACTCTGGTTGAATATTTGACGTGCATGTGGTTGGCGCCGCTATCCCAGGAAAGCTTGCCTGGATTGGAGATGGTTTGCTACTGCGCCTCTCTGCTGACCTATACGCCGAAAAGGCTTACTTCATGTCGACCGACGGTCCCCTTCGATCAGCATAGATGGCGGGAAAAAAAAAAAAAGCAAATAAGAACTAACGAATGGATGATCATTCGCTGCACCGTTTTTGCTGGACACTACTACAGACATAGGCAAAGACCAGTCCATCAGGCCAACTCGAGCCGACCCCAAACTGCATGTCAGCTCATCCCTGATCTTCGCCTCTTGGGAATGGCCAAAGTGCTAAAAATAGTCCTTGGTGCATGAAAAAGTAGGCAAGGCCCCATCAACTTGCGACACCTAGCCTGGTCGACTGAAATCGTCTCTGCTACGGCACATGTGTCGTGAACATCCTCTGCTGTTCAATTGCAAGGTGATCATCGACCTCTGCCGTTCACCGTTCGCTGCGTGCATCATGCTGCGGTGAGGTGGAAATGGCTTCATACGATCTGATCGATATGCCCCCAAGGGCGCACGAGCATGCCCCAGCACACACCCCAAGATTGCCAAGTCCGACGGGGTCTTTCAGGTCCGTCTCCAGCCTCTCGAGTCAAGGTGACCAGACCGAACTTATGTCTCCGCGTCTGCAGAGCTCGGTGAACGAACCAAGGGGGAAGAAGCATCCTAGCCTAACATATGATAATGTCGCTTGGGAAGGTATCCCCAAGGGCGTTACATCCAAGGTTGGGGATAAGCATGTCCATTCCAATCAAATTAGGGAAACGACCAATGGTGGCCTGCGTTCTAAAGACCCGGCGGCGTGGCAGCCGTTTTGGCTGAAAAAGGAGACGCTGGGGGCCTTCACGTTTCTCTACCTCTTCTTTGCCGTGGTCTTGATGGCCCTGCTGATAGCTTCACAACGCAACGCCGGCCTTGTAGAAGGTCGCAAAGAGCTTGAAATGTTATGGAAATTTGCCCCCACTGCTAGTGAGCCCGGCACCCTACTACTCAACAAGTATTGGATTTCCAAGAACTGACATGATCATTTTAGTCTTCACCCTGGCCGCCACATTCTGGGCTCGAGTCGAGCTGCAGACCTTGAGGTATTACCCATGGGCGGTCATACAGAATGAACCGCCCATAAGACATAATGTGTACACACTCGACTACAACGCCATGATCCCCGTTAGGGTTATGTATAGCGCCTTACGGAGGCGGCATCTCTTCGTCTTCTTCGTCGTTCTCACATCCGTCATCCTCCAGGTCCAGGTCGTCCTCGGACCGAGTATCTTCTACCTGGACAGCCAGTTCCGCTCTAGCCCGACCGCAGTCCAGGCTTTGGATTCATTCGACGCCACTAACGCGCAGGATCGGGGAGATTTACCACTATTCGGGCTACAGCATGCGGTTGGTATTCGTAAATTTGGCATGAGCCGCCCCTTTGGCGTGTTGGAGAATGGAACGTACCAGACGTTTGGTTTGAAAGGTGGAAAATCTCGAGGCACGGTCGAGGCACCGGTGACTGCGGTGGTTGACGGCATATTCATGGATATCAAGTGCATACCCTTGGTTGACTATTCGGTTACAAAGCCTTGGGCAGTGACAGGGCAATACAACGAGTCATACACGACCCTCGACCTAGAATTCGAAGGTTGCGAGCAAAGCGTTGAATACGAAGTCGAAATGTCCGAAAGAGCCGTTGAGAAGGGACAAGAAGCCTCTACCTGGGGCATAATGCCCCTGTATACAGAGAAGGAAGACGAGGGCAAGACAAACTTCACATCAGGAGTCCCATTCTCTAAGACACTTGGTTCATGGGCGGATCATCCCCGACCGATATGCTCCTCGCTGCCACAGCAATTTCCCCCCTTCATCTATTTTGGGGCTTCCTGGAAACCATCCGAGGCAAATAAAACAAACTACGAAATGGTGGCGCATGCTGGTGTCATTTGCTCGCCGACTGGGTGGATATCGAAGTTGCAGGTCACTGACGATGGTGTTGACCCCAAGGTCGCGATTGAGCCAGGCCAGGAGAACACCCCGATGGCCCTCAACCCCTGGAATATCCTCTCCAACATCGGCGGACAGAGGGCAGGGGGTGGCTCGGGCACTGTGATTGGCCCCCTGGTTTTCTCATACATGTTGACGGATTACCCAGAGTTTGACCAGGTGGGAACGAATCCGGCCTTGTACAGCAACAGCATGTTGACCGATGCTGTCTACAACATGACCAAGATGAGTGGACCTGTGATTCTGAGCTACCAGCTTCGTCACACAAATGAGAGCGAGGTAACAGGGACGAGGCAGACGAGCGTCAACAAGCTTCAGGTGCGACTGAGTGTCTGCGTACCGGTTATTATCCTTTTCCTCATTTCTTCGGTTATTGCCTGCGTTGGGATGGTAAGGTTCAGCTCCCTGTTTCGAATCTGGTTCCGGAATCCAACTACTATTTTGGGGTCAGCCTTATTCTTTGGCAGTAGGAGCAAGCTTAGTACAGCTGTCAAGGAGGACCTACTGGAGACCAGGGGCATCCGCAAGGATATTTGGCAGCATTCAAACCATTCCCCGCCGTCCCTGCGAACCTGGGTTCGCTCCATCTTCGTGCTTTACGCACTGGCACTTATCGTGGCTCTGGCAGTAACGCTTTGGATATCGAAAACGCAGAATGGCTTGGCTAAAGTGAGTCAGGGTGCTCCAGCAATCTGGTGGACGTCCATCCCGGCACTTGCAATGACTTTGGTCACACTCTACACAACCTCTTCGGACTCAGAGATCAGAAAACTTTCCTTACACTTCTGTGTCAATACGAGACCCTGCAAGGCTATGGAACTAGATATGTGCCTACTAGATATGCTTGGGCTGCGAGCCTTGTACCATTCATTCGGGCTGCGATTGCCTGTTGTCACATTGGTGCAGGGTCTTGCTATCGTCTCCGGCTTCCTCGCGGCCTTGTCGTCGCTCCTGTTCACTACTATTGAAATCACGAAGTGGGAAGATATGAAATTTGCGCCAACAGACACATTTTCCAATGATGGGACCAAGGCAGAGCAAGGTCTTGGATATGAAGGAGCTATGCAGAGTCTAATCACCACGTACGACAGGTCCAACTTCACCTGGCCCAAGGGGACATATGGCAACCTCCTCTTCCCAACACTTGACACTGGAGCCCTTGAAGGCCTCGATAGCTCTAGTGCCACTCTTGAATTCGACACACCGGCTGTGACGCTTAGGCCTGTGTGTGAGAATATCTCATCGGGCAACGACATCACAATTAAGCCCACTGAGGACGACAGAGACGAGCCGGTGTATGTCACTATCAACAACAAGCACACTTGCACAGGCGGTGGCTCAATCTCTCTTAGCGTTTCGATCGTCTCGTCAAACTACGTCGAAGGCAAGTATTACTTCGCTGCTACGCAGGAGGGCAAGAGCTGCAAGGGCGACTCGGCCACCGTCGTCAATGGCACCGTTACTCACATCTGGGGATCTGTGCCGTATAACCATAGCACTCCGAACTACTACGCTATCGTTAAGTGCGCTTACACCTGGGCCGAGGTCTCCACCAAGGTCAAGATGAGTTCCACCGACGGGGTTCTCCAGTTTGACCAGAACAAGCCGCCGAGCCCCGACCTCGCCACCCTCACACCGTGGAACAAGACGACGTTCGCCATGCCTACACAGATCGATAATATGTGGCCTACGCTAGGCGGCACGGACACGAAACAGGGTGGCAACTACGGGGCGTTCGGCTTGCTCATCGAGCCTTTTGGTAAGATGAAGCTGCAAGACTTTGGTGATTCGGCCAAGAAGAATGACGTCCTCGACGAGCTCCACACCAAAAGGGCCATATATGCCGCTCAGCTAGCAAATAATGGCAACAGAGTCCAAATTAATAAATCTTCCTCTGCAGTTCCCGAGGCGGCTGCTGTTAATGTCAGAGTATCCCTTGGGGCGACCCGGCGTCTTGACCAGAGTGCGCCCATCACCTATGTGATAATTTCTATCCTTTCTCTGGCGTTCCTGATCAACCTGTGGGCGCTGATATCAGGTGTATTGGGACGGTTCTTGGATAATAAGCGGAGGTGGCTGCTTGATATGTCGATGAGGGGCCTGGCGCCGGATCAGTTTGGGAGCATCATAATGGCCGACTCTCTCCTCCTTGGCTCAAACTATCAAAAGTTCATACCAGAGGATTCTTATTTAGAGAAGCCGGAGGTCTTGCACCAGAAGCTAGCTCGCCTTCGTTTCCGTATGGGAGGGTTCATTAGAAGAGGCCAAGAGAAGGAAGTAACACTTGGAGTACTTGATGATGATGAGTTGCAGTTCTTAGGCGGTTAAGTAGCTGGAGGATTTATACTTCTTTAGCCAGGAAATTATATTATACAATCCCACTCCTTGAATGAATAAATTCAGGCCGGCTGGGTCAAAGAATAACCGCTCCGTCGTGAGATTAACGCTACTATAAAATAAGGAGGATAAATCAAGTGACTTACTGTTATGAACACTATCCTCTGTAATACCTCCTTTGCCAACTCGTAGGTTTCATCGACCCCCTAAGCCTAAAAAAGCACAAGAACAGACCGCCATTTAATTTAATTTTCGATGCTGGCCATGTGTGCGGCACATGCGTCGCACATGCTTCTTATTTGAGCCAAGGTAGGCAGCAGTCAGCATTCACGGACCCGCTCATTTTTGGTTATAAATCGTTCGCATATTGTATATATCGTCCTAGTATATATATATATTCATTTCTTAGATAGAAATACTCTTTCAGACAGTTATTAATTAATATTATCTATATACCTATTATTACTAGCTTTATAATACTTATATATTAATAGTAACTTGTATTACACAGCCTAAGATAACCTAATCGTGCTACTCAGAATAATATCTGATTAGTTTAACCCTAACTTACCCTAGACCCCTGTCCAGTGTAAGTTACCCAACCATCACAGGTCTGTAAAGTCTGTTTGATATACTGAGGTTGAGAGAGATATAGGGTCTTTTTAGACCTATCTCGGTAAATTTAAACCCCTAAGAAGAAGACTGCTAGTCTCTTATCTTCTATAGGGTAAACCCTATAAATTTCCTTCTTTAGCTTATTAATATAGCTAATTTTAGGGCCTATTATAAGGTAGTTATTTATATAGATTACTATAAAGATAGTCTTTTTAGTATTATAGAAAACTGCTAGATTAGAGATTAGGGGGCTGAAGCCTAGAGATCTTAGCAGAGCTTTCAGTATCTCTTACTACTCTCTAGGGAACTGCTTTAGGCTATACAGGGCTTTTAGTAATAGGATAACCTGCTCTTCAGAAGGGTTATTATTGAGATTTACCCTATAGACTATAGGGTAGATCAGGTTACCCTATATTAGTTAATTAAGTAATATTAGATTAGTATAGGATAAGGAGAAATAAAATAACTAACTTAGAGCTTTCTAAAGCTAGAAGCCTGCTAGAGCTACTAGTCTAACCTACTATAGCTATCTATTAGGATAATTATATTAGTAGTTATAACTACTATAATAGCTACTATAGTAACTATATTAGTAATCTTATATTATACTATAATAGCTATATTAGTAGTTCTTATATTTACTATAGTAATTATATTAGTAATTCTTATATCTACTATAGTACTTATATTAGTAGATCTTATATCTACTATATAAGAATCTTAATACTTAGTTAGTAAACCTTATAACTACTATAATAACTATATTAGTAGACTTTATATCTATTATAATACTTATATTAGTAGATCTTATATCTACTATATAAGAATCTTATAGTAGTTATAAGTTTATATTATAGAAGGTAATATATTATCTTTAGAGCTTTTAGAGCTTTAAAATATCTATAAATATAGAGCTTTCTTTTTACTAGATAGAGATTCTTTAAGTTAATAATTTACTCTTTTATCTATTTTATAGTCTATCTTCTTAGCTATTCTATAGCTAATAAAGCCTCTTTTTCTTACTAAATAAGCTATTTTTTCTATTATATCTTTTAAAATAATCTCTTTAGTATTTCTTAGCTTACTCTATAGATTATATTTACTCTAGATCTAGCTTACTCTATAGCTAGTTTACCCTATACTAGAGATTTTAATCTTTTAAAAGATTATAAACCTAGATCTTATTTATTTTAATAGAAAAGAGTTTTATCTTTAGATTTAAAAGCTCTTATCTTATACTAGGAAAGTTTTCTAATTTACTCTATATCTTAATCTAGATTTTAATAGCTTTCTTTACTAAAGAAGATCTAAAATAGCTAATAAAGATAGCTATATAAAGAAATTAATTTTTAAAAGTATTAAAATCTATCTTTCTTTAGTAGTTATTCTAATAACTAGTACTATTACTATAGCTAGCTAATTAAACTCTTTTAGTATTATTAGTATTATTTCTATAGTAGAGAGTATTATTACTATTTAGAGTTTATAGAATTAATTAGTAAATTTTAATATTATTAATACTATTTCTTTAGATCTTATAATAGATAATACTATTATTACTTAGGATCTTTAGAATCTAGATACTATTAAAGCTATTACTACTATATAGTAAACTCTTTAGTAGTTAATAGCTATTATAAATCTACTATAGTTATAGTAAACTCCTAGTACTATTAGTATTAGTTAATTAGCTTCTAGTACTATTAGTATTATTTAATAATCTATCTTATAGAGCTTTTAGAGCTCTAATCTCTTAATTAGAGTTTTTAAAAACTCTATTATTAAGAATTTTAATAAAAGGATCTATAAATTCTTTAAAATCTCTAAATTATAAAGATCTTATAATTTTAATTAGTAGAAATAAATTCTAGAGATTTAATTTAGAGTTTTTAAATTATTACTATTTATAATAAACCCTATTATAATATAGTAGCTATTAGATCTAGATTAAACTATTTTATTTATACTATTAAAAGATAGCTATATAGAGGGTTTATAAACTATTATAATTTAATAGATCTTCTCTATAGAGATCTATAAATTACTAATTAAATAGTTCTTTTATAGTATTAAAATTTAGTATAGCTATCTATATATCTAATTTTATAAGTTTTATTATAAGAACTTTAAAAGCTTATTAAAAGCCTTTAATAATATATTTAATAACCTTCTAACTAGATTATTACTAGTTAAAATTACTATAATCTCTATAGATTAAGCTAATTAGTATTTAGAAGCTCTAAAAGAAATCTTCCTATAGTAGGCTAAATACTAATAGAATAATCTTAGAATTATTAAAACCTCTAAAAGCTCTCTAGAGCCTCTAAACTTATAGTTTCTTATAGTAGATCTTCTAGAGGAATAGTATAATAAGAGCTTTTTAATAATTAAAACTATAAATTATAGAGCTAGATATATTAAAAAGTCTATTAAAAAGAAATCTCTAAGCTTTAAAAAGTTCTCTAAAGGAAAGATCTAATAGAAAGAATCTAGATCTAAAGTCTCTAAAGAAAAGCTAGTTAAATCTACTAGCTTTACTCTAGATTATAATCTAGAAAATCTTTAAAGCCTATTAGAAGATAATAATAAAGAGAGTTTCTAATTAGTCTTTTAGATCTATTAGCTCTTTAAATCTATTAAAATTATAATAGCTTCTATTATTACTAGCTTTAGTAATTAGAGATATAATCTACTAAATATCTTTCTATATAATATAAGCTCTATAGTATATTTAGTAAATAATAGAGTTTATTATAAAAACTATAAAGTTTTAAAATACTCTAAAGTAGATTATATTCTAATAGCTACTAGTAAGACTTATTCTATAGATATTAGAACTATTATATTTTAAGTTTTAATCTCTTAGAACTTTCTAATCTATAGGGATTTAGAACTAAAAGAAGCTCTTTTCCTATTTACTCTAGAGATTAATATAGTTAGTAAGATAAAATATTATAGTTTATAGAATATCCTTCTAAGATAATAGCTATTTATAGATAATAGAATCTACTATAGCTTATTAAACTTTAAATAATATAGTTTCTATTTATAATTAAAAGAGTAAAAGATCTCTAAGCTTATAATATCTAAGGAGCTCTCTATCTATATAAGCTATAGCTATTCTATAGAGATTTAAATCCCCTCTAAGATCTCTAGCTAGATCTCTAAAGCTCTAGACTTTATAGAGCTTAATAAGCTTACTAAGCTTATTAAATAGCTTACTAAAATACTTACTAAGATCCTAGTAAAGAAATCTTTAGAAAAAAATTATTCTAATTTTAATATTAAAAAAGCTCTAATATAAGAGATTATTAATACTATTAAGCTCTTACTATAAATATCTAAAATCTATAAAGATCTACTATAATTAGTAAGTATTTAGTATATATAGCTAGAATATTTAGAGTTTTAATTATTAAAGAAAACTATTAAAATTATAGAAGGTCTTTTTAATTTTAATTCTATAAGAGAGAAAGATTTCTACTATTTAGTCTATATTAGTACTAAAAGCTATAGACTTCTAGTATATATAGTTATTCCTAATCTATCTAGAGCTCTAGATTCTATAGAAGGGAATATCTTCTATTTTAAACTTATACTATATAATAAAAGATCTATAGAGCTTATTTTAATAGATTAAAAAACCTACTATAAATAGATTATTCTTCTCTCTAATAAGAAAGAGTCTACTATAATAACTACTATAAAAAGCTTTTATTAGAGCTTTTATAACTATTATAACTACTATTCTACTAAATTTTACTATAATAATAGAGAAATTATAAAAAATTTAATAGATTAGCTAGCTATTAAAGATACTACTTTTAATATCTTAAGTCTCTATATTTACTAGTAAAATAGATTAGTTAAATACTCTATAAAAGTATTAATAGATAGACTTAGAGTTATTTTATAATAATCTAGACTCCTACTATATCTCTAGTATTATATCCTTCTAGAGATTCTTTAGTTAGTTAATTATATTACTATTAGTAATTATAATTTATTCTCTTAGTAGCTATTTCTTTAAGAATTAGAGTTTAAAACTCCCTTTAAGCTTAATTTCTAGATTTATAGAGTTATTAGAGCTTATTATAAGATCTTTATTTATTTTAAATAGCAGGCTAAGAGCTATAAATTAACCTCTAGAATAATCTTAGAGTAGATTTTAATATTTTTAGACTTTAAAATCTATTAGATTTATATCTTTAAGAAGAGATTAATTATTAAGATCTCTTATCTGAGGATTTTAAAGAATATAAACCCTATAAAATAGAGCTTATAGCTATAAAACCCCTTTCTCTTATACTCTTTAAAAAGGGAAATAGAGAAAATAGAGTATATAAAAGAGATTTAAGAGCTATTATAATAGCTAC